AGACGGGTTCGAATTCATGGTAGATTGGAGGAACGACATCTCGGAAAGTAAGCTTTGACTTTGCCTTTTCGGAGGATTCGGCGATTTGTTGACTTTTAGTGGCAAATGCGTTCAATTCTAGCTGTGTTATCTCCATAATTCGTGTTTCGAGATCGACGGCTAGAACTTTATCCCCTTCTTCAGGATGATACTCCGGATCATCAGCAGGGAAGGTAATCTTGTTGGTCCGCCAATTGATTGTTGGATTCGTCAGTATCAACCAGTCGTATCCAAGCAGTATGCGTGGTGAAAGTAGAGATGCTACGATGACATCTATCAAATGTTCTTTCCCTTTCACATTGATGTGAAGAGTGATATAGTGTGTTACTTTCTGGGATCGACCATCGGCTCCTGCAGCGTCAAGAGGGACGGGCAGAGGCATAGTATTGAGGGTATACTTGTCAACCAGCCTTCGATCGATAACCGAGTTGGTGCAACCAGAGTCGATAAGGGTTGGGACGGTGAATGTCTGTCTGTCGTCTATGGTAGTGACTTGAGAAATGACGTGGAGGCTTCGTTTTGACGTAGGGTTGTGCGACGAGGTGTAAGCATGGATGCGTTCTATAATATTCTCTTCGTCGTGGTTCTTTAGCATCTGTATCGCCTGCAGGGTGATATGCTCGTAGTGATCTTTATGGGCCCAGTTTCGTAACAGAGCTCTTGCTCTTTCTGGTTTCTGGTCTTTGATTCGTCTGGCCAACCATTCCGGTGAATGTGGCTTCGCGTAGGTTTCGGTTACAGCACGTAGATGTTGATCAACTCGTTTCATTGCAGTCGTTGGTAATGTACGAGGGTTAAATACAACATTTCGGGTCAGAGAGTCCGTGCTTACTCCTGACCTTTCTGAAAATCCTTCGGGGGTGCTTCAATTTCTTTTAATGACGATGTAGTGGGAGTGTCTTTGGTTTCCTCCGTTTCCATATATCGTATTGCCATCTTTCCATGTGGGCAATTTCTAGCAATGTGGCCTCGTTCGCCACAGTTGTAACAAGTAACATTCGGGTTGGGCCGATGTTGTCTCTGCGTGTTGGAACTCCCAATCTCCATAGGTACACCTGATCCTCCAAACGTTCCTGCTGTGTTTGGATGGACTGCATTCTGGGGCGGTGGTCTATGAGATGGAGTATAATACGGTCGCTGTTGGATATACTGTGGTCTTCGCGTCTCTGTTTGCGGTACTGTCTGTCGATGCTGTGGCGGAGGGTAGTGTTGGTTCTGCTGATAGCGCGGTTGATATCGTTGATACTGAATTGGCAGCCTCTGTTGAGGTGGTTTATCTCTCTTCCTTTCCAGATTAAGCTCTTCATTTTGCTGTTCCCATTTCCTTGCTGCTGCCTTCCACTCTAAGTACGTGGTGGGTAGGTTTTCCTGTTGCGAGATACGATCACGAAGGAATTGAGAGAGGTTGCGGCGAAGGATACTGTGAATGAACGGATAACTTTCATCTGCGTCTGGTGGTAATCCCGCTTCCATGAGTTTGGATTCGAGTCCTCCAAAATATGCGTCTACCGTCATCTCTCGCTGTTCGTAATCGTGAAGGGCAATCTCTGCTTTCAACTTGAGATGGGGGTCCAAGAATTCGTTATCTAACTCCTTGATGAATTCTGAGATAGTTCCCCAATTTCGCGGTGCAAATAGGTCTCCTAGCACTGCGGTTTTGTTGTTGAAATTCGCCTTCCATGTATGACAGGCGTCATTGGCTTTATCGGACGAGATCCGGGATAGTGCAAAGAGGATTTTGGAGGAGTTGGTTTGGAAACTTCTGGGATAGGCGAAAAAGTAGTTTGCTAAAGCGTTCTTCCAGTCAACGTATGTTTCCTTTTTACCGATGAATTCGAATGGAGGAGTGGCAAGGACAGCTTTACTTCCTTGATTTGTTTCGTCGGCCATTGCTGCTGCTAGATCAGGTTCAAGGTCCAAAGATTCCTGATCGAACCAATCGTCGGGTTGGTTTTCGGGTTCTGGAGTTGGAGGTGGGGGAGGAAAGTTTTCTGGTCCTGCTGATTGATACAGATCGTCTGGTTCTAGAGCTTCAGCCGCAGCTCCTAGAGATTGTGGGGGAGGTGTGTCGGGAGTGACCAGAGGACGGGGTTCTCGATAGGGCTCCAGATTTTCAACGGGTTAGATAACGGGTTTAGATAACAAGTCTTTCTAGATAACTGGTCTTTTTTATTTACTCAAAGTCTGGGTCAAACGTAAAATTACTAGGGAAGTCTCCTCCTTCTGCTTCTCGGGGTCTCCAGTATTCTACGCTTTGAGTAGACTCTTCACTTTCCGACTCGGTTTCGCTGCTAGATTCTCCTCCAAGTATATCTGTTAACGAACTTCCTGTTTCTCGTTCTATCCTTTCTGCGCAAGGTGCAAAAAGTTGTTCAACCGACGGGATGAGCGGTGATTCTCCTCTTCGACCTTGGTAGGTGTAAGAGTATTGCGAATAGATACGAGTTCGTGAGCTATGGTTGATAACGGCCCAGAAATCGCTTTGGAGTACTGTAACAATGAAACGTTCGGGGTGATCAGATTGTTGGTTAACAACGAATGGAGTGAGGATTTCTAGGATCCAGTAATATTCGTCGACGTATTCTGAAACGTGTCGAATGTTGTCAATTTCGGTCGTGTAGTCTTCTCCGTCACGGGATTTCCTCTGAGCAGTTGCGATGAGCTGATCAAATCGTGCTAACGCAGCAACAACTCGTCGAATATGATCTTTAGTAGAGGGCGTGACAATGATAATGGAAGTGCTGTGTTGAAGACCAAACCGCGGCCCGAATGCGTCAAGATCGTGGACTTCAGGGAGGTAGAGAGTTCGGCGAAGTCGTGTCAGATATTGGACAATAGAAAGGTGGTCTAGATGATTGCCGATGCAGAAGTACTGGATGGGTTGGTAACTGACAGGAGAGGCGGAGTAGGTGTCGTAGTAGTCAGATGTAAAAAATGAGGACGGGATATCGTAGGTAGGTTACTCGTTAGGCCTCTTCCTTAACACAATGCCACAAAGCAAGGTGTGTTCGAAATCGTAAGGGAGGAGGCGGCTGGGTATGTCTGGAAAAATGAGAGGACGGATTCGATAAAGATCGAGAAGATCTGGGATGTGGTTCTGCGAAATAAGTTGCAGGTTTCGTTCTTGTACGTTGGCTATTCCTTTCAAAAGCTTAACCCTCTGAGTGTTCTCGTAACTCGGGCGTACTAGGCTCTCGAAGTAGTCTATCAACGGAATTTGTTCGTGCCGCAGGGATATGAAGATTAAAAGTTCTCTCCGTGCTCTGTCGGAGATGTTGGAGTATCTCCTCGAGACTGCGAGAATTTCTCCTACAGATGGCGGAATGGTAAAAAATGGATTGGGTGAGAGTGAGTGCGTCGTTTATGTCGAGGATGATATCCTCGATCGGATCAATTGGTGAAGACGAAGCAGAGGAGTCTTGATACAACTCAGTGATCTGTTCGATCGTTCCTTCCTCGTCTGGAGTACGGGCTTTGGTAGGGACGGGGAGGACCGGGAGCTGTTTGTTGAGAGTTGCGAGGAAATCTCTCTGGTGTCTGCGGTCCGCTTCTGATACCCACTCTTCTGAGAGCTGTTGGGAGGTAGACACGATGGAGGTATACGACGTCGCTGACGAGTCCGGTTTGTAGATATCTGATGATGGCAAAGAACGCAAAGAATTGGACGAGAGCGGTGATGGTAGAGAAGGCGTCCAGTTTGAGAAGACTGAACGACAATAGGTGTAATAGGGTGGATAGTGAGAGGTTGATGACGATAGTGAGGAGAGGGATAGGGATGGTAGAGAGGTGGAGAAGGTGATGATGAAGGTTTAGACCGGTGCAGTGGCAACGACAGTCTTTTTCAGGGTGTAGGGAAACGGTTTTCCAAAGAGGGGCTCTGGAAAAGGATTCGAGGTAGGTGAGTTCAATATTTTGTCAGGCAACAAATACGAAGCTATATAACAAAGCCCAATGTCTGGTCAAGTCCTTCCTTGAAGGCGGTGAATCAGAGTATGAGAATGAAGAGTATCGGTAAGAGCGCAAATCCAAACTAATATTGAACTGGAGAACAATACATCAAGTATGTACTTCTCTATATAGTGAACGACGATGGTCAGACCGAGAAAGGGAAGTATTGAGAAAGTGGTCTGACCAGCTAGCTAACCAATAAGAAAAAAAAGAAGAAAGTGGTCCGATCTATCGTCTTTACTAATCGTACGAGAAAGTGTATTGGTAAGGGATGTACGATTGGCCGTATCAGTAAGCCCATGAGAAGGCGCTGACTCACAACCTTCTTCGCTTATCAATATTCCTCCGAAGTATTCCCAGACATAGCACTGGATCGTGACTATGTCATCTGGATATCTTCTCGAGGGTCGACAACGAGTCTACCTCGTTGTAGGTACGATAGAACGTGAGTGTGAAGAGAGAATAAGAAGAAAAATGATAAAAGTAATAAGACACCTGCTGTAATCTCTAGTCCAAGGGCAAGAGGAGTGACGGGGATTGAGTCTGCTAACCACAACATGACGGGAATGTGATAAGAAAAATCGATTCCTCACAAGATGCTGGTATGTCAATTGTAACATTTCTGTGCCCATCCTCTCATCCCTGGATACTCGCACCCAAGCCGCTGAGGGATTTGTGACTGGGCGGTCAAACAGATGTATCAATTTTGTGTTGCGAATGATCTATGTGAAGCCTGGGCATACCTCTGGGAGAAGTGGTACAGGCTAGGGCGATGGGAATTGTGGGCACGATCATATCATGACGAGATTCCAGTGCTCAAAGACCACAATGATCCTAGAGAGCCAGTAAGTCAGCTTACACATAACAAGGGACATTAATAACTTACATTGAATAGTTGGTGTCGTATCAAACATGACATTCTTCACCATTTTCACAAGCCATGTGTTGACCTTCTGGCATGGGTCCTTGTCATGAAGCTGGTGCCTACCTATTATCGCAAGCTAGACAGTTTGATGGATAAAAAAGGCCAATATTGTGAACTTGCATCATGGCGCAAGGTGTTCAAGCGGGACTGGAAATGGGTGGCGACAACCCCAATTACTATGCTGTTGAACAATAAATACAGACCGAACACACTCACCTGGGTGTGTACCTGCCCACATTTCAGTACCAGCCAATTTCTCCTCTGCAAGCATCTTGTTCAAGATGTCCATCCTGTCCCCCCCTTGTTCTTCCTCGAGGTCAAGCGTAATCAAACAACGCCGTTCTGGAAGCATCCAGCGCTCATCTCGCTGGACACTCCAACCAGCCATTTGAACAGTGATGACACCATATTGCTGACAAACATGGCTGCTGGACAAGGGGATTCAGACATCCAAGATGACAAGGAGTCAGATGATGAAGGAATTATTGACATTGGAGGGATGGAGAATTGGTCTGTAGGGGAAACAATGGTGACTCATGCAAAATTACTGCGGGATTTTGCAGACGGTATCCTCTACCAGGCGCAATTTAACGACCATTGATGGGGGGAGAGCTTGGAGCGGGAGGGGGTGTCCTTGTTCCGGCTCGCCAGTCATTGCCTTGAGGGTGAGCATCGATTCAACTTGATGAGGGGAACTTTGCTAACAACGTGGGAGAAGACAACAACGAGCGTAATGTATTACCGCACATGCCCACCACACACAGACACCTTGAGTTGATATATTTTGTTGATCGATCTCACACGCACTTAGATATTACTATGTTTGAGTAATTATATTATTAGTTTGTTATCAGCGTGGGATTGTTTGGCTGTAATACTGGGGGAGAGGTACGACACTTCTTGTTGTGACGCTGCGTCCAACCCCATTTTCTCAATTGCAACTGCACATCGCATATTTCTAACAACCGGCTCGCAAAAAGTTGCGCAGAATCAAGCTGCAAAATTTTCTGTAAATTTTTTTTCTCTCTTTAGGACAAAAATAAGGCTTTGTGTGTGCCATAGATAATACAAGAAAGTCACAGGTGACCATGTGACCGTATGAGACGCGTGGATTTGTTTGATTCCAAGGCTGTAGCCAAACAACGCCCTAAATCGTCATCAGGCTCGCATCTGGTAACTTGAAAGTGCAAGTAAGGCAGACTGAGCGTTATTACTATCTAGGGCCCCTCAAGATTCTCTTACTTAGGCTAACGCAACACGAAAGGCTCCACCTTATCAGTGCTTAAGGCCGCATTAATATGCATCTTTACCTTGGGTCCAACCCCCGGACTATTTATCTGGTGACTGGTTCCCACGAAGAAAACCTGGGACGGCCTCAGCGCGCGTTGGTATTTCGTGCTGCCGAAGGAAATCCTGCACAGGCAGTCGTAGAGTTTCTGCCCAAGGATGAAGTTAATCTCGCCAATGCCATCAGGTTGACAACTAGGGTTGTCAAGGGGTGCTTGGGTCTCATTTGCATCGACAATGGTCCGCCAGATTTCATTTGAACTCACAATATTCGATCTGATATGGTCTTTGTAGAAACATTCCTTGCCGTCATAACCTCTGCTACTGAAGTCGGAAACACACGTCCATCTGAATCATCACCCGAGGCAGTTGCCAGGATCCACGAAGTTCTTTTCTACTGCTTAACTTCATCTACATGGGATGACTTTTCAGCGTCTCAAGATACCATGCTCGGCCCAGATACCGCTGATGCAATCATGATACGTGAAAATTATCCTCATTCTACGCCTCCACCGTTGTTTGAACATCCCTGTCTTCCACTTACAAAGATACTTTCCTCCGGGTCATTCTATTATGCTCTTGAGCCTCATTGGGATATATCTTCAAGATTTTCGGAGCGGCTATCACGAGACCGCTCTATTTCGATGGATATAGGAACATTCGACGAGCGTTTTGTATGGAACGAGTACATCGTTCGGAGCCTCCTGGATTTCCGAGAAAAACTTGACTTCCACGAGCGCGAGGAATTGGATTCATGTCAATTCATTGTACGCAATATTTTATTAGCATATAGCGGCATTATCAACCTGCGTGACTAGATATTAGCCATGCAAGGCTATGTTGGAGTTTTTACTATGGCTCTGCCAGCTCCACCGACGGATGGATCCCCTACAATCGCGACTTTGTCGTTGATCTCGCGACTTGGTTGGAAACGTGCTGGTACTCGTTTCAACACACGGGGGGTTGACGATGACGGAAACACGGCAAATTTTGTTGAGGTACGTTTCAAGGAATGGACTCCTGTACAACTCAAATCTTGAAAACCTCATTCAGTCGGAAACGATCTTCAGTACCGACCAACATAGCGTTAGCTATGTGCAAGTTCGTGGTAGCGTTCCTTGTATGTACTCGATACCACAATTGATGAACATCGACTTACCTGTGGTTAACTTCCTCTCACAGTGTTTTGGGAGCAACAAGGGATACAGACTTTTGGGCAACGCATTCAAATTACTCGACCACATGCTTCTCAGCCTGCATTTGAACGACATTTCTCTCATCTAACAGAAGACTATGGAGCCGTGCACGCAATTAATCTGTTAGGAACAAAAGAGAATGAAGCGATCCTGACCTCTGCCTATGCTAAGCACCTACATATAGCCCGCAGTATATGGGGAGATGGCTTGGGTATCACTCATTACGACTTCCATAACTCCGTTAGGATGGGAGGACACGATAGTGTCATCAGAGACTTGAGGCGAGCTCATATATTTTCTTTTAACTGGAAAGTGAACCTACTTATCATTCATTATCAGCAGGCGGCTTGAAGATATAAGTGACCGATTCGGGTTCACAATGTGCGACAGTAGCTCACGTGAAATAATTACGGAACAAAAGGGAGTGTTTAGAACAAACTGCTTAGATTGGTATGTGATTACTTGGATGTGGACTCGATGGACTACTGGATGCTCTTTTATTTACAGCTTAGATCGCACCAACTTTGTTCAAGATATACTCTCCCGCAACTCACTAGAACAGTACCTTATGCTGGTTCGCCGTGAATGGGTTCAGTCAGGTGCTCTCTGGACCCATCATCGGGAGTTGTGGGCAGAAAATGGGGATGCTCTTTCGCGCATATATGCAGGAACAGGAGCTTTAAATACCAGCTTCACACGAAGCGGAAAACGAACCCTAGCAGGTACGCAATAGCGTAGTGCAGAGAGTATTTTCATGCAACTCTTTTTAGGTGTTTTATCCGATGCCACAAAAAGTGTCTCGAGGGCATATATTAACAATTTCCAAGATAAAGGGAAACAAATAGCTATTGACATGTTCCTGGTAAGGTTCTATGACCAACTTGCTTGGAAAGTTCTCATGCTTCGTATCGCCCAGGGCAATCTGAGCAATCAGAAACAAGTAAAGATATTTGATCCCATCCACGATTCCGTACGGATAGCTTTGGAGCAGAGGTAAGCATTTTTAGCAAACCGAGAAGCCGTCTCTGAATAAATGACTGTCCAGGCTCACTGAATACTCCACTTCGAAAACTTGTAGTATCTTTGTCGGCACGTGGAATCTAAACGGTAGAGTGGGTGCCGACCTAAATCTCTCTCACAACTTGAAGGCTGAGTGCTATACTATACCAGCCACCTTCAGAGTCTCTCTTGCCTTGGTTGTTCCCTCGAGATAGTAAGCAATAGAAAGAATATCGTTGGCTGTTTGTTGACTTACAATTACGCAGATACATCTGAGTGAGCGGTTCTGTGGTATCTGTTGCTAGCCACTAATGTATTATTAGGCCAGACATTTTTGTCTTGGGATTTCAGGAGATTGTTCCTTTGACGGCTCAGCAAATCGTACAAACAGATCCTGAGAAAAGGTATGGCTTTCATCATATAGCATTGTTCTTACTCTGAGCGTTTTGGCCAAAAGACGAATGTGGGAGACAAGGATCTTGGAAGCTCTTGATCGGAGACCACACAAAGCGTACGATTATGTCCTTCTCCGGAGTGAACAGGTACTATTTCTTCATTTTATTATTGTGCAATTCAACTGAAACGGGGTAGCTTGTTGGAACTGCTTTAGTCGTCCTTGTGAGATCGGAATTGACGGCTGTCATCCGAAACGTCGAAGGCACCACTCGCAAAGTACGCTGCTTAGAAAAGATAGTGGATGACACTAAATATAGCTTTACAGACCGGGTTGCGAGGCATGTCGGGAAACAAGGGTGCCGTAGGTGTACGGCTGGATTATCATGACACCAGTTTTTGTTTTTTGACAGCACATCTTGCCGCTGGCCACTCCAACGTTGAAGAGCGTAATGCTGATTTTCACACAATTGTGAATGGCCTACATTTTCTGAAAGGAAAGACGGTAGAAAGCCACGAGTGAGCATCATCGCCTCTTTTTTGAAGTTACATTCACTAATCAGTCGTACAGAAATGTTATCTGGCTCGCTGATACCAATTACCGGATAGAATTGGACAACGAAACAGTTAGATCTTTAGCCGAAGCAGATGATTTTGACTCGTTGCTTGCGGCTGACCAGGTTTGTACATGGTTCTTTACTCAACAGTTCAGGAACCATCTGACAATGATCGGCGTAGCTCAAACAAGCAATGGATAGTAGGGCGATTTTCGAAGGTTACGAGGAAGGGCCGCTTTTATTCCGACCCACTTACAAATATGATGTCGGTACGGATAACTATGACACGAGTGAAAAATTGCGAATACCCGCATGGACAGGTGAGTCGATCACCGAATTACCGGCTTCTAAGATTGATCCTCGCAGATAGAATTTTGTTCAGAGGTCGTTTTGACTTAACCGCGTACTCTCGAGCTGAATTGAAAGGGTCGGATCATCGTCCTGGTAGCACCATTACTTTTCCAGAGATAATTCATACTAATTCGGTTAAATAGTCTTCGCGTCATTTAGGACAAGTGTGCGAATCATCGATACAGCAAAACGATCGGCGCTTTCCCGATTATTGCTCGAAAGTACGCTTGACGCTGCTCCCGGTGAGATTTTGGAAGAAAAACTTGCCTCATTGCCTCTTCCAATAAATTATGTTGAGCGTGCGTGTTTGATATGCTCTCGTTACTGTGGGCATTCTTACAATTCATATTTCAGTTCCACCTCCCAGCTCGGATGAACAAGCATGGTGGGATCACCCAGGTTAGTTCTACCACCCTCATTGCCCAAGCTCACAACGTGACAGATTCTTTCGTCGTCAGATCACCCGAAAGGCGTGTTTCCCATCTCTACATTAACTTTGCAACGTCACTCTTCGACAAATCCATTCGATTCGCCTGTAGATTCGCCGTTGTCTTCTTCTCCATCCTCTTCAGACGAAGAGCTGTACTCGCACGCACTTGCACTTCAAACTCCTATCACTCCAATGCCAGCTTCTCGAAAACCGCCTCCCCCGCCCCCGCCATACCGAAACCGGACCACTGTGGAGACTCCATAACACACCAACGCAGCGAAACAGCATGATTGTTAGCAATTGCATGTCGATGGCAAGAAAGTAGCCTGGGACATTTGCCTGCCTACATATAATTACAAAAGTCCTACATCGGAGATTATCTAATCTGCATCAGATAAGGCCCTGTTTCTTAAGATCCTCATATGTCTTCCGGTTATAGACATTTCCTTCATCATCCTCGAGCTCCTCCATGGTTTCTTGTTCGAAAATCTCATGTCTGCCTTCTTGCTTCAACTTCTCGGCGACTAAGCATGCATTTTGTATGAGTCAGCGTTGCAGGCGACAGGAATGATCCAACTCACGTGAAAGAGCATCCTCAATACGTGTAATTTCGTGGAAATGTTTAGTATTAGGTAAACCTAATGCTCTCATTCCGAACGCATGTCGAGATTCCTGTAATACGTGATCAGTTAACGCACGACCACATCTGTTAGAGGATCTTGCCTGGAAATGACGATCAAAGTTTTTCCTGGGACAAAAGCATGTCAGTTAGCTACATGGAAGATCTCACTTTTCGAACATACCTTCCCATGTAAACATGATCGGAGCAGATTTCACATCGGTACTCAACTCCAAGGCCATGCAATTTGTACAACCAATATGGTATAGGCTTCCCGTCCCATCCCAGTGGGAGTTTAAGGGGATTGTATATTCTCTCTTCTTCCTCGTCCTCTTCCCCTGCTGCTGCTTCGCCAGAATTGTTCGTGGGTGCAGGTGGAGGTTTTGCCTGCTCGATCAACTCCTGCTCACGTTCGCGAGCAGTGAGCGAAAATCGTCGCTCAACGTTTGATTTTGTCTCATTGAGTGTAGAAGCCAGAGACGTCAGAAGCGATGTGGTCAAGTGAGTGAGGAGTGCCACTTTCCGGAGCCTCAGCTTGGAAGACGAATGAACTTGAGAAGGTTGTGTGGATGGTGTTGTAGAGCCGTTAGGATTCGATGGTGGTGCATCTGATAACGCTTGCTTGCTGGTGGCTTTCAAATGCTTTTTGGAGGTGAGATGAGCATCATAAACAGTTTTCTTTGAATAATTTTTTTGGCCTTAAATATTGGGCGCGTAAGTCGATAACAGAACATAAGCAGGTATAGTAGAAAGTACCTACAAGCTGCACACCATATCCCCTCACTGGTACCGTTTCCATTAGCACCCTTTTTTCCATTAGAAGGTTCTTCCCAAGCCCCTGCCTCCCCAGCTTCCCATTGAAGATCAAACTCAGCCTCAACCTCTAGTCGTTTTGACGAGATGTCCACCAGCGGTTGGGTGCGTTTCACAAAAGACAGGAGGTAATCATGGAGAGTTTGGATATACCTTAAATTCAGAGGTGAGCGATGATGCAAGGATACAGAGAAGAAAATTGACATTTCATAATCTTTTGTGGTTTTGACTTCTTTAGGTAACTCTTGGTGGACTGGACCATTTTGAGCAGCAAGCAAAACGTCGAGATATTGAAGGTAGGGTAATCGCTTTCCAATATTTTTTAAGTTGTTATACGCAGTATGGTTCGCGTACAAATCAAGATACTTCCCATATACCTCTTCGCCTGAAAACAATAAAGATATGGCTGCAAGAACATTCCCAATTAACAGCTATGGTAGTCACATGAATGAAATACCTACGATCTTCGTCTTCGTACTCCTCATCAACCCCGTCTTGATTGCTCTCTTCGAGAAGAGTGGCTAGTTCCAGTTCAAAGCCCCCTGCTACAGCATCAGGATATTTGTTGTAGTGTTCTTGAACCTTCACCAACCGCGCGTAGAATTCCGACAAGTCATTCTGCTGCGCTGGAGCAGAAAGAACATCTAGTTCTACCTTCCTAGCATCCTCATCGCGGTATAAATTGTTCAATGTCACCGTCCGGGATGCAATGCGGTCAAGCACCTGAGCGGCTTTATGCTCTGTTTGCAGGCGAATTTCGTGAGTTGGCTGGTTTCTGGACAAAAGGGAGTATAAGGCCCTCTCATATTGCTCAATTTCTTCGTGAGTTTGACGGTTAACCTCGATAATGGAGTCCATGCTTTTTTCTGGCTGGTGAAAACAGAAATGGGCAATTCAGGCGGGTTCAGGTCAGCAAGGCGAGTATTTTCAGACTCCGACTACTGCTCTCTTCCTCCCAACCAAAATGTCGGGCATTAATCCAGGAGACGAAGTAAGTGAAGTATTCCTTATATATAATGCACAATGATGCTAAAACGGTTCTTATCCCCAGAAACTTGTATTTGAATCGTCAGAGGCGGTTTCAGTCGTCTCGACATTCGATGAACTCAATCTGAAGGAAGACCTTTTGCGTGGGGTCTATGCTTATAGTAAGTTTGCGAAAAGTGGTAACTAATTCCAGAAAATAGTTCTCATATTGTACCAAAGACTTTGAAAAGCCTTCTGCTATCCAACAGCGCGCAATTCGTCCCATAACACAAGGCCGAGACGTCATCGCTCAAGCACAATCTGGAACAGGTAAAACTGCGACTTTCTCTATCTCCATCCTCCAGTCTATCGATGTCTCCGTTCGGGAAACGCAAGCGCTGGTTTTATCTCCCACTCGCGAATTGGCGACACAGATTCAGTCTGTTGTACTTGCTCTAGGTGATTATATGAACGTTCAGTGTCATGCATGCATTGGTGGCACATCCATCGGGGAAGACATCAGAAAGTTGGAATATGGCCAGCATGTCGTTTCCGGCACTCCTGGCCGTGTATTCGATATGATTCGAAGGAGGGCTTTGCGGACGCGGAATATCAAAATGCTGGTTCTCGACGAAGCCGATGAACTGTTAAACAAGGGCTTCAAAGACCAAATATATGACGTATATCGTTACCTTCCTCCTGCGACACAGGTTGTACTTCTGAGTGCGACCTTACCATATGATGTCCTGGAGATGACCACAAAATTCATGACCGATCCCATCCGTATCCTCGTAAAGCGTGATGAATTGACACTGGAAGGCATCAAGCAGTTTTTCGTCGCTGTGGAGAAGGAAGATTGGAAGTTCGATACGCTATGTGACTTATATGATACGCTGACGATAACGCAAGCGGTTATATTCTGTAATACGCGCAGAAAGGTGAGGTTCCATGTTAAATATTGCGAAAATTTCCTTACGAGCTCTGGGACAGGTGGATTGGTTGACAGAGAAGATGCGTGCTGCAAATTTCACAGTATCTTCAATGCACGGTGAAATGGTACAAAAGGAGCGGGATGCTATCATGGCGGAGTTCCGTGGCGGAACATCGTAAGCTCTTTCCCTCTTTCCAACCTTTATAGCCTTCTCAGCTGATGTTTCAGTCGCGTACTGATTACGACGGACGTTTGGGCACGTGGTATCGACGTACAACAAGTCTCTCTTGTTATCAACTACGATCTTCCAGCGTAAGTATTATGTTTTGCTACTTTGCGCATACACCGACTGACTTTGACTCGCTAAAGCAATCGTGAGAATTATATTCACAGGATTGGTCGGTCAGGCCGGTTTGGAAGGAAGGGTGTTGCCATCAACGTATGTAATTTTTGAATCGTGTACTTGCAAGACTGAAATATTCTGGTTGCACAGTTTGTTACTGTGGACGACGTTCGTATCCTGCGCGACATAGGTATGTCTCAACACGTTGCCTTTCTCTTCTCGCCGCTAACAAACTACTGCAACAGAACAATTCTACAGTACACAGATTGTGAGTTTTGCGCCCATATTACCACTCTTAGCTAAACTTACATGGTTCACAGGACGAAATGCCAGTCAATGCGGCAGAGCTAATTTAAATGGCACGACCCTTTTATGGCACCTGTCTTGCAGAACCAGTATACTATCCGGTAGATAACTTGACAGCGCAGTCGACCCTTGCCATTTTTGTATTTTATACACTTCCTCTTCGTATTGCGCTATTTCTGTATGTTGTTTATTCTTAGCTTTAGTTATTTAGTCAAGCATGTGCCGAAAAGTAAAACGATACATTACTCTACAGTACATGTAGCAGCCTGAACAGCACTCGCTATAGTACCCATCACTCAAGATGAATGTGTTGCTGGAAATGGACCGCTCGAGACACGGGCCCGAGAACTGCTTCGCGGGCTTCCCTATCAAATTGTAGCGACTTCCAAGGGTCGCACACCCTTTTACTGTGGGGAACAAGTAACAGGCAGACTAAGTATACATATCGCTATTCAAAACCCTATGGCTACCCGCAGCATCCAGATTATGAATGGGCCTCTAGAACATCGAAAGGCATCGATAAAGAAGATTCACATCAAGTAAATGAGTGGCGCCCAATGGATGTTTACCGATTCGAACGATTCGAGGCCGTTTGCAATCAGCTGTCATATGGAAGATATATCGATCCCAATCCCATCTGATGTTATCGTACCGTCTTCTCGCTACCGCGGAAAGGTCAGGATGGCTGTTACTTCTATGACGGAATGTTTTCACCCCTTGGGCTTGGGTATTCTGAAGTCGCATGGATTAGCCTATGCGAAGTCCAGGAACAGCCCTTGTGTACAAGTTGGCCGATCAGGTTCTCAAGCAGAAAGGCCTCGGTAGATCACGGGAAGTGACTCGGTGCAAAGACTCGACTCCTTTTTTTGCGACGCACAAAAGGCGGAAGCCGAGGAAGGAGAGAGCCATTTTACCACAGGAGAATGCAGCGAGCCATCGGAAGTCTTCGTCTTCTACTAACTTCGAGTTTACTTGCAAAGATAGAACAAGGGGGCGGCTGGCCGGCCCCATGGTCTGACCATACAACACCAGTTAGTCGTGGGCTTTCCTGAGGAAGATTGCGTTTCCGTGTGTAATGCTCCTAGACGGGGGTAAGTTGTGCCAGAAATTCTGATAAAAGGAGTCACTGCAAGCCTTGAGTACCTATGCCATCACTAATCACTAGCAGACGCCACTCCGCGGGTCCTGAAAAAGTCACATCTACACCCCATATGGTCCGCTCTTTTGAATTTCCTGGTATAAACGAGGCACTGTTGAATGATAGCGGTGGAATAAATTCAAGTAAATTCGCTAACATAACGTGGTAATCAACCGGTGTACAGCTTGGGAGGTCGGCAGAACTCTGCGAAAATTCGTTCCTTCAGATAAGAAGAGCTGAGCGAAACAACGGCATCATAGTGCTCGTCAACGATTCGGTCATCTGCGCAACGAATGGAAGTCGAACGTTGGATGACGTAAACGGTCAACAACCGCGGTGTTAATGGCCGCACATAAAAACACAAGATTGCCTGGCACACCGACAAGTGGAGCAAAGCTTGAGTGTGTATTGCGACAAAGCTGGCTGGGATGACTGTTGCGGCTTCCCGCCTCTCCGGATCGTACGCGGTACGGTGTCCAGCTTTTGAAAGGCGTGTGTCCATATCACAAATAAGGGGAAGACATGGTGACAATGAAACCAAAGAAACAGTCACAAGTTGCACGAAAATACTAAGCTGCACGATAGCGACAGCGGTAAAGCCTTCAGCCGTTATGGTCGATAACCGACAGTCCGGGGGATAGTGCTCCTGTATTGCAGCAGACATTGTACGAAACGAAATCCCTTTCTGTTGGTAGAGGCGAGTTTGGATGTAGGTGTTAAAACGGAACCGCATTGTGGGGCAGCCTGTTAAGGATGCCCGATTCATTACATGGTATAGTGTATATTGGGTGCCGAGCTAAATCCAGTATGGTTGTGGTATACGTGGCCCGCAAACTAAAGATACAAGTACTACGCACCCGCGAAGAAACTGCGATTAGCGCACCAACCCTGTTCCACGTGAGAGGGGCAATGGAAATAAAAGCCATAGAGCTTGAATGCGGATGACCGAGGCTGAATGGATTATAAAAATCTGGATAGGGTAGATAGTCAGCCTCGAACGGCGTTATTTAAATTACCGTTTCCCAGCGAGATTAGTTCAGCACGAATTGAGTAAGAAGTTAAGCTTTGCTTGCATTAGAATCTTTAGAATCTTTATAATGGATGGGGGTAAGATTGCGTTAGAGGCGCTTTCTCATATTATCGTGGCTGAGAAGTTTGATCCTTCAGATGGGAGTGCCACGGTGGTCCGGGCCGTGGTAGTAATTCGCACTTGAGTTATGGGTGGCTGGCCAATCTCTCTCCCGCTTCCGTTCATTCTGGATATTCTCCACGAAATGTGAGATTTATTCGTTTGATATCATGCACGGCCGCTCTCAAACATTTTTTCAAATGTCTGGGACGAAAACCACCGCGTGTACGTTTCCATTGCCGCACATTCGAATGCACTGGCATGTGCTTTCGCCTCGTGCTTTTGACGTTGGACATACCGCAGGAATGTGTATAATGCCAGCAGAAGCATGATTGGCTTCCTTCGGCCATGCAACCGATATATTTCCTCGACAGATTGTCATGCCGAGAGCCCATCTCGGTTTGGGTTAACCAGCAATCCTCATTGGCACCAAGGCCTGATCGGAGTTATCCAGGGGCGAGCATACGTACCGTTTTTTTTGGCACCATCTCACTGCCCGACCGTGTGAGCCTCAATAATACTATCCCTCCATGTCCTTACCAGGAATTCGTTATGACTGTTTGGCAAACGCCGCGAATGAATATCTCTCCTGCTCTTCCCCAGGGAGGATCGCGTATCCTGAACCCTTTCGTGTAACCGAGTGGGAGTCCAGTATTGTGAATTCTGTCCCCCCTTCATTATAAAAGCCATACACATATGCCAGATTTCCACATTACACACTTGACCTTCACCACCGCGGTATGTGTTATTGGCGTAGGTACGTGAACACCTTCCTCTCCTTTTGCTGCCCCCACTCATCGTACGTCGCTCAGAGTGAGGAATATCTACAAAGGGTGTGTCGCCATCGTATCCCATCCCCGAGCTCTACTGATTTCTATCGTGATAATGTAGCTGTGGGCATGCTGTCAATTTAGTGAGATATTGCATAAATCCCAGTCATCCTCTACAGTCGTTGATATATCCTTGTCAAATTTGTAGCCCGACGAAGAGGTGCACATTTATTTTTCTCGATCTTTCCGTCGTGCTCATACTGGACTTCAGATAAAATGCGACCTTCGACACTGCAGATTTAGTCGGATGCATCCCCCTGACTGCGTTCCACCACAATGCAACAAAACATGCTGGCAATAGTGAGTTACGATGCCTTTGACTTTCAAAACCCTGACACGGTGTTATATTCCTCAGTCACCAATTTCCGCAGCAGTATAGTACGTTTCATGGCATCGTGCCTGTGGAATATTAAACGATATTATTTTTGTCTTGTAGCACCCCACATCGATAAAAAGTGTCCACAGTGCAGCGGTTCTGGCAAATGACCTGGATTGCCGCCTCCTAACTGTCACACTGTCGGTGAAACTATATTTGCGTCAGCTACTCATTTCGTATTCTTCCATCATACTAGCCCGATACTACGCATCTTTGAGAAGAAACATTTGAACAATTTTTCTTGGGACATTCACATTTTTGGGACAATGACATTGCGTTTGAACTTCCTTTGTTTTCTTCTTTTTTCTTGGAAATCTGTCTCATGTCCATAGCTAAAATTAGAGTAAAAGGGGGTAGGAGATATGTACAAAAATACAGCGCAAAATGTCAATACATGTATCACTTCGATTACAACAAGACTGAACCAATAAAATAATGATACGTTTAGTCGTCTCCAATGTTGTGCTTTTTCTTTAGTTGTGCAAGCTCCTCCTCCCTGCGTGCCAGATCTGCCTTTGCAGTTGCAGCATCCTGTTTGGCTGGCATATGGTAGAGAACAACGATGTAACGCTCCTGAAGATGGAAACCATTCAAGTGATCTAGTGCATTCTTGGCCTGTATAACACGATTAGCTTCAAAGCTTGAAATACAAAGGCCTCGGAGCTCACATCCATGACATCATCAAATACAATAAATGCGGTACCTTTGGTCTTCTGCTCGTTCCCTATACGGATCTGTCTTATACTACCATACCGTCCGAACAGGTCGTACAAGTCTTCTCCGGTGATTTGATAGTTTAGATTCTTCACGAAGAGGATGCGATTTGCACCTGGAGGTAGTTTTGCCTGTGATATACAAGTAAATCAACGTCGCTGCTAGTATGAAAACCTTAAGAAACATACTGTAGGTCTCGCAAGGGCCATGTTGGATGGAAAAAGCCTGAGAGGGACGGCGGGGTCTCGGAACTCGGTCTGGCTTATGTAATCGTTGGGCACTTGCGCGGGGTTGTAATTAACCACCGTTACTCGGGCCCATCACTATCAACAGGACTGTAAGGGGCCCGGCGCTAGCCTGGTTCACAAGGTAGAAGGGGGACCCTCCAGTAATTATGTACTACGTTCTTGCATTCACACGACGCAGGCATCACACGCTCGTAGTCCCGGTGCCTTGGGCGGTTATTGAATTCCATCGTTATTATATCTTCTTACTCAAAGCTGTCGCGTCCGCCAACCACTCGGAGGGCGAGGTAAAATATCGTGAAAATTTAGAAACATTTACTTCAATTTTAAGTACGCATGGGAATACACCCTTGCGAAAATCGGGGCACATGGTGGCACAATACTCCATGCATTTGGAAGCATATTATCAACAGCTCCTATCGAGGGCTATCCAGGTGAATGTTGCCCACATGTCCCCCTAGCCGGGTAGGTATACACTACCATCCCTCCAAATGAAACACTGCGCCGTATGTTTACCGCCGCTTTAATAGATGAGGAGTAACAGAACTTCCGAGTCAGGTTATAATGGGATAAGGTCATTCGATGTAGCTTAAGCGTCCCATGCTTTGGGGTAGCCTTAGTTCTTCAGCACAAGGGCGTGTGTGGCGACCAAAAGAGAATTGTGGAGCACTGGCGTCCTGGACTGCATCCGAGGAAAGCCTGAATATCGAAACCCACCATGTGCGACAGCCAGATACACAAATGATAGTTCCAGAAGTGGTGTGATGGATAAGCATCGTAGTCGGAAGGCTCGACAGGAGTATAAAAGCAATAGCAAAACTACTTCATCAGGCATTTTTCGTGGGATGCATCATACTCATCTCGGAATATAATTTCAATATCAACGGTCCCTTGGAACTAGAACGCACAGGAAAGGACCAGAAGACGAGAGTCGACGCAGTTAGAGTAAGGGCAAGACAGTTAGTTAAGTTACTCACAGAGCTAAATATTGATGACCCCTCGAACTCACGATATACAGATCGCCGTGTCTACTTCGAGTAGCTACGCATTAAGCGTTCAACGACAGAACATTCGGTTTCTCCCCGAACACAGACAACCGTAGCAGCATCTTTATCCTGGGTGTCTGGAACCATACATTTAACGTCTTCAACACTAGGACAAGGACATTCAGATGGTTGCGATACGCAGGCCAAGGTGTCGGTGCAAAGGTACTGTGAACATTGCACTGAAAAGCAAAGAAAAGTATTAGTTAATTCCATACGTTAGTCAGAAATACTAATATAATCAGACTTACTGGAGTCAGAATGAGCAGCCCATTGAGAGGTACCAGATGGTCTTTGCTGCTGCTGTGGCTGTTGGTGATGACCGCCGAACATTTGGTCAAAAAAGGTGCCAAACTGTGCATGCACCAGAGGCAGAATAAGTGACAGGACAAATATATGACTTTTTGTCTGCATAGTTGTTATGATCTCCTTGAGTAATAACGATAGCCAAGTTTTCAAGGGCCAGTGCAAGTAAAAGCGTGTCGACGAAGATCTGAACATCCTTGTGTCACGTGACACACAAGTTGTATACAATTCTTTTGCGCGCACACAAATCTTTGGCTTTGATACCTTCCATTAGCTGCGTGTACCAACTTGGTAGTGGCAGAGCTCTAAGGTTCTAATATGACCTGTTCATCATGATACGGTGATTGCTGCTCAAGGCCTGGGCACGAGACGTATATACAACGCTGATTTTTGATATTGTGAGCTCAGGTTATAATTTGTGTCGTGAGTCCTAGTTCTTATTCATAGAGATTTTGCTAACAACTGCGTTCTTCGAGGCAGTCTTCCTTATCATGTGGATGGAATGCTTCCGCAGATCCTGTTCTTGATAATCCCTTTTGTTCTGTGAGGCCAACTAACTTCCTTACTGCTGGGATAAGATTAACCGCAAATGGCACATTCACTCCCAAATTCTTCCAAGTTTGTGACATTTAAAAGATGAATGTAAAGTTCCATTTTCCTATCCTAGCATATCTGAAATGAACACCGTTTTTTATAGTCTATATCAGTTCCGATCTGATTAGAAGATTCCTTTCCTGATAACTCGCCGATACATTGGTGTGAGCGTACGTGTACTTATCATGCGCCATGGAATTTCATCGAAGCCCATATCCATGGCCCATATACAATCGATAACGCTGAGGTGCTAATATAAATCTTTGATAACTGTCGATTTCCATCGTCGAGTAAATGTGCGTGCTGGCATTAGTAAGTCTGCTGTCATATCCCACCGATGGCCATCAAGGTACTTTTCGATTTTCACAGAGGTAAGGCATGGGAAGCTGTACGTTGCAGGAAGAAATTCTCGCTCTAGAAAGACTGGGGATAGCATATACTGGCGGGTGAACTGGTCAGAACGTAAATCACGTTCACTCGAACTTCATGTTCCCGATTTGAGCAAATGGGCCGCGCAAGTTAGTTCAAGCCGTTCGGTTGAGCCTTCTCGGGCCATTGTCTGGCTTCACAGCTACCATCTTCGTGTCATGGCAAGTGGAAGGAGTTTAAGCGGTTACCGTGCCCTGTACCCAGGATATGGATTAGGGAAGTAGGTAAGTATTCTTCTTATTTATTGTGGCTTCCCCCCTAACTTTCGTCGGGTATAAGGTGCGCAATGAGTCGAAAGCAATGAAATATATATATTATAAGCGAAGTTTACCTTTCGCGAATAAGTCCCGTATATCAAATGCAATTCCGAATACAAGAAATCGCAGTCTTGAATACTCTTCCCATGGGTTGCTTTGGAGCGTCATATCCATTTCTCTCCTATTTCAAGTGCGTAAACCTTTTTTTTACCCGTGTAATCTCGCCTTACCTATCTTATGCATATGTACAGAGATACTTCTCCCCCAAGTTCTACTTAGAAGACTTGAACTAAATGCACCATTCCTGGTTATCGCATTGGCTGTCGTCCCATTTTCTTCTGAGGAGAAAATACACCTTATTATACAGAACCGTAAATATAGACCTCTGGCTCATCAGAATACTACGTAAGTTCCAAGACTATCAGATGATGTTGTTTTTTCCAAGGATTGCAAGAACAGCTATCTCTCAGTTGGAATAGATGCCAGTGATTGACTTTATATGGAGTCAGATATTGATAAGCTGGGAGGCCAGGTATCGTGCGGCATTTTTATGATCCCCTGAATAGCCATCAGCCTATATCGACGGCACGAATAAAAACATATCAGTGAATAGTTATTCTAATCATTCGTGTCGCTTTTTACCCCCTCTCTCGAACTCTCGTATCTACCTCAAACTGGGACTTTGATAGAAAACAACGCTATCCACTTCATCTCAGGCCCTTGCTTTCCCTTGATCTAGATGACGTTGAATTTCGACCAGGACACCCGGTCATAACAGGCTAAAGTCATCTCCTACAAACACCGTTTGCGCAGAAGTGCTATGTTCAGAAAGATATGACTTAGGTGTTTCTTTTGTGGAAATATATAGCAGTATATTAACAGCTTTGTTTATCAGCTCCTAGCCCAGATTATGGTTTTCCTGAAGAAATGCTAGTTTCGAGAGACAGCACTCTCCGGGCCCGGCTATGCGGCCATCGTCGTATTGAGGAAGTCGATGCTATATGTAATGCTGAGGTTATTGAATCGCCGGTCGTGACAGGACACATTATTGCTGTCACTGACGGCTGTCTCACTTCACTGGCACAACCATCATCCCGGATTCCTCAATCAGCTGAGTGGGAACTTTTTTTCATGGAATATTTCATTTAATATGACCCTGTATTGATATGCCTATTCAATCTTTTGTTTTTAGCATACAATCAGCAAGCTCTACAACATCCACGGTATGGTTAACTCGACGGTAGTATCCGTGGTAATGGACCTACGCGGACATTCAAATATCCAAATGCTGGGTATTACATTCGCGGAGAGAAAGTGCGCTAGTAGTAACCATTCCAGGCCTATTTCGCTGGATTTCATGCCAACTATCGATAGTAGGTTAAAATCCAAACTTTCAGTTAATGTAAGGTAGCTGGCAATGTGCGCCTGGATCATCAATGTAACCGAGCTTTATTTTTCTCCTAGACATCGCAATCGTTAATAACTGCTAGAGTACCGCGGTCGACTACTCGACTGCCATGTTACTAGGACGCTTTTATTGCAATAAGAATCAACGAGTCAAGCGATGCGAAAATATACATAACTGAGAACATCACACGACAGGCCTCGCCCGTAATCGTACATTTTGTAATCTGAATTACATAGCATGCGAAGTTCATTATACGAAAGCAGAAGTGAAGAACGGCTGAACGAGGAAAGCTGAATTGCCATCAGAAAATCGTTGACTTGGCTTAAGCGAAGCAAGGCCGAGAACCGCGAGGTGACGTGAATAGCTCATGAGCTCCTAGATACCTCCGAACGCAATAAGCTTCTGGTTCATGTATTCTCCAATCCCATGACTGCCTTCATAACCTATGGAAGAAGATCATGTTAGTAAACGTGCTGTCGCCAGATTTAAAAGACGCCTACCAATTCCACTTTCCTTTACACCTCCAAATGGAATAGTAGCATGGCTTATCAATCCCGTATTAGTTCCTACCATCCCTACCTCGAGTCTCTCCGCAACTCTCCATACCCTTCCCACGTCTCGACTAAAGAAGTACCCGGCAAGGCCTACATCAGTATTATTTGCCATCTCCAGAACATCGGCTTCCGTCTCAAACTTTGTCAATGCCGCAACTGGTCCGAATGTCTCTTCGCTGTTGAGCAATGCATCGGCTGGAACTTCGGAAAGAACAGTTGGAGAGAAAAAGGTTCCAGGCGTGGAAATCCGTTGACCGCCGACTAGCACATTGGCACCCCGAGAAACTGCGTCGTCAATGTGTCGCTGAACCTTTTGAATAGCTCTGTCATGAATGAGGGGCCCATGTGTGCTAAAAAGGAGAGTGGTCAGGATGGCGGAGTAGCAAGATGCGAGCGGAAATAAATATCTACGTCTTGTCGTCTAGGCCATTTCCTACTTTGAAACCAGCCACTTTTTGTGCGAGACGCGAGGCAAAGTCGGCGTAGACAGATGATTGGACATAGATTCTATTAGCACAGACGCAAGTCTGCCCTGAACCTCGGAATTTACAAGCAATGGCACCTGTGCAGATGCGAAGGGAATTAACAAGGTCGACAATGAGGAGCATCAGTGACAGGTGTGACTCACCATCAACAGCTTGATCAATGTCTGCATCATCAAACACTATGAAAGGCGCATTCCCACCAGCTTCGATGGATATTCTAAATCGTAGAAAATAATTAACGATAAGCCCATCTCATACTCAACAATAGAATATCAAAGGCATTATATTAAGGTTACGCACTTTTTTAGCGTTGAAGCTGCCATTCCATACAACATCTTCGCGACGGGAGTCGATCCGGTAAACGACACTTTCTTCACAGTTTTACTCTCGCACATCTCACGGCCAACCTCTCCGACGTTCTTCTGCGTCGTGACTACATTGATAACGCCATCCGGTACACCGGCTCGACGAGCAAGCTAATTAAAACATATCAGATACAGGTGCGATTTGGTACAATGAATGAGAAACGGGTAGCGCTAATAGTGAGGGAAGTCCGCGGAAATTTGCAAAAAACATACCTCTGTAAGCGCCAGTGCGGAAAAGGGTGTTTCTGGAGGAGGCTTGATGACCGCTGTACACCCAGCTGCAAGCGCAGCACCAAGTTTACGTGTGATCATTGCAGAAGGAAAGTTCCACGGCGTAAGTATAGAACTGCAGATCAAAGTTTCAGTAAAACTCTGATGAACATATAGGTAGGATTAGTAAGGCGTACACGACACCTAATAACAAGAGGATCGGTGTATGTCACAATAAGGATAGTAGAAGTGGTACAAACCAACTGGTTGCTTTATTACAACATTGCGGATATTAGTAAAGGGTGAAGGAATGTGTTCTTCGTTTATGCACTTAGTTCTTCACTTCCGAGGATGGAAAGAAATGTGCATACCACCATAGGTGCGGACCGCTTCCTCGGCTGAAGAAGGGTGCACGACATCTGAAACACGAATACTATAACACAACCACTAGCAACTCACCATACCACTGCATACGGAAGCATAGGTTTTGACCATTCAGCGAAACGTGACCTTATCATCGTAAATCGATAATAGGCATACCTCTATGAATGAAGAACTATATGCGTTTTCACCCTAACCAAAGATATATCACCGCTCCAACTTATGCGAGTAAACAACATACCTTGCCTTCAGCGAGCGGCTTCCCATTCTCAAGTGTCTAGGAATATCGCATTAGCTATAGTTGACAGAAGAAAACCAGAAATATATACAATGATCCGGCCCAAATCATCGTGATTCTCTTGCATGAGAGCATATAATTTCATAAGGATATCATGTCGCGACTACAATGTGTATTATAATAAGTCAGTTGATGACGTAGGTCGTCATGCGGGAAAATTTGCATGAAGCCAGGATACGGAGGGCTTTACCTTGGCTGTTGTCCGTCCCCATGTTTCAAATGCTTTGCCTGCTGCTGATATTGCAGCTTGTGTCTCTGCGAGACCCATTTCAGGGACTGTGCCTAGTTCTTCTTCTGTCGCTGGGTCTTTGGAAACGTGGAAGAATGCCAATATGGTCAGTAATTGATAATATTTCTCGAATGACTGAATAAATGAAAGGGAAATATTTACTTGTGACCCTGATTGTTGCCCCATCCCTAGCATCTACCCATTTACCATCAATGAAACCTTGTGTCTTGATGAGGCTGGGATCTTTCAAACCAAACTACAGCACGAATAACAGAGCATCCGTCAGCTCGAGAGTTTTCCTCGTGGAAACTGCATTCAACGGACCACATTAGTGTTTGCTGTGCTTGCCATCCTGTACCAAACGTTTAATCCTATTGTGTTTCGAAACGTTTGCCTTGCAGCTACTGTTCTAAGAGGCAGAGATCTGAGGGTTGATGCAATTGGCGGCGAGGACGAAGATGGGAGAGACAGACGCAGCATTCCGGGTTAAAATACACTGGACAAGATTGGGTCGCCTTTGACTGGGACGTGGGGCCAGGTGACCGCAGGAATCATTGATGATTAGCGTATGACGCTACAGCTGGGGACTCGTCGGCTGTTCGCGCGTTCACGAATAGCCGAGTACCACACACTACTCTCCACCTCTGCTGATACAACGACGTACTACAATCATAGGGCGTTTTACATGTGCCGCATCGGTATATTGCAAGGGAATTCACAATAGTTGGTATGTCACAGATCTTGCGCTGCAAGCTTAAGTGACGTACTCATCTCTGTCGACCGCATCGAGGGCATTTCTGTTAGCAAAATTCAGCTGTCGTCTCATCTGAGAAGCTTGTTAAGGCCACGAGTCAATTCTACGGCATTGCACCACAGTTGTGATCTCTGGATCAGAGGGTCTCGACTGCGGCGATTTCAGAGAGCAACAGGCTCTTGCACTCGGGTGGCGGGTTTTAAGGATGTGGGAGGCATGTTTCTCGTTGTAAAAAGAGGTCATTGGGTGGTTCTGCGTTTGTGTAAGTCTGGGGATCACATTAAACTTATTTGGGGAACCAATGCTGCCCTATATCTTTGCACGCTGTACTGATGGAGAGGCAGGTTGTACTGGCAGAGAATCTGCATGACGACCAAAATGATCACTGCATTGATCATCGTCATCATATCAGAGTGCCTCTGCAGGTTTGGGGCCTCATTCGTAGAAAATATGCTGTCCATCTTCTGCTTCAACTGCAAGGATCATCCCACTCATCATCAGGCGGGGAAGGCGGAGACCTAGAACGATCTCTTGGTTAGTACAACGCTCCTGTTGATTTAATCTATCGTCGGGTTACTGAGACATATATATTTTCTTGTTCACATCAGTTATAGCTATCACACCGATAATCCAACCATCTGTTCAGCGTGCCTGTGATGAAAACCTGTGAAAATCACTTCTGTCTGTAACTCGAGCACTGGTCTACAAGGTTTTTTGATACAACGATCTTCTTAGCGCGTTTTAAATGTTAACACGATTCCTCGGGCCTTTTGGACATCCAATGTCACGCCACGACATCGTCGATCGATCTTGTTCGTCTCCATCACAATTTATCAACTCATCCGCTGTTGGCCATTCCATGGCTTCATGGCACCTGGTACAATGTATGCAATTAGAAGCCGAGTGATATCTGTTTCAGCGCATTATAAGGAAAGGGATCTATTGTCCATAAATAAGCTATTAACGTATGGGAATTTTTCCGTGATGCTAGACGTGGTATTAAAGTAGGCAGGGAACACTCACTCCCTCAAGTATTCTAATAGTTTTGTGTACACTGACTCTTTCTCATTTCCGTCCCGTCATTTCCAGTCCTTATGACCATAGCGACTCCGGCAGAAGTATTGATGCGAGGACCTCAACTCGGTACCATGCTTTCTATGATGTGAGCTGGCTGATCCATGACACTCTCCTTCGCTAATACTTGATCAGTCTATATGGTATTACGTGCATCCAGACTTTCATGTACTTTCAAAATTATCCGGATGATCGGCGAAGGGTGAAAGCAACAGTAAGCATTTCCGCCGTGAGTATCACTGGCTTATATCGTTTAACTGACGCATGTCAGGTCATTGTCGTATGGTGGTAGTTTTTCTACTGTAAGCAAAAGCATTGAACTCATTTTTGACCACTATATAGGATCTTAGAAACCGCTCATGCTGGAGCAGCGATCAGCTTCATGGATTACTACCTTATTGTCAACTTCTCGAATACTGAAGTCTTGCTTTCTGTTTACTGGTGCGCACACTACAAGTTAAAACTGGGTGATTAGTAAACTAATTAAGATACGTCCCTCTGGTAGGGCAATGCCGGTAAGCTATACTGTTGGTTTCACTAGCTTTTCATCAGTGTTTCTGAATTCACACATTTTATAGGTGGCATTTATGATTGGTGTTAGTTATTTTCATTTTCTCTTCGCCAATATCGCATTGAAATCTGGGCAATAATATGCAGTTTCTCCTTGCTTTTGTTGTCAACACGTGAGGTAGACAGGTCATTTGTAACCTGACGCTAATCAGATATTACAAGGTTCTATGCTTGGCGGATCTGGCTTTGTAAGGATAACATGTCATAATAACATCATCAGCAGTACTCATCTATCATTTACTTACAGTCAGCAAAAATGTCTATCACGCAGCTGTTCTGGTGAGTCGTTCGTCAATTTCCATTTCCATACATCACCAACCTGATTTCGTAATTTAGATGATGCTAGCTTTTGTTCGTTTAGGTATGTAAAAACGGAAAATAAATATCATCTTGATAAAAGCTTATATTCTGGTGCAGGACTATCTTTGACTGTGTGTGTATATAGGTAAAGTAATATTCATGTCATTTTACGGTATTTCAGTTGATTGTATGCTTTTATCACAGTGTCATATACTCGCAATCGTGGTCAAACTTCAGGCATCACTCAGGAGTAAGCTCTTTTTTAATTCAAATATTGCCTCTTTTGACAATTATAAGAAAACTATCATTGCTTTATTTGTGCTGGCAGTTGTGGATGATACTTTGACCGCAACTGTGCTCGCATACTATCTGCACACAAGACGGTCTGGGCTAAAACGGTAAGTTGAGTCATCCTTGTCATCTATATATAATTGAGCAATGAATTGCAGGACTGATCGCCTAATTAATCGTTTGCTTCTATATTCCGTGGGCATTGGTGCTCTTTCTGCGTGAGTGAAGATATGGTAAGGGTGCTGTTGAATTATCTCAGCCCAAAACATTGCAGTGCTGGTGATGTTGTAGAAACAATAGCGGTATGCCTTCATGCCAAATTAGATATACCAACTTGAAGCAACCTGATTAATTGACATGCGGTATAGTATTTCGCACTACCCAATAGCCTTGATTTTCTTGGTATTGTTCTCGTTCAGATGAAGCGTATGGGTCCCTTGCATATGCGTCTAACAAAACTAAATCATGTTTGCAGTCTACGCGAACTCATTTTTGATATGGTAGGATTGAATCTTGCAGTGTCTAGTTTATGCTGATAACGTGTATTCGCAGTTTGAATATCCGGAACTTTCAGGCTGGACCGCTCAATGATCCGTTGAGCTACAACAGCACAATTGTTACATCGTCTGTTCCCAAGTTTACTCCTGATGGTTCAATTGAGTGCGGGGCGAAAGATGTCAGCTCTGTAAGTGACTTTCTTTTTCAAGCTAGTAACACCTACAGACTCATAGGGCAATAATCCTCTCTCAACATTGATTGAGCAGTAACTCCAACTTTTAATTTGGACCAGATCATGACCTGCGGTCATTATTTATTATATTATATTTGTAGTTTTGTTGCCTGTGGCACACATTTATCTACACTTGCGCTCTTTTGTCAACACGGTCACTCTGTTTTAATGCAGCCAAGGAAGATCTACAGTATATCAAAATGAAAGTTGTAAATCTGATTAGATATGTACTACTCAGGGATGCTAAAGTTTGGTTTGAAGGCATTTTCTGAACCCTGAACTGAACCAAGTAGATTCAGGGGTGAATAGAACTGAGGCAGAACAGAACCTCTGAACCATCTTATATCAGGAAATTTCCAAAAATGATTCAGTATATTCAATATGTGTTCAGGTTGGGCTGACTTCTTAACTAAGCTATAATTTGGGGCAAGTGTATATACTTTGTTAAACATATTTGTGGTAAATGTACTTCTACATTTAATCCACCACTAATTTGAAAGGTTTCTTCTCATGCAAGGTAACTTCTTTCTCAATATCAGACTCCTAAACCATTCTGCGGTGAGTGTTCAAGTGTTACAATTGACATACCAGCACCTATTTACACTTCACTTTTTGTACTTTTACTTTTCATTTTCCAAAGTCACATGACTGATCATAGACCATTGACTTTACTTTACATTTCGGACTTTTCATAGTCACATGACCAATTATGTGACACATCACCTGACCAGTGTCTAGACCTAGACTCATCATGTGACTAGTCGCATGCTAGACATTGGACTTTGAGCTTTATTTACAACTGTACAGTACCTCATGTATTTTAGTATATATACTGGAGCAATACATGGGGAGGGACTCAGCGAGTCCTCTTCTAGTGTCTACCAACATTAGTATGACAAGTTCCCTGTCTTCATAAGTTGTACCCTTCCTTTCCTCCATTGAGTTATTGTTGTGGTAATGCTCCAGTGCCCCAAGACTATGTCTTGTTGGTATTGTCACATCAAGCTCTCCTAGTGTAGCCACATTTGTGTGATATAATCATATTTTTCCAAATTTGAACCAAAACTTAAACACTTCATCAGGAAAAACCCTTTTGCTATATAGTGCTATATAGCCACCACCTATATATATAAATGCATCCATAGAAACTATAGTACTATCAGTGTAATCATAGCTCTTATAGCTCTTATAGCATAGTAGTAGGCAAAATCTTAACCAAGGGGAGAAGTATCTATAATTTGCTCAAACTCTGGATTAATTTAATAAACTTGTTCAATAATAGAAAGAGGCCAAAAGTGTTTGGAGTCAAGTATATTATTATAGGCAAGGTGTAACAACCAAGAGTTAGTTACTCTGGCGCACACAGGAACACACTAAAGAGAATGAAGAGGGAGTGGCTACCCCTTAGGATGCAGAGAGTTAGTTGGTATACAACAGGAGGACTCGCTAAGGAGTCTCCTGGATCTATTGGGGTATATATACTACTACAGGGTTATTTGTACATGTGTACTATACAGTTGATAGGGACAGTGGCTGATGATGTCATGGGGCCTAGCCCGCGTGGCCAGCTCCACTGTGTGAGAGAGTTGTGTCTTAAAATAAGAAGAAAGGCAATGCAGCGCAAGAAGGAGGAGTTTGGACAAAAGGGGAAGTGCCGCGTGGCACCATGTGTGAAAGCTAAAGTACAAGGCTAGAGCGGAGAATGAAAGTAAAGGAAAGGTCCAAAAATTGTGTTATCGTAACACAAGGTACTATAAGTGCTCTTATAGCCTATAGCAGCCTACATAGCTCCTATAGCTGTGAAGGTCATAGTTATAATATAGTTCAAGGTGCTTAAAAGGGCTAATAAATCATACAGTATTAATTAATTATATAGCCTGTATTAGTGAGATAGTAGTTTGTATCTTTGATATTTATAAAATAATAAATCATACAGTATTAATTAACTATATAGCCTGTATTAGTGAGATAGTAGTTTGTATCTTTGATATTTATAAAATAAGAATAATAATTTATCCAAATATAAGTAGTGACAATGAGTAAAAGAATAATCTAAGTCCATGAAAGGTCAATATATAACACCTGTATGATATATTTTATAAGCTCTCATGGTGTAGTGGATAAATGTGATGTGTGGTGATAGGTTGCTTAGTCACCCAAGAGCTGACTAGCAGGTTGAGAGTTCAAATCCTGTCTGTGTTAATTTTTTTTTATCAGCCACACAACAATTTCCAACATCTATAAGAGCATTTATAGAGCTATATGAGGCTCTATAGATGGCAGAGGTTCTATAACAGGTTTGACCACTATAACAGCTTTATGAGTACTTATAGTGCTATAGAGCTCTATATAGCTACCCCCATTTTTCCTGATGTTGGTTGAACACCCACCGCTGACTGGCATAATTTACTGTGGCACTGGTTGTGGTCTGTTTGGATCCTTTCAGTGGACTGCAAAAAATTTTGGTATACCAGGACAAATATTTGTGATTAAACCTATTAAGTGTTATCCTTCTTGTTTTCCTTCTTTAACTGTGTGTGGCTTCTCTTCAATAGTTTAACCTATGTCTGGACTGAAGTATGTAGCCCCTATACTGGAGGAAATGTGCTGCACCACCAGAGACATCTTTGGGTATGCACCATGTGACTGGCAGCTCCATTCAGCTTTTGCACAACTTCAGAAATCCCAAGTTTGTGCAAGAACTGTTTAATGTGACCCTAGACGAAGCTCATTGTATCACAGGCTCTTCCACAGCCACACTGTTTTGAGAGAGGAGGATATTTACTTTTATTGTGATAAGATATATATGATAAGATAAGATTAAATAAAATTTTGAAGTCAGCCAACTTTGATCCTTGCTTTCTCTCTACAGTGGCTGCAAATGAACATTTGTAAACCAAGGCTCACCACAGTGACAGTGACTAGCCTCAGCATTGGACATTCAATAACAAGAAATAAAATGCTATTGCCTCCAATATACAACTCCAATATGGCTGAAACCATCCTATCAAGGGTGTCATGTGTTGATGGCGTCAAGGCTGAATCTCAATTACCTATCAGATATCTGGAGCATCACACAGCAAAGACTTGGAACCTTACCATGTCTTTGGCAAGCCAAGGTCGGACAAGCCCTAGCAAGAAGAGATAGGGGTGATGTTTAAAATGCAGGCACTGGTCTTGGAAAAACCCTTGCCTTCATGATCCCACTACTATTTAGGCCTACAGATATCCAAATTATAATCACACCTCTGAATTTACTCGGTCAGCAAAATGTCAACTCACTTGACAAGGCAAGCATAGCGGTACATTTGGAGACAGCCACACCGACAAACTTCAGGGTAAGTCTTCATGTGAATACCTGTTTAATCTATGAACCAACTAGCTTAGGCAATTGAAAATTTGTCCTACCGTGTTACTACTATTAGCCCAGAGCAGGCTATGAAGCCAGGAGGTGATTTTGAGAAGCTGCTTTGGCAGCCTTTATTTTATAGCTAAATAGTCACCATCATTTTTGACAAAGCCCACTGCATCACTGAGTGGGGTGAGTTCCGCCCAGAATACTGTGAGCTGGGACGTCTACACTATAAAATCTGACCTACTATCCCCCTCCTTATTGCCTCGGCCACATTCACCCCTGATATACTGAAAAATTTTCGCCAACTTCTTCATATCCACTTAGATTGTCTCCTAACAATACATTGCTCAACAGATAGACCACACATCAGTATAAGTGTTTGCAAGATAGAACACTCCCTTACCAGTTATGTGGACTTGGCTTTTGTGGTCTCTGATGGGTGGAAAATGGGTGATCCACCTCCCGAGAAATTCCTAATATTTTTTGATAATATACAAGACTCTATAAATGCAGCAAAGTACTTACACAATCAGCTCCCTCCAGAACTACAACACAAAATTGTCTGGTTTAATTCAGATATGTCAACAAGTTTCAAAGAAGCCCAATATAAACACTTATGACTAATTAACCCTTTTCCATTTCACAAATAACACTCACCATGCCAAATGAGTCTGTTGAACAGAGGCCCCATATTTCCCTTTAATTAGCGCTAACAAGCAAGGAAGGGAATGGATGTAGCTGACATTAAATTAATGATACAATGGCACATACCAGGCTATGAAAAGAAAGTCAACCTGACTTGAATTACACTGTGGCAGCATATAGGTCATTTTGTGTATGATCAAAGCCTGCGAGGGGTGGCTATAATTTACACCAAGGACAACAAACAAAAAATGAAAAGTGCACCTCAAACCCCAGCAAAACAGATTGCAGGGCCTCCACTTGTAGCAACATTGGAACCTACAAGGATGATGGACCTTGACTCAAACATGCATATCCAGGGACTTAGGTAGTGTAGTATTTTTTGACACTACCACATCATTCAAGTACTAGGAAATATTCCTGTAGTATTGTTTAAAATTCATTGCCTGCCTACAAAGCGCTACGGTCAAATGCCTGTGATAGTAAACAATCCAAACAATGTGGTAGCTCCAGTCTTTACTGGAGAAGAATATAGAGAAGCTTGAGAAAAACTTTCAAACAAGTTGATTGATGATGCTCTCATGGCCAGAATACTGGCTAACTTGTGGACCATCTCAAACAACAAAGATAAGGTAATTTGGGCTCAGCAGGTTAGCTACCAATCAACTTTGGTGCATGACACCGGCCTGGTCAGAGGTATCCGAAAGAGAAGTTTTTGTATTCTGAAACTTATCAACAATAGTTCCACACTATTGTTGAGCTAAAGTACTCCCCTTAACACTGGGGGCTGTGTATAGTTAATTGTCTCTTCTCCCTGAGCATTACAGGGCCGTCGCTAGGAGTGCACCCTTCTGCTATACAGGATATCCCAAAACAACAACCCCTTAACCCTGGGGACCGGGTTTACACAAAGTGCAAGAGAGTAGTAGAGAGCAAGTCCTAATGTTACAACCAAAGTTTTGTACTCTGGCGCACAACTCAGACAAAGCTTAGAGAGGAAGTGAGTGGGAGTGGTTACCCTTTGGATATTGAGTTCTATGAACTAGAGTGAAAATAAGCTCAGTCTTTGGGCAGAAGACTTGATATATTAGGATAATATATACCTAGAGTGAAAATTAGCTAAGATATAGTTGTTAGCTATGTGTAAAAGTGAGTTTGAATATATGTTGACTTACCTCAGTCTTTGGGCAGAAGGCTGAGGTGTCAATGCTATGTGGACGAGTTTTTTTGGTAAGTGTGGGAAAGTTCAGTGATTATGTAAGGTGATAGAAACTCGGAATATTAGAAGTAAATAAGGGAATTAATGGATAAAGGAAGTTGATATGAAGGGTAATATAATACACAACATTGGATAGGACCAAGTTAATTGTGAGTAGACAGCAGGAGGATTCGCTGAGGAGTCTCCTTGATCTATTAGGGTATATATACTACTACAGGTTGTTTGTACATATGTACTATACAGTTGATGAAGGCAGTGGCTGATGATGCCATAGGGCATAGCCCATGTGACCAGCTCCACTGTGTGAGATACTTGTATCTAAAAATAAAAAAATGCAGCGCAGCGCAAGAAGGTGGAGTTTGAACAAAAGGGAAAGTGCCGCATGGCACAGGGTGTGAAAACTACAGAAGAAAGTTGAAGAAGAGAATGAAATTTAGAGGTCCAAAAATTGTGTTATTGTGACATTTCCTTCTGTTCGGAGCTCTCTCTCTCCAGTGGGGCGGTGTTTGTACTCTCCAGCAATAATCTTCCAAAGGGATGGTTTTTAATTGGCTGAAGTTGTATTTGAGTAGTTCTCTCGATGCCTGATCTGATTCCCACTGAAATGTTCTGCAACTACTAAAATGTCATTTAATGAGGGAGATGTGGTGGGCAATTTGACTGATATAGAAGTTCAGTTCTTCCAGGTTAAAAGGTATTTTTTCTTCTGTGGTAAGACTAGTGGATGAAGCCTAGGAGTTGTAGTAAATGTCTGCATTTGCAATTTCTTCAGCGGTGATATCCAATCAACTACTGGGTCTCTGTTCGTCTGGAGCAGGGGGGAGGTCTTGGTCTAGGAGCGCACGGTTGAAATCTTCAAATACAAGGCGGTCCTATTCCATGATCACTGTGTGATATTGAGAGGTGGGGAAGTAGGATGTAGTGGAAATAGGTAAGAGTGATGATAAGAGTGATGAGATCGATGATGTCCAGGGTGATGAGGACAACTGGTGAAAAACAACACGGTCAGAGGTATGTAGGAAAGGTTAGGTTGTTTAGGGCTAAAATGGGTTTACGTGAAGTGGTGCGCTGTAAACAGATTTGTAGGGTGAGCTTTCTATTTTGTGAGGCAACATTAAACTATAACAAAAACAATACCCGTCTCCAACTGCACTTGCAAAGAGTAAGAGGTACAATGAGTTTTTGAGGTTGACAGATGCTAGAGATTATAGCAGGTAGAGGACTGAGAGTAAACTCAAGGGTTTCTGAGGAGGAGTAAAGTGGGTAATTCAAGTAATAGAAAGCTAAAATACAATACATGGGTATGTAGAGTTTTTATAGCTATTTTTCTATCCCTCAGACCGGAAATAGAATAAAGGAAAAGTGGTCTGAGGACAAAACTATCCAATAAGGAAAAGGATAACTATTGTACAACTTTGAAGATTAATCAGCAGGTGAGAAAGTGTACTGATAATAAGTGTTGTCATGCATGTTCAGGAACCATATCCTCATAATGAGGTACAATCCTGACTAAAGTGTTTATTAATATTTCCAGACACTGATGGGGCTTGGAGCTGGTTGGCGAGATCTCAGCTACTAGTCCTTACCCATTGTGCTGGCTGGCTGGGAGTACTACCAAGTCTCTGATCTGTAATATAAAGTGGTAATGATGGTTAAGAAAGCCTGTGAGGGGCTATGAGAAGCAAGATAGCAAAGGATACCTCTAGCCCTAGAGCCAAAGGTGTAACAGGGAAAGTGTCTAAGAGTCAAGACATGGAACAAAAAGATAATAAAATAAGAAAATATAAATGATCCTTACAGAAATGGGGTAAACAGCAACAATCAGACAATGTCAATGATCAGAGATACCTGCAAAACTGTACTTTACATGAGTCAGTGCTGAAGAACTTTACCTTGCCATTTTGTGCATTGTAGAGACAAATGCTAATACTCAGGTAACTCACCACAATAAGGGGACCAAAATGCAGAATAGACGGGTACAGGTCTGCCCCGGAGGGCTATGTTATTATCAGAAGTGTTGATTGATGTAATTTATATTTCCCAAAGCAGTGCATGCAGCAACCTACTTCCCAGATTGAGCAGATCTAGAGTAAATATTTCTATATTAAGATGTTCCCATGGGAAGGTCCTTACCTGGCTAACCTAGCCTGACATTGGAAATTTCCTGCTTGTGTACCCCTTGATAGAGACACTGTTTAAGTTGACCACTTCCTGCCTGCAAAAATGGTTGTCACACTATGACATTGTGCACTTCTTGTGAGGCAACGATAAACTATAACAAAAATAAAACCTGTCTCCTTCTGCACTTGCAGGGAGTAAAGGGTTCAATAAGCTTGAGGTCGACAGATGCTAGTAAATATAGCGAGTAGAGGACTTTTGAGAGGTAAGCTTCAAAGGTTCTTGTTGAGGAGTAAAGCGGGTAAATTCAGTAATAGAAAACTAAGGAGCCATACATGAATAGGTAAGGCTTTATATAGTGAACTGTTTGTTCCTCAGACCGAAAGGAGAATATACAAAAAGTGGTCTGAGGAATCAATCGACCAATAAGAAAAAGGGAGAGTAACTATCGTACGACTTTTAACTTGATTAATCAGCAGGTGAGAGATTTGTACTAATAATAGAGGATTGTCACGCGTGTTCAGGAACTGTATCCTCATAATGAGGTACAATCCTGAATAAGGTGTTTATTAGTATAACCAGGCTTTACTGGGGCTTGGAGCTGGTTGGCGAGATGTCTACTACCAGTCCCTACCCAGTGTGCTGGCTGGCTGGGAGCGATACCCAGTCTCTGATCTGTGATATAAAATGGTAGTGATGGTTAAGAAAGCCTGTGAGGGCTATGAGAAGTAAAACGGCAAAGGATACCTCTAGCCCTAGAGCCAGAGGTGTAACGGGAAAAGTGTTCGAGAACCAAGACATAGCGAAGATAAGAAAATAATGAAATGGTCCTTACACTTCTTGTGGGTGCATGATTCCTTTTGTGAGTGTCTTCTTAGGTGAATGGACACATCAGAAGCATGTCCAGGGCTTATAACCTATAAAATGTTAGTTTTGGTGATTCTGCACCTTTGTGCTACCTATATATTTTCATTCCTTTCTCTATCTATTCTTCTATCATTCACTATTGATTGTGTTCTCTATTATTTTGCCTTTGTGGCTGCTTTGTTTACCTTTGTTTACAAAACTTCGGACAGTACTGCAGAGTCCAATGCTTCCTATTCTCTAGTTACTCACATTGGACTCTAGGTACTGTATACCTGTCATACTCTCTAATAATATAGTTACTCACATTGGACTCTAGTTCCAGTCCCTGATTGCTCTCAGCAAGTGGCTAGACACTTCCTTCAAGCTTTGTTCTTAATATAAAATGCTAGGAATAAAACCCCAATTAATGATAGAATCAACTGAGGAAAGAGAAAGAGAATCAAAATGGGGGCTGGGTGGTGATGAGGGAGAGTGGTGCTGGTGCTGGTGCTGGTGATGCTAGTGCTGGTGGTGATGGTGGTGGTGGTGGCGGGTAGTAGCAATCCAAACAGCACAATCCTAGCTTTGTGACTCTAGTATATTAGTCAATGGCGGAGTGCAAAATACTAACATCCAGAGATGAATATAGGGCTCATTTGGCACCCACCATTTTGCAATGCTGCCAACCAAAAAAAGTCTTCTTTCATTTTAAAATGATGCCATTTTGGGACAAGCTGATGTGTTTGGCAACACATTTTGAAAAAAGCTTGTCACACCATAGTCTCGTTACCCCAGACAATATAGAGCATGTGCGCGAGATATCCTAGTGCCTGCGAGCGGAGTTTGAATCTGAGGCAAAAAAGTGGTAAGGTTTGCTCACACAACAATGCTCTATAATGTCTGGTGCATTTGGTGCAGAAGGGGGTAGGTCTAGTCATGTGACTATGCACGTGGCCAAAAATCTTTGTTGATCATGTACTATGAAAACCTCATTGGCATGCAGGATTTCCCCAACTAAGAGCATCAAGAAAGAGAGGTAGGTTCATTCCTTCTCGGTGCATAGTGGCAAGTATGTTGACTACTTTTTGGACTAGATCCTGGCCTTCTAGCCTGGCTTTCATTCGACGTGTTTGCTCGAGTTGAATGGGGGAGTCAGGTTCATTGGGGGAATCAGATGGCGGATTGAAATGAATATTATTTGTATTGTCAGCTGTAAGACAGCCTGGACAGTCACAGTTACTGCAGTTGTCAATATCTTCAAAAGCTTGCAGGTAGCTTTGGTCCATATTATTGATAAGTACTACAAAAAAAACCGCCGACTAGTACCTCCTTCACCAACCGAGTATGGTCACATGACTGGACCTACCCCCCCCCTACATCAAATGCACCAGATCCTTAGGAGGAGAAATCAACGAGTGAACTTTACCATTTTTTTGCCTCAGATTTAAACCCCGACCCCTCCTAAGGATCTGGGCTTCCGAGATTAGTCACACCACTGAGTACTGATAAAATAAGATAGGCCTTTGATGCCATCATGTGATCATGTGATGAAAAGTGTTACACTTGGTGACAAACAAGAAAATTGCTATCTCTTCTTGCTTCATATGAATTATCTATGATTTTATGATTGAGAGGAAAGTCGAAATCGGTAAATACAAATATAATACTGTAAGAAGAGCTAAAAAAAATGGTGCCTTGTAAGATGGGATAGATTTTTTGTGGTAAAGTCGACAGTGTGACATAGCGTGAGAAATATTGTTTACAAACTTTTTGAAACGGAGGCTGCCGAACGGGCTGTAAGTTAGCTGTCACGTTCTGAACATGTCGAAATAATACAGTGATATAAACTCGGGTGCTACTCTGAATGCTAGTGGATCCAGAGCCTGTCCAAGCAGCGTGTCAAAGTTTGGCATAAGTTGATCGAAAAGATACCCCTTCGTAAAGTGAGTCACCGCATAACGAGTTATTCACCCCTTTAGCTTGGTCGCAGATTGATTACTCGAATTGACGTGTTGCAAATGGGCGTCATAAGCAGCCTCTGCGTCTCCGTAAAGTGTTTCCAGCAATTCCTTTTCATCTGCGGAAAATGTTGTAATATCCCAGTCGTCTTTCTGAAAACGGAGCTCCAAATCCCTTTTTCCTAACCTCTTTAAAATCGTAGCTTTCCACTCCCTCCACACTTTAGTGTCATTGGGAAGGAGCTCCTCAAGCAGTTTTTTGGGTTCCTGTGGTCCCAGAACGAGAATGACGAACACTACCATTGATGTCCTCGTTCCCAGTTGATACTTCCTCATCGTCGGCTTTTTCAAGATCTTTTCAATCAACATGTCTTTCTGCACCTCCTCCTTGTCCAGCGACGAGAGCCACGAATTATAGCCCCAGGAAAAGGCCAGTGACGTTAAAAACATGATCTGACCGAACAGAGTGCCTTGGGGAATCAGGAGTAGTTGCGCCAAGAACTGAACGGTTAATAACATGGAACATAGTCCAATGTTGTTATACTGTGGCTCATTGCTATATCGTAATGAGAACCTGCCCCTAGTGATTGCATTAACGGCATCTTCACTGCCTTTCAAAACCACTATGTCTTTGTCGGTCACCAGCAGTCCATCGCCAGGAGGAGCTCCTGGAGCGGACTTGGGACGAACGAAAGTGAATCTCCCAGAACCGATGACAAAACACGAAAGACCGCTGGACACGATACCCAGGAGGATCATGGAAAAGCACCACCAATCTTTAAAAACCGCACAGGCGGCGCAGGTGCCCCAGCTGACTGTGATGGGGATGGCTGCCAGGAGAGCCGAGTAGGTTCGCAGTAGTTTCGGATTCATTTGTAACTCTGGGGCGGGTGACAACTCAGCGATAGTTACCCCTACAGGCAACGTTTTTCTTCCCTTCACCTCGATGGGCTTCCTGTTTGCACATCCTGATGCAAATAAATGTGCCAGATGACCTGTCTGCTGCATGATAGTACCCGAGTGCGCTCCACGAAAATAAGGGCCTTTTGACCCGTCCAGCTCAAACATGACGGCTGGATCGACGTTTACGCCAGGGAATAGTCCATCCCAGAACCTCGAGTTGGCGAGCTGACCGTAACGCTTAGCGACGGTGTAACTCCCAGGAGAATTATACCATCCCAACCACTTCCTACCCTCATACACATGAACTGTTGCCATTGCTGATATCGCCTCATCCCCTCCAAAGAAACCGGCTACTCCAGAGGCATCGAGCGTAAAATCTGAGCCTTGTAGTGGTATTGAAGGAATTACCATAAGTACACGGTGGGGGGTAGTGCAAGGTGTTTAGTAGCGAACAAAGACAGCAATAGTGTTGTTATACACGCGGTGTTTATACGCCACTTAAACAACGTTGTTGTGCATGCTAAGTTAACGTTTCGCTCTTCATATTTACCTATTACTTATCGTGTCCACTGCGGTAACCATTCACGGACATGAATAATGGTGTTCCTATCGTGACGACATCCGAGACCTACCTGTGGAATTTACAAAGGCACTCCGAGACTCTGACCTTAGTTGTACGGGTATCGGATGGCCCAAAGCACTCATCATAGCCATCATAGCCTCTCATATCTCATAGCCACGATAAGATATTATTATACCTTCTTCCGTTCAGGGCGTTTCAAAAAAGTCTTTAGTTTCCACGAAGCGAAAACGCACTGCGAGTGCGAGGATCAATACGTATACATGACCCGAACTGTCAATATTGTCAATACTGTCACGGTTCCTTCGGACCTAGGTCTACTGCCATCCAGAATTCATACCTGTATTTAGTATTGAGATACCGCACCAAAGGCATCCTTTGATTTTCACTCTTCACATTCTCTGAGTCATACGTAGTTAGCACACTGATGGCCAATGACTGCTCGACATTGAAGGGGAATCCACGATATTGAGACACATGTCATTGGCTAGACCAATAGGGTACATCGTATCGATCTGTACTGGAGCCGCAACCGAATATACCGGGGCTGTTGCTGTGATAGTAAAGGTATTGCGGAGCAGTGAAATATCACCATACAAACATATCACCACCCCCTTCACTCAGATCATCACTTTCCTGATCTTCTCCTGTTTCGTCGCTCAAATAGTCACTATCTTCGTCTCTATCGTCTCCGTCTTCATCAACTTCCTCATCTTCGTCTTCATCTTCGTCGCTGTCGCCATCGCTGACATTGTCGGTTCGTCGGCCACCCCTTATCCACTCAAAAACTCGGGAACTGTCAGGCATGACTAACCTGCGAAGGCCAAGTTTGTCGTCCTTTCCCGAGGTGACGATATAGGTTTTCAAGGCTTCCGTTATGTAGCCCTCCACGACAGGGTATTTATTCTTCGCAATCGTACGCATCAGCCATTCCTCGCTTAAAGGGTGAGAGATTTCAGGGATCCATGCATTGTTTTTGATACGGTGCCACACGACACCAGCTAGATGGACATTAAATTGCATTGTTAGGTTAGGGGATAGATGTGAAACGCACAAGGGAAAACGCAGACTTTCAATGTCGGACATATATTTCCCCACCTTATTACCACTGAGAGGTCACGATCAAAAACTCTGAATTCGGCGTAGAAGTCCAGAAGTGTCACGCGAGTGATCACAAGGTATTCAATATTTCTAAAATGTGGAAGAAGTCCTTCGAACGAAGACATAAACTGGAAAATATTAGATTTGGTCTAAAGTACTGGAAAAAAACCTTCTGCCACTTACCTGTCCTGTTGATATCATTGGTAATATAGGCATAATATTTTGGATAGACAGAAAAGTTAACGAGGGCAAATTCTTGGCTACTGAGCGGGCAAGATCAATGCTCCACCCTGGCCTTAGGGTGTTGAGGACCCTGATTGGAGCTGCAGAGTTGGCTAGAACTTTCATCATATCGTCGTAATCATGATGGTCAGGTTCCCAAAATACTGTAACGTTGTTTACAGGGGTCTCAGCAACCAGAAACGGTAAGAGTGTACTCGGTGCAGTACAAGCATCAAGAAGAGGTAAATGTATGTCGTGAAAAGCATCCGTATCCATTTCGTCAGTTGCACTGGGCGATAGATGGAGTGATTTTAGTTTTGGGTGGCGTTTTATAAAATCCGCGAGGTTTGGGCTGATTGATAGAGAGCAATGAAAGCGGGCGAGACAGGGAAAGTCGCAGGAGTCAAGAAGGTCGAGTGGACATTTCTGAATGAAGAGAAGGCCCAGGTCTACGATTCTCGGGGCACATCGAAGAGCTCTGTTTATAGTCCTGTAGTAAGCGGGAAAATAGACAGTCCCTTCCCTGAAGAAGGGTATATTAGACAACACAGGGGTTCAGAAAGACGGGGATGCATACGGAGGTAGCTCAGAACATAAGATTGAAGAGGGAAAGACGGTGAATGACCGTACCGCCAAAGCTGCGGTAGGGTTGGTCACCATTGTTTGACAGCATTTGATACCAGTAGCAGTGCCAATCAAGTTAATTTGACGATACACCCAGCACTGTGTAAGTTCCCTGAAGGCATGCGAAACAAGACAAAGGGAAAGCTGATCTGACCGAGGGATGTACTGAACTATGTCATCCAGCAGCTCGACGGGCAGGTGCGTTACAAGCATCGCAGCTATATTGGCGTGATGTCGAGTCTAGCGCAGATTGAATGCAGCGTTAGTAAATGAATTTTATGGTGATCGCTGTGAAAAGGCTTGCCTGTGTCTGTGCTCGTGGTACGCGTCTAAGGTCTACGTCGAAAGTTAAAAAGCCCTTCTGCGCGTAGTGGCAGTCACATGTCGGTTATATAATGGCACGTGATAGGGTATGGTGTAGGGACGCGTTGTTGTGACATATGTACTATTTGTTTCTGTGGGTCCACCTTTTATTTGGACCATGTTCGTTTTCTCGTTTGCCTGGTTACATTTGGTCCTCGTTATTCCAAGTCTTAACGCCCTTTGTTTCATCGCCCAAAGCCTTTTTTCGTTGGCTTTTTGTCACGAAGGCCTTACGCCGTTCACGCACGCCCGCACGACGCTCCCTCATCAAGAAATCTTCAACGAAATTCGCAACAATGATTCCATTCATCCCAACCGTCGCACTTGCTTTCGTCTCGTTCATATCCTCAGCTTTCATCGTTCTTCGTATAGTAATTCCCATTTTACCTCCTCACCCTTTGAGCCGACGAGTTTCACCCGTAAGTGGTCACTTTACTTACAAACATTCACTTGACCGATATACATCCTAGGCCGAGTTTGGACTGCCTAACTACAATTTTCGTTCTCTTTCTTCAGCCGACAAGAGTCATCTCTGGCTCGCCTCTCTCGACATCCTTGCACTCGGTGTGTTCATCTGGCAAGCAGTTACAGAATATCTTGGTGGTCCCGCAGACTTCAGCGAAGCACTTGATGCAGCTTCAGCATCTAGGCTCTGGTTTGCGTTGACTATCCGTCAAACGTGTCTCTTAGTCGTATCTACTCTTACGCTGCTTCACATCCGTATGGGCCGTTCAGTATCGTTCGGTGCAAAGCACTGGATCCTTTGGGCACCAACCTTGCTTCTTGCCGTAACGTCCACGGTTATGGCAGGTATTCTTGCAGACACTGGCGTTACAGGTTTATTCGTAGGCCTCGTTGCCTATTCGACCACGGTTGCTCTCCTAAGCACTGTGGCGTTTGGTGGCCTAATCTTCACGTTGATCATCATCAAGCGCAACTTGGCCGCGTTGAACGACCCCGCGGATAGCTGGCCTCCCGCCAAGGAGGTTGAAGACAAGCCCCGTCCGTCTTTTGCCACTGAAGATGTGGATGCTATGCGCGAGGGTAGCTCTTGGATTACGTCGGATGCTAGCTCTCGCCATGAGTCCGTGTCAGGTTGGTCATTCTCAACCCATCATACTCACCACCGTCACGGATCGGTTCGCGTCAATGCTGCAGCCGCTTCTCAGGTGTCTGTCGCAGCTAAATCATCGTTCTGGTTCAACCCCCCTACACCTGCTAATGGACGTGATTCTGGTATACCTCCCGTGCCGCCTCTGCCATCTCCTTACAAACAGAGTACTTCGCCAACCTGTGCTTTAAGTGACGACCCAGACCCCTTCCGACGCGACGTTCCAGACAATCAACGTGCTCGCCTCGGCTCACAAACCTCTTGGCTGACCTCGCCTTCTGCATCTCAAGTCACTTTGTCTGCTTGGTCTTACCCCACAGGCCGTGGTGACGCCAGTACTCCGGATCTTAATGCTGAGTTGCTACCATCAACCGCGGTATCACGCCCTGTCACTCCTGCTTTGGCCAGCGCTCAGGTCCTGGGCGGCTATGGGTACACTCGGGATGCCGAAAAGGGTATTGCATCATTGGCAGTGACAGGTACTGAAATTGATGTGTCTGTCTACCGGTATGTTTGTTGGTTAATTTCAATATGGCTTCCTTTTGTAAGTGGTTTACTTTCCTTCGATCAATACACACATCTAATAGTGATTTCCAGGGACTCTCACTTCCTTACTTGTTTGCAGTTTCCCCTCATGGTTACGCTATTTCCAGCGCGATGCCCATTATGCTTGTTCTATCGGTCACTATCTCCAGTCCTCTCCTGGCTCTTAATATATTGCTGCGGTCGCCTATCCCCATCCCATCTGGGCTTTTCGATGCCCATAGCGAACCTCCCTCTATTGTCATGCGTGCGCCTTCCCCAGCCACTACATTGGCATCCTATAACCGCGAGTACAAACGTAGCGGTAGCGTCACAGTTGTGGAAGGACGCCGTAGTGGAGATGTTTGGATTTCGAAAGGGGATGCCGTCCATGGCAAAAGTAAGGTGGGTCGGGCAATGGGAATGTTGACTCCGGTACCTAGGTTAGCGGTACTTCCACCAGAAGGTGAAGAACCCCAGGACGGCGAGATTACACCACCTCTACCCATGCAGACAGAAGACATGTCTTTTGGTAACACCGTCCCGCCGACTCCGCAATCGACGAACAGCGCTGAGTTGGGAAGGGTGAGGAAGGAGTCCAAAGCATCATCTCACCTTTCTGGAGGGGAAGACTCTTTGGGATTTGCTTCCAGGATCATGATTGCTCAGAGGCACTATTCTGCGCTTGCCACAACGGTTGTTGTACCAGCGTCTCCTGAAAAAGCATCCGACGACGGTGTTGAGGGTACGACTACTGGTGTCGCCATTGACCAACAAGTTATGGCCGTGCGAAATTCACACCTCCGCTCACGTTCCGTATCGTCCGAATTCAGTCCATCCGAATTCAGTCCTAGAGCAATCACGACTTCTGAAGCAAGCTTGAGTCCCCCTCCTTCTCTCCCTCTTCCGCCAACTCCACCCAATGTTAGGAATGCCAAACTCGCCAGGCTTGTTCACCGAAAGTCATACTCATCCGGCTTCTCTTTTGGCGCGGTTGTAAATGACGACATCAACGAAATCGACGCTCTTACTGCTGGTGTATTGCCTCTCCTTGTCCCAGGGCTTAAAGTTGGAGATGACATGCGCATCCGTCATGACTGGAAATTCTCTCCCCCGATCAGTAGTACCGTTACCAAGAAAAAGGCCGCACGAACTCACCATCAACAATCCTCCGAGTTTGACTTTGGCATTTTGGGAACATCAGGAGAATTCCCTTCGCCTCAACTTCATTCTACCCCTGCCCAGAGAAAGCAAGCCGCTAGAGCGAAGAAGATATCTGCCAGCAAGAGACACCACTTCAGTTTACCTAGGTAGGTAAGCGAGATCCATGTTCGTGACATCTTGTTGATGACTTTTACAGCTTGGGTCTTGGCAAAGACGGTGTCCACTCATGGATTCCCGAGCTTAATCGTGCTTTAGATAACAAAGTAGGGCCATACGCAACTGTTTCCAACACAGACAGTGCCAGGAGAAATACTGTTTGGGGTGGCGAGTCTGTGCCTACCCTGTCGCACACAAAGACTGTTAGAGAGGACGACGCCCTTCTCTGCACAATTCCTGAAGCTCCTCTCGCACGGGCTGCATCAACTCGCAGCCTTGGACTTCGTGCTGATGTCCCCCATGATGCTCGTTCGTCTGCTGCCTCTCTATCCGACAAACATACTATCGCTCCTCCTTCTGCTGCTTCCACCGTCACGCTGTTTGAACTCGACAATGGCTCTGGTCCCATCGCGGAGAGTACACCCCAAGATTCGCAGAAGAACCAGCAACTGACTACAAGGCACCAACCTCCCGTTATGCACCTCCCCACTTCTCGTCGCTCAAGTATTGTTTATATCAAACCCGATGAAAATGTACAAAATAATGACCCTACGCCTACGAACCGCACGTCCTCCAATGTTTTCGCTCAGTGGTCTTCGCGAGCCGTAAGACCACTTATACCCAAAGCTAGCAAATTGCAGCGCAAGCAATCATCATCTGAAGGCAAGCCAGGCTCCCCTAGTGGAGGCCTGCGACCTCTCTCGCTCCTCCAGAATCGCGACACCAATCGTACTAGTGATGTCGCTAATACGAGTGGAACGCGCCCGCTTGTTCTTGGAAAGAAGAAGCAGAAAGTGACTGTAATCGCAGATGAGAATGCCGATCCTAGTTCTGAGAACAAACATCTGAAGCCGCTTCAGCTTGCACGCTCCGACACGAGCAAAGCCCGAGGAGTGCTCCGAAAAGGCGAAGTCATACCGAACGTGGTTGTACGACCGCCTTCAACAATGACCGAGCAAACAGGGTTCACTTATGGTTTCCGTTGATTGGAACTATCTTTTCCTCGTTCTATATTTTTATTTCTTTTGAATTTATGCCTATTTCTATAGACTCGACTATCACGCTTTTTTGACCCGAAACGATCTCAATGTGTACTGCTTTTGAAGCTTTTGAACTATGCCTCCCCTATGCTGTTTCTCCTCACGCACAAGTTATCTCTGCTAGTCTTTTCATCTTTGCATTTTACGTCATCGCTATTTGTTGCAGTTATCTCAGTCCTGCTCCCTACTTGCTTTTACTGTGTTGTTACTGCTATCAATCCGAATTTCTTGCTTTTCTGTTTTCGTTACGGTGACTCTTGAAGAACTCACGCAAAGTTTCCAAGCTATTCTTTTACCCTTACTGATGTTATCCACCCTGAACGTTTGAACACCGCTCTGTTGAAATACTTGATCGATTTTCAGTCTAGTACTTGAGAATACTATGTTGTTTGATATCTAATGTTCATTCAACGCCCGCGAGGTTACTCATCCAAGTTTGATTACCATCGTCAACACCTTGCCAGCTTGAGTTCTATACCAGGCTTTGCGTGGATGGCCTACGATCATTGCCAATAACTAGTCAGCAACCTTATCTGGGGCGTTTAATGTTCAGGTATATCCGGACTTTTATATTTTCGTGTTCATCCCTGCTTTCATTTTCGACATCAGCTATGCACTCGCTAGGAGCGTACATAGATGGGCCATGTTGCCCCTAGAGCGCCCACAAGCAATATTGTCATTTAAACCTTTACATACATAACATTTTTACCGTCCTCTCAGTCCCTTGTGATTAATTGCAGGACACGCAAGATCTAGAAACGACGATTATACAAAAAATAAATACGCAGAGGAACACAGCTAAAATTAACGTTCGTTCATTTGAGAAGATCATCATCTCTTTAGACTGTCGAAAGAAGTAACAAATACTAAAAGATTTACGATACTATCATGGACCCAAAGGACTTCTGCCTCGTTAAATAAAAATACCCTGAATACCCTGTATACTTTATGAGTGATGAAAAACGATGTGGCTCAATGTGGTCGAGGGCATACCAAAATGAGATGGGTGTATGAGTACAACGGACACCCGCATTCCTGGTGGCATACTCCTATCAAGCACGCCGCTAGAACATTCTTTATAGGATCATTCCGACGAAATGAAAGGCATGCAGACACAAGGACAAGCAGAGATAGATTGATATAGCAGGTGGGTACCTACCCAAGACTCAGGAGATCGAAGAGTGATACGAGATTCTACAGATTCATATCTGTTAGAAGGGGTTCAAAGTTTGATATCGAAGATTTCAGGGTTAAAGTATGGTGTTGATGCAGCATTACATGCATGAACTCGTCAGTGGGCATTCTTACGGAAGTTAGACAGATCGATTGCGGAAAGCCATGGGGATGACACACGTTGAAGACATAAACACGACAGTGTCAGACGGCAGAGTGATCGCAGTCGCCCTCAAGAGGTGGGGTTAAACAAGAAAACCGAAAACCTGCAGTGAGGCAAGGAACCGCGTCAGCCATCATATTCCACGCATTGTAACAGAACCTACTTCAAAAACAATGGTACGCAGCGACATTCCCTTACGTGACTCGCATTTCTCGCTGGACGCCTCAGGAGTGGCTGGGTTCTTTGGAGGTGATGAAGCGATTTCGGCGATGCTGACAGTGCATCTTTATGAGGGTAGAAGGTGGTTAGGCTGGTACAACTCTCCGGGCAGTTATACTGTCGCCAAGCGATACGGGCAAATAGCAAACTCCAGGTTTTGGGACGGCCTTTTCCCAGGACCAAACCAGGATCCTTCTATCGCATTCGAACTAGAGGGGATGACTGGCCCAAAGTTCATAGCTGCTCGCTCAGGGACCACTATACAGCATACAGGCCACTTAGGTTATTTGTTTGCGGAGGAGTGCAAAGGGAGAAAAGCGGCTGTCGTGAAGGGACGAAAAACATCTCCAATGGGAGTAACAATCGTAGAGTTACATGGATTGACTAACTCCCAACCTTCGACACAGACGAACGACCACTCAGTTGACCTCAGGCTGAGGACTCACTCCATTGAGATGGCAGTATTTCCGATCTCAATCAGCCTGGGCACCTGTATTGCGTGCGGAATATTCAGGGATTGGTTTTGCTTTTCCATGATATTACTTGGAATTGTGTCGAGTGGAGTGACTTGTTTAGTCATTGGGTCAGGGAAGTTTGACGTTCGGAGGATTGTGCCAGCCAAAGGATCTCCGAAAGGCGACGGGATGATGATTTCTGATAAAGACGTGATCATCTTGCAAGGAGAAGAAAGTTCTGTTGCTACAATAACGAGGGGCAGTTTTACGTTGGACTTTACGGGTCAAAATCATCCCGATGCCATTCAGGCTGGAGGCGAAGAACACGAACCCGTGTACAGAAGTATCGGGCTCTGTTCTCTCCTTCTGGTCGCCCAGTTTCTACTTCAGCTTCTCCTGATTCCGCAAGGTACACTCTTCGGGCAAATCATGTTCATAGGGTCGCTTGCCGTCTCGTGGGCATACAATTCATATCTTGCTTCAATCGAGAAGGAGAAGGTTCAGAGGGAAATCTTAATGGAGAAGGTGTTGAAAGAGCCGTGGGTGAAGAAATACCAACTTGGAACAAGAACATCTATGACCGTTTTCGTGCTTCTTGCCATGATGCCTGCTGAACCTCGCAAGCTTTTGAACGAGATGCTTCCTAATGATACAAGAGCGTGGAAGACATGGAAGGACACCGTACTGGATAAGATAGAAAAGAACCAAGAGCTTCGTTTCTCGGAAAACCACTGGAACATTGCTGGATTTAGAGATGACGAAACGAGTTTGCTCAAGACTCTTTATGGAGATGCAGAGGATGCCTATGAAGGACATCTAGGCCATCGGGCTTCTAGGAGCGATGACATTGAAAAGGGAGTATGACGAACGGATTCAGTGCCAGATAGTGGTTGAATGGTTGGAGATTCTCGATGCCTGAACTATTTATTGATGAGTTAGAATAACGTACTGGCCCCTGTGGGTGGCAATGCGCAAAACATCTCCATACAGAAAGCCATGTGTCGGAAAAATCCGTTTCAACTAACACAAACAAATCTTAAGCCAATGCTAAAACTTTGTGCATGAAAACTGTTGTGCCAACTTCATGTTTAAGAGCATATACAGGTTTGTTTACTGATACTGATAGAAAATGACATGATTCCACCAAAAATACACCCATTTTCCTTAGGCTGGTACAAAGATTTACACCATTATTATGAACTACTGTATAGTTCATCTGACATCCATCTTTGTTAAGATTGTGGCACCGGCCAATTTGTCTACCAGCTGACTAATCAAAGGCAGCAGATACATGTTTTTATGACAAAACCAGATAAACCCGGTGTTACAATACACAATCTTCGGACCTTTAATTTTCACTCTCCTCTTTTACCTTTTTCTGTAGTTTTCACACACTGTGCCATGCGGCACTCTCCCTTTGGTTCAAACTCCTCTTTCTCGTGCTGCACTGCCTTCCTTCTTATTTTAGCTATAAGTATCTCATGCAGTGGAGCTGGTCACACGGGCTGTGCCCATGACATCATCAGCCACTGCCTTCATCAACTGTATAGTACATATGTACAAACAAACCTGTAGTAGTATAAATACCCCAATAGATCAAGGAGACTCCTCAGCGAGTCCTCCTGTTGTTTACCCACAACTAACTCGGTCCTACCTAAGGGGTAACCACTCCCTCATCACTACCTTTATAGTTGGTTCTAGTTGTGCCGCCAGAGTAACTAACTCTTGGTTGTTACACCCGGTCTCTACTAAAGTGGCCATTGTTCTCCATGGAGCATAGCCACCACTCCATGGAATCGCCATTGTTCTCCTAGGAGTCTTTATACCTTAGCGAGTAGCACCTCTGACTATAAGTAGTAGGGGGTTTAGTATAGGAATACCTCAGTCATTTCTATAGCCTCTTGGGCAGCAGCTGAGTTTCACTTAGATTTATTAGGTCATGAGCCCTGGTGGCGCAAGAGCTACACAGAAAATAATTCTCATTTGAAACGGCAACCTTGGAACCATGACCACAGCACACAATACCTCTGCATGTCTAGTTCTCACTGGACCCAACAATTTCCAGATATGGAAACTCTGGAAAAGGTCCTCCGAGTTGTTACTAGAGAAGAGCTTAAGCCCTCACCAGGAAAGCCCACCTCCTTGGAGGATCCTGAAATTACCTGGATACTTAAGGATGAGAAGGCACATGGAATCATTCAGGATCACATCTCTGATGCCCTCCTAATGAGGACTGGAGACCTCACCAGCTCCAAGGAGTTATTTGACATACTTATTTCACTCCATCAGACATCCGGCATTGCCTTGGCCTTCTATTCATTCCAGCAACTCACCAAATTGTCCTAGGCCTTTGCTCTTCTTCAATCTCTCTCATGAACTCCTGAATGGCAAATATTTCAGTCATCAGTAATTAACACAATTGAAGAAAATAAACTTACCTTTGATGCAGTTGAGATTTGGATCACTGCAGAAGTTGCACGACAGTCAGGAAAGGCCCCTGGAGGTTCCAAATCAGCACTCAAGTCCAAGGAGAAGTGGTGTGACTTCCACAAAGCAAAATTGCACAACACCTTGGAGTGTCGAACACTTCAGTCAGCTGGAAAATGTCAAAAGAAGAAGGGAAAGTAGAAGTACAAGGATAAAGGAAAAGATAAGGAAAAGGCAAATACAGCAGAGCAATCATCTGGATCTGACTCTGAGGAGGAACAGAGTCATATTGCATTGGAACATGTACATATTTCCAAGCCCCTTGCTAAACTCATTCAAGCTTACCTTGTGTCGGTGTGAGGCAACGATAAACTATAACAAAAACAAAACCTGTCTCCTACTGCACTTGCAGAGAGTAAGGGGTTTGATGAGCTTGAGGTCGACAGATGCTAGTAAATATAGCAAGTAGAGGACTTGGGAGTAAACTCAAGGGTTTCAGTTGAGGAGTAAAGCGGGTAAATTCAGTAATAGAAAACTAAAGAGCTATACATGTGACGTGTAGGGTTTATATAGCTAACCGTCCGTTCCTCAGACCGAAAGGAGAATAGATGAAAAGTGGTCTGAGGAATAAATCGTCCAATAAAAAAAAGGGAACAACTATCATACGACTTTAACTTGATTAATCAGCGGGTGAGAGAATTGTACTAATAATAGGTGTTTGTCACGCGTGTTCAGGAACTGTATCCTTATGATGAGGTACGATCCGGATCAAAGTGTTTATTAGTATATCCAGGCCTTAATGGGGTTTGGAGCTGGTTGGCGAGATGCCTACTACCAGTCTCTACCCATTGTGCTGGCTGGCTGGGAGTGATACCCAGTCTCTGATCTGCAATATAAAGTGGTAACGGTGGTTAAGAAAGCCTGTGAGGGCTATGAGAAGTAAGATAGCAAATGATACCTCTAGCCCTAGAGCCAGAGGTGTAATGGGAAAAGCGTTCGAGAACCAAGACATGGAGAAGATAAGAAAATAATAAAATGGTCCTTACAGTCGGAACCCAATAAGACCAAAACAACAATCATCATTGACTCTGGAGCAACATCTCACATGGTCCCTCACCACTCCTGGTTTGAGCCAGGAACATACCATGTTCTGAATTCTCCGAGGACAATCAGTTTTGGGGATGAATCCTCTGTAAATGCCATTGGAATTGGAACAGTAATCCTACAAGCAACTGTTGGCAAAAAGGACTACAATATTGCACTGTCAAATGCCTTACTTGTTATGATACACAATGTTTGGACCTTTAAATTTCATTCTCCTCTTTAACTTTCTTCTGTAGTTTTCACACCCTGTGCTATGCGGCACTTGCCCTTTTGTTCAAACTCCACCTTCTCGCGCTGCACTGCCTTTTCTGATTTTTAGCTACAAGTATCTCATGCAATGGAGCTGGTCACACGGGCTGTGCCCCATGACATCATCAGCCACTGCCTCCATCAACTGTAGAGTGCATGTACAAACAACCTGTAGTAGTAATATATACCCCAATAGATCAAGGAGACTCCTCAGCAAGTCCTCCTGTTGTTTACCCACAACAAACTCGGTCCTATCAAAAGGGTAACCACTTCCACTCACTTCCTCTAAAGCTTTGTCTGAGTTGTGCACCAGAGTATAAAAACTTTGGTTGTAACATTACTTGTGCCAAACTTCACTTTAGCACTTGTCTCAGTCCACAAATTGTCTAAAATAGGGTTATCAACACTTTTTCCAGCAGGATCCAATGCTTGTAAAGTTCAAAAAAAGAAGGAACTTATCCTCACTGCCTTATACAAGCAAGGACTTTATCACATCCAAGCAAAATCTGAAATCAACCCAGAGTCAGCTTTTGCCACAGTAGATATAAATCTATTGCACAGGAGAATGGGACACATTGGAATGGACCGCTTGCAACAAATGGTTACAAAAGGACAGCTCCAGGACATAGACACCCTTACCAGAACCCCGGAGTTTTGTGAACCTTGTGCTTTAGGAAAGATGAAGAAATTACCTTTCAAGTCCATTGGAGGAAACTGAGCCAAGTGCCCCATACAAATTGTGCACACAGATATTGGAGGGCCAATCAAACCAACCTCCAGGGAGGGTTTCCAATACTGGATTATCATTGTAGACAATTTCTCCAAATTTCCATGGATATATTTCCTAAAACACAAAAGTGAAGCACTGGAACGATACAAGCAATGGAAAGAAGATGTCCAAAAGTTCTTCCAAACTCATTTAGGAGAAGAAAACTTCACTCCACTGCACACAGAATTCCTCCAGAGTGGTGATGGGGGAGGAGAATATACTGGCAATGTATTCAAAAATCAACTCTGAGGAAATGATGTCCTCCAAGAAACTACAGCTGCAGATACTCCGGAACAAAATGGCATTGCAGAACACATGAATCAGACATTGGCTACATTAGCAACCACTATACTCCATGATTCCAAGCTCCCAAAGTCATTCTGGGTAGATGTTATGCAAACAACTGCATATATCACAGCATGCAGCCCAGCATCAGGGCTCCATAGACAGACCCCATATGAAATACTGTTTAAAAGGAGAGTTGATCCAACTTTATTTTGCCCACATCTCCAAGGAGATGTTCCACAAGCAATGAAACTATATCAGCATAAAGACATTCCAAGAGCAGTGGGAGCACCTGATTAGCTAAGACACCCTCCACAACAGTCTCTACAACCAAGATCCAAACACTGGCTATCTTCAGAATGGACACCCAAAGTAGAGTCACAGTCAGTGGGAGGACAGCTCCTCAACATACAGCCAGCTGATGTGGAGAAAGTCTGAATACAACTAGACAGCCTGTCCATCGGATCAGCTTCCAATACCTCCGAGGAGACACTCAACACCTTTAGGAGTGAGTGGGGCAACTCACACACAAATGTGTCTAATCCCTGGAGTTCCTGCACAAATTCCTCAAAGAGCAGTCATGCCTGCTGAAGCCCTAGGAGTACGCAGAAGCAGTCGCCAGACTCGTCCTGCAGAGAAAAACTGAGATTATCAAAGGACTCTAGATGAGGAACAGTCTGTAACAACCAAGAGTTTGTTACTCTGGTGCACAACTCAGACAAAGCTATAAAGGTAGTGAGGGGAGTGGCAACCCTTAGGATAGGACCGAGTTAGTTGTGGGTAAACAACAGGAGGACTCACTGAGGAGTCTCCTTGATCTATTGGGGTATATATACTACTACAGGTTGTTTGTACATATGTACTATACAGTTGATGAAGGCAGTGGCTGATGATGTCATAGGGCACAGCCCACGTGACCAGCTCCACTGTGTGAGATACTTGTATCTAAAAATAACAAAAGGCAGTGCAGCGCAATAAGGTGGAGTTTGAACAAAAGGGAAAGTGCCATATGGCACAGTGTGTGAAAACTACAGAAGAAAGTTGAAGAGGGGGGTGAAATTTAAAGGTCCAAAAATTGTGTTATCATAACACTTAGGGTCAATCTAAATTATTCTAGCCCTGGCAGCAAAGTACGACCTAGAACTTGATCAAATGGATGTATCCACAGCTTATCTCAATGGAGAACTTGAAGAGGAACTGTTTATGCTTCCTCCAGGGGGTGTTCCTATCCAACCTGGATACTGCTGGTGTAACAACCAAGAGTTAGTTACTCCGGCGCACACAGGAACACACTATAGAGAAGATGAAGAGGGAGTGGTTACCCCTTAGATGCAGTGAGTTAGTTGGTATACAACAGGAGGACTCGCTGAGGAGTCTCCTTGATCTATTGGGGTATTTATACTACTACAGGTTTGTTTGTACATGTGTACTATACAGTTAATAGCGACAGTGGCTGATGATGTCATGGAGCCTAGCCCGCATGGCCAGCTCCACTGTGTGAGAGAGTTGTGTCTATAATAAGAAGAAAGCAACGCGGCGCAAGAAAGAGGAGTTTGGACAAAAGGGGAAGTGCCGCGTGGCACCATGTGTGAAAGCTAATTGTACAAGGTTAAAGCGGAGAATAAAAGTAAAGGGAAGGTCCAAAAATTGTGTTATCATAACAGCTGGAGGTTGAAGACACCCATCTACAGATTAAAACAAGCTGGTTGTACATGAAACAAAACCTTTGATTGCAAGCTCCAGGAGCTTGGTTTCACAAGACCAAATGCAGAAACATGTCTCTATGTGTTCTGGGACCACAAACATATATATATGCTTTGTTGTTGTCTATGTAGATGACCTCCTAAGAGCTTCATCCCAAAAATTCATGGATATCACAAAAGCCAAACTTGAATCCATATTCAAAATGCAGGATCTTGGAGAAGCAAAATACATTCTTGGGATAGAAATCCAGTGTGATTGTTCAAACAAAACAATCTCCCTATTGCAACGCCAGTACATTGACACAGTCCTGGAGCATACTGGAATGAAGAATTGCAAACCAGTATGGACACCAATGGCCCATGGATCAAAACTCCTTGCAAATGCTCCAGGGGAAGATACTGTGCAACACAAGATGCATGTTGAAGAGTGTCAAGTGTTGTACCACTCAATTGTAGGCTCCCTCATGTATGCCATACTTGGAACCCGCCCAGACATTGCCTATGTTGTTGGAATACTAAGCAGACACAACTCAGGTCCAAGGAGCCATCACTAGGAAGCTGCCAAATGTGCCCTCCAATATCTAAAAGCAACCAGGGACATGGCACTACGTTATGATGGCACAGATGTCTTCATGGACATGGATTTCTATGGATATTTGAATGCGGATTGGTCTGCAGACCCAGACACGTCTCGATCAACATCAGGGTTTGTTTTTATTACCATGCAATGAGCAATCTCCTGGACAAGCAAAAGACAAAGCATGGTAGCTTTATCCTCCACGGAGTCAGAATACATTGGATTAAGTAATGCTGGACAACACCTTGCATGGCTTTGGACATTTTTGAAGAAATTGGACATGCTCAAAATGGGCCTACAACATTGCACTGTAACAATCAAGCAGCTATCATGGTTACACAAGATCTACAGTTCTGTGCCTGCACAAAACATATTCAACGGAAATATCATTTCATCTGATATGACTTAGTATCAAAGGGAGAAGCAGTAATCAGATATGTTCCTACAGGAGATATGGCTGCCGACATTCTCACTAAACCCATCACTCACAAAAAACACTGGAAATTCTCTAAAGCTATGGGACTATGGTTGCACTCAAGTGGGAGTGACAAAACCAGATAAACCCAGTCTCCGCTAAAGCGGCCATTGTTCTCCATGGAGCATAGCCACCACTCCATGGAATCGCCATTGTTCTCCTAGGAGTCTTTATACCTTAGCGAGTAGCACCTCTGACTATAAGTAGTAGGGGGTTTAGTATAGGAATACCTCAGTCATTTCTATAGCCTCTTGGGCAGCAGCTGAGGTATGTTACATTACATTTATTAGAGATCACCTTAAACTGACATCTATTGTAGTTTCACTTAGATTTATTATTTTAACCATGTACTCATTTAAGTAATGATAGTCCATAATCATATGCTTTTTACCATCCTTCTTAGGGATGAAAAATACCAGGGATGTCATAGGGCTTTTGGAAGGTCTGATGTAACCCTTTCTAGGCTGCTCATTTATGAAGCTAGTGTTACGATTTGGCTACCTCTATTACGGACTACTCATTTCTGTTTACTCATCGGTTATACTATCGGACCGATGACTCACGTCCCTCACATACACTTCCGCTCCTCTCGCACTTCTATTACTTTGTATAATACTCAGTCCTCAACGGACAGACCTACCCTAGATAGGACGTAACTCCTATCGCCGACTTACTTCTCTATAAATACGCTTGTAACAGTAGTAGTATTCTCCAATACGATTCTACGCAGTTCACGCTTACAAAGCTAGAACTTCCAAGATCAGACTTCCATACGGAAGAAGACCAACAACCGTTGGAATCCCTCTATTCAGAATTACATCCTCGAACTTGTCTTCGGATAAGTCTCTTTGAACAAACTCGACGAACCCTCAGACTTTGTTAAGCACTTTGTGCGTAACAGCTAGAGACCCCCTCCTTTTCTGGAGCGGAAAGGGGAATCATGTGTCCCTTTCTCAGTTTGAATGTGTCCTTTAAATCTATGGCATAATTCCAAGTCTTGGCCTCTGGGAAGCATTCTGATTTGTGTTGACAAAAGACTTTCCAGAAGTCATGGTATTCTAGAGGTACCAGCCTTTTAATCTCTTCCTTAGGTTTAACCTCATCATCATCACTGTTAACCTTATCTAGAGATCTGAGTTTGGCATAAACATGACCAGTGTTTATGTGATAACACCAACCAAGATACAATCTTGGGGTACAATCATTAAAGGCTACAACTCAAAGGAAGGGTGGTACAACTTATCAAAGGAGAAAGGTTGTTGTCACTAATGTGGTATATACTAGGAGAGCTGAGTCTTTCCCCATGTATTGCTCTAGTATATATACTAAGATACATGAGATACTGTACAGTTGTAAATGAAGTTCAAAGTCTGATGTCCAGCATGTGACCGGTCACATGTTGAGCCTAGACACCAGTGTCAATGATGAGAACTGCTGTTAGAAACCCACACACAAAACAAAGTAACAAACAATCCTTCAAAGTAAAACCCAGAGATGTATGTGTGTGGGTTTTGAGGAGGAGGGATAGTTGAATTATAGAAGATAGGGGCTTTATGACGAATATAGATGAGCACTACCTTGCTAATCGTAGCACAAGGTAGTTTTGAGATTGACAAGATGATGAGGTGACAAGGTTCCCAGTGATAGCAGGCTCCTGACGCACAGACTGTAGTGCTCAGAAGGACTCTAATTAAAAGGGATAACAATGACTTTGGAAGTGACAAGTGACCAGTGGGAAGCGTTGTGACCACACTGGATCACAAGTAACAGAGTAGTGAACTTGAGATTAGAGAAGAAGTCTGGATTGGATTTCTTTTTTTTTACAAGGTAAAATACAGGGGTTTATATAGTAAAGGAAAGGTAGACTATGCACAGTATAGCTGTGCAAAAAGAATGAGAAAGAACATGAAGGAAGGAGTGTATGCTGATGAATCCTGCATAGGTAGTACAGGATAAGATCGTCAAAATAAGGAAAAGAAAGAGATAGAACAATGAATGCTGTGTAAATAATGTCACAGGTTTGTACAGCCATAAAATAAAGTCCAATAGCAGAAAGAGAGCAAGAAAATTGTGATGTCATGAGAAGATGCAGTAAAAAAAAGAATAAAGCAAAATTAAAAAAAAAATATCAGTATCAACACAGTTCCTTTATTGTCAGTCAGGCATTCTAAAAAATATGTGTCCATAAAAATGATTCAAAAATCAAAAATAATCGCACTGTAAATGAATGTTCTGCTGAAAAAAAAGAAACTGGAGCCACCGGTCCACCACCTAGTCCAAATCCGACAGTTCCATGGCCTTACCAATGGACTGGTTATATTGGACCACCTGGTCAAACAAGGGAGGGAGGGGAGTAGTTCTAATTTGGAACAAGTGAGTCCCAGGCAGTGTGTGGTAGGTGTAGCTGTAGCGAAGACGATGGACAAAAGATAAGTGTACCCAAGTGAATGGGACAGCAATGTACATAGGCAACGCAAGGGGATGAACCTTCTCCAGCTCAAAAATTACCCACCTATACTCCAACCAGGCGGGACAAGCGACTGATGTTTTGATGGTATACGATGGAAGATCGACATCATGAAGATGGACCTGTTGCCCAACTTGGACCGGCCGCCGGGGCTTTGCTGATATCAGCAGTAGCACATGGTGGTCAAGGGATTGGCGACGGAAGCAGATAGAGAGTGGTGATATCAGATATGGTGGGGGAGCAAAGAAGATGAGGAGGAGGAGGAGGGTGGAGGTGACAAGGAGGTGAACTAAAATGGAGATCCAGAAGCGGCCATCAGGTGAGAATAAAAAAGAGGGTAAGAGTCCCATGGTGGGGCTGAGTAAAGAATAAAAGTAAGGGAGAATGAAGAAAGCAAGAGTGCAATGTGTAGCCAGTGGTGACACAAAAATTTGCCGGAATGCGGAAAGTACCAAATGGAAAAGCAAAGGTGAGCGCAACTGGATTGCCTAATAGAGGTGGTGCTGATCAGCCACAAGTTCAAAAAAGGCAATATTAATTACTATTCTACGTGGCACTGTGCCTGTGTGGCGCAAAGGCGAGTCTTTTTGAATATTCACTTCATTTTTGACACCTGTCCATACTACCAATCAACTTTGGTGCATGACAACACCTTTAGCATCTTCCACCAGTTAGCCCATGAAACCTGAAAAACCAGGGAACAACAGTATGCCCACCTCAGCTTTTGGGGGGAAAAACTGAGGTTGACTACGGTTGTTACAAAGACTTATAAGGCAATGAAAACAGAAGCAAAAGTAAAAGTGTAAGTAAAATTTCTTCATCAAAGTGCACAGGCCAGCTGATCCACAGCTCCTTCCAAATTTGGTGCCTGCATCCTGTCAAGCTTTGTACAGGACCTGTTTCTCTTGTATTTCCAACAACTTCACCCTAGTTCTTCCATCCTAAAATACTCCAACAACTCCAAAGGTCACAGTTCTGACATTGTTGGTATTATGTTGAGTTGTAATTGTCCGAGTGGCAATGGGATCAGATCAACTTGAGGTTGAGTCAAGGTCCAGAATCTCAATCACATTTCACATTAGCAGTAGATTAGTACATATTTTATCAAAGTAGTATATGAGTCAAACTGTCTTCAGAATGTGTGTTCCATGAGTCAAGCCTATTTTGCAAAACCCGTGTCAGATAGTGCCTGCAGTAGTTCAAGAAATATTGAAACATATGTGAATTGAAAGAAAAGAAATTTTACGAGGGAGAGTATCTACACAATGTCTGTGGCCGTGACCATGAGTACATACAACACATCTACTGTTGATGTTGATTGCCAGATATTGGCGTGATATCAACTGGCGGGCTATTGTGTGCTTGTGCTTGTGCGTATCATCTGGAAATGTACCGCGGTTCAACGTTCAATCTCGAATGCTGACAGTATGGCATTTGGCCGAGCCTGCCTGGGTTTTGCGTTTCAATTATTCCTTAAATCAACATCTGTGTTCGTCAATGATATCTAGATATAAGCAAACTATTGTGCTTATCTTTAGACATCTGATCAAGCTTTACCCAGCCATACCTATCAGTTGGCATCAGCGCATCTGTATGGATGGCGCCCAACACAGTCTGGCCTCCGCCAGGGGTTAGGGAAGCGGACGAGAAGAACATATATGGAAGATTTGGAACTTCTGATGTTGAAATCGAAGACAGCGTGAAGGCGCAGCATTGTTCGGATTTGAACGATCAAGTACCTGTGCAGTGAGTGTAGTAACTCCACCGAAGAAATGAAGGTGTCAGTGACTCTAAAGTCGTAGCACCCAAAGTGGAATGTGTGGTCCAAGTCAAGGTGGTATTTTTTGCACACGAAGCCATTTTTCTAATTCATAACCGAAGTTCCCTCGGTTGCCTGCAGCACGATGCCAGAGTCTCCGATAGATGGCTTAAGGGCGATATGAGTTTGTTTATTGTATGAGCTGTCCCTGCGACTCGAGACGGCTCTAAGCCAGGTGACAGGCGTGCGACGGAAGCAGGGGAGCCTTACGGAAGCACGTGGCGATATTGTCCGTTTGTTATTGTCCTTGGGTCGCTATTGTTGCCCAAAAAGGAAAGTCCTCCTTTGTGCGCGCCATGTCTTTTGTTCTCAATCTTGCAGTCTATTATCCGCAATTCTTCTCTGCCAGCATGGCCTTGTTTGCTGTACATTACCCAAACGTTCTTTCTTGTATAAAGAGCCTGCCTTTTCCTCCTTCATTCCTCAGCCTCTCCAGCATTGTTTCTTCTGCATAGTTTCCTCTCATTCCAGGCCAATTTCGTTTCCGTCTTCTGGTTTACTTCCTTTAACGCCGAATCCAACTAATAGGTGAGCCGGTCACGATCACAATGCAGTCATTTCCGAGGCTGACTTACCTTTTCAGACAGCTAGAGGCTGCTTTCTTCGGTCTGAACCTCCATTAACGTCTCATTCGTACCATCGTCGAGATTCCCCAGCGCTCTCTCGCATTTCTGCTTCGCACTTAAAACTTCAGCACCTCTTGCTATCTCTTCTATCGCAGGTCGATCATTCTCCCAGTCTCTTTTCGCTCCATCCAAGGTCTCTCATCTATAATCGCTGCTTTATCACCGCATTTTATTATCACTATCATCAAAATGGCCTTCTCTGCTTCCACCAGCCTCTCCGTCACTCTTGCTCATGCCATCGCTTATCTCACTCGTCCTCTCATCGCCGCTTATCCCGCTACGACTATTATCAGACTTCAGTCTATATTAGAGGCCAACCTTACCGCCCAATTTGCTCCCTCCTGGGTTCCTTCTGAGCCTCTCCGCGGTTCCGGTCGCCGTTGCCTTACTCTCTCCCCCAACTGCCTCCCACCCCGCGCGGTATACACTGCTTGTCTCGCCGCTGGTGTTCAGTGGTTCGACTGGATTGTTACCTTGGGAGGCACAGAGTTTGACTTCTTCGTGGACCCTGGCTGTATCTCCCTTCGCTTTGGGAAAGGCGCCAAACTCGTCACCGTCTGGTCTGAGGAGCTGGCCGCTAAACTTGGAACCGCCCAGTCCACTGTTGTCGGCGCTGGGATGCAGACACAGTCTAAGGGTCAGGCTGGTGTTTATGCAAAGGCTCATGCCAAGACGCTTGCTCAGCAGCTTTTGGAGGATGATGAGGACGAGGAGCTTTTTGCTATGATTGCCGACGAAGTCAATGCCCCGAGCTGGATGACTCCCATTCTCGACCAATTCCCAGCTCCTGTTCGATCTGAATCTCCTCTCTCCATGGATTCCACCCACTCCCGCTGCAGTTCTCGTTCGTCGAACTCGAGCTCAGGCTTCTCATTTGCCTCTTCATTCAAGACTCTAGGATCATGTAGCACATCTTCGTCTTTATCCATGGCTTCATCTGCGAAGTCTGGGGTTAGCAGCGACAAGTCAGGTGTTAAGCTTTCCCGGCGCGAAAAGGCCAGATTGGCTCGAGTCTACGTCGATACGACCAAGAATGCGGTGACGCCTTACGACGGAGGCAAGACCACCGTACTTACTGGTGGTGTTATGCTTGGAGCGGCACCCTCTGCCAAAGTTAACAAGGCCGCAACGCAGCCTTCTCAAAACTGGCGCAGGTTTTAAATATTCGCCACTCGTTATCTTCTCTATGAAAAATCGGGCTTTTCATCGACTTTTTTCACGACAAGCTGCAATATTTCTGTACGATATTCACGACCATACTGGACTATCTCCTGAGTATACTTTACGAAGCACCATTTAAAACTCTATATCATAGTATTTTCTCTCCACTGTTTCCATAACTTGTAGGATCTAGATTAAATGTATACCACGTTATACCTGCATTACTGTCATTCGCATACTCTCTTTGTTTTTCTTGCAATTTTCTGGGTTACATAGCTGTCTTTTGTAATTTTGCGACGATCAATAATCATATTTTGGTCACGACTTCAACTTTCTGGTGTGAGCGTTGTGAACTTTGGACTTGTTTGTGAACGGTACGGTGTATGAATAATTGGCTGGACCAAACTTACTAGTCTTCATGCATGCATGCAAGCATTTTAAATTTAAAGTGAGCAATGGGTGACTTTCCACAAGCATGGACATACGTCCGATCGGTCAATGGTCTGGCTCTGTCAACCCATATCAAAAGTTGCTCAAGGCTGCTATTCAACCAAGCATAACAGCATGAATTGTGCTCTCAATGCACAGTTTCTCACTACATCAATACCGCCGCTCAAATTGCCTGTGATATAAAAGCCCCACCTATTCAGGTCCACAAGAAGAAGTGCTTTTTCTGCCCCAATGTATGTGATAGCAGCCACAAGCGCCATTCGACGAGTTCATTGTCAAACTGTTCTTCGTCGGATTGGGTTGTGATTGCCTCACTCAAATCCATGATGTGACTCTGTAAGCTGCAGCTGTAAGCCTGATCTCAGTGCTCGATCAGTCCTTAATTCGGACGTAGACTGCAGATATTTGACTTTAATTATATTTATTTGATAGGCTCTTGTGGTTTATTCAAGTCAATAAAATATCATGGCATTGGCGCTTCGGCTATTTCGGATATCATGTTTATACGTCGTTTCTATTGCAGAAACCTTATGGAAAGTCACCCAATTCCTTACTTCTTTTGTCGATTTTCTACAATATTTATTTCCAGGTATGCTTTCTCAGAAAAGGCCGCCAGAAAATCCCAGGAGCCCCCATATCAGTAACTTTAGGTCGTTGAACTTGTCGACTCGGATTTACCCCGGGTCTGACATGTACAGAACTCCAAGCCGAATATCCCAGCATCTTTGCCTGAAGATGTTTTCACTTTTAAATTCGATGCGTATCATGGTTGGTACACTTCGATTTACTAAAGCTGCAGTCTGATACAATTTTCGTAGGTCCTTAATTTAATACAACTACAGCGGTAATACCATCCCCTATCAGAAGGGTACCATCATATGGTATTTTACGACACAAGGACACCGCAAGTTTAGGTCCAAGTCTGCTTGAATTTTATATTGAGCCCCGCGTCACGCTTATCAGGCGCGCGTCTAGTTCCTAGTGTACTTGCCTGGCCTGTGAGTGTCAAATGATCATAAAGCATATTTCCGGTCTAATTCGGTACAGAACTTTTGAATTGTATTCAGCGCTGCGCATCAGGCGCTAAATCTAACTTTATCATAGCGTTTGCCAGCCGCAGCAAGTTGATATTGAAATGGGCGGTTTGGATCCGTACTTGTAGGTGATCATGCATATGAAGTTTTGCGTCGAATGCTAATTCTGTTTCGGGCGAAGAGAATGGAAGATGTCGATTGTGACATCCAAACGTGTGGTAGGCACGCCTCCTGTATCTCTCAGCGGCACAACATTCCGTGAGGATGGTGGGTGTGAGATCAATACAGACAATTGTCTTTTCTCAAGGTCATTCGTGGTCGTGGATTTTCAATTCACGAACATTTACATTGGGAATGGGGTTGGTACCAACCTCCGTAGCCATGTGCAATGGGTACGTCGTTTCATACAACTTGTCTTTGGATATATTCACGAAGGTATGAAGCGCCCTCTATCTTAAAGAGGCATTATAAAGAAGAATACATTTTGATGGAATGCCGCAATACTACATGAGGAGGATATATCAATCATGCTCTTCCGATCGCCGTATCCCTGTCATACAACGTGGCCACCATTAAAGGATAGGCGCAGATTCATTACACCTTTCGAGTATATATAAGGGTATCCCTTGGTGTAGAGTCTCATCTTGTTTTGTATTCAACCTTCCCCGGTCCATCTTTCGGGCAATAGCTTATACGTTCTACTCTTTTCTTCTTTTTTTTTCACTCCGTTCAATTCGCATCAAAGGTTGGCATCCTCTCTTGGTGGGTAGCGAACAAGGTAGGTTGTGTCGATATTCTGAATATCAGAGCCAACCATATCTTAGGACACCAACAGACGACATAAAGATTTCTACTTTTACCGTCTCAACTTAACGCAATGTCTTTGAAATTCGCGAAAGTAAGCCACCTCTGACTATTCACCGCTTGTACATTTATTAATCTATACTTCCTAGGTGACCAGTGGGGCGAATCAGAGGTTGGGAAGAGTCGCTGAAGTAGGCCAATATTTGGAGAAGGCGCAAGACATATACCGTCGTGTCAGGAGCGATGACTCTGTGTCCGAGCGGCTCGGTCAACAAACAGGCTCCCATGGTTAGTATTTCTCTTCCTTCCTCGTTTTCTTTATCAACGTCAACTAACTATTTATCAGTTGTTATGCCGCAAGAAGGGCAATCCAAAGACGAATTCATAGAGGACTTTATCGATACGGAGGTGGACAAGGTTCCTTATCGGCTCCTCGATCTTAAACAGAATAAGTTGATCAAGAGAACTGATCTAGCTTATATCCTAAAACAAGTCAAGAACGAATACGCTCAAACTATGGAGGAGGACGCAAAGGAAAATTGGAGTAACATCATTCTCAAGGGGATCAAACCCCACCTTCGATATGCCATCTTCTCTCACCGATGGGGCGCCGATGAACCTATTTTTGAGCATGTCGAAGATCACAAATTTTCAGAGTTGTGCGAAGCCGGTGAAGAGCAGCCAAAGGCGGGATTCAGGAAACTGGCCAGTTTCTGTGAAAAGGCTCGAGCCAGTGGTTTTAATTTGGCCTGGTCCGACACATGCTGCATTGACAAGAGGAGTAGTGCGGAAGTGCAGGAAGCCATCAATTCGATGTTTCGATGGTACAACCAGTCATCTCTGTGTATCGCTCACATGGCCGAAACGAAATCGCGCGACGTTATCAAGCAGTCAAATAAATGGGAGGATGAGTGGTTCAAGAGAGGCTGGACCTTGCAAGAGCTTCTGGCTCCAAAGACATTAAAATTCTACATGCAGAATTGGGATGTTTTGGTCCCTGTTTCTGCTGACGATCCTGCTTCTCAAAACGATAAAGAAAACAGTAAAGTTTTGAAGAGCCTGGAGAAAGTGACGGGAATCAAGGAAGCATTGATCAAAACCTTCGAGCCGGGACCAACCGACTTACAAGATAAAATGATTTGGGCTGCTCACAGGAAGACGACTAGACCTGAAGATATCGCTTATTGCCTTTTGGGTATATTCTCCGTTCACCTCGACATCAACTACGGTGAAGGGGCCGAAGAAGCTTTTTATCGTCTCCAAATACAAATCATCGAGATAACTCGTGACAGTGGTATCTTCATTTGGCATGGAAAACCTTCCAACCGTTGCAGCATGATAGCTTCCCACCCTCGTTACTATGCTCTCCAAGGACCCGCGCCAAAGGACGTTCGTGATATGCTGGAACCTTATGATGTTCACCAGCGGAGTATATTTACCAAAATTCTGTGTTTCTGCGGCGGCATTCCTTGCTGGTACACGTGCTTGCATTGTGCAGTTCGTGTCGAAGTTCTTATCGATGCAGGGGAGATTATCTCTCGGGCAGAATCACACTTCACGATTACGAACAACGGTCTACAAATCAAGGCAGATACCATCCGTGTCACGAAGTGGCGATTGCCTTATTCTACTGCCTCTGATGGTAAAACCAAACTTCACCGCTGGCGCCTACATCTCCTGGGGCACCAACGAATCAAAATAGCATTCAGGAGCGATATGATGGAAGAAATTGTGACGAAGACTCGGAAAGTGGGAAGTGATTTGATGTTGTTGCCTCTTACCGAGGAAGCTCCTTATGAGGGGGGTAAGTGCTCCCCACGAATCGCTGTATTGCTCTATAAGGTGGCCCAAGGGACTTGGGAGCGGATCAGAACTGAAGAACCCATTATTTTGAAACGTGATAAGTTCCAAGCTTTGGATAGCCTCCATCACACATTTTATATCCGATAAGTATCCGTTACCTATATGTCTGCATTTCTGTTCAAGCGCTTGTTTTTTTAAATAAATATGCAATGCGACCATCGTTCCATATACGTACATGCAGTTTATGTTTTTTTCTTAAATGTGGAAATAACTCTAGTTCGGTGTAATCTAACAAACATTGGATTCAAATGCCGCCACCAAACAAACTAATCACTGCGATAGGAGGAGGTCCGCCCTCCTTCAATTTTGTCTGACCGCAATATGCGAATACATATTTTGACGGATGCCATGTCACGGTCGGCGAAGGTGCCAAGGCTGGCACACGGTGCAGAGGAGCACCAGTCTCAGTTGCACACTGCGCAATGACCTTCATCAGCAAGGATGTGAAAAAAGGGCAAAATGATCGCTCACAATGTCGATATATGTACCCGCGTTTGCGATGGCCAGATATTCGCCATCGTATGAGAAGCTCAGGGCATTGATGGCATTTCTTTTGCAGCGGCTGGTGAATAAGGGCGGACGGATGTAATGAAAGCTAACTTACTCGCAAGATGTGATTGTTCGAGCACATATCCACTCACTTAGGTCGAACATGTTGACAATCGAATCATATCCCCCAGATGCAAGGTACCTTGTAAGAAGTTAGGTAGAGAAGTAGGTCATGATACAAAAAGCGCGTACCTTCCGCGAGGATCCAGCGCTACCGCCACGCAACCACCTACGTGAGCAGCTGGGCTTTCTCGTAAGGCTAACGAGGGATAGTCCATGATCCGAAGCGTGTGCTCTGAGTGATGTGTCATTATAACACCATCTCCAGCATGATTGAACATGGCTGTGGATGCAACAATAGTCTATTGAAGATAAACAGGGACGTCAGCATGAGAACGAGTAGAATATAAGTCCCAACCAACGCCGTCTTTATCCGAAATCTGCCATTGCTCTTTAGCCGCGCCGTTTTCCTTTCCTAAAGTCATGAAGAAAAGTTGATGGCCAGCAGACGTATACAAGAGTGATTTTCCATCTGGAGAGTAATTTGTCTGAACTGGTGATACTTTCAATGCAACCTGTTGAGTGTATCGAGACTCTGTAAAGGTTGTATAGATAGCTCTATGTTAGAAGACCTTAAATAGGACTCACGTCGTGCATCCCAGAATACTATCCGTCGGTCCTTCTGGCTTGAAGTGCAGAAAAGTTCAGGGTGAGTGGGATTCCACGACACGTAATCCACGTCGTCTGAATGGCCGCCCGAAAAATGAGTGGCAGCACGTAATTCCATCTACAGTAGCCTCGGCTTCAGGACTCTCTCTTCGCAACGTGATTCAGATGACCACCTACACTCTTTTCTGGAGTCCATATGCGCGTTATCTTGTCAATACCGACAGCAGCCAGTCGTTTCCCGTCGCAGCTCCATGCTACATGGGTCATAGCCTGGGGTGACGGTATACGTAAGTCGCGAGGTTTGTGTGCTGGAAAGTTTTGTGCCTAGGGGAGCAACATGTCGATACATGAATATCATTTTAATGAGGCTGAAGTAAATCGTGTGGGTCGGGATTGGCCTCGTACATGAAGACCTCTCGCTGCAAAAGTTGTGTGCGGAGGAGGTGAAGGTGGGCGCTGAGGAGGAGGAATCTCTTCTTCCTCTTTTCCGTTCGCTGGGTTGGACATTATGTTCCGATATCGCTTTGGGAGGTGTTCTAGTTATATCTTTTGAATATAGTTTTGAAGCAAGTCTGTTATAAACGTGTCCAAGAGCCAGTCCTTATAATGAGGGCAGTAAGTGAAACTTAAACTCGGATTCCAGCCACCGTGGTACAATTGGAGGACGCGTCCAAACTTATTACATTGTATTCATAGATTAGATCTCTGAGTAGCTAGGCCATCCAGCCACCTCAGCACCTGTTGTGTGACAGTTTCGCTTGCTTCTACCATTATCCAGTGACCTGTTCCTTCCACAACTACATCTTGCACTTTTGGTATAAACCTTCGCGATTTCCGTACGTTGGCAGGGGGGCACGTGCGGTCATTATTGCCCCAGATAAAAAGAACAGGTAGATCTGCACGTAAATTCACAGGAAGAGATGCAGCTAATGGTTCTCTGGTCAGATTTGTCTCACTTGCAAAAGGTCTAGTTGTCACCTTTCTCTTCTTCGTAACGAACTTTAGCAGTCCGGTAGTATGACAATGGTCCAAGGACCCCTCTACTGAACTGAGACACATAATACTCGAGCTCCTGGACCAGTAACCATCAATTAGACGGACACACGGCACCAAAATGCTGACACAGACCTTATGGTTGAGAAGACAGTCTGTCACCTCTCGCTCGTTTATCAGCAAATTCTTCATCTCACCTGGCTTTGTCCAGGGCATAACGCCATCGGACTTTCTATAGAGAATTTGGAGGAGATACGAGACCTTGAATCATCTGCATAAGATACTAGCAACATGGACGATCACTAGTCATATCGTACTTTGGGGTCAATGTCTGCCGTTGAACTGTGAGTTGCAAAATATGCTTGATAACCAAAGTCTTGGTAGCGGCTGACCACACCCTCCACTGGCATATAATTGAGGGAAGGTGGGGTGTAAGGGACAGACATCCTGGAATTCATGGATGGGATTGGCTTTGTGCATGCAACAGAAGACATACATGACTAGCGCCAACAATCTATCCGGATGCCACAGCGCAAATCTTCCAGCAGTATATGACCCCCAGTCGTGCCCAACCACGATCTATCAGGCGAGTAGAGCCTCAGATTTTCTCAGTAGGGCGACATGAAGATATACAGACAGCTTTCGAGACGCCCAAGAGATCAAGCAAAGCAACTAAATCATTGCAAAGCATCTTTGTAGAGTATTGTGTTGCGTCGAAAGGCATGTCGGTTTGACCGTAACCCAACATGTCTGGAACGACTGTCCGGTATCCTTTGCGCGTCCAAGGGCCAATTTGGTATCTCCAGCCATACCTAAGAGAGCGAAGCTGGTCCGTACGTTATCGTTCACACAAAAGCAATAGAAAAATGCTTCGAATGTGATGTACCATAGGTCAGGAAATCCATGGAGGCAAAGTAACGTGGGCGTAGACCCGGGGATATAATTCGTCGGAATTTGATCGACAAAGTGATACGTCCTACCCGTAGAAAGACGTTCGCTGCGGTGATTGAAGCTTTCTGGGCGTGTTGGGTCCATTTCACACCTACAATGGTCTGAATACGCTTGAGAACCGGTTTGAGTCAAGACTGGCTGTGACTGTAACTGGTTGCTGTGCCACGGCACCGTAGCTGAGTGCGAAACGTCCGGGAAGTTACTTTCTACGCCTTTCTTTGTAACGTTCACCACGCCCAGCTCGCCCTCGTTCCCGACGTCCTTGACACTTTGTCTTAAATTTCTTTGTGTTATCGTCCAGCTCTTTTATATTGATCCCATTCTCCCGCAAAGTTTACTCATATAGTCTCTTTTTTCTCCTTTTTTTTTCAACCTTCTTTTGCACGTGAAACACAATCTCAGTTCCAGTCAAGTATAAAGTGAGCCTATCTTCCCCAGTTTTACGTCCATCTGCCACGAACTTCATCTCATCTTGTGATCCTTCAGTCCAATAATTTCAATATGCCGGCACCCGTGTCCTCCTCTTCTGCCCCCCATGCAAACCTCAAGGCCGCCACCACCAAACCTCGTGCTCATCCTCACCCGGGTTCCAGAAAGACTCGTGTTGTCAGACGACGAGGAAGAGCACAGGGACACTTCGATAGTGATGAGGAAATTGAGCGTGAGGTTGGGACTGATTCAGAGTCTGACGAAGACAATCAGTCGTCAGTGGGCTCCGTCTCTGATTCTGAAAGCGAACCCGCCTCAGAAGACATACCCTCCAATGGCCATTCCCATATACTCACCCCTAATACCACTCAGAGCTCTGGAGACGTAACTTCTTTCCATCAACAGCCTTCGAAACTAGACATTGACCACAGTGGCGACCCTGCTCCCTTTTTTGGTTCAGCTGGGAATTGGTCAGAAATGGTCGCTGACGAAAATGTCAATGGCCCAGCAGACCTCCCAGTAATAGACTTCGCCAGTTTTGATGGACATGCTGTTGTTCAGCGTTCACTGACCGATCCTCCCTCACGCAAGGCGCGGCAACGAACGAAGCGTCCCACAGTAAAACGCACTGTCTCAGCGTCGCAAGAAACCGAGTCTGCTTCAGAAGTGATTCCGCCAGTCGATCAGCATGATGAATCTTTAGACGAACAGCCTGCCGCCTCTAGCTCTACTCCCCCGCCTTCCAGGCCGTCTTATGCAAGGCGACCCCCTGGACAATCTGCACGCCAAGTGTACCAGCAGCGCCTGGAGGCAGATCCTTCCTATGTTCCAACTGTCGGTGAATTCTGGGGCCACGATGATCGCCTTTTAGATAAGGATCTACGGAGTCTCAGTGGATGGTGGAGGGGTCGCTGGCAAGGCAGAGGAAGAGGAAGAGGTGGGTTTATGCGAGGACGAGGTAGAGGTGGATATGGTGTGGTCATCGAGCAGCGCCCCCAACAAGATATCCCTGACTCACAGGAAGAAGAAATCCAGGCTGCGGAAACTTTACGTGTCGATCAGCCATGGAATCACGATGGGTTCGAGGAGATGAAACGTAAAGATGAACAGCGCCGATCGGAACCATCACTTCCACGCCCCACTCGGGGTTTTTCGGCATTTCGTGGTCGAGGCGGTTTTACCCCTTCCCCTCCTCGTGGCCGTATTACCTTTGGTCGGGGTGGCTTTGCATCTTCTCCGAACAGACAACGTACGAGTTTGTCTTCCTTTGTTCCCTCCCTTGGCCGAACTTGGTTTGCGATGAAACCTGAAAGGGTGTGGACAAAACAACATGAAGCATTCTTGTACTTCGACTCGGCGCTAAAACCACGTCCTGGTCAAGGACCAGGATACCGAATCAAGCTATCCCCCACAGGACCTCAAATTATCAGAGGATCCATCTCCACTGTTAAGCATCATTTTGAGCAGGTACCGTCTTCGGATGCTATTTCCGAGGACGGAGAGAAGGCTTTCGTAGTACGGATACCCAAATCAGCAGGCAAAGAAAAACAAGTAGAGTTTACTTCTACCGTTGAAGAGCCCGTGACCACTGTAGAGGAACCTCCTATCGACGAGGTATTCACGGTGAGGCCGGGGCTGGTACCAAGAGTACCTATTCTTGATTCTCAATCGCCCGCACCAGCAGTCATTACTCACACTCCTGATCTTCCCCAATCATTACCATCAGCTGAGCCGTCAGGCCAGCCCGTATTAGTTCCGTTGCCTCACTCTGTCTCTCCCCCTAACCTCGTTGACCAAATTTTCCGCGAAACTTCAACTCTCCTGACTCAACAACCCAGCTACGCCAATGAGGAGCCGTTGAACGAGCCCGTCGAGGAGCAGCGCGACACCTTTCCAGCCGTCACTACGGGTATGGGTACAGAGGAAGGAAACGACGACAAACCACAAGATGCTGTTGTCCGTGGGCAACGTACCCTCCCACCTGCCCCTCCACCGCTGCAGACGGTTTTCCCACCTGTATCCCAGCCTTCCCCTCCTTACGGCTCGCCATACGGCTATGGCTCTGCAATGCCACCGGGTATCGCTATGAATCAACACGGCATGCCCTATGAGATGACCACGGGTCGTGCTGTATATTTGCAACCTCCTACGATGTACACACCTCGCCCCATGACCCATGGCATCATGACGCCTCCCGGTCTTCCATTCATGCCTGGTCATATGCATCATCATTCGACCGGCTCACCAGATTTCCTGGCTCCGCCCCATACACCTCCTCGCAATGGGTTTATTGACCCTGCCACAGGCATGCCTATCTTCTCCTTCCCACGCCAAAGTACCCGCATCGAAATCAGGCAGCCTTCTGATCAAGATGGTAAACAGCTGAGCAAACCGTATGAACGAAGACCTTCCGGATTGAGACCGAGTGCGGCCGACTTCGAACCCACTCGTGCCGCGAGTCCTTATGAGACGTCTGCATACTTCCAGGGTGCCGACAGCTTGTCGGCTACCGAGGTACATGGTCTCAATGGCGTGGATAATAACTCAGCAATTCCAAATGGGCACGTTTCGCCAGAGCAGGTGGTGGACACGGGAATGATGCCGTACTCACCATATCAACAGCAGCCATATTACTACCCCTACCCTCAGTACTACGACATGTCCCATGCTCAGTACGAAATGTACCCTACCGACCCGCGTGCTTCTCAGGCCGTCTATTATTGATCTGTGTCTTCTGCTACGTATATTTGTGTCTTTTCTTCTTCCTTGTCTTGTCTTTCTTGTTATGGGGATAGTACATGCACCGCTATTCACGATTGTTTGAATCTCACTCAGACTTTATTCATTCATGCTATGTCACAATTTCATTACATCGTCTGTTGTTACAATTTCTGTGCGCTGAATTTATCTTGGTTTTACTTTAGTTTCGTGTCTTCTATGTCGTACCAGCTTTGCCATTTGTATGCCTTTTTGCAATTCACATATTCTGAGTGAAATGTTGCGTGATGTCACGTGAAATGCATTTTTAGGGTTAGGTTTATACAGGTATTTGTCATACTCTGCTAAACTGTCGTGCCTCTCAAGACACCGCCATACAGGTCACTTCTGTCCCCAACCACCACCACCTCGTCGCCATCATCCTTGCCGGCGTCAAAGGCATCTTGCCATTACCTTCATATCGTTTGAAGGCTTTGCACCCAAGGCAGTGGTACGTGCATGAAAGCTGCTGATATCTGGTTTCAGGATGAGACCTTTTTATTCTAGTGATTTCTTTATAAACAACTAACCAAAACACATTCGTTCGTTATCGGAGGAGTCGAACCGCTTCACTACCCTTTTTATAGGGTATTCATCAATCTATCTCCGCACCAGCTCTACTCGCCAATATGGCCTTTTCCCAGCCTTTTCCTTTGGCAGCAGGCGCTCAGAAAATTCAACAGCCTACCTTTGGCCCAGATTTAGCTGTCCGCCTCATTTGTCCTGAATGCAGGGACCCGAATCCAAATATTGTCGAAGAGTTTGGTAGCGGAGATCTTGTGTGTGGTAGCTGCGGCTTAGTATTAGGCGACCGAATCGTCGACACCAGAAGTGAATGGCGTGTAAGTGAAAATTTTCTTTCACTCGTTTTCGGTTCTGTAAGTACTGTCATTCTTTAACCTTGGCTTAGACGTTTGCAAATGATGAAGGAGACGACCCTTCTCGTGTCGGTGCAGCGTCAGACTTGGAAGGCATAGAGCAACTGGATACTGCCATCAGCTTCCGCGATGGTGGCTCGGGCATTGCTCGCGAACTCCAGCGCGCAGCATCTCGTTCACAGAGCTCGCGTTCAGAGCGTAATCTCCTTGCCGCTTTCCGCGACATTGGGAGCTGGTGTGATCAGTTCTCTCTTCCCAAAACTATCAGCGATATTGCAAAGCAGCTTTACAAGCGTTCGGACGAGGAAAAGCTACTTCGTGGAAAGCCTCTTGAAGCTGTCATTGCTGCTTGCATTTTTATCGCTTGCCGTCAAGCTCATGTTCCCCGAACTTTCCGCGAAATCTGTAATCTCACCCATGTGTCGAAGAAGACTCTGGGACAGTGCTATAAAGCACTAGAACAGGCTTTTAATCTTGCGCCCGGTGCTTCTGCCCATCAGTCTGCGACTGCTCCTTCATCAGGACCCGAGAACCTTCTTGTACGATATTGCAATCACCTTGATCTCCCTCCTAACGTCCAGTCCATCTGCGGCGATATCATAGTCGAGGCACGAAAGCATGGCATTGCAGATGGCAGGAGTCCTGTCTCAATCGCAGGGGGAGCTATTTATTTTACCTGTCTCTTACTGGGAAAGCCGAAATCTGCCAGGGATATCAGCGCTGTTGCAGGGGTCAGCGAGGGTACCATCAAACTGGTGTATCGTTTATACTATCTGGATAAAGAGAAGTTGGTGAAGGAGGAGTGGATAAAGGATGGAAAAGCCAGTTTGGATCGTCTTCCTATAGAAACATCATCAAGATAGTGGTAACGTAACATGTTCGGACTTCTTCCTACCATGTATGTACCATAACATGTAGGCAATATTCATTTTCATTCAGTCACAGATGAGAGCAAATATATGAGCATCAAGCAAAACAAGGGGATCGACTATCGTTTGCCACCTCGCCTACCTTTTCCATCGCCTCTTGTTTGGGCTCTACCCAGTGCGACAGCTCCCCGGCCCCTACTTGCCGAGCGAATTGCTTTCCGTACATTCAGTACGTCGTCGCCACCGTTGGGTTTCTCTCTCTTCGCTCTCTTGACATCACCATCTAGCTTGGACAGGATAGCGAGAGATGACTGTTTTTCCCTTTCGATTGGTATCTCCGTTGGCTCAAACTGACGTACAATAAATTAAGCTATAACAAATAAAATAAAAAGAATGTCGTCTCACCTTCCGCTTTATGCCTTTGAGTTTCTTCTCACCGTCCAACTTCTTGTCGAATTTACCCATACTGGCTGTACTAAGGCGTGTGGTGGCGAGTGTTCTGTCGATTTCCTTATTCCGGTCCTGCCGCTCACTTTGAGCTGTTGTACGAGCCACATTTTGTAATCGTTGCCGCTCATTCTGAGCTACCCTTGACTTGCGTGCATCCCGGGCAACTTTCACGGGATCGAAATCGACGGCTGGAGAAATTTTGGTATTTGAGACAAGGATCGCGAAAGCCAAACAAGATGACTTACCAGCGTTGGCAGGAACCTCAGTAATCCACTGGTCTTCCTTCTCTTTATTCTTCCCATCTCGACCCCACCTGTTAACCCATTCTTGTTTCTCTTCATCCCAGATCTTCTTCTCGCGAACCTTCTTCTGGATACCTTTCGCAGAGGCGAAGCGCTCCCACTTAGTCGGTGGTTTTGGTTTAGGGAGGGGTTTTTCTCTAGGAAGGAGGGTTGTAGGAGGGGGTAGCACGGCAAGAGGGCCATCTGGGGAGGGTTTTGTGGGGAGGGAGTAAAGCGAGGCGATCAGGGCTTGTATCCCATCACGAGCTGTTGATTGGAGATATTCCTCGAGATTTGTGCTGCACGTCACGATTAAAAGGTGGTAAGAGTAAAAACATACTATACTACACATACCTGTACGAGTCTTCATCTATTGGATTGAGGTCTGTGACTGTTAGGAAACCAGTGTCCACATCGAGAGGTGTCTCTTTTTCCACATCTATGGATTGGCTAAAGATGGTTGAGGTAACGAACCATATTGATATCCTTCAAGAACTCACAATTTTGCTGCATGAGATGCGAGGATATTAGAGACATCCATTTTGAAACGCCTTCCTGCAGTATCGCTGCGATGCTAGTGGATGGAGAGTATTTTTTGGAGAGCTTTCCCACGGGTGTATAAAGTGCATTATCTTTCGCCAAAAAACCCGCATGCGCTGGGCACGAGGTACTATGTCTCTCCTTTAAGATAGGACTATGAGCTATACCATACCCAGTCTAACGAAAACTTTATACGCCAACAAATGCCCTAGTTATGGAACAAGAACAATGTCTCAAAAGACTCGGACAACGCATCAGATTCGAAAAAATTGAGTGTTACCAATCCTCAACAACCGTCAAGACCACTACGAAAACACTCCTTATATCATAACATATATGATAAGGGAAAATAAAAGTCCATCAGAGGACTGCGGTTTGAGATGGCTGAGACTAGGGATACATTTAAAATTACTTCTGCGATTTCCATTCCAAACTAGTTGTTAACTTCATGTTGAAGAACTATCAGGGGAAACCAAGGATGCAATTTCCACCTTTGTTCCTAGGCCTCGCCAGCGCGTTCCAGCCCCAGTCCTTTGTGACGCCTCTGGTGGCATCTCAGTCAGAGCTTTTGCAATAAAATTGGGATCAGTGAGAGGAGTCATATCATCTCTCTTTGGAAGTAGCTGATTGAAGTAGTCAGTATGTACGAAGATAGTACACAATACATGGGAGATCTTACCCGTTTCACTCTATCGTAAGGAGCTTCCCATCCACTGATTTGACGTATGACGAGAGGTGTTGTCGAAGAGAAGGCGTGATATATTCGAGTGTCATGTGTTCGAAACAAGACGTTGTCAACTCGAAGAATGAATCGAGACAGAATGAATATGCATGTCGGCATTACACGCTTTGTCCGGGAGTTCAGCTATGTAAAGGAGAACCAGGGCTTAAAACGCACTATTCTGACGAGAAGACTTGATGAGCCGTTATCATGAAGCTCGTCTTCGAAGAGAGGAATTTCTGCATAAAACATGATGGGATCGGGCCGGGTAAGCTCAGATAATGGGATTGAATGAGATGGTTGTTCTGGATCGGCAACATCCCATGGTATAGGACTCGATGAAGGGAGGTCTGACAGTGGCTCTGTTCCCGATGCAGGATAGTGACCAGCATATGTGGTCGTATAAGTCCAATCGTACGGCTTGGTTGGTACTGTTTTTGGCATAGGAAGGTTAGACCCTGGATCTGTGCTAGGGATGTGCTCGGAATCAAGTCTACAGTGTTGCAGTGACTTTCACCACCTACCGACTCTTTAGCCAAGCATCTGCATAGCCAACCTTGACCCCTCCGTCGCCTTCCTCAAATTCCCCCTTCTTTACAGCCTTTAGGGCGCTGTGAGTATCGAAAGTGAGCTTCCAATCCGAAGGGACATGTTCCAACGACAGATAGTTGCTGCCAAATGTCATCTCCGGTAGCGCAAAGCCCAAAGATGCTTGGAGTGCATCACAGTCCGACGCGTTAGATATTGGATTTGTTGAAGCGGTTATAACCCAGCCATTGATCTCTATCGTCCGCGAATTGGGGGTCTCTGATAGCGTGTGGTGAGGAATAGCAACTGCTGCAGACATTGTAAAGGTTGTACAGGAACTACTGGATAGTGATTTTATCGTCGTCGCCGTTGTGAACAATATCCAGGATGGTCGGAGTTTAAAACTACGCTGATAGAGAAAGCTTGCTGAAAGGCAGCTTGGCCAGAAATCATGGAGGGTTCGCGTCCATCATCGCCAGAAGCTCCCCCGCAAGACTTATGGTCATCGATTCTGGATTCAGTATCCTCAACAAGGGCAATACCATCCAAACAAGTGCTTTTGCTGGGCCAGCCTTCGTCTGGAAAGTCCGTATTAGCTTCTGCGTTGCTGCAGAAACCTGTTGCAGATGAAGGGAAAGACGAGTCACGCTCAGATTTTGCTCTTGGATATGAATGGGCTGATGTTAGAGATGATGCAGATGAAGGTACATGTTCTAAATAACGGTGCTGGTATATATACTGATAAGTAATCTTCATGTAACAGACACGTTGGCTCGGTTGTCTGTGTACACCATCCCCTCAGCTGCTTCGTCGTATACTTCTTTACTTCCTCATTTTTTGCCTCCTCGGATCTCTCTACCCCATACCTTGGTAATGATTGTGTTGGATTGGACACGTCCGTGGACATTTGTGGAAGATCTACAAACCTGGCTAATGTGGGTCGAGGAGTGGGCTAAAGGCGATTCGTCACGAGAGCTAGAAATAGCGAGGGAAGAGAATCGCGAAAGATGTAAGATACCTTCGTAAATTTTGAACCCTCCTGATTAATGGGTGGTGTATTCTAGTACAATCTCACTTGCAGCATTACACAGAACCCTCCTCAGATCCAATACCAGCATCCAATCTGTCGTCAAACACCTTGTTGCCTTTAGGTTCTGGCATATTTACCCACAACACTGCTGGAGTGCCCATTATTGTCACTTGCACCAAGGCTGATTTGATCGACGAAGGCAATGATCTGGTCGGTGCTGGAACTTCTGGTATGGGCGGTATGGTCAAAGGTAACGGAGGGGAGTGGGAGGAGAGAACAGATGGGATCATGCAAGTCCTAAGGACTATATGTTTAAAATGTACGTGTTATGCAACAACATCGGTATTGTTGTCAATTACAATTTATTAGATGGTGCCGCTTTATTCTATACGACACCTCTCCCTGCCACACTCCAGGTTTTGCGTCAGTATACCCTTCACCTTTTGTTTACCCCTGCCGCCCCATCACCTGGTCTTTCAGCGGGCATGGAAGCTCCCACGCCCATTCGTAATCCGTTCCCCTTTAGCCATAAACCGAATACCTTGGATCGTGATCGCATTGTCGTACCTGCTGGATGGGATAGTTGGGGCAAGATTGCCGTCCTGAGAGAAGGATTCGAAGCAAAAACATGGGGTGAAGCTTGGGAACAAGACTTCGAAGCTGAAGATCCAGAAAATGTGGAAGAGCCCGGAGCTGTGAAGATGTACAGCCTGCTTGTCTCCGATCAAGGAGCCAAGGTATTTGCACTATCAAGGATTTGTGATAGGATTGTTGCTAAACTGATTTGTAGCCTCCACCCCTCCCGGTCTTTAATAATCCGATGCCAGAACAGGCTTTCCTCGCGAAACACTATGATGAGAACTCCAAGAAGCCCGACCGAGACCCTCGTGGTGCTTTCAGAAATCCCACAGAAAGTTCGGCTGCTGGTATTGTTGGTCCTCTGGGAAGCAGTAGTTTCAACCTGCCTAATGTCGAGCGCGCTCTGAGTGAAATGGAGGCAGGTGTAGGGGGAGGGGGAGGGCTTAATGCGAGTGTCAATGGAGATGCATCACGCAGACTTTCGACGAGAAGCGGTACTCGACCATCAGGTCTCCCCGCTGTGGGCACGGCTGGCGCAAATTCTTCTGCTAACGTCGGACGTCCCCCAACTTCACCTACGCTGGGCAATACGCCGAGTCCGACAGGGGGACAAACTCAGCATGAAGTCTTGCAAAACTTCTTCCAAAGCTTGCTGATCAGTTCGAAGGATCGTGCTGGCGCAAGTTCGACTGCCTCGAGAAGTAAAGCGAATGGTAACACCAGCGGAACTGATGATACAAGTTAGACAGCTAGGTTCTGGTCAATACTGTGTGTAATTTATGATATTTTTGAGCTTTAATCGTGATGTCTCAGCCACATTTTGCGTTGTTGCTGTTACGGCGTAAGTAAACAAAGAACAAACAAAACCTCTCTTAAGACCTTACTACCATCGGTCCCAAGGAAGAATCCGCTTTCCGGATTGCTGATATACGTCTTCTGCCGCCTCCGCACCTTTGCCTCGTGCCTTTGCCTTACTACCAGGGGCGAATACCAAACTCGCGCCAAAAAATGGGAAAATGGTATGTTACTCAAGGTCTGTAGCTTACAAAGCTGGAAAATCGTTTGCAGGACAGTCGGATACCATGATGAAGTCCTTCGCGCCAAGATGAAAAGCCTAGTGTGAGTTATGTTTAATCTATGCATGAGAGGACCTATTTACGGTATGGAAATGTAGTTCTGGTGCAATCAAGCGCTCCAAGCTTGAGAATGCAGAGCCCTGGATCAGCTACGACACTTTCGTGGAAGAGTTAGACAGTGGCGACTCATTCACGACCTCCATCATCGATATACTTGTCAAAGTACGTCTCTCCCCTTCACCTTCGTGCCCGGCTGGGCTCATTGATGGGAACATAGGAGCTCGCAGAGCGTCATTTCCGGCACAATGAGGCGGACCGCGGGCTTATAGCGGACCGCACTGCTCTCTCACTCAAACGACTATCAAATCCTGTAAGAGTGTATGGGGCACGTAGCGACTGGCGGGGTGTCGTGGGAAGAAGAGGTGTGGACTTGACGGAATATTTGTCTGCGCCTCCTGATCAGGATGAAATGGATGAGGATGACGAGGACGTTAATGTCTCGTACGAACCTGCCAATGGTGGCATATTAGAAGGTGCCCGCATCAACTCAGAACTGTACGATGCATATGGGTCACAGCCACCCAGTTGGTCGGGTTTCCCAGACTCGTATCCTTTGAGAAGGTCCCATTTTTTCCGTCCGTCATCAGCAGACAGTTCCAGCGCAGATAGGACGCTACCACCCTTACAAGACTCCTCTTCCACAACGCGCAGCAACCCTTGGCAATTTCCCGCTGCCAATGGGCCATTTAGCTCCAATCTATCTCGCCAAGGATCTATTCGCCGACCTGCTAGAACCAGGGCAACGGATTTCAATGATTTTACTTCTCGCCGTCGCTCTTCCATTCGCCAAAATACACAAGAATCAGGTAGCCTGAGGTCAGAGACATCTGCTCCTATTATTTCACATGCAGATGTAGCTACCTCATCTTCTCGACCCCCTCCTGATGAGCCCATTTCCTTGCCAAGCGCACCAGCTAGACGTTTTTTCCCTTTCGGCAGGACCCGTCGCTACGAGGTGGTTATGCCTGGTACTCCACTATGGGCGCCAAGTGTTTCCGACGAGATGATCCTCCCCATACATCCTCCTCTAAGCTCTGTTTCTTCGTCGCAGTCGGCACCCTTTACAGCACCTGAACCTGGCCATGAAGTAAGCGAGGAGCGTTCACAGGCTCCTCGACTTCGTCGTGGTGGGTTACGGGCACCTGAATCCATGCTCTCTCGCCATACATCACCTTCTCCACCAACAATTCAAGTTGATGCAAGCTCATCCCCAGTTGTTACTTTGGCTCCACCTTCTTCGAACCCCCACCTTGAACCTGCTTCCGTACCTGCTGGCTCTGAGCATCCCGTGGATCCTGGGCCAAATTTCTTACCACCACTCGTAGCAGAAGAGATTATTTAACATGGGTTTAGGACATTCAATTGGAAAACTTGTACTTTTAGTATATTCGTACTTCTCCGAGATATAAGAGTTAGAGTTTGGTAAATATGGTCAAATACAGTGAAAGGATTCCGGACTCGGGCACGGTTAGGTTATCCCAATACCGACCGTCAACATACACTGTAAGCTTTATGATTAGAAAACGCAGTCGTCCTCAGCCGCGAATACGGGAAGTATCTCCAGAGGTAGAAGAAAGCCTTGATACTGAGGGAAAACTTCCGTACGTCCAGTGTTGAATGCGCTTCGTATCGTCTGTGACGGAGCTTAGCTTGGCAGAAATTCTCGAACTACGAAAGCTTAAGAAAGCAAGGCGGGGAATAGATGCAAGCAAGCTTCACAAAGGCGATGTAAAGAAGAAGAAAAAGCGTGCTCCAGAAGAAGAGGATCAAGGTGGGCTAAAGAAAGGCGCCAAAGTCACAGAAGATGAAGAGTAAGCAACCCTTCGTCGATGGTGCTACCTTGACAAGAGCTGACGGCTAGCTTGTGCAGCGAAGAAGAGGACAAGGATGCAAAGGCGAGGAGGGTAGTCAGAGCAAACAACTTCACACAGCAGACAAACGCGTTGGATGTTGACAAGCACATGTTTGTCTCATAGTTGGTTTCCCCAGGTTTTACAGTAACTAATGCAAACCATAACTTTAGGATGGCTTACATCGAGGAAAACCTGAAGATTCGCAGTAAACCTCAGTCTCCGGAGCCTACTTCGAGATCTTCTGATCCACAAGACGAGTTGTATAATGTTTCAGAACGGTGGAAGGTGGAAAAGAGAATGGCAGAGGAAGGTAGTGTTACCAACAGTCTCACAATGCTCACAGCTATACCTGAAGTTGACCTTGGGATGGAGTACGTGTGCAACGCTCCACCACATATACTTTACAATCCTAATGTCCCTGACTTTCACAGTACAAGACTCAAGAATATTGAAGAGACCGAGAAAGCAAAACGTATGGTTGCTGAAGAGCGCAAGGACCGAAAGAAAGCTACTAATGACGAGGAGCATTTGGCTGCTGCGCGCTGTAAGTTTTTTCAAAGCTATATGCTTGATGAAATTCTTTAACGACTAAACTCTTAGTCTATCGACCAAATTTAAAGCAAAAGTCGGATGCAGACATTATGCGAGACGCGAAATTGGAAGCAATGGGCTTACCTCCTCAAGACGAATCACGCAGACATCATCATGACCGTCCTCAGATGGCAACTGATGAAGCAGTGCGTTGAATTTCTCACTTCAAAATTCGGCGTTAAGCATTTAAACATTTATTATTAGGTCATGGAACGTTTCAAGAAGAGAATGCGCAAGTGATATCTGGTGCAGCAGGTGTATTATTTTGTGGTGTATTATTAATTTTCTCGATATCATAGCAATTTCATTGTCAAACCTTACGTATACTTACGGCGTCTTCTCAAGCTCGACTAAGCTAGGACCTTTTCAGTTATCACGCTATGAATGGCCAGAGATCGCATGCTGCATATTTTTATTCGAGGAATTCTTGTAAGTGTATTATGTCTGGTTAATGCTGGAAAATATAGCTGAGGGGATGCACCATGTGAAGCAAAGCCCCACGCCTCTCACTTCAAAGTGATTGAATCCTGTCCATTAATATGGCCCAATCCATCACCGTTATTCCTTTCTTAAGTGCTTCATCTTTGAGTTCCTTATCCCTCGTTTCCTCGTTTAGTCGGGCGATAGCACGCAAGTGTTCCTCCTTGCGTATACCGAGGCTATTGAGGATAGGAGCTATATGCAGCAAGGTAGGTTGGCAGGATGCGAGGACTATGTCCACAGACGACGTAGAGGCCGCATTCATACTACACTCTTGTGATTGTGACTTAGGAGACAATTTGCTTCGGCTCGCATTAGACGCTGCGTTGCGCCGAGGACTTGTCCGATGAGGTCCTGACGCGATGAATCCGTCCCCCTTCAGCTCAGATGCTGAGTACATTCTTTCGGAACGCGGTGGTGGCGCCCTGGCTTCAGACTGGAGAGGGGACGAGACAGCTGCCAAAGCCCTCAGCTCGGCCATAGTATAAATCCTCTCCGATCGACATGGACTGGGGGGTCTCATTCTGGCCTGAAGCATCTCGGCTTGCATCTGCGCTGCGGGTATGTCATGCCCCGAGGTGTATATTCGCTCCAAACGAGGAGAATACGCTTGATGCGAGAAGTTCCTTCCAGTGCGTAGAGGCGATCCAATAGTCTATTGTCATTCCGGACGTCAGTGTCTGAAACAAAGATGCCTGTGAGACGGCATGCTCACCTGCGAAACTGTCCTGTTTCCGTTATTAAACATCCGTACGTCATTTTCATATGCTTGTTCCACACGAAAATCTTTTCCACCTCCTTTGCGATTTCTGTGGACATGGGCGTTAACATTCATCTCCTTGCTGTCCTTGACTCTAGACATGCTTCTTTCTGATCCAGTTGTACTTATATTCTTTGCAACCTCTTCCCTCCATATCGTCACGGTTCTTTCAGGGCCATCTTCCAAAACGCGGCGCTGAACCAGCTCTACTGGCCTAGGATCAGAGCTACCCCGTCTGCGGGAAGCATGGGGGCTGTCGTCACCAGTAATTGAACCTCGGTCTCCGTGTCTCCTCCTGAGACTCGTAAGGCTGGAGCCTCTTCTTAACCCATCGCCCATCTCTTGAACTTCTTTTAATCTATCTCCACTTCTACCACTGGGGCTCCTAGCTCTTCTCAACGTCACTTCGACATCGACATCGCTGCCGAAGACTTTGCCCATCTCGTTCATGTATCTTCCATAATCAGGATGGGCTTCCCCATTTGAGCGATCACTTTGGCGACGATGGGCTTCGTGACCATTTGTCCACTCGTTGTACACGGTCTCTTGATTGCACTCGATGGTGAATGCATCGAAGTTATCATCAATGGGTACTGTGGTGGGGGCAGGTGGGGGTCGTTCTGCATAATTTCGACCACCAGACGCCTTCTGATTTGGGACAAAGTAATAGGTGGATTCTTCGCAGCGACAGTTGGATTTATTACTTGGTGCACTGCTGACAAGTCCCACTCACCACTGTCATTGTCGACGTAATGCATCGCTCTTTAGATTGTTGACGATATCTATGAAGATGCGCCACTTTCGAGCGTCGTTAAAGTGGTGCGGAGTCAAGTCAGAAAGAAAGTTGTGACGTTGACGCCCACTTCAACGCAACATGAGGCTTCAACATGTTCTTTAATGTGCCTTCTTCATTGCATAAAATCATGTTCTTCACGTGGTCGAATGTTGAGAACACGTGAAGAATAATTCACTACAACACAAAGCAAAAAATGCATCCAGATAGATATTGCGACAATGTATATACATACACCATAAATAAGCGAATGTCCCGCTGAGGTAGATTTATAAACTCAAAACCAATGCTTTCAACTTTTCGAAATTCGGTGTACCTAAACCGGTAACTAAAAGAGAGAATGTCAGAATAGCATATAGATGTAGAGTTATCGGTCTGCCATAATTCTCACCTGCGTCCCATCCGATAGTAGCCTAAAACACAAAGGTTAAACAACTATCGCATATCGAGTATCTTTGAGCTTACGTTAAATCCTTCGGTACCACAACCAGGGTTGTTTCCCTCAGTAATATCGTTAAGTGCGGTGTATCCTGACGAGTACAAGAAGGGGTTGAGGAAACCAAGAGTTGTCTTTCCCGCGGAAATACGGGCATCGTTCAACAACGAAACGAAGCTAGTGAAAGTTGGGGAGGAACATGACGTTCCAGCAACATATGTGGTGTTACCCTCGTATACGATAAGGAAATTGTAAGCTTGGGCAGAAACATCCGGGTATGCCTTCACGAGTGTAATGATCAGAATATGTTTCGTACATCCTTATTAACACTTACTCGTCCATACCTACGCATGTATGGGTAAGCATTGTAAAAGAAGAAAGCCTTGAATGACTCACGGGTTATAGAGACCTTCATACGTGCCAGGTGCAAGTTTAGTCAAGAAGGATTCCACTGCACTATCTTGGTAACTGGGTCGAGAGAACTAAACCCATTTCAGTCAATAGCCCTACATCTCAGACCTGTAAAAACCTTACGTAATTGCTGAAGCCTCCACCAGAGAAGTATACTGCAGTTTCAGGGATGTTAACTGTTCCTCCTACGGCTGTGACGCTATTATGAAAGGCCGTTAGAGGCGAAAATTAACCGTCCAAAGGAAGTAATACGCACTAAGGGCAACTAGCCGGGAAACCGGGGATGAATATGGTGCGGTTGGTGCCGTCATTGGAGTAACACTCTTGAGTAGCTGGGTCGGCATCACCGTCGCCTACACCACCATCTCCAGAGGAGAACATAACTGAAACACCACGAGCACCGAGGGTTGCAAAGTCAGCGCACACACGTTCAGCATAGCTCTGCGGGACTGGGGGAAATCGCCATAAGTATGGATGCAAAAGTGAATCAACTATTCAAATACCTGTTTGTTCATCGTCACCATAACTGGTAGAAATGGCCTGAGGAATATTGCCATCATCTTGAGCGAGAATATAATCCAACCACTACATTCAAGCATTCAAGATATTAAGCTGATGTCAATACACATTGAACAACAGGACAGACATATGTGTATGGTTCGTTGGAGTCTGTTGGCTCCAAATCGTCAGGGATGAAAGGTGGCTCACCGCCAGTCGAATAGAAGGTGCCAGGGGTAGGGTATGTGAGCCCAAACCCGAACTGGGTGTCTAGGTTGGCTTCGACACCGGCAGCAGCGGGAGTTTGGTTATTGGTGCCACCTTGGTACAAATAATCTGGGTTAGTAAGTGCGAAACCCGAAAGTCATGAACAATATATACCATGTATATCAACCAGCGTGAAATTAGAGCCGTATGCGGCAGGGTTCTGAAGAGAGAAGAACATCTGCAAATCAGCAATGTTGGCATATTGTTCCAAGTAACCTGTCAGGCCAAGTTTGTTGCCGTTCGTTGCGGACGAGTTGTAGCCAACAGCATTGTACAGTTGCCTGAGGCAGGAAATAGTAATCTAGGGCTAGAGTATTAGATAGTTTTAATCTGAACATTGATGGACGAGTATACCGTGTTGTTGCAACTAGCATCAACCTGGTTACCAGCTGGTCCTGTGATAGTGCCACCTGAAGGGCTGGTGAGAGTAACGTCCTCTTTTCCATAGTAATGAAGAGTGCTCTTCAACGCCTTGAAGCGCGAAAACATGATGGTCGGCTGGACCAAGTCAATATGCTCGTGGAGCACTTCGGGAAGACTGTAGCTCGTCGTGCGGACGATAGATTCATCACTTTCCGGGTGGTACCATACGTGGTAAGTCTAAAGCATTTCGTTCAGCTTATTTCCACAGATAAGTATACTAAGTATCTCACAGTGTCAAGCATCTCTTCGGCAAGGCCCACGGGAACTTGAATGGTAACCCAGTCGTTAGCTGATGAACGGGAAAGGTGTTCCTCTTCAAGGCCGTGAGATGCAAGCCATTCGTTGACGATATCGATGCTTTCCTGGTGAGGCTCCATCAGAGCGTCGGTCTCCGCCTTGGAGAGATGAGCACCATAGCGCTCGTGGCTGGGATCGCTGACTTCCCAGAGGTGCTGTTCCAAAGCAGGGAAGTTGGGTCGGGGGAGGCCAATCCTCAAGTCAATAAGATGGTCTTTGGGTGCAGGAGCATGCTTGACCCAGCCTCGGGGAGGTGCGGCGACGCTTTCCTTGACTTTATGCTGGCAACCTTTGAAAGGCGTCGCTCTGACGAGAGCAACGGAGAGACCTAACCAAATGAGGAGTCTCATTGTCAGAGGCGAGGGACGTCAAAAGTGGGGTTACTCACTAGTGCGAAACGAGTATTTATGAGAGTATAAATTACGTGCTTCAGTTCCTCCGGGTCACACAACGGCTGCTATGGGTCTCGGTCCATTGTGGCACAAGGTACAGATACTGTGATAATATTATCAACTGGTTGGCATGTGGGACGATGGGCTGCCCACCGTTGATAGGGCAGATTCGCCACATATGGCGATCGTGCGACAGTTAGATAGCGTTATCACCCTTAGAATAGAGTGCCGCTGAGGGGCTTGCGGAATAGCGATATGGGACGAAAGCATGCATTCGACATTACCATGAAAATCTCTCATCCGCTCTGCTTCCACTCTCACCGCAACAAGACGAGGGTCTTCTAGAACTATAGACCCATGCTGCAACGCCATTGAAGATTCTGTGATAGTAAATACGCGACCGGGATACTTGATTGTAATGACAAATCACACGAACGATGATGGAGGCAATGACTGTCAACACGAAGGGCGCTACCATTGACATGGATGATTGTTTAACAAATGCAATCATGTGTACAGCAAGCGCGCATTTACATGGATCTATGGTGCTCGAGGACTTGTGACATGGCCTGAGAGCTAAGCAGGCCAGATTGTCCAGCTATTCAAAGGAAAGTTTTGATTGCTTAATAAAACGGAGGCCGATGGTACATACGGTACTGGTGTATGTCAGTGAGCGTGATGTGCTGTAGATGCCTTCTGTTTGTACTTGTTGTCCAAAGGCCTTGAACTCTGAATGTGTATCGCTGGACCGTAAAAAGTCATAAGGAGTCCTCTAAAATTTCGACATTATGTTTATCTCAGATTCGGTATCCGTCTTTGCGGAAGGAACGTACGAGGAACAGGTGCATTTCTTCACAAATATCCCAACGATGGTTGCTAAACATCTAGATTGCAGATACATGAGCTTGTAGATTATATTGCTCGAAACCGCTCTGAAGAGGATCGCACTGCATTAACTCAGTCATTTCAGCAGCTTTTGAAGACGGACGAAGGTGCAAAATCTTTGGATGAAGATGATGACAGGAAGCGCACAATTTTCTCTGCGGTGCTGAATGAAGTGAAAGGTCTAGGGGACGGAAATGAGAAAGGTGCGTTCTTTGTGCGAAACAACCTTTCTACATTACTGAAGCTGTTCGCGCAGAAATTGAGGGCTTCTTCAACCTATTATATTCTCATCTATTCTCGCTCTGGGATTCTGAATTGGATGGGGCGAGGAAACATGTAACAACGCTCCTTAGGATCATCTCATCTTCAACATCAGAAAACCCTGCACCGAAATATCGCATGTATGACGTTTAACTTTCATTTTTCTAGAGCTACACATACTCATATGTTATTTCAGATTGTCTAATCTGTTCAACGCTACACCACGTTCATCGGCTCTACGCCTTCCAATCTACACTACTTTGCTCCAGATCGCCACTTCGAACGGCAATCTAGACATATTATGCCTTTCGAAGAAGGATGTAGAACAGTGGTTGCAGCAATGGAATATATCTGCCGAAGAGAAGAGCGAGTTCCTCAAAAGTATAATAGATGCACTGACAAAATCTGGGCAGCAGTGAGTCTTTTAGTACTCTCCCAGCTTAGCTTCCATCCTTACATATTTTGATTATGAAGGGAGGCTGCTTATGAATACACTCTGCCTTATCTCGTATCTCTGCCACCATCATCGCCCTCAAGCCAACAAGCAGCAGTCGATGCAATTGCTACAGCGCTTCGTTTACCTTCCATTTTCGACTTTGACTCGCTCTTCAAACTCGATGCGGTGGTTGCCGCAAAGGATCACGAACTGTTTGGCCTCCTTCACATATTCCTCAGCGAAGGCTTAACAGAGTTCAATACTTGGGTTGAAAGTCACGCCGAAGGGATTACAAAATATAGTACGCTTTGAGTTATGTCGGAAGGCAAAAACGGAATGGACTGATGTTATGCATAGATTTGGAGAAAAGCCAGCTGGAGCGTAAAATCAGGCTTCTAACGTTCGCATCACTTGGGTTCGACAATATCGGACGTGATCTTTCATATGCCCAGATTGCTTCCACTTTACAAATTGACCCTACGGAAGTGGAGAAATGGTCTATCGACGGTATTGGTTCTGATTTTGTGTCACAGTCACCCTCATCTTACACTCATTTATTACTAGTCATTCGCACCGGCTTGCTCTCTGGAAAACTATCGCAGACTGCGAAAACTTTGTATGTCACAAGGTCTACAGCACGCACGTTCCAGCGTGAACAATGGGAGGTGCTTGAGAAACGCCTTGCGAGCTATAAAGCGGATCTCGCAGGTGTCCTTGATGTAGTCATCGCCGCCCGGAGACGGCATAATGGCAATGTTGTTTCAGCACTACAACAAGTATCTGAGGGAGGTAATCTTGATATAGCTGCAGTGCATGGGGTTGTTGCTGCTACTGCCGCAGCTGCTTAAATCTGGCGAATTTGGGTGGAGAATCTGCGAAGGAATGATAGCTGTACACAAATACATTAAATATTGTTTACACCATGCTTCATCACAAGGCGCAGATTTTTGCGTAATGTTCATTAATCGCGATTAGCGAGAAAATTTCATGACCCAAATATGTCAGTCTTGAAGCTTCAAGCTTAGAGTAGCATAGACATAGCCAGGAAAGACTCTTGCGATAATTTCCGAGAAAGTCTCGGACAGAAGGGGCTTCTACGAAATAGATCCATGTCCTACATTCATCACCATTCTCCATCAAAGCCGATGAATCCTACGAGATATCAGTCAGTCGTGACCGAATATAGGAGAGCCAAAACTGACCTGTGAGTAAGAATACCGGGAAGTACCTCTTCTTCTCCAGCATCGCACACCAATTCCAAGCACTTGTCAACCGCCCGTCTATGCAGCTCCCAGCATCGAAGAAATTATCAGCCCCTGAGCCATCAAACCCGTGGCGGAAGAAGTCGCTCAGAATCTCACGAATACAATTCTCGGTGGATCCAAACTCATCCTCAATGTAAGAGCGCAAAGCCGGTTTTTCTGCGAGAGCTGGTATTTGTGACAGAGCGTTACAGATGGGAAGAAGAATGCGGTATATCTGGGAGTATTTGTCTATACGTTGTATTAGAATCCCGTCGAGACAACGATCAGATAATTACGTACCAATGAACATAAGGGCGTTGGGGACATTGTGATCGCCCATGTGAATAACGGAAGATCCGACCCATGAGCCGACACTTTTTTGGGCGCGATGAAGTATGGCATGCATCATACGTGATGTTTTAGGTGCTGCCTGGACACGATTGAGACCCTGACCAGTGTCACGCAGACGGTAAGGAACATTTTCGGCGAGCAGATCTTGCTCAGCTAACGACCAAAGACGGAACATATCTACACAGCAACTTCAGCGTCATGTTGGTAATGGCCGGAAAAATGCACACCATGTAGGATCTCTCGCCATAGAGTCAAACTTTGCAAGACATATGCGTATTGCTTAGAGTGATCGTGGCTCAGCCTTGCCCCTCCTTTCCCACTGCGGATAGCCAGACTACTTTTAGGATCGCTCGCTTTTGTAGCATGGAAATACTCCTTCAAGTAGACTATCATACGCTCACATGGGTCACGATTTGTCCGCAAGAAGGCATGGTTATCACCAATGCTGTACAAACATTGGCATACGTTTTCCTGGGAGAGGCCCCCAAGTTGATATTTTGAAGATAACACCTCGATAGCACGCTCTTTACTTTTGATATCTTTTTGTATGTCTCGTCGGGATCGGCCTTCAGAGTAGATTTCTTTTGTTGCAACTGATATCAGATCATCGCGGAGAAGCCCCAGCGCTCCATGTTCTTCCAAGACGTTGTGTACAGTCCTGATAGGTTTGACACAGGAAAAGTTGAGCATGTCTTGGACCTCTGAACTTTGACTGTCCTAAGGGGGAAAGTTGGCAAGAAATGTATGTGCAAGAATCAAATCACCAACCTGTAAAAGGTATATAAGTTTTCCATACGTAGTCCGCATCTTGTCAGGGTTCATGATCTTATGCCGTCTCCCAAGCTCAAAGATTTGTTGATAAAACTCTGCATTCGCCTGGAAGTCACGGTCCGTGAAAAGCTCCTGGCCTTTTTTATAGTCGGCAGAGAGGAGCAACCCAGAGAGAATGGCACATAGCTCGCGAATTTGCTGTACTATGCGTTTCGCTTTAGACAGCCCGAAGCCAAGCGTGTCGATCTTATCTGTGTATTCAGAGACCTGCAGAGCGGCATCGAGGAGACGAAGGAATTTACGTTCGTTGATAGTTAGTCGAAGTGGTATGTATTTCGAGCGCTCGATAAACCACTCGCCCACACTTGTGCCTACGGCTGGCTGTGCGCCTGTTACTTCGATTGACGGTCCTGCGATAACAAGATCCAGCCCATCGTCAGAATTGTCCATCTCTACATCATCACTGTCCTAAAATATTTCATGAGCATGACGATGGAAAAGGAAGACAGTGACTCACTTCGTCATCGGAGTCCTTTCCATTTACTCTGGTCACGATAGCGCCGTTGCCATTTTTCGCCTTCTTTTCAGGTTGGCCCTCCAGAGGTTTCGTAGCATGCCTCTTTCTCGAGCCTTTTCTGTGCTGAGCAGCGAAACAGACTTCGCAATAGTTATCAGAACATGTTTCGCATGTAACTTGAGCAGGTTGATCTAAATCAGCATCACATATATCCTGATCAGTATCGGGGGCAATCGCAACGTTAAAGTAGGCACCTTCGCATTCTACACAAAACCCTTCTTGCACTGGCTTCTCGGCGCTCTCTTCGTCCCATCCCCCCAAAGGCGTAATTCCCTCTTGCTGCTTAAGTCCAGGATGTTCTAAGGATTCATGGTTTTCTCCCAGGATGTTTTCTAGCGAGAAGGTGTTGGCCTTCTCATTGCTGTCTACAGAAGATACATTTTCGACCATTTTGGTATTAGAATGAACCACGAGTGCAGGCCAACCAGGTAAATAGAAGTGGTGTCAAAATGAGGTGAAAATAAGTGCTGAAATGGGCGTGTGGATAGTATGCGTACGTATTTCGTATTTGCGCCTGCCACAATCCACGAGGCATCATGCATCATGATGCTACGCCCATGCGCAGAAAGGGAACATAAGGAGAACACGAATGCATTCGACATAGCAAAAAGTCCAGATATGCAATTACTAATTTTAATATACAAGCAAGATCATGGAGTATATCACGCTGTCCGTGGCGCAAAGAATCTGTCCAGGTCATGAGCCCACACGTTGGACAGATGGGGTATTCCAAGCCTCATTCAACAGATCCTTCTTCTCCTCAAGTCGTCTACCAGTCCATTCTTCTTCACCCACCCTAGTAGCCCAGTCATCCGTTTCCCATGAAGAATCCTCCTGTTCTGGTGTATCTTCGACTGTAGCAGCGTCTTCAATGGGTGCAGGTGCAACAGTCGAGTGAGGCTGTACCGAGTGACTAGAAAGACGCAGAGCTGAAGGATCCGGTGAGTTGATTGCAGGTTGATGAGGTAGACGAATTTGTAAGGGAGGAGGAGGAGATCGTTTATATTTGTGGCGTGATTTCGAGGAGGCTCCAGTCCGTCTTGATGAAAGTGAGCTCCCTGCACTGCTGGGCGGGTACTCGTGTTTCGAGAGCACATTTACATTGTTTTTGATCTCGATGGGAGTAGCTGAACCACTGGGAATTGACTTATTCTCTTCTGACCCTATGATCGTCGATTTATCTCCATCCGATGGGGAACGAGAATATGAAGGTCGAACGGCACTCTCTACATCGTGGTGTAAATGGCCAGAAGCGTCGTCGTCGTCGTCTTCATCAGAAGACGCACCAAAGAGAGGTTCTCGATCTCGATTGTCGTGGGAGTTACGAGGTGTATCCGTAGGCAAGATAACGGAACTGGACGATGCTTTCACGATAGAATCTATAAGCCAGAACTGAAGTATATTCATGAATATTGGAAAAAGGCCCATCGTGCTAAAATCGTTTTAGACGTCAAAGTAACAGTGATTTTGAGAAAGAAAACATACAAAATGACCTGGAATGCTTCACCATCACCGACATTGGTCCAACTCAAAAGCCAATCGCCAACCTCGGCGATACCGGGCCAGGCTGCGAATAATGCAACAACGGACAGCTTCATAGTGGTTAACGCCAAAACGTATACAGCGGCTTGGCGTGCCCAGAATGCCATGGAAGGTGGAGAACCGTATTTACCTGACTCAAAGCCCTTGAGATGAAGAGTCGCCGTCAACAGGTAGTTCAGGAGGTGTAAAATGAAATAGAGCAATGCAACGCCTTTGTGAGAAGATCAATAAACATTTTCACTCGTTTATCGTGTTAAGACTCACCAAAAGTAGTATCTATTAGAATATTGAGAAAATAGTATACACAAGCATTTCCAGAGGAGTGGTGTGAGCCAATATCAGAGATGAAGACATTGACGCCATGAACAAACATCTGTCCGACAATCTGTTTCGATACATCAAAAAGCCTACAGAGAGATGAAAAATCGAGTCCGCACAAGGTATGAATCGAAAAGAGTGAGTTGCGTAGACATCCATGCGACTAAAACTTACCATATTCGCCACGGTCGCTTTGAAGTTTCTCTATGTCTTTTGTAAACCAAAGAAAGGATAACTAAAACGCCCATGAGCGCTTGCACTATCTATTTGAACATGCGTTGATGAGGCTGACTGCTGAACGATAAAGAAGCGTTCACTTACCAAAGCCGTGGGGCCCAGGAGGCGACATGACCGATCTACAGGATAGTCTTCGAATGGAGGTTCAACTTCTGATGTATTTTCATCGAATGCTGGTGATATTGTTGCGCGAAATATAGGAAACATTGTGAATCGCAACTGGGCTGACCTGGTCAGCTCCAAGCAACCGTGACGACCAGAACAGAACTCACTAACGTATTGACTGGCCGCTTACTTAAGCGCCCGTACCGACCTGCTGTATCTGGATTACGGCAGCGGAAACGTACATTGTCATACAACAGCCACTGACTACGGACACGCACGACCACGACCACGACATTGCAGATATACCATAAAACCACACTGAGAATATACATCTGTCTTCAACATGAGTAGTTTCTTTAGTAGATCAGGCAACTCGAGCCCTGCACCACACCCTCAGGCTCCATACTCCCGCGTACCTCAAAATGGCGTACCAAGTGGACTCAGGCCTTCAGGTCGTCCACCTCCATCTTCGCACTACAATGATCCTTCAAATGGCCTGTTTGAGAAACGCTCTTATGACAGGAAGCCTCCCCCTCCGCGCTCTGGATCTGCGTGAGTCCTAGATCTTGTGCTCAGAACGCTGCATTGACTACATGCTCATTACCTACTACTTGTCAGCTACGGTGTGGTGTCATCTCCAAGCGAGGCCCTAGCACTGTCAAATTGTCTCATCGTTCATCCTTCCGACTTCCCTCAAGGACAACATGTACTACTTAAGGGCCAGTTCCCTCTAACCACTCGGTGAGTCCTCTCAACGGTGTAGCACAGGCCCTATATTTGGACTGACACGGGCATCCAAGTCATGATAATACAGGTACATTATCACCCGGCATGATCGGTGCATCAGCAGCTCAGCGTCAATGGATCGGGCTGTCGCTTTCCGGAGACGAAATTCCCATTGAAGCTTTGCCCTCACACCCTCATGCATTGGCTCCATCATACTTGGAGTCGGTGGATCTTGAAGTCAGCTTTCTGCGAAAAGGCCTGGAGGTCGATGAACAGTACTCTGCGGATGAGATGACTAAGAATTTCATGAAAGCTTGTAGTGGCATCATATTCGCGCCAGATGAAGTCCTTACATTCGACTTTCATGGCCAAAAGCTCAAATTGGTGGTAAGGGCTGTAGGACTACTGGAGCTTGCGGATGAGCAGCAAAGGGGCGCCTCAAGAGGTGGTTCTTCTCGGTTACCACCTATGGGCATTTTAATGGATAAGACCGACGTCACGTTTATGAAAGCTGGAGATAGTCTGATTAAAATACGATCAAGTGCTAAAAAGTGAGCAGACTTTCATGGATATTTTCTCCATTTCATCCAATTAATTGACCTAGGGCAGCGCCAAATGCAATCCTGGCACCCAACTTCAAGTTCGAAGATATGGGTATCGGTGGTCTAGACTCCGAGTTCAGCTCCATATTCCGTCGTGCTTTCGCCTCTCGCGTCTTTCCTCCTACACTGGTTGAGAAATTGGGGATACAGCACGTGAAAGGTATGGTCATCATATTCTCAGGAGTTCTCCCTTCTGAAATATCATTTGGGATCTACTAGGTATCCTGTTGCATGGACCTCCCGGAACGGGAAAGACCCTTCTTGCACGGCAAATTGGTAAAATGCTCAACGCCCGCGAACCAAAGATCGTCAACGGCCCGGAAATCCTGAACAAATATGTTGGTGCATCCGAAGAAAACATTAGAAAGCTCTTTGGTGATGCAGAAAAAGAGGTCAGCATTCAGTATTATTGCATTTTAAAACTGCTAACATGAGAAAAATGGTACAGTATAAGGAAAAGGGTGATGAGAGTGGCCTACACATTATCATATTCGACGAGTTAGATGCCATCTTCAAGCAGCGTGGCTCTAGCAATAATGGGACTGGTGTGGGTGACAGCGTTGTCAACCAGCTTCTTTCCAAGGTACGTTTATATTTTCACAGTTGAACTCGTTGTCCAATATCGTCTTCAGATGGATGGTGTAGATCAATTGAACAATATCCTCATCATTGGTATGACTAATCGTCTTGACATGATCGACGAGGCGCTCTTGCGTCCAGGTCGTCTTGAGGTGCATATGGAAATTTCCCTTCCGGATGAAAAGGGACGGTCCCAAATATTCAACATTCATACCTCGAAGATGCGCCACAACGGCGTCATGGATTTAGATGTGGATCTGGAAGAACTCGCAGGCTTGACGAAGAACTTTTCGGGTGCCGAAATTGGAGGATTGATCAAGAGCGCAACCAGTTTTGCGTTCAACCGGCACGTTAAGGTAAGGTTTGAAAAGGCAAAGTATTCAAGAACACGCTATAATTATAATACTTTAGGTCGGAACGATGGCAGGAATTTCTGAAGATGTAGAGAATCTCCGCGTAAACAGAGGAGACTTCATGAATGCACTTGAGGAAGTACATCCTGCATTTGGTGTCTCGGAAGAGGAGCTCCAACAGGTTGTTCAAAACGGCATTATTCGCTACGACGCCGTCGTCGATGTAAGCGTCCACCCACGACCCTACTAATATCCACTCACATCTCTTACAGGAACTCCTTCGTACTGGTCAGCTATTCGTTGAACAAGTCCGGACCTCCACTCGAACGCCTTTGGTCAGCATACTTTTGCATGGACCTCCAGGATCAGGCAAAACTGCACTAGGAGCAACTATTGCTCAGCTTTCTCAATACCCTTTTATCAAACTTATCACACCCGACAACATGGTAGGATTCTCGGAGTCCCAGAAAGTTGCAGCTATCAGCAAGGTCTTTTCAGATAGTTACAAAAGTCCCCTTAGTGTGATAGTGGTAGATAACTTAGAGCGATTGTTAGGTGAGTTTTACAAAGTAACACTCAGGTATCATGAAGGGACTAATATTTGATGTGATGAATAGAATGGACACCAATTGGGCCCAGGTTCTCTAATGCTGTATTACAAACTCTGATGGTACTGTTTGCTCGGAGGCCACCCAAAGTAAGCTGTCACTCTGATTGAAGCCTGCCCTGTTAACGATAATGAAAAATAGGGACGTCGACTCCTGGTCATCGCTACATCGTCTTTACGACCTGTCCTTACAGAAATAGGTCTTTCAGAGTCTTTCGACTCGGAGCTTCGTGTGCCACCGATTGCTACCCTTCGGGCTCTGGAAAATGTGCTTCACGCAGTACAGCTTTTCCATACAAGCGAGGAAGCGAATAATGCCAGGCGCTTGTTGTCTCAAGCAGGCTTTGCTTCCGACGAAGCGGACGAGACATCGGCAACTTTGCACATAGGCATAAAGAAGTTGTTGAGCATCATCGAGATGGCCAGGCAGGAACCGGACAATATGGCTGAGAGGCTGACGGGTGCCCTGATGGGGCTTGGAATGTAGTACTATATGGACTGTATCACATAGATGGGTCTACTGGAATATTCTACTGTTTTATCTTCTTCGTGTTTCCACAGATGAGTCTCGACGAAGCTCATAAACCAAAGTTTCCAAAGCAGGGGTGTTCTGGTAGACAATTGGCTCCTACATAAATCATTCTCACGCCACTTCCCTCATGTTGCCTGTTTATGGTGGCGGATAGAAGGGGAGGTCAGGTTTAAACATGCACATGGGCTCGGAAGTTGTCTGAAACTGCTCCTCATACCATCTTTCGCTTTTTTGTGTACTTTTCTGTATAATGTCATCAGTAGAGATCATAGAGGATCTACACCACCTCCCGCCGCTACCTCGTTCAGCATCGAACCCTAAACCGAAAGGGATTTTGAAGAACGCAGCACCTGCGGCGTCTGGGCAGCAGCAGCAGTGAGTTTATATCTTGTGGCATGTGGCGCCAGTATAATCGTCCCAGACAACTAATTCGTTATCGTAGCAGTTTACAGTGGGATGAAGAGAATTTAGCTTTGACAGAAATTCAGAAGGATAGTTTGATGAAGATTACGGAGCCAAAGACGCCCTATGTGAGATATAACGCTGAGACGGATGAGATTGAAGGAGGTACGTCGCAACGTATTCTACCGGGTAGGATTTGTAACCGATGATGTGATCATAGATATCCCTTCGCTAGATCTTGGTGGACGATTTCACTCTTCGCCGGTCTCGCCTGTGCGAACCATATCACCTACAGGTGCAGATACGTCTGGACCCTCGTCACGTCGGACATCAATTTCAAGCGCAGGTAGACCATCTGCGTCTACTACATCAGGCCGATCAGGCAGTGCCAACTCGAGTAGGAGCACTAGTTTCAATCTACCGAACGAGGCGAGGGGGGAGATAAGGGCGCTCAAGGGCGACCCTGGAGAAGAAGTAGAGATGGATGAGGAGATGGACGAGGAAGGTATGTTGCTGGTGCATTATTCATGTTGACCTTTGTCGTTTAAATGCATATTATAGCCGCCGCTAAGCACGCTGCTTTTGTTCGTGCTCGAGGAAGACATTACTCCAATGAAGCCGAAGCTATGAAAGTACGTTATAATTCACGCTTTTACGTTCGTACGTCTGCAAGGACTCATGTACGATAGATGGCCTCGAAGCTCATGGAGTCGGAAGACGATGTCGAAGATGGCGATCCTGATTTTACCGATGCCGATGGTGATGAGTCCATGGAGGGACCTGTCGTCAATGGTGTTGCTCACGGCGCGTGAATATACGCTCAGCGAGAACAGCGTTTGCATGATGCGACAGGAACAGAACCCATGAGCAGGAAGGTAGATGAATGGTTGTGTTTTTTTACTGTATCCATCTTAGTGGACGTTTTGACGTCGTACTGTGCATAGTATTTATGCCCTGGTTGTACTTGTATAGTTCGTAAGATTTTGTACTGGCTACTTTTACTTCTTTGCCATTCTATGTTTTCTGTCTGAGTCACGTGTTTCGCGCGACACGCGCTATCGATCGGACCTGCTTCAAAATTTTAGTCTGAAATCAATTTGCTCGAGTCATTATGGGCAATAATGGCAACGCATTCAACGTTAGAACGCTCACCTTGGATTTCCATTGTTTTCGTACAGTGTAACTTCATCGCGCAATGACCGCAGATACCTCCGGGAAAGGTCTTCTACTAAAGGCGGACTCTATAGCAGACACTTTCCGCAACGAGGTCAAGGAGTCCCTGGCACGCTCCTCACACCCACCCAAACTGGTAGGAATCCTTGCAACTTCATCTGCACCTAGCAAATTCTATGCGGATTTCACGAGAAAACAATGCGAGGACCTTGGCATTGAATTCGTCCTGAAGAAAACAGGGGCTGCTGAGAACAGTGAGCTAGGCGAAGGTGAAGGCGCCGAAGAAGCCATCATAGAAGCAAATGAAGATGACAGTGTCCATGGGATCATGGTACGCACATATCTAATGAAAGAGTTCCTAGAAATGTTGACTATTTCTATTCCTGATGAAGGTGTATTACCCTATATATGGAGCACAACAGGTGCGTGGGTGAATATAACAATCAATACGGACCATCGGACTGAATATCACATTTAGGATCACTACTTGCAACAGGTTCGAACACGCCATGACCCCTGACCTACCCGTAACTAACGGACAGCTGTAGATTGTATCACCACTGAAAGATGTAGAAGGTCTCCACTTCAAATTCCATTACAACCTGTATCACAAGTACGGATCCCATTCTTTCTTGCAAGTCTATGGAGCTCATTGGTATATAAAATTTCTATCCACAGCATTCGATTCATAAGGCCGCAATCTCTCACATCGCCCACAGTGGGGTCCGCCGATGTTCTTCCAGTAAAAGACGACGAACCGCCTCCCGGAGCCGTGAAGTCGATCATTCCTTGTACACCGCTAGGTGTTGTAAAGTGCCTAGAACATGTTGCAGTTTATAACAGAATTTTGTCATACGGCGACCGTGCTTATGGGAAAACTGTCACTGTTATTAACAGGTAAGCAGTACCTTGACCTTGATTGGATTCTTTGCCTTTCTGAGAACAGGATTCAGGTCTGAAGTAGTGGGTCGGCCATTAGCTGCTATGCTCGCCAATGATGGAGCGCGTGTTTTCTCGGCAGATATTGATTCTATTCAGGTAACAGATATCTGATGAATCCTGTGTGGGTCTTTACCGATTATCTCCTCGCAGGAATACACCAAACGGCCTCGCATATCCGTCGATGCAACATGGCAGTACCACCCACGCCATGTAGTTCACCCGACAAACCTGACACTGCAAGAGTGTCTGGCACTCTCCGACGTCGTTGTATCCGCAGTTCCAAGTGCTAATTACAAAGTTAAAACAGAATGGCTCAAGGATGGATGTGTATGTGTCAATGTTGCTGCGGATAAGAACTTTGAGAAGGACGTGAGGGATAAGGTAATGTCAAAAATAAAGATATATATATCAGTCTATGTTGATGCAATAATCAAGGCGTCAATCTATATTCCTGCCGTTGGAAAAGTAACAATCCTAATGCTATTACGGAACCTGTACGTTTGTCTTCTTTTTCATGTGAACTGCGGAAAATAATCTGCTGCGGTTTCGGCCAGATTGCGGTTATCCCGCTACAAGGAGATTTCAGTTGCCAGTGGTGCTTAACAAGGTGTGCGGTCGTCTACTTGAATTACAATACCGCACTATATACGCAAATTAGAGGGTGTTAACTTTAACAATGCTAGAAACTGATGAGAATTAAAATGATGATTGCCTTCCTCCAATGAACCCGAGAACAAGGAACACCCGTGATAACTAGTGTATCAGCGTCACCGGAAATGTGCCTCCGTAATACTAGAGGGGTCTGACTGCCCCATTATGTCCGACGAAGGAAAACCCGGGGTTACAGGAGTAGCCATGCCTGACTGATCTTCTGCAAGAAATCTTACTCTTTGGCGGTGGAGCTACAGAACGAATATTAGATGGAATGTGAAGTAAGAGTCGAAAAGAAGATACCTGTGGCAACTTTGGAATGATAGCAAGTACGATGAGCGCGGTCAAATTGACAGCAAATAGCCATGGGTTGTAGTTAGTGTAATGAGTCGACATGAGAAATCTAGGCAGAGTCGTCAACGTGCATTTGAACAGAAGATGAATAAACGAACAGTAATATGGGTGCCGTGAATAGCCACTTCTTCGATGGGGTGTAATGTGCACCATCGTCAATTTGCTCCCAAAGTGTCATGTCATCATAAGCTCCTCCATGAAGTTCATTGTCAAATGGAATGCCAGTGACCCAGTGAAACATAAGGTATGACAACTGCACGGTGCCACCATGAGCATGATTAGTGTGAACCTGATGCCAGTCATTCTAGAAAACGCGTACAGCAAGATATATCAGATTGACCAAGGTCCAGCTGATTTGTCGAGTCATCCCCGGAATGGTGTCGACGACAATTTTCCCCATCAAAACCAAAACTACGTGAATCAGCCACGCCCCTACAGCAAATATTAGTACATTTCGGTATGGAGGGAGCCGCAGATACCTTTAGCATTGACCCAATTTGCGTTTATATTGACATAGGCACTTCTATCCAGTACTTCTTCTGACCTTCCCCCAATCTCTTCCACCTTGACTATGCTTCCACTCCTCCCCCGTCCTTTCAGCGAGTTCGACGGAGGCTGAAGGGAGAGCTGAGGGATTTTTATGTTTGTTGGACGGCTCATCAAATCCAGAGTTGAGAAGCAAGTGCGAGAAGTACGAGAAATTGGAGTGAAACGATATACGAATGCTGGCGAGGATGCCGCAAGCTCAACGCGTCTATACGGAGTACGGAACCCTAACCCTAGAGACACAGCCCGCTGCTAAGCCATGTTAGCGGTTGTCTGGCTAAGACTTGCTTGGGCTCAGTTCTGTTATGAGGCTTTTACATTGGTGCACCTTGGAGCCCGCAGGCCCTTCTAATTTAGCTGCCATTCGCTTTTCTTCTCCCAGCCGGGTACAGTCCATTCGTATCTTTCCGACAAATGCAATTCCTTTCTCACAATGTCCAGAAGTCATAGCGTCTGTCTGTTTCTATATGTCGCACTCGCATTAGCTGAATAGATTCTGTATCAAGTCGAACAGAACCAGATTCCTTTTTCCTTGACGTGTATTTCAATGCTCATCCCACTCAATCCGCCACTCAGCCCGATGCAAAACAGAAACAGAAGGCCCCAAATGCGTTGGTTCCTACCATCATACCTTACTCCGGGGGACAAGTCGATTTTGCAGTCAATATGGGTGACGATGTAGGTTCTTCAGCATTATGTCATCTAATTCACCTCATTCATCACACGACTCTGCTTATTACAGTTTGCCACTCGACTAATGATAGTATCCGGAAACTTTGAGAGTGTGTCCATGGCAATTTATGGGGAGGTCCTTTTAGAACGGTCCCCATCACCGGTCTTATACCAACCAAGAAATATCTCTGCAGCAGATTCCCTTCCTGCCACTTATGGCCTAGATCCTTCCAGCGCTCTGGATCCAACATTGGTAGCCAACCAGCTTCTAGAATTAATTCCCAATGCTCCTCCACTTTCTCTTGTGATACGTCTTATGTTTTGTTTAAAACCTTCTAATGATGATTGGGAACTCCCTGAGTTTCCTCATCTATACTCAGATCTAGATGAAGAGGAGCTGGACATTGACCTTGAATCAGCCTTCCGTTGCATGAGTAGACCAGTGGCGGATGACTCGCAACTGGATTTCCTACAGCGTTTTGTCGATAAGGTTGCAGAGGCCATCGGTCCAAAGGTCAGCTAGGCGGCCTGGCACGTATTTCTGATATTGATCTTGGTTACCGTTATTCATCACAGGACGACTCACAGTCATACTTCATGGCTGGAATTCTCTGCCGTTCCGCTTCGCAGCATCCTTCTCTCGCGCAATTACTAATGGTATATTCATAGTTGTCTTGGGTGTCTCTGAAATCTGAATAGATGTATTGGTTGTAGGAAAATCTGGACCTTGAACAAGTATTTGATACATCAAATATGGATAAAGTGACCATTCTTCGTCTCTGGGATGCTTCAGCGAACTCGGATATCGCGAAGCATCTGAACACGGACTGGTTCTTGAATTTGTTGGAGAACATCCAGAGTTCGCCCATCACCGACCGGGAGACGAAGGAAGCCGTACAAAAATTGGCTGATAGAATTCATGGATGGCACGCTTTCGAAGATGCTTTGTCTAATCCCCAGACAAACTATAACGAAGCGGCTTCACTTATGAAGGAAGTTGGTCTCGAAGAACAATCATTCGGTATATGGCTAGAATCGGTGACCACACATCAAGGTCTCGTCACAAAGCTCCAAGATAACCTTGTTTTACCCCTCGGCCAATCTCACCCTCCCGTTCTCCTACACTCGTATTCAACCGCTGTATCACACGATGACTTTATCTCGTTTGTTAGAGCATATATTGGCGTCTCGTGTGTTCTTGCTGTATATGCTTGGTCTGACAGCCTTCCGAATGATCAATGCCGGGAGAGAACTTTGGGTGTTCTGCGCCTTTGGCAAGAGATTGACGGGTATCGAGAGGTACTTCAATGCTATTTAATGTTCATTTCATCTGATGGACTCTATGAACAGATTGTAAATCACCTCCTCCTTCTGCGTCAAATGACTTTTCGTTTAGAGTGCATGACAGCAGACAACGATCCTCCAACGCGGTCCGGAATTCATGCTGAACAAATTTTGCTTAATCTGGCTAAGAATCCACGGTCTTTTCTTCGAGACGACTTCGTGAAGTGTGTTCTATCATTGCGACAGCCACTGTCGTATATCAATGAAGATCAACGCCTCTCTATCCGTAGCGCTGCTCTAATAGCCGATGATGGTCTTTCAGCGGCCATTGATATTTTGATCAGGACTAACAGCGTCTCATGGGACGCAAATCAGATAAGGATATTTCGTGTTGCCCTTTCTGTTATCGGGAACCACTTGGAAAATGAAGAAATCGGGGATTGGGGTGTTTTAGAGAGCGTTTGGACAGAAGAAACTCATGGTATCGCCAACTATCTTGTTGACATCCTAGTTAACGTCAGCAAAGAGTTGACAAGGCACCTTGCGCTGACGCAGCCTCCTCCTGTGATGCATGAAATCATCCACCAGCTTTTCCGCCTTTCAAATGATCTCTTTGCACTCATCACTCATTTTGGTCCTATATCCACAATCACAAGCCGCTTCCTGCGCAGTCTTACAGTTGCTGTTTCTGATATCTTCGTATGCACCGATTCAGCGGATATATCGTTTTCTCAAACAAGCAGTGCTTGTATCGCCGCACAGGAGACAAGGCAGGGCTGTATTGATCTGGTCCGTGGTTTCACGGAGCTGATTCCTTCGGCTGACCTATGCAAGAACGGTTCTACTCTTATGCTACGAACGCTACTAGAGCAAGGTTTACGCCCACACAACCAAGATCCCGCTCGACATGTTCTTCAGGTGTTTTGTCTCATCGGCCACATAATGCCGCTATCACCGGATGACGCCACCGACGTGACGCCCTCTTCCTGGTTAATGGTGAATATTCCTAGCGTTTTGGTAGAGTTAGGGGCATTTTTTCGTGCGTTGGACGTCGAGAGTAAAGCTCATATGGTAAAGCGCCTAGTAAATCTTGACCAGGGCGTTATCGGCATAGGCGAGTGGTTACTTCAAGAAGAGTTCGGCATAGGCGAGTGGTTACTTCAAGAAGAGTTCACGTGTGTGGCCGGCTTTATGCAGTCCCTGGATACGACTGTAACGGATTCACATCATTCAATTGCACAACATCAAGTCCTACTTATCTTGCGTCTGACATCGGATCTTATCACACCGTCTTCACAGGTTTCTACGTGGGCCATCACCACTCTATGCACAAGTCCAGAACTTTCACATCTCTTAGCAGTTTGCATGGTCTCATTATTGAACAGCAATCTCTATTCCAGTCACCAGGCACATATAGCCCAAAACCTGGCGCCCCACTCAGCGTCTGCCGAGTGCAGCCTAAGGATCGCGGTTGTTCTTACTCTCTTTCGCGGTATCCGACTTCACGAGCTTGGTTGCGATATTTTGGAGTCTGCCTTAGTCGTCCTAAGGTCCTTAGATGGCGAAAAAATCAACTTCGAAGAATTGCAGTGGGAAGTAGGCTGCGCCACGTCCGCCATCGCATGCTCTAGTGACCATCTTTCATCACTAGACACGAAAGCTGCAGATGCCATGGTTCTCACTCTAAGCTGGCTTTTGGAAAACGCCAGCATCGGCACTAGCGGTCTCTTTGGTATTAGTGTGGCTGAATGGGGTACTCTTTGTCTTGGCATCGAAGACAAGGTATCCCCTGATAACGCCCCCTTACTGAACGCACTGCGAGAAAAAATTAGCCCGAGGGTTAAATCTCCTGTACTCACTTCTTTCATTCCAGAAAGTCTGGAGATATCTCTACAAACTATAGGGATCCTGCTTGAGCCCCCGGTCCCTACTCCTTCTACTCCTAAACGAAAATCCCCTAGCCAAGATGTCCTCGGCCTTGTAGCATTATCTCCCCCGACTGCACTTTTACGCTCTCCTGCAATAACAGGTTTGACAAAAACCTATCTAAACAATGATTTCCGGCAGTTACGGCAGCTTCCTTCGGCGAGGCAGAATACCAGTCGACTTCCGAGTATGCACGTAGATGTAGGTATTAATTATGAAACCGCATGAATAATGAATACTCATATTACGTGATCCTGCAATAGGAATTTGAACTGAGTACATCTGGATCCTCCCCCACTCTGATCCCCGTTCCCAACTTAAATGCAGAAATATTCAACCTGGCGCCTCCATTCAACATTACACAATAGGGTGTACAATAATGCAACAGAGACAATATACAGTGTATAGATACAATGTATATGTATGATATGGTGTAGCTTTATTTTTGTTGTTCTAATACTGCTTTCGCTTACGAACGTGAGAATGGGGTTCCGCAGAGAAGTCGTCTTGGGAGCGAAAGTAGCGATCGACGTCAGACTGGTCAAATTCTGAAGGAGGTGAAGGTGACGATGGAATGAACGGTGGAGGGACATCTGGCAACTTATTTGCAGAGCGTCCTCCGATCCGATACGTCCGTTTTCTCCTTGCCTTTATCGTGGGCCTTTCGTAGGCGACTGAAAGACCTGAGGCGCCTTGAACGCGAGGAGGAACACTCCGAACGGTGAAATGCTCTAAAGAACGAGTATAAGGGGAGAGTGTGTGATTCGAATGACTGAGAGTGGAGAGTTTATGTATTGTGTTGTTGAGAGACGGGCGAAGAATAATCTTTGGATCTGGTTCTGGGATATGATGAGAATTTGGTGGCGAGCCGGAGTGAAATACGTCAAGGTTTGTTGATGACGACACAGACATGCGTCTGTGTGTGAGAGAGCGCTTGCCCTCACTTGCATTATCGTATGATTGATCTGCTGACGGTGGTGTTTCTAGAGGTTGCGTAACCCCGCTGCTGGATCGCGAAAACTGGGTCTCTAAACTGTCTGGTGTCACTGGACGTCTAGATCTTGGATATATAGAAGCGGGTTGTTGCAAATCAAAAGCGGGTTCGGAACGAGTTCGCTGGGACTTGTTTGAAGGAAGGTAGGCATCAGAGAAGTATGGGTTATAGTTCGAGCTTGGTCGACCAGATATTGATGGCCTTGATGGGGTTCTGGATAGGAGGTCGTGATTATGTGGCTCGTCGTTAGGGTGAACATGTGATTGCAGCGTCCGATGTGATAGTACAGAACGGAAAGATGAAGCTTCAGAAGGCAAACGGGACATTCCGGGTGGTGGCTGAATCATAGACTGTGAATGGTAGACGCGAGGGCGGGTGATTGTTCCACCCCCTACAGCAGGAATAGTTTCGTATTCCGTGGGAGACTCTGGTTCTTCCGATATAGTAGGCGGAGGAGAAAAGTCAGGAACGGTATCTTCCCAATCTACCACGTCAAATGAGGTTCCCTCTTCGAGATCTTCGACGTCACTGGATTCTTCCGCCAGGTCCGCTAGACCTTTGTTAGGGGCAAACAGGCGGCCAAAGCTTGTGAACACGCTTTTAGCGGGCAGCCCCTCAGGACGTAGACCATAAGTGGGGTCAAAATTATCCAGCTCTGGGAAAGAGCCGGCTGGGTCGGGGGCCGGAATATTTCCGGGAGCGGTTGTAGACAAAATTGAAGCAGGGGTACTTTTCTTGCTCGAACTTGCAGCAGAGAAGCCCGAAACGGAACGAGCCCTCCCATAGCTCAGAGTCCCCAAAGATTGCTGACGAAGGATATGTGGATGAAGCCCCACTGCAGATACGCTAGGAGGAACGCGTGATATGTCAGGAACTGAGACAGAGTCAAATGTGCCTCGTCTTGGGATGTTGGGTTGTTTATCGAGATAAGGAGCCTCTACTTTAGCTTTGACCCACTGCTGACTGAGACGGTGAATTATTCCGGGGAGGTCTTCCCGAAACATCTGGCGCAGCTGACCTTCAATCTCCTTTTGAATGAATTTTTGGATGACTGCAATGGAGTCAAACGTGCTGTTGATGTCTACGTTTTGTAGAGGGTCTGTCTTAAAGACGAGCGTGATGCCTTTTTGTTTGGAGACGACCAAAACGACGTAAGAGCTAAGCTTGAAGTGTGAGAGACGCAGTAACATGGGAACAACTAGAGGCTCTCTGGCCGCTAACATGCCCCTTGAACCAGTCATGATGTGGATGTCTGGTTGTTTATGGTTCAATGGATTGGCCTGAAGGCAAAAGTGAGTGAGTGTGGCATGTTCGACAAGATAATGTGTTCTATACCTGAACTTTAGTCTTGAGGACGATGTGGGCGTCTCCAGAATATGTGAGACGGAATATTCCACGAAACTGGTCCATCGTCATATCACCGATGTCTCGTATCTCAAGCTCGGGAGGCTGGCATTCCTGTGAGATGAGCTTCTATATCAAGAGAATTATGTTACCTGGGTACCCATCTCCAACTCTACGACTTCAATCTTGTCCGCAATGACAGGCGGCTTATTTCCCTTGTTTAGTGCATTGTTGAGCATCTGAATTGCATCGGTGTGAAACTGGTCGGAGAAGCGAGGCCATTCGAAGGTGAAAGACATTCCAGGCTCCAAGTTTATGATTTGTATACCCTAGGAGCATTCAGAGGGAAATAAGAAACAAGCGAATAGGACATGCGACAGTAATGCGCATTCTGCAGCACAGCGATGATGCAGCCGTATCCAACGTCAACGAAACGGCATTTGCACCGGAGCGTCCTAAAAAGTCTTAGGGTTAAGGTTCCCATTTTAACCCGCGTGCCGAGAATAGCCTGTACTGGCAGCAGTAGGTGGGATCTCTTTCGTTTCTTTGTTCTCTGGTCCCACTTCGTCTTTCCTCGGTGCTTTGGCACTTTAGGCTGTCTGGTTGATGAACGGCGTCCGACGATTTTTGGCAGGCGGGGCAACACCGCCTAATTCAACACAGACACCTTCTCCTCAACCGACATCACCACCACCACCACCACCTTTGCTTCCATCTGGCAAACCATCTTGGCCGCCACAGAGCCCTTCCCAGGCGTCAAACTCGTCATTTGGCAGTCCAAAAACAAATGGCACTCCTGGCTTAAACATCCGAAAAGATAGACAGAAACTGCCCTTGGTAGCTTCTCCAAAGGGAGAGGACGATGTTGGGAACACCTTACAGTCCGGATGGTCGGGTTCTACATCATCTCCTGTTCTCTCGCCTACCCGTAGTCAGACTTCTATCTCTGCATCTTCTCCTTCTCGAAAACCCCCGCCTAATGGCAGTGCTACTATAAACTCGGCTGTTGCTGGACCCTCGTCACCGAGGATTCTACCTCCCGATCCTCTGACAAGGAAGTCCAGCAACACAGACTGGAAGCGGACGTCTGGTCTGCTCAACATTCGCGACGAACTGATAATGGGCTTGCTAGCAAGTGAGGCCGTGGTGGACAGCCGGGAATGTGAAATACTCAGTGCAGAAGAAGTGGAGGACTTGAAGAAGGTTTATACTCGGACAATGTCTATAGGTTATGTCTTTGCTTATCACAGCTTCATAGGAGCACCACATTCTTACTATCAGGCTTACCGCGATGCAAAAGAAGCTAAATCTAGAGACAAAAATACGGGATGCTGCACTATCGCTCTCAAGAGCAAACTCTGCTCATAAAAAAGTTTCAAAACAAACCGAGGAACAGCTCGAGGCTTCCGAGAGGAAAGTGGAGATTGCGCAGAAAGAACTGTGGCGTGTCTCTGAACGAGCTGGCGACCTGCAGCGGAAGTTGCTAGAACACCGTGCTGGCGTGCTTAGTTTTTCTGTGCGGAACATGGAGAAGAAGCTACAGCCCGGTAACAATGTCACTGACACTGATACATCAAGGATGGGCACACCCAGCCGTAGTTCGCAAATCAGCTCATCATTATCAACTACAACAAGTGTGTCAACGCCGTCAAAGGCTCGTTTTGATGGTGCCCATCTATTCGCTGGGCATGCAGACGCCCTTATACCGCAGCTGCCAAAAGGTCCACTTTCTACTGCTGATGTAGCAGCCCTGGAGGAAAAATTACGGGCGGCCACTGAAGCTCTCACCGCTGCAAACAAAAAGCAAGCCGACATGGCAAGAGAGGTAGCCCATCTACGTCTTGAAAACCAGAAAATTGAGACTACGATGGGCATGGAATTGCAGAATGCAGAGGATACTATTTCAAATTTGGAGAAGGAGTTACCGCGATTGGAAAATTTGAACGCTCAACTGGAAGAGCTACTGCTAGAAAGGGGGATCTGGGAGGAAGACAGAGCGCGTCTAGTGGAGCGAGAGCAGGATGTTGAACGGTTAGAAAGTCGATTGGAAGTTTTGGAAGAACGGAGTGGGGAGGCGACACAGATGGAGCAGCTACTGGCGGATGTCAAAGGTCAAAGGAGTGCCGAGATGCAACAAAAAGATAATGAAATTCTACGTCTGACAATGGAGTGGGAAGTAGAAAAAACAGCCATGGAAGAGGAAAGGATGCATGAGTTTTCGAGGCTACAGGAAGAAATAAACGAACTCAGGAATCAGAATGATGCCGAGTTACAAGAGACTAGGGTTGAACTCGATGAGGCTGTCGAGGCACTACGGACGCTTATCCAAAGTAATGGGATCGATCTATTTTCGCGAGATATATCGGCGAAGGGTTTGTTGTCCTCTGTGGGCATCCACTTAGGAAAGGTCTCAGAAAAGTTGAATGAGCATGCGAAACACCAGGAAGAGTGGGATTTAATACGGAGGGAATTAGAGGATGCATCGCGGACGCATCAAGAAAAACATGAAGGACTGGTTGGCGAACTCGAAGGACTGCGTCGAGAGCGAGATGACGCAAGGTTGCAAGTCCAGTCCTTGGAAGAGCAAGTCAAGGTAAAACTATCTACCAGCACATCGAATATATCTTACCATCTCTCTCTACAGGAGCAAGCCGAGGATCTACTTCTTACCGCACAAGTGCCCACTGGCCCACCGATCGAATATACTGGGGAAGCTGGCGAACTGGTCGCTCAGCTACAAGCCGTATGGTCGATTCTCCCTGCTCCGGACGTACGAGCTACGAGACTGGGCTCACAGCGACACTTTCGCACTGCCTCATCGAATTCGAACCCAGGTGGTTCGAAACCTGTGCTCCCCTCTCTTTCTGACATGGATGTTCGGTCACTCAAGACGCTTTACGACAGCCGTGCGAAATCTAATGTGCCTACTGGTGCTGGAGGGAACTTTACGATGGATGCATTCATCGCTCGAGTGCGAGCACTGGTTGCGGATGATAGGGCATTAATTGAGCGGCTGATACGCTTTGCTCAAGCGCATGATTTGCTGAAGAAGAATGCTGAAAGGGCACAGAAACTGGCTCAAGATAGTAATTCGGCACTTGAGACCTATCAGAAGCAGGTCACATCACTAGAGGATCAAAATGGGGCATTATCTTTGAAGCAGGCAGCACTGTGAGCTCGATTTTTTTTTCGAGGCCATCTATTGGCAGGTTCTCATCAGATCATATGTTAGTCTGGAAGAAATTCAGCGCCTCCATGAAGCTGTTGATCGTGCGTTTGCTGCAAAACGAGAGGTAGAAGTACATGCTGCGGATCAGGCTGAGACATGCCGACAGCTTACGGAGGCCAACAATGCTTTGAGTGCGAAAACCTTGACTCTCGCTGAGGAAGCAGCTTCCGCTCCTGAGATGGTGCGGAGGCAGCTAGAGGCACAGCTTGCGGAATGCAGAGCGTCATTGAAGCAGACTCAGGATGAGATTGATCGCTTGCATTCGTCTGAACAGACGCAGCGTATTGCATTGCTGGATGAGTTAAATTCGATGCAAACCGAGAATGGGAACTTGAGGGCACAGTTGCGGGCCCTGAAGAAGTAAATTTTAGTAAGTTTAGACCGGAGAATCTGATTCTATCTACATCTTTTTCGCCATTTATTCTTGCTTGACTCTATTATTACGAGTACAGTCCTTCTGGAGCATATGTAAATTATATACTGCAATTACGACACTGACATTTATCTAGCATACCGGTGATTCCAGGGACCGGTGTTGAATACATCATTGGATAACAACTAAACAAGCCCCCGTTGTCTAATGGTTATGACGTCAGACTTCTAATCTGGAGGCTGCGGGTTCGAGTCCCGCCGGAGGCTCATGAATTAATTTTTCGTAACATAGACTGTCAGGGCATGTGACATGTCAAGTACTATTTTGAAGTTAATATTTTTGGTTGTTAAGTTTTAATCCAGGGCGGATTTGGATCACTTCCAGAACGGTCTCCCCCGGGGCGTGATGTGTTGTTGTTACTATAAATGATGTGCTACCGTGTCTGTTCGCCATGGTTTCATGTACCTCTTACTTATTCGAATTCATTTTGTACGTCTAACATGCGAACAATAGAGTAAGACAGAGGAATGGAGCCTTGACCCCAGCGCTTGCTGTGGCCAAGCGGAGATGGAAAATAAAGGTCGCGGAGACGAAAAAGGATCCGTGTTTGAGATTCCCACGAGGAAGCAGCAGCCCACACAGGTCAGTGCTGAAATTGAAGGCCCGCTCCCACACTTGGTCCTGTAAGGAGTGTGTAACTACAAGGTCTTGCCAAAACTACATTCTTCATCCTGGCCTCCCTGTGCTTTGCTTCCTAGTCCACGCAATATCTCCAGGAAAATGCAACAAAGTCCGTCTGCTCTTTCCTCCAGAGGCACTCCTTCTCGTCGAGGAAAATCACCCCGGAGCAGAGGCCATGGCACCTCGCATTCTCCAAACTCTCTCCCAACAGAGTTTTCCATAAAACAGCCCGCCACATTTACTTCTTGTCTTTCCATTCCAGTTGAAGGTGCCATACCCATTATTTCTCAGGACGATTCATCCGCTACTTCGCTATCTGGTATCTCCCAGTCAAACTCTAATGCCCCAAAGCGCGCACCCCGCAAATCAAAGACAGACGCTCTAGCCGCTCTCCAGAACCATGCCCAGTCGTCTTCACTCGATAACGATGAGTCCAACTCGCACGAGTTTGATTCCGAATTTTCGCGCAATCGCACTCCAATTCCCGTTTCGCCTCTTCTAGATCTATCATCAGTCAAAACCTCCGGTCCCAGGGATATTCCGCCACATGCCACTCCTCGACCTTTTGGTCTGGAGGACTGTCCTGTTTTTTATCCTACATTGGATGAATTCAACGATCCTATGACCTATGTTCGATCTATCTCTGACTCTGCGAAAGATTACGGTATCTGCAAAATTGTTCCTCCCAACGGTTGGAAAATGCCTTTTGTCACTGATACCGAGGTTTGTTTGCTTTTTGCCCTTGGTTCTCCAACTGATGACTTTTTTCTTGTTCCGCAATCTTTTCTTGTTGTGCTAGGCCTTTCGCTTCAAGACACGCCTTCAGCGTCTTAACTCGATTGAGGCTTCTTCTCGTGCTAAAATCAATTTTTTGGAGCAACTTTATCGTTTCCACAAGCAGCAGGGCAACTCACGTGTATCGGTACCCACCATTAATCATAAACCTCTTGATCTCTGGCTTCTCAGAAAGGAAGTCCATAAACTCGGTGGTTACGATGCTGTTCGTATCGCTGTTCCTGTTTTACCTGTATATATATCTCACCGATGCATTTCCCATAGGTGACGAAGAACAAGAAGTGGTCAGATCTCGGTCGGCTACTTGGTTATGGTGGCATTCCCGGTTTGTCGACGCAGATCAAGAATTCATATACACGAGTTATCCTTCCTTATGAAGACTTCTGCGAACGTGTCCGTACTTCACCGACACTATCAATGTCTCCGACGACAACGCGCGATCCACAGCTCAAGACTCACGTAAACACACAGACTGTGGGAAGTATGCGCCTAGGCCAGTCAAGCGCCCGTAGTGCTAGTGTCGATAACCAGAGTCCTCCATCGAGCCCGCTTACTGCTTCTTCAAGTCCGTTATCCGAGCCACCGGACGAGGGCGAGTTCAAGGATCAACCTAGAGGGAGATCTGACAGCGCAAAACCTAGGAGGAGCGCTAGGATGTCATCTCAAGAGCATTCAACCCGTCCGTTCCTACCTTTAAATTCACATGCGTACTCTGATCAGTATTTATAACCAGCCGGACCCAGGAGATCAGAAGGCAATGGCCTCTTGCCCTCACCCATCATTCCATCACCCATCTTTCATGATCAGCAAAGGACTACAAAGCCATCTTCTGAGGTAAGTTCTCTAAGAATGCACAATGGGCGCGTTTCTCAGCGCCCGACGCAGCAATCTTGTGAAATTTGCCAGAAGAAGAACCGTGGCGAGGAAATGCTCCTTTGTGACGGTTGTGATTGTGGTGAGTCATTCATCACACTTTCTCTTTTTTCTCTCTCGCCTACTAATTTCCTACTTAGGTTTCCATATGTTCTGCCTTGATCCTCCACTCGCTACCATTCCAAAGGGGCAGTGGTTTTGTCATACATGCCTCTTTGGTACAGGCGGTGACTTCGGGTTCGACGAAGGCGAAGAACACAGCCTTTCTAGCTTCCAAGCTCGCGATGCAGAATTTCGGCGCCTGTGGTGGAGCGCTCATCCTCCAACTTCTTCTGAACCATTGGATCCCAAAGATCCGGTTGTGAACCGCGTGGGCGGTGTACTGGTCTCAGAATATGACGTTGAGAATGAGTTTTGGCGTCTTGTTCAGACTCCGCAAGAGACCGTTGAGATTGAGTATGGCGCAGATGTACACTCAACCACACACGGAAGGTGAGCGGTCTTACTGTGCTAATGCGGCTCTATAGCCACTAGTTCCATCGTTAACGTATTTCCGTTTCTCATTGCATAGTGCCATGCCCACCATGGAAACACACCCATTGGACCCATACGCGAAAGATCCATGGAATTTGAACAACATGCCTATAGTTTCCGATTCGCTTTTGAGGTTTATTAAATCCGATATTTCTGGGATGACCGTGCCGTGGACATATGTCGGAATGGTGTTTTCTACATTTTGCTGGCACAATGAGGTATGTAGCCTTTATTACCTTCTTGACTCATTCGTTGATATGTTACATCTCCATTAGGATCATTACACTTATAGCATAAATTACAGTGTGTATTATCTATCATATCACGGTTTAATTTACGACTTAACTTTTGTTCAGTGCACTGGGGAGAGACTAAGACTTGGTATGGTATCCCTGGAGATGATGCAGAGAAGTTTGAGACTGCCATCAAGAGCGAGGCCCCAGACCTGTTTGAAGCGCAGCCAGATTTGCTGTTTCAGCTCGTGACGTTGATGAATCCTAAGCGCCTAATTGATGCTGGTGTTCGTGTGCATGCGTGCAATCAAAGGGCGGGTGAATTTGTGATTACATTCCCAAAGGCGTATCACGCAGGTTTCAACCATGGGGTGCGCCATTATCTCTGAACCGCAATAGCTGTACTGACGATCATTCTTCACTAGTTTAATTTCAACGAGGCTGTGAACTTTGCTCTACCAGATTGGCTTCCGTACGGAAGGGACTGTGTACAGCGATACCGCGAACACAGGAAATTGCCTGTATTTTCACACGATGAGCTCCTCATCACTATTACGCAACAATCTCAATCCATCAAAACTGCGCTATGGTGAGCTATCCTTCTTGATATAGCGCATATACGCAGTGTCTAATTTCTCTATAGGCTTGCTGATAGTCTAAAGGAGATGACCGAAAGAGAGATTGCTGCGCGTGAGAAAGCACGTTCCTTTGGGATGACTGAAGTCATAGACGAGGTCGACCATCCCGAGGAACAGTATCAGTGCATAATTTGCAAAGTTTTCTGCTATCTGTCGCAAGTCAACTGCCAGTGCAAAACCCAAGTCGTATGCGTTGAGCATGCCGATCTCCTATGCGATCATTCGCTCAACCAGTTAACCCTACGGTTACGGTTTACGGACGCGGATTTATTGGATACACAAACGAAGGTCGTCGAACGCGCAGGAATACCGTCTAGTTGGAAGGGAAAGCTTAGTAAAGTGTTGATAGACAGTGCTCGACCGCAACTACGATCACTCCGTGCCCTTCTCGCAGAGGGGGAACGCGTCAATTACCATCTTCCAGAGCTTCCTGCGCTTCGTAAGTGCGTTAACCGCGCGGGCGAATGGGTCGATTCGGCGAATACCTTTCTAATCCGCAAACAAAGCCGAAAACGTTCGCGACGATCACGAGGTCGGCCACCCTTAAATGAGGCTGCAAACACTTCATTTGACGACCGCGATCCAGGAGATAGACCTGACAGGGGCTTGGAGGACCTCTACTCTTTACTGCGTGAGGTAGAGAACTTGGGTTTTGACACTCCAGAGATTAGTGTTCTGCAGGGTCTTGCTCGACAAGCAGAGGAGATCAAGCTGAAAGCCCTTGACTTGCTAGATGTCTCTAACGCAATACCTGAACGTGACGCATATATTGGGGATTGTGAACGGCTACTTCTTCAGGGCTCATCACTGAACGTCCATCTAGAGGAGATAGTAGAAATTGAAAAGATAGTGATGCGGGAACATCTTCTTAGGGAGCTCGAAGAGAAACTGGACGACGCGGCTATTACCCTGGAAGATATTCGGGGGCTTTTAACGCGCGCTCGGTCTTGTAATCTCCCTCAAGATAACAAGTACATGAAAACCTTGGAGTCTAGGCAACGTGCGGGAGATAACTGGGAAGAACGGGCACGCCATGTCCTCGAGCAGCCGTATAAAACGATCGATGAATTGGACGACTTTTTCAACATGGATTCCACCATTCCTATCGAAGTAACAGTATACGATCGACTTATGTCCGCTCGCAATAAAGCCAAAGATTTCGAGAAGCAGGCAAAAGCCTGGCTATCACCTGATACACAAGGACCGAAGCCCAAAGTACAGGAGGTGATGCGATTTGTAGCTCGCGCTGAAAAAGATTTCAGTATACCCGCTATACAGGATTTAAAGCGAACAGCAGATATAGCCTTCGACCTTGAAACTCGGTGTGAAGCGGTTATCAAAAACCGTTATCAACATCGTGATGAAGGTGACATATTCGACATGATGCGCAGATGGAAAACGTACACTCGAGAACATCTGCCAATGTTTTCGCTTCCCATTTTCGAGAAATTGGATGTTCAATTGAGCCAGCATCAGCGGTGGCTAGAGGATTTACCGTGGTATTGTCCTCAGCGTAATGAGCCTCACGGACAAGCAATACTCGACGACGTCGTAGAATCCACTCGACCTGAAGACGACCTACCTCCTAGCGACGAATATTTCACCTGTATCTGCACTACGCCTGTGCGGCCGCCTCCCCCTGGTGTAGTATCAGATGCAGTCCAATGCGATCATTGTTTTGCCAGATTCCATGGTGTATGTGCTGCCAATGGTGGATCTTGCCCCTTTTGTGACCATCATCATTGGAATGGTGCGATTCATAAAGAACGCAGCTGGCATTTCTGTTTTCTGCCGACTATCCTCCTCTCCGCGCCGGACATTACCAGAAATTATTCGGATGCTTGGAAACAGCTAGAGATCATAGTCCACAGGATCGACCGCCTATCCTCCGTCATTGGCCATTTCCTTTCTTACGCATCACAGCCATCAAACCGGCGTGCTGAATATATTCCGCAAGTACGGCACTACATGCGCAAGCTCTACAAGATACAATTTGCTGTCTCTCCAAGTCGAGAAGTATCCTTTGGCTTAGATTTAGCAGGTTTGCACCGCATTCTCGCTGGGCAACCTGCGCCAGTACGTATCAAGAAAAGACGAAGGCCAAGGTTTACTTTCGGCCAAGACATCGACAAGGACTGGACAGATGGTACCCGATGCATATGCAGAGGTCGCACCCCGTATCTTCTGAACTATCCGACCGCAGAATGTGATGTTTGTAACAAGTTGTATCATGCAGCTTGCGTGTTCTTCCCACTCGATACTTCTCCTACGAATCGTTTCATGTGTCCACTATGTTGTCTGCGGAAGAATAGATCATATCCTTACTCGGAAGTGCGAGTTAAGCATATCGGTTCGTGCTTTACTTTCTAAACTGCTGAATTCTTATTAACTTTATGAACTTTACAGACAATCAAGAAATGAACACATATGTCAACACGAAGGAGATGCTTGACACGTTCAGCAAAGATATCATATATGTCAAGATGTTACCACCGTACACGCAGACACTATTTGTCGAGCTAACACGATTCGTTCCCGGTCAACCTGACAATAGCAGTCCGAACGGTTCCACGCCTCGAAGCACAGCTGGACCTTCAATACCGCGTCCTCCTACTGCACCCGACACCTCACATCATCACCCTATGCATTTACTTCATACTCCTTTGCCTCTACCCACCCCACCCCCACCTGTATACGAACCAGTTAGAACATTGCCTTCTTCTGGGCACCATGTTCCTCCTCCTCCCCCTTGGTCAAATCGGTGGCAAAATACTACTCCTCTTTCACTCGCGTCAGCTCAGCGTTCTCACCTTTCTGACTCGTCTCATTCGACCTCACCGCATTCTGGGAAAAAACGGAAGTTTGTTGACGAGACCCCCGATGACATGGCTGGCTCACGGTCGCCTAAGCAGCGACGAATGCCTCAGACTCCAGTCCCTCCTTCCTCGACGCTGTCTTCACGTCCACTGCAACAAACACTCTCTCCGTCTCTGGCAATGATAGTTTCGCCCGTTGATACTGAGCCGTCCCCCCGAACGACGTCTTCGTATTTTGCAGGTCCAAGTTCGTCTGCAGGGAAACTAGTTAATGGTGATACCCCACCTGTGAAAACGGTCAAACTTGTAGTGTCGAAGAACAAATAGACTAGCTGCCGTACTTTTTACTCGGTTTCTCTTGTCTCAGGTGTACCTGTGATACTTTTGTGATTTGTCTGTGATTTTTGTCGTTTTTTCTCTCTATGATTTTGTCGTTTCACGTTTTGACCAATAGCTAACCATGTTTCTTTATGCTAAATATACATTAAAAGTGTCTTTGCGCTGCGTTCTAGATGAGGACCCGGAGTTTCATGTATGATAATAAACAATGGAATAGATGAATGTGGCGCCATGAGAAACAATATATTAAAGAGTCATTCTCCAAGAGTTGGAGAACACAAGTCCAGCTTCATACGTGTTGAGCGCCTGGACATAGATCACCGTCGAATCATAAACTTGTACGTAGTATAACCCCCGATCAGAGCAAACGTCGCTAAAACAGCAACGATTGATGCAAACCACGCGTATCCTTGCTATTAATACTAAGCAATGCGAAGGAAGAGAAGAGAGAATAGAGGAAGACATACATCGACATCTTGCCCTGGCACGTGAACGTTCATCCCCCAGAGACCTACGAAGATCAAGTTCAGCGCGAATGTCCCATCAAATATCAAGATGGCACCGTACCAGTTATGAGATTCATAGGAATCAATACTGTACCCAAAGCAGTCATCTTCGACAGCACGTCATTGATTTGATTGTTGGCGTCTGTCATCTCTATAGAAATCTGTGCGAGATAGTTTGAGTGTGAGCGTGAAAGAATCTTTTCGTAGTGGTTCAAATTCTGTGTCATGGTGATAAGATGGTCCTTAACATAGAGTCAGTGACAGGGCTCTGCAGTCTCTACCGGCATGACTTACTTGGATATCAGATAAATAAAGCCCCTGACATACAGATTGTCAGCGTTAGACTTGGTTCAATAAATGGCATACTCACTATGTCGGACGTTGGTGCCACTCTCCAGTTCTCGTTACATCTTTTCGCAAGACCCTTCACAACATCTGCCTTATTCCCCATAAGTCTCAGCAATCCCATGACTTTTTTTCGGCAGGTTCCAATACGCCGCAACATGTCACTCTGCTCTGCTTCTTTCAGGATGAGTACCAACTCATCTATGGAGTCAACCTCATACTCGATCGATTGAATGAGTGGACCAAAAGCATCCGTGATGTCGTCGATAAGCGCATAGGAGATCCAGTCGGAAGTCACACTGATATAGTCTTTAAGCTGCTTAATCCGGCGGCGAACATTTTGCGGGTGAGGGGTGGGGCGGAAATGAAACTACAAGTAACACGTTTCAGCACAGTAGCAATAAAAAATCATGTCGTAATCCTTACCGATAGAGTACCCTCTCGGAACACGATGATATACATATTCAAAGGTTCCAGGTGAGTCGGACTGTACTGATCCTGGTCAAAACCTCTGAAACAGACAAGATAGTAATTCCGGAAAAGTTCGATCTTCTCGCGCGCTTCCTCCATTTGAATATCTTCAGTCGTCAAAGGATGGATTGAAAACACCTGGCACATTATTCAGGATAGGTTACTCCGCGGTAGTTACGAAACTTCAAATTACCTTGCTGAGCACTCTCATTTCCTCATCCGTAGGGCTCTGGATATCGAGCCACCATGTGTTGGCCTCGAAGTCAGCACCGCCACCGATGACGGGGTTGTTTCTTCCGTGATCAACAGAGGCATTGTTCTTGCCTCCATGAGTAAAGTATGAATTAGTGCCGTGACTTTGGGCACCATCAGCCGCACCTTGCGCTGACCTTCTGGCAGTGTCAAATTGCAAAGCAGACCCTTGGCGTGATATGGGAACAGGAGCAGGAGCGATGATAGGTGGACCACCTTTCCTATCGACGGCCTCGCGATCGGCTAGAGCGGATATCCCGTTGAAGAGATCTTCGAAAGACTGCCCTTCTGCAGGAAGTTCGCTGAGGCTGCGTGCATGTATTGTGGCAGGCAGAGCATTCGAGTAAAATGAAAAGCGGTATGGTCTGTCGTGGCCTGTGTTGATGATGCCGCCCATGCCTTGAGGAGACGAATGTCTAGAAGGCAATCCCCCCGTACTAAACTCGTCACCAGCGGCGGAGGCAGTTTCAGATGAAGGGATAGTACCCAGATGGCCCGTCGTGCCCATTAGTCTGCCAGGTAATCCCAAAGACAATTCTGCAGCATTGCCTTCAAACAAAGCCATTTTCCCTCTGATACCTTTGCGGTTAGGGCGGGGGTTTGGGTTACTTTGACTAAGTTTACGATGACGAGAAGGGCGAGGTGCGGTGAATGGACTGTCAGATGAGCCTTCAGGGAATGCGGGGGGTGGATTCAGGTCGGCGTCAATAGGTTGTGTGTTGCTGGCTTGTCGTCGTCTGAACCCATTGGGTTGGTTGGTGGTGGGTGACGAGATACCTAAGCTCGCCTTTTCCTCTACAGCAAACTGCTCCAAGGAAGTGAAATCAAAAGTGGAGCGGGACACGTTAGCTTGGTATGTCGGTAGTCCAGACATGGAAGCAGGATCCTCATGATCTGTGTTGGGAAGTTGACCACCGAGTGTAGCAAGAAGTGAGGGATCATGGCCTTGGTCTAGGTGATGCATTCCGAAGTCGACAGGAGTCACCCGAGTGTGTATATGCTCATCGTCGAGCCGTCCGTTAACAAGGTCATGTCCTACGGGATGGAATTGTCCCCTGGCATAGTCTATCTCTCGTTCTTCGTGCACAGAAAGAGAGGGGAATGTGGATTCGGGATGTTCTGTCTGCCGGGGAGCAGGTTCATAAGGCGAGATGACTGGAGAGACCGTGATAGTCTCTCTACGTGCTCGAGAAAGATGCAGTGCCATGTCTACGTCCATCGTTCTCTGTCGCTCTCTCGCATCCGGGTCATTAGGATCATATGATCGAACAAGCGTTGGTGAATGTCGTTGACGAGAGATCGCTTCTGTAACATCTGTTTGACTCGAATTCTCTCTGTTCTCCCGACGTCGTACAGGCGAACATCCCCGCATAGAGGTCGGCGAACTAGATAACACAGGAGGATCTCGTGATGGAGATGTCATTCTGCAGCCCGAAAATGGTTCTGAGATGCAATTCTAAAAAATAAAGAGTAGATAAAGAGATATTTTTCGTTCTTCCAGTGTGGTTTCGCAAGGCTACTGGTCGACGTTGTGCACGTTGACAAGCAAGGCAGGCCTCCTTTACATTGGCGGAGTGATGAAAGGTGCGACAAGAAAACTGACAGAATAACGCTGAGCTTCAATAAGGTATGATACAGGCACGTGACACAAAATCATTGGCGCATGTGTTTACTACGAAGACCTACTATCAGAGCTACCATCTCTAACAAAATATCTCCACCCTATCCTCGCAATAACAATGAGAGCAATCTGGAGGTTTGCGAAATCATAAACACGAAAGACTGTCCGTGAACCAGCCAAAAAGGCTACACTGGCCAGTACAATAAAACCCCACCGCACGGAAATTCGTCTATTGAAATCATCAATCAGATAAGCTTCATCAGGGTTACATATAATTCAAAGTTAGCCTTACTTTTCTGAAAATAGCAACGTTTCACTTCTCCGGGAAGTGTATTCCACAAGCACCAATACGGGTGCAACTTTCAAGAAGTTATGATCCCCGTTAAAAGGAGTGGTGTACCCTGCTGTGAGTAATGTGCGTACCCACACAGCCAGCACCGGTGCAGCAAGTGGAAGCAACCATGTCAACAACAGAAGTATATGAGTATTCTGATTATAGACGTTCGTCGAAGTAATATGTAATTGAGGTGAGGGAAACTGCGAGGACTCCAACATGCCCGAGCGGGTTTCATTACTATCTTCGTCGCTTTGTCCATCTTGCATTTCCTCTTCGTTGTCTGGGCCTTGGTTGAGTAAGGGAATGTCATCTACTAATAGAGTAGGTGCTGAACCCGGAAAGGAAAATGGTGAATGATATGTGGCACACGTGTGCAAATGAATGATCCAGCATCCCAAGTACGCCACTTGCCATGGCACGAAGACGAAGATAAGTAGCAGTATAATCAACAAAGAGATCAGGGTGCTGTTCTGGACAGCAGCGTATTCTTTGCGTCTACATGACTAAAATATCAGTACGTGGCCAGTAGGGAAAAGGTCAACTAACCTCCCCAAAATAAGTTTTTTTATGCGTCCCAGAGGCCACATCAAAATAACGAGAATATACCAGCTTATACACACGAGACCAGTAGCAATGAGCACCAAAAGAGGAGCGATGGGAGAAAAGACAAGTTCGCCTTCGGTCCCCAAGTAATAATCGGACGGCAGGGGCACAGACGAAACGACAAAAGAAGAGATTAAGAGGCTAGGCAACGTCCGCTTTACAAAATTGGTAAGGGATTGCGAAACACTAGGCATATGCCCTATCGCACGGTCTAAGTCGGTGGAAAAAAATACATGAAAGACAGGCTTACCTTTCTCGGCTGGCCCCCATGCATGAAATAACACTATACTAGCAATGCCCACTGCCCAGCAAACCAGAGTGGTGGGATATCTCGTGGCCAGTCGACCTATCGAGGCCCACCAGTCAACAGTAATCTCAAAACCTGTGATGTCTCGGCATCCTGTACGGCCCGAGGAGTAGATAGTTAGGTTGACCCCTCGTGGAAGTGTAGAGCGTACGGAAGGAATATATGGTGCCGAACTGTGGGTGTGCAAAAGCGCTGAACGAGAAGTATGGTTTGAAAGGGAATGGTAGTGAGTCTCGGCGGGGTTTGAAGTGTGCATCAAAAGGGGTGGCAAAAGGGACTCTTATATGTGAAATATTAACATAATACCGACTAGTATAGCTTAAAGACAAAACTTTACCTGCACAAGATTGGGAGTGTTCAACTTGAGTTGTTGTCAGGCGATATACAAGCAGCGAATTTGAAAGTAAATTTGGCATATATATCAGGCTCCGCAAAGCAGCACTGTTGTTAGATGACAGGTCCACGAATACTTTCCCAAACATCAAATCTGAACATAATGAGTGATCAGTATTGTGTTACCTCAAGTATGGAAACATCCATTCACCCAAGGCGCTTGCGTGATTTGTAAACATTTGTTCTGAATCAAAAGCACCGATAACCCAACCTTGTCCATCGGCGCCTTCGACCCTGACACCCACCCATGCATTGTCTACTCCTTCGGGAAGTGGAGGTATATCGGCTTGAAAAACAACAACGCCATCACTTTCGTCCGAGCCTTCGTCAGGAGTAGGAAATGGCATTCCTGGCGCAGGATTTGGTACAAGTTTGAGGGTCGTAGGATGCAGTGTAGTGCATGAAATTGAAGCATTAGTCTCAGATAATCGAGAAGAGCTCCAGCAGAAATATACTGAAGCATGAAGCAACAAAGCCTTTTGGGGCGAAACAGGTAAAATTGACCCTTGCGACACGTAGAGGATGAATTTAGAGGAGGAGATTGTCGAAGAAATCACAGGGAGAAGATACATTCTTGTTCCACGTGGACTTTTGAGTACCAGATGAGTGTCTTCGGGAAGCATCTCGTAGAATGCAGGATCGTCGAGGCCTATTTCGACCCGCGGCGAAGCTACAGGGGGTAAAATGTGGCCGTCCCTGAGCCATTTGTCAAGAACAACAGCCTTGTCTTCTGTAGAGGTTGCTGCACCGAGTTCAAGTGCTGCTCTTGCAACACGCCACCGCACCTGATGACACCACACCATCTCACGATGGCCTACGCCAGTCCAAGCGCCCTCTAGTGCAGAAGTAAATACGGTCCTTCTGTAGATGGCAGCGTCACTAGAAGCTGACGGCAATATGCAGAACTCTGATGGGATCATCAAGTCCGTTGCGCCGCCGCAGATCGAGAGGATAGGTGTCGGCTCTTGGCGCAAGATGTGCATATTACGAGCATATATTTCGTCAATTCGAGAATCAAAGCGAGCAGGTGGAAGGGTGTGTGGTGTTGACATAGTGATTACGGTAGATATGCTGTTAGAGGGAAGAAGTGATATCGCTACTATGCCACCCATGGAATGACCCAGGAGAATTATGCGAGTATTAGGGGGATAAAGTGAAAGAATATACATTAGTGCATCAGAAGTATATGCTGTTTGGGAATCAAGAGTTGGCCCATGAAATGCGGACAAGTCCTCGTTGAACTCGACTAAAAGAAAAGTAAAATTTATTTCAGCTTTAGCATGTACGAGTATGACATAATTCAAATGTGGAAGCTCTTAAATGGATAATTGGCTGAACGTTATCCAGCATTTCCTGTACCCTTTCCAACTCAAAGATAATATCCATAACAATTACTTACCTGCGAAGAAATCCAGTGGTTTCATGCTTCTGCCCATGAAGTCGGTCGCGATGACATAAGGGGACGAGAAATACTGTCTCGCAGCGGATGACGCTATTGAGCGAACCTGATGCGAAGACCCTGCATTTCCAGGTATAAAAAGGACGGGTAAGCCCTGGGCCTTCATCCATACAGCGTCCAGAATGCACAGCAGTTCCATAAATCAAGACAACATAACGGAACCCCAAAGTGTCATGTTACCTTCATTTAGCTATCAAACCACTTGACAGTCTAGTCAAATAAAGACATATCTCACCTGGTTAGGTTCCCATCCCACCTCACGATAAAGCCATAGCGAGTACCTGGTTGAAAACCGTGTCCAGGAACTGTTGAAGTTTGACTGGAGAATATATGATGGTGACATCCATGACATTCGGCATCCCTGTGGTGAAATGTTGCGAACGATGTCGTCCCCCGCTTGGTAAAAGACAGCAACCAGAGTAAGAGCAAGTAACGCAAAAATACCGGTAAGTATCTGACCCATGGTTCTGGTCCAGTCAAGATATCGATATAAGTACAAGATTCGAGTTTATAACAGATTGTCGTGACTGTCCAAGTAAAGCGCGCCTTAAGCGGTGTCAAGCGTGAGGTCGCCGCGACTAGCCGAAAACATGAAAACATAACCCAGCGACAATGAACGTTCTTGATTGTCGACTGCCAATATTTATGCCATCCTTTTCCCTGTATCCTTTACATGTTGTCTTCCACGATTGATCACACGCCTTCTTGCACGGACGTCGTCGCTAAAGTCTTTCTTTCTGTGCTGTAAGCTGATGTTGATATACCCTGGCCCGAGAGTCGCGTACAGTGGATGACGGACGCCACTAGATCTATCTCAGTATCCGTAGCGGCATCTCGAATTTTTAGGATCTTATGCTTTCGCTTGTGGTCCCAGTCTAGGATAAGCAACCGACGGTGAGCGCTGGTCTTATATCTGGGAACGAATTAATGACCAGTGGTGTCTGCCTTTCGTCCCAGCAATCGGATCCCTGTGAAGTCTTCTTATGCTAAGGTTAGGTTTAAACACGGCTGACAATGCAAAGAGTTGAACGCCGCCATTATGTCTGTTATCATGACGTTAATCAGGGTCGTGATACCGGTACCTACATGGACACACAATCTATAGTGGGTTTAGGTCACCAATCAAGTGCCATATAAACATCAAAACGTAGACATGGTACATGTTCCGCGACCTGCTCTTGTTCTTGCATCTGGATGTGGCATATATCCATCGCACGCGCGTTTTCATTGTCTTCGACACTTACTTGACACCGAGCTCAAGTACCAATACCGTTCCTTCTTACTCCTTCAGCCGTGACTCCTCACTACGCCTCAACCTGAAGTCCTTAGACGTCTACTATCATCACCTTAATTTTCCGTGAAATGCTGAACGTCTCATCTCACTACGCTCCTTTGTACTGGGGTAAAATAACTAATTTTATTATCTTTCAATTACATGACACTGAGCCCAGTCTCTTCTCTTCTTAATGTAGGGTTTGTGTGTTCGACATGGTACTTCTCCCCCCCGATCTTTCGTCCTCTTAGGCTGTAGCCGTCTCTCTTTTTGTTTTTTCAGTTTCCTCGGTGCTACAGTCGTACAAACATATATGTATTTCTCTCATACCCAGGATAGGTGGCCGATGAAAATACTGGTGAGTTGCATAAGATGCCTGTTTCGTCAAGAGGCAAGTATTAATGACTAGATCTCCAGGTACTCCTCTTACTGTATGTTTTTAATTGATCACATACCATATATCTAATAAACGGCGTGTTACTAGCACATTGGATATTTCTTCCACAGTCCTGATCGCAGACACAATATATTATTTATTCGTGCGTAGTCTTCGCACAATGTTTGGTCGGTTTCGTCCTTTTACGATATGGGCTGAAACTAGGTTATCAACTTTGGTGACTCTTCGGACTTTCATATGACTTCACCGTGAGTGAAGTATATTTTATAGTGTACTAAGATATCGAAGCACCATCACAGGCCGTGTGCTGTTGAAAAGGGAGTATCCTCCATTCTCACATCAATGTATGTCGCACTTCGCTTCTTTTGGCCTTGGTCTAATCAATGTTTAGCACGCAAATTTATTTTGCCACTAGAATATACATCAGTATGTCTATACGTCAACTATAGTCACTTATCACAGCCCTGATGAAACTTGATAATTCTAGTAAACAGACGGTGCTCGATTATATCGACTCGAGACTGGCTAATACCTACGGTAGTGGTGAGTCCTAGTTTTTGAAGGAGAATTTGACTGGATTTATGTCTTTAATGCACAGATTTTCCTCGCTTTGTGCGGAACTGGTGGGTTACTTTTGTCTTGAACTTCAACAGTACAAACTTACGACTACATTGATTTTTTAGCTGTTGGCATAGGTTAGGAACGTTCTCTGGTATATTTCTCCGGTTACTCACTCTTGATAAATACATTTTTGAAGCTGAACCAATCTACATGTTGTTTGTCCCATATACCATGTCAGCGGGTCCCCCAATGGAGGTGAATACACGTGCACGTCTTGTCAGTACTTCCTCATTCACATCAAAACGTAGATGATGGTGGTTATGGAAGAGGGGTCTGAGGTTATAGCTGATTTGCTCATCACCGTCACTTTGTGTTACATGCTCTCTCCAGACCGAACTGGAGTTAGAGTAAGATGGTGAGTGGATCAACGGTTAAATGCACAGCGTTTATGCGGAGACCCCCTTGACTAGGAGAAATTCCCACCTCAAAGACCTGTTCTCCTTAATGCTAAAGCGTGGTATCCTTGTCACCAGTGTCCAGATTGGCGTTCTCGTGGCTTACCTGACCGCACCGTATCAGCTTTATTGGTGAGACTTGCAAAATATCATATCTGCGTCGATGACAATGAATGACAATGACTTTTGCGAGGCAGGATACCGTTCCATGTGTGTAAGATAAAACTATATACAAACACATTCCGTATGTATCTCTTCGCAACTTGAATCTTCTCCTTTCTGACATGACCAAAACTCTTCATAGTGGCAATGTATGTACTTTCACTGACATCTCCTATTTATTACTCTTTCTCATGAAAGAACAAGGCTGAACTCGCGAGAAAGCCGGATTGCATCGCGGTCTGACACGCACCCGACGATCACTAGTTTCGTTACAACGCCCACGTTAGCTCTCCGTGATGATGGCGCTGGTATGTCGATGAACGCAAGTGGAAACTCAAGACAAGTGCGTTATTGCGCACTTCTAGGTGATATGACTGGACGTCATGCTGACACTTCTTATAAGGAGGATGTGGAGAAAGCAGGGACTTAAACGGAAGTGTGTGCTATCCGGAGCTGTTATACTGAACACGATAACCTGAATTTTCGTCACTCCTCCCATTCACACAAACATCCATTGCTCCTGTTCACATTAGTGATGTCATTTTCTCTCGTCTACTCGTGTGCCCAGTCTTTCTCTATATTGTATATCCTACACCTATTGCTACTTACTAAACGCCTTACCCTGCTCAAGCAGAAAATGAATAGCGGACATTTAAGACTGCAGTGTAATCTCTTCGCAGCAAGTTTACTATTCGCATTGAAGTTTAAGCTTTCAATGTTACTTACATGCACCTTCTATAGGCGCTGAGATATGTGACAGGACGAAAGTAAAACTACGCGATAATAGAGAAGACATGAAAGTTTGCCAGAAAAGAGGTGTGGGATGAAATGATGAGAAAAAGAATGCAGATAATGATGGTAACAAGCCACGCAGCCATATCTCTAGCGAGTTATCAGACACCGAAGTGAGTTGGCCGAAAGAACGAACACGCAAATATCAAGAATATGAACTACTAACACACTACTTAATTATCCTCCGAAGGACCATCATCGGCTTCCTGCTTCGATTCCGAGGGCTTGTCTGATATCACAAGTCAGCATACTACCAGGCGATGAGGGCCTGGAATTACATACCAGAGTCTTGCATGTCCGAAGTCCAGAGCGTCAGATTGTCCCGTAGCAATTGCATAATGAGTGTCGAATCCTTGTAGCTCTCCTCCGAGAGTGTATCAAGTTCAGCAATAGCATCATCGAATGCTTGCTTAGCAAGGTGGCATGCACGGTCAGGGCTGTTGAGGATCTCGTAGTAGAATACAGAGAAGTTAAGGGCAAGACCGAGACGAATGGGGTGCGTTGGTGGGAGTTCCGTGACAGCGACATCAGAAGCAGCCTTGTAAGCCTCCAGAGACTTGTCAGCGCTAACTTTGCGCTTATCGCCGGTAGCGAATTCTGCAAGGTAACGATGGTAGTCACCCATCCTAATTTATGGAATAGGTAAGAACAAGTCTAAATATGAACTCTCAAAGACTTACATCTTGTGGTAGAAGACCTTCGACTCTCCCGAAGCGGCGGAAGGGATGAGGTGCTTGTCGAGGACATCCAGAATGTCCTCGCAGATCTTTGCAAGTTCTTGCTCGATCTTCTCCCGGTATGTCTTGATCATGGCGACCTGTGCCTCATTACCCTTGGACTCTTCCTTCTGCTCGATTGACGAGACAATTCTCCACGAAGCACGACGAGCACCGATGACGTTCTTGTATGCAACAGATAGAAGATTGCGCTCTTCAACAGTCAATTCCTGGTCGGATGATGCCACCTGTTTCATGTTCTCAACCATTTCTGTAATGAGCGGTACTGGTAAGAAACCATCACACGACCGGATTAGATTGTAAATACCTTCATAACGCTCTGCCTGCTCTGCGAGCTTGGCGAGGTAGACGGAGTCTTCGCGGGATGATTCAGGCATCTGGAGAGATATCGTGGTGAGCAACACGAAAATGACGCGTCGATAGCGCGTCTCGCACTTACGATTGATTATGTGATGATATAAGGATGGAGCTGGATATGAATGTAAACGATGAGTGAAGTGCGTCCAGAACGGGGGGGACGACGAGGAACGTACAACGGGGGTTGAGTAGGGGCAGAGGGAGACGATGGTTGAGATGATGGTCGTTTGGTGAAGAGAGAGAAAGAGAGATAATGTTCAAAATTAAATTCAGAGCAGGGCAGAGGGTTCGGGTACAGGGCAGGGCCAAGGGTATTTCCATTAGAGAGTGCGTTTCCCACGACCTGTTCGCAGCCACAGCTCCCCACACCCCGAATCTCTGCCCTTTGTTTCCAATGCTCCTGTCTTCCCTGCTAGGTATTCGTCATCCCCCAGCTGACATGAGTGACGACGATGGAGAGAGATATATCGGTGTACTCTATATGACGCATTTTTTATTCGCAATTCTCTTTCAGTATTCTGAGTGTCTCCACCCTTGGCAAAAGTGGCATCTCTCTAGTTCCGATAGCATCGCCCTCTCTCATCAATACAGTTCTCATCGACTCTTGTGTCCGTGATGAAGCATGATGGCCATAGATACTGTTGTCCTCGCTGTTGTCTTGAGAAACACTACAATCTAAAACTTTCCGTCGCCAATTGTGGCATCTTGAGATGGTCGATGTGCTGCTTGTCCTTTTCTTAGGTGACACCATTATCTTATCTCGATCGTTCCTTTGGCGATACTAGTTATTATTGCACACCCCTCTCATTCTACAGATCCCAAATACATGCACCTTTTATTGTCAGTTAAACTACGGCAGGTACTTCAGCATCGACCTTTTGCAGTTCCTTCCCGTCTTTCTATGATTCAGGTGGTATACCACGAGATAACCAAAAGTAGGACATGCCAATAATAAGATGAAAGTCCCGTGCTGATGCGTTAATGTATACTTCTGCAGATGCATCATGATCCATCCCGCGCAGCTGGTCCTTGATGGCACAGCAAGTGCTGATGTCTATTTTAGAACTTTCGCATACCGGTATCATCTATCTTGATGTGATCTGGAGGCCATTCAATTCGTACCCGCTTTACTTTGCATGAACTACTAGGCCCCGTTTCATGTAGGTCACACTTGTATCTGTTGAGCTTTATACCTATGATTTCGATGTTATACAGACTATCCGGAGCTTGACACTGGTTTGACACTGGTTTGAACTTTCATGTTAATGTTCCTAGCGCTCGGCGAAATACTCATGTGTGATAAAGTTTATGTTAGTCGCTTTACACTATGGCATACACCCTGCTTCAAAGTTTCAAATGAGCCATATTGCCACTTAGCGCCGAAACGTGATTGGATGGTCCTGTACAATGTACTGGTTAGTGCCAGTAATGGAATCATGTGTATCTGGCTATAAGAATAGCTCAAGCGTCTTCTTTTGGGCTTGTCGCGTTTGAAGGTATGTTGTCTAGTATGTTCCTTATCATGACATTCATGGAAGCTTTTTTTAAGTGACTCAGAGCGCTTTATTTCATAAGCAGGCTCGATGGTTGTAGTAACTAATATGGAGCTGTTGAGCTGACTTGGAGCTTACATCGGCGCGCCAGAGAGGTTATACCTATCGAACAGTCTTACAGCCTCACAGGAAGCTTTCGTGTTCTTAAAGGCTTCCTGTTCGTTGGTTCTACAAATCAACGTGTTGTATTTTGTTACTGCCAGACTGTAAGCACAGTCATTACGCGTATGCGTAGTCACGTGAGCACTACTTAACGCGTCGCGTTAACACTCAAGGGTGGAGCTCTCCCTCCGTGAACATCGCTCCTCCAAAACACTCTTGAGCCGAAGATGCCTCCCAAGAGAAAATCTGATACAGGCAGAGGCTCTTCCTCTAAAAAGTTTCGTACTTCCGATCCCGATGAAAGTCTAGTGAATACAATCCTCACCAACGTCGAATATTATCCTCTGCCCAATGAGCCTGATACAATACGCCAGCTACTTGTACAGCTCGCCCAATACTCTTGAAGTTTGGAAATACGAGTCCAACATGCTGCCTCTTCAAGCTCCGGTTCTGCACCAAAAACCCAAGAAGAGTTGGAGGCAGCAGTCGAGAAAGTAAGGAAAGCAGCAGTAAGTGGTATCAGAAAGCAGATGACTGTGAGCCGTCCATCTTCCCTCGAAGTGACGTCTGATCTGACATATTGTTGTTTGTCGTCCATTGCTACAACCAGTGGAAACCTTCGCGCAAAGCGGGAACTGCAAAATGGCTCTATGATGGTGTATGCACTGATCCGGCTGTGTTCGGTGCCCTGCTCAGGTTGGATGGTCCGCCCACATTAAAAATGCACAAAATGGAGACGAGCAAGTTCGAGGAACTGATAGGTGATCTAAGTTCTTCCGCACGGTAAGTTCGCTCTTCTCGCCCAGCCCTTACCGCGGTGAATCACTTGCCTTTCAGATATTCTACGCTTTGTGTCACCAGTAGCCATGTCAACATACGCTGGACTGACGCGGGAGAGTTTAAGTTTAGTGGTTCATATGGCACACCGAGGTAGCAAGGAATTTTGGTCTGAGTCTGTGGGTCAGGTCATTGAAACACCCTGGCCACACTGTTTGGAAATTTAACGTCTATTACTTTTATCATTGTCAGTTGTCATAATGTACGCTAGTCAGTCTCACAGTGTTTTATAACAGCACGATAGTAGTATTCGAGTGGCGTATCAAGATTTCTAGTGTAAGTTTGAGTTGAACGTTCAAGTTGAAATTTTGAAAAGGCAACGTTCCTGAATACAAGGTCACGTGTTTGAAGTATTATTTTGTACAAGGACAAACTCCACGTCTGCAGCCTCTAGAGAACCGCCCAACCATGCCGACCACAGCTGCAGGATCCACGCCAGCAGCAGCTCCTCAGGTGGAGCAGAGTACCACGAGGAGAGTACTCTCAGTAGTCCAGGTTGGTTTATCTCGCCCGCCTTTTTGGTTCTTCTAGTCTGATAGCACTCACAGCAAGTAGTGATAGTATGGGCTTTCACTCAGTTAGGTATGTTGCTGCCCGTACTTATGAAATGATTTTTACTGAGAAAAACTATACTTAGCAACCAAGTTTTTTCTCCCTACAAAGACTCCTGTAGCTCCTCCAGCGGCCTCACCCGTCGTGCCCAATGTATCACCTGTTACTACTGAAAGCCAGATAAGCCCCTTCTTGCTACCCCCGGTCGAAGCATATCCCTCTTGGTCATTAAATCAGCCTGTCGCTATGCATGTGTACATCTCTACGTCACCTTCCGGCGATGTGTTCTCACGACAGTGGACGTCTGCATGGCGAAAAGACCAGGATGAGGGTCTGCCAAACTTTGTATGGGAGAACATTACTTTTGGCGATTGGAATGAGGAAAGAACAGTTTCGTATGATGTGAAACTTCCTGAGGTAAGTTGTGATTGCTCTGTATCGTGTCTTCTTTCGTTCAGTCGTTTATATGCTTCTACAGGCTGTACAGCGAAACGGATCTCTATGGGCAGATGTATTCTTAACAAAGAATGGAGCAAGCCCAGACCCTACAAACTCTCGATTTGATCCTTCGTCTATCCATCATATTAGAAAATGTGCGCTTCTTTATCAATCGTCCGTCACTAGTTTCGTGAAGTATTAAAGATAATAATCCCAGTACTCACTCGATATTTGCCGAAGGAAAAGGTTCGCAAAGAGAAAAGCCTGCTGAGTAATAATGCCGACGTAGACTCTGAAGACGAAAAGGTCCACATATTTCTAATCTAGGTTAGGGAAACATATTCATATTTTCTACTGTAGCCCCAGGAAGATATCATTGTTTCGCACTGGCATTCAGTATGTTACTTCATTTGAACATTCACACTCTAAACACTGAATCATCTTGATAACCAGAACTTGACGCTAGCGCTCATTTCAGACAGTACGGCGTTACAGTACGGAAAGCTACCTCCTGTCCTGCATGAGCGTGAGTTTCATATTCAATTCCTCTGTGTCTCATGCATAATAGTTTTTTAGACATCCACCTTCTACCTGGTGAACGAGACGCAACTGGCACCAAAGGTTTCTATAAACCTATCATCTTCCCGAATGATTTTTGGCTTCTTCGCTCTCAACTTGTCGAAATCAATACCACTACCCCTACTCTGCCCCTTCAAATAACCTTCCAGCCGCTGTCATATTTCAAGTTCCAAATATTCGCATCCATGACACATGGGTTTGATGAGGCCGCAAAGCAACAAGGGGGCACCGGCGCAGAACTGGATGAGATTAAAAGGATGCTGGTCGAAACGAACCCGTGGTTCCTCGGATTAACTGGGCTTGTGAGCATTTTGCATGTACTGTGGGTACTCTTTTGCACTTTTATGGTCTCTCCCGCTTGATGTATTTCCTTTGCTCCTTGCAGGTTCGAGATGCTTGCATTCAAATCCGATGTATCGCACTGGCGTCATAAGAACGAACTTGTGGGCGTGTCTGTGAGGTAAGTCTAGCCCTTACTTTGTCCGGTATTCAAACCAAATCCTCGTCCCACAGGACTGTATGTATTCTCCCTTTCTGGCCGTTGGGTTGACTATTAAAGCTAATTGCATCATCCAAATTATTTTTGGCATAGATCGTTACGAACGTATTTGTACAGGCTATCGTTTTACTGTACCTCATCGACAATAACACTGACACAAGCTGGATGATTCTTTTTGGCTCTGGCATGGGTGTGCTGGTAGAGGCATGGAAGGTAAGGGCAATCTGTTAATAACAGCGCATTTGTTTAATGTTTCATTGGTATAGATCACAAAGGCCGTAGATATCACCATCATCAGTGCACCACCTGGCTCTTTATTACCTTATCAATTCGACATCAAAGGTATTGGCTATTCCTGTTCGATTTCGAGAATCGTGCTAAGTATCACCCGCACTCCATTAAGACAAACATGTTCTCAGCGAGGATGAAAAGAAGACACAAGAGTGAGTAATATCCCACTCCACCATGGCATCGATAGGCATGCTAAGCGATTTCAGGTACGACAAACTGGCCTTCCGATATGTCTCGTACTTCGCAATCCCATTGCTTGCGGCGTATACTGTTTACTCGTTGTTATACGAGACGCACAGAGGCTGGTATAGCTTCGTGATCTCCACGTTGACTTCGTTCGTGTATATGTTTGGTTTTGTAAGTCCATATCGGAGCTCACACGCATGGATTCTTGACTGATGCGGATGGACTGTGACAGGCACAATTGATACCTCAGCTCATCATCAACTACAAGCTTAAGGTTCGTCCCACCCGGTATATTTGTTTGTCCTCATTTTGACAGCTATGCAGAGCGTGGCGCACATGCCCATGAAAGCGATGATATATAAAACCTTGTCAACGGTTGTGGATGACTTGTTTGCGTAAGCGTTACTTGTCGACGTCGCATTTGTCATGACATTGATTCATTTGCACCCATAGCTTCTGTATCAAGATGCCGTTCCTGCACCGGTTAGCTTGCTTCCGAGATGATGTTGTGTTTTTGGTATTCCTCTACCAGGCGAGCACAATTCTTTAATATTGAGGGGGTTGAATATTGAATGGCAAGACTAACTGCTCAAACAGCGTTGGATATATCGCATTGATCCCAAACGAGTCAATGAATACGGTCAGGTGATGGTTGACGGTGTCGTTAGCGCTGACGGCAGCGGGGAAACGAAGAAGGATAAGTGAACAGCGCCCAGCCGGCGTACCTTCTCGTTGGCCCCATGCAACCAGTTTTGTTACCGGCTGGTTCTTTTACGCTTTATCTCCTGAAAGAGCGGACCTGAAGTAAGTGCGAGTGCTGTAGGGTTTGATCGGTGCGTCATTGCGGTTGTAAGGCTTTAGGCGTTCGATGTGCTGGTGCTGGCATCCTGGACCCTCTGCAGTTCTGATGTGGTATCTTAGAAGAAACATAATCTACGGATCGGTGTTAGATCACTTGCAACCGAAGCATGGAAGTGTTATAAATGGCAGAAGTTGTCGTGATAATCGATAGAGCATATGACTGGATATCCTGAGGACTGGCGGCGACCGGACCTCTGAGGACTGAGACGTGAGCGAGCGCTTTGGCCTCGAGGATATTATAAATAAGCTGTCCCAGCTGCAAAGCTGTGGCTGATACTGACTGTGGCTGAGGGGAGCGTGTGGAAACTTTATCCACTTGACCACATTTGGCTGAGCGGCACCGGACTGATCTATCCGTTCTTCTGACACACATACACTCAACCGCCCTATCACTGTGTTTCCCTTCAGTGTCCCTCCTATCTACCACTAACCACTTCTCCAATGGCTGTCAACAGCCATGGCCCGCTCCACTCCTGCCAATGTCTCAATGTCCAGATAATACCTCAGCCTCACCAACAAGGCCCACCCGATTTTCTGTCTCGTTCAGTCTCTGACTCAGAATACACACTGACGTATGTCGCTGATGAGGGACTCTCCATCGTGCGTTGGGATTTCCTTGCGATCTGTTGTTTTATTTTACTATTTTTTCACCGTTTTTTAGGCTCACCCTCAAGTCACCATGCGGACGAGAAAGCTCGGGCCACCCAGTTCGGATACCTCTCGACGCTTTCGATACACCACTCTATCTTGTCTTATTTGCCGAGCCCTGGTTTACCGAGTCACCCAACTAGTTCCTCTCGATGTCGAGGGCCAAGAAGGGCCTCTCCTTCCGTCGCACGACTGGGTGGAGCAGGAGACACTGAAGAGCATCTCGGGCTGGATCGAAGTTCATAAGGACTGTTTGGTGAGTCCTCATTATGTTTTTCATGTGAAACACCGGGCGGTGGGGCTCCTCTATATTCTGCTCACGGGCTTTTCCGACATCTCGTCTTTCAATCCCAATAAACTGGTGTGGACGATCTACGCCCACCTTCTACCCACCGTGTCGTGCTACATTTGTCTTCCCCTTGATTTCTGGGCACTGATTCCGTCTTACTATATATTAGCATGCGGGTGCCATTTCTGAGGCGTTGTCTTCAGTATCCTACTCTCCAACATTTTCTATCATTGTGCCTCCCGTTACCCCAGTAACCGCTGAAGAACAGGAAAGATATATATTTGTCCCCTCTGCTGAGCCGTCTCCACCACGTCATACTGTCCCTGCGATATCTTTTCTCTCGAACCTCCGTCCCTTGTTCCCCCCGGTGCCTTTCATTCCATCGCATCCCGTTTTCTCTCATCTTTCATCTGTAGCAACAGGCAAATCCGAAGCCCTCCGGATAGCTGCCGAAGAGTATCTCGCAAAGGTTGTCGAGGATCAGTTAGCGGAGATTGAGCGAGCAGAAGATAAATTGCGGAAGGATGTTGAGGGTCTGTGGAAGAACTTTATTGACGGCATAGCCCAAGTGGAAAAGGCACGAAATCTGACCATTGACGGAACTTCAACCCGGAGAAGGGATAGTGTAAGTCGCGCAAGCCGCCCACGAGTTAGTCTCGTACTACGTGATTTTATTCCTGCTTCTAGCCCAGTTCCTCGGGCGCTATCTCCCGCGTCAGTTCCGCGAGTTTCATCGCTGTCAGCATCTCTGGCTACTTCCGCCTTCTACCACCCTCGAGCTCAAAACCAACCGACCTCGCGTGTACATAGCACCAGCCCTCCCTCTCCTCCACCTTATTCTTCTAATCCCTCTTCATCAGGCTCAGCTGACAGTCCCCCGCTTACCTCATCTGATTCTTCTTCTCGGTCATTTTCTCAAATCAATGGTGAAAATATTCTCCAGCCGTTTAGGCGCAGTATGGATGAAGCCAAGGATGTAGCCACTAGTTTCCGGTATTTTACGAATCTGGAAGCTGACATGGCTCGAGTGCGACAGCAGAACGCCAGTGATTCCGAAGATAAAAGCGCCTGGACTAATGATCAAGCCAATGCAAGTCAGAGTGGGAAGATGGAGCAGAAGAATGGCGGCTCTGCATCGCAGGCTAAGGAAGAGCGGTATAGAAAAGCAGACCCTGAGCCTGGACAGGACAGTGGATCAAAGGGGAAGAGAAAGGTTACTTTTGACGTCAAGCCGGACGTAGTCACCATCAATGGTGGCAACACCGCTGTGAATGGGGAGAAGAAGACGGAGGAACCCAAGCAAAACGGTGATTCTCTAGGTTAGCATTTTCTTGTCCGCCAAACCAAATCTTGTTTTGTTTACCCTTCCTGTCCAGATATGATATTTGACTTGGAAGATGAAAAGAGCGAGCGTGGATCGTTTGACTTTGCAGCCAAGCCTGTTTTACCCCTGATCGAACCTCCTTATATCCCTGCGAGGCCACCACGAACGCGAGTACCGAGTAATTCCGGCTTGCCTGTGGCGCTGTCATCTTTACGTCCCGCATCATTACCCGCCCCATCGACTATCCGATCACTCACAGCGGAAGGCCAGAGCTCACCGAGAGCATCCAACCTCATGTCTCTACCTCGTATTGCGGAACCGGAGCCAGACGAGCACTCAGAACGCTTTGATTCTCGTGAAGAGGAGATTTTGAAACTGGTCGCAGCAAACACGCCTAGCCATCGAGGTGCTTGGAAGCGAAATAGTAAAGCATGGCAAGTTTTTGTTCGACGTCAGGGCAAAAATCAAAGTGCTTCCGGAGCTTTCATCCCTGAAGAAAACGAAGATGAGGGAGCTTTCCACAACACAATAGACACTGATGACAGTGATTCAGATATTTATAACGGTGAGTCACATGTATAATATTCGATTCCAGCTACTTAAGCGTCTTACGTAGATCAAGGATGGAATCCGAATGCAGGAGTTCCCGCATCTCTTCCTATCACTATCGGTTCTTTGAAGCATCCCAGACCACCGCTTTCGTTGGCGTCGTATCAACCAAAGGCGACTTTATCTGATCCAAGCACGCTGGTACCTCCTCTTCCTGGTGCTGGGCGTTCGCTGTCTTCATCAGCTTTCCGAAAAGCATCATACGCCGAGCGTGATCGCAGTCGGCTGATGGATCCTGGAGCACTCGATTTTGTAGCACAGGGAGATGAAGACGAGGACGAGAGTGACAGCGAAGACGAGCCGTCTAAAGCTGATGCCTTTGAAGGCGGTCGTGGTCGTCAGCGTGCGTTCAAAATCTTGCAGGCACGCAGCAAGATACCTGCCGCAGGTATGTGGAGAAGTTTGGCATAAGAGCAGTACTGTCAGTTGCAGTAAACGTAACAGTGCTTGGCCGTCTTGATTTTATTTACTCTATTTACTGTTAATTTCTTTCTGTCTCTCGCAATGTTGTTGTCCTTTCTGCGCTAATAGCTACTGTACTGCTACTGTACATAGTGTTGTTGATTTGAATATTGTAGATTGAATGTTGTCTTTTACTGACGAATTGCAATGAAATTTTATGAGACTTCGAAAATGGCGCAAGACCTAACCCTACTCCGAGTCTTCAGTCTCCAAATTTTCCAAGTCCGAGTCCTTGTAACACCAAAAGACCTCGATGAGCTCGACCATCGGCGAGCCTTTTCTCTTGTCAAGTTACTCTGTTCCAAGTTCATGGAAGGGGAGTAGCTCTACGTATATATCTTATGCAAAAGGTCCAAAAAATTCCGATGGATATGTCACGGTGACCGCCCAAGGAGAGGGCGTTCACGTTTTGGATGTGAGCACTTACAATTTTCCATCCCCGGAAAATGCAAACTGACAGTCATAACAGGTTTCAACTCTGCATCCTATCGTTTCTTATTCCCAAGGATCGCACACCACTTTTTCTGCACCTGCGGTTACTCGCCACACCCTGGAAGATGGTGATCACATATGCACAACCTACACCATCGTCAACTGTTCTCCCGAGGTCATATCAAAAGAACAAAACCGGACGATATGGATCACTCAGCAGAACCTTTCAAACAATTCAGACAGGGGAGAGAAACGATCTGTAGTGGTAGGTTTTCCTCCGCTAAGCAATGAAACCAGTGATCATTTTGACGCAAGAACGCAGGTATCTCATGCAGTCTCTAGAATCTATGTGCTTCAAGAATCGCCATGCAGACTCCTTTTGGTATTCTCAAATGGTGATATTGGAGTTACAGACGCAGAATTGACTGTGCAACACTCGCTCGAGAGCTCAACTAAGCAGTCTCCTGTAGAGACCTTCATCTTCCCCCGAAAAGCCTGCGATTTCCTGCCTCAAAATCAAGCAACATCGTCTGACTATATTCTTCTATCAGTCTTCTCAACTGACTCGTTGACTTGCGTACACTCGACGGCAATTGGTGGAGACGAAGGGCTTGCTCGGCTTGGCGAAATCGACATACCACTCAATGGAACCATGAAAAAATATGACTCTCGCGTTATAGGCATCTCATGTACCGCTTCTGGTGCTGTTACCCTCTTGAGTACGTCAGCTGGATATTACTGCTATCATGTGAACTGCTCATTCGACCGAGTTTAGGTGGTTCTGCTTTACTATCTTCTTACCAACTTTCGTACTCGAATGAGGGAACACTTGTGGCCATTCCCGTGCGCGAGCCGATCCGTTTAGCACGCCTAGCCCTAGGGAAAAATCCGTCTTATCAACGTGCCGTTTCGCTGTTATCATTGAGCGCATCGTCAGTGCTGCTAGCTGCCCTCACGAGTTCACCGGCCTCTGAAATTACCCTCCTACTGTGGGACATGCAATATGGCGTACTCGTTGCTTCTCAGTCTATGCCTGTTCCTTCGTCGCTGGTTCAAAATCACTCTCAGAGTCCTCATCTAAGCCTTACTTTTTCAAACGAGCATCAGATTCTCCTTGCCCTATCTCCCGAAGGCGCTTCTGGAAAATCGACGTCGCAAAAGACATCTTCTCGCTCTACCATTTACATCGTTCCATTGAACGCCTCATTTAAATCAAGTCTTGCAAATGCAATGGGCAAAACTTCCGAAACCGCCGCATGGTTGGCTCAGCCCGAGCAACGTTCAAGTGCGTCCGTGCAAGGGGATGACGGTCGCGCAAAACTCCTCCAAGCTATACGGTCATTAACTAGTCAGGATGAATCGCATAAAGCTGATGAAGCATTTTTCAAATGGATTGGCGATCACACCCCTGGTCACGGCAATAAAAAATCTGAGCCTCGCGTGAGTATAATATAAATCCAGTTGATTTACTACGCTGACAGATTATTTGCAGGGACATTCATCCCCCCAACTTGGCCGCGAGTTTGTCAAGGAAATCCTCCACATTATATTACAGCCCGATAACACAGCAACCATCAAGTATTCTCCCAGAGTTGTACATTCTCTTTTGGACAGAGGTGTTGTAAGTGCTAGTATGATAGAGAAAGGACTATTACGTGTCCTGTGGTCACGAAATGACTGGGTAAGCATGATATATCGCTTTGAACTCTAATATTGATTAGTGTCAAAGGAAAATATTCTCCGAACATTGGATACTGTCGTGGACATCCCGGAAGGAGAAATGATGTTTCTTCTCAAAGCAGTCATAGATTTTCATCACACAAGCAATACCACAGAGTCGCTTGACAGCAATGCAATGCAAGTTGATTCAAGACAAACGTGGACGCCACCACTAGCGACATATCTTTCGGCATGCATAACGTACTCAACTTCTCCAGCGGCCTTGCGTCTCGCAATCCGGGAACATTTATCAGACGCACGAGACTTAGTGTACATACTAGAGATATTGGAAGGTTGGATGATGGGTGGGACTGAGGATTATATTGAGCAGCTCTTGCGAAGCATAGCACATAATTCACGGTTCGAGTATCGTTCAAGTGCTTCCCCCCCATATCACAAGGTATGGTCTTTCATTTTTTTTGCGAGTACATTTACTGAAATGGCATGAAGATCGTGTTGTTCTTGCAAGTGCTACTAGATGCTTCGTTCTTGGCGCTTCTACAATACCAACCCTCGCACGATATCCTACGAAGGATAATGTCTTATGTTGAACCCGAAGTAGTACTTTTTGAACGCATGGAGCATCTGCGAGGATCATTGGAGCAGTTCGTGCGGATACAAGCGAAAAGCAGGCAAGGAAGCGGACGGCCAGAAGTGGTCAGTGATGATAGGCGTAGGAGCAGAAAAGGCCGCAAATTTGCTGAGCCTGATATAGGAATGTACCGTTTAGAGGAACTGGTAATCTAGATTGCTGTATCGCACGTTACCGCACCGTGACGCAATGTCATAGTATCAGCTGTCCTTATAATGTCCGACTTTATCACTGTTAACTATTGGTTTTGAGCAACTCAACTTCATCGATGACTACCATCACAGTTGGCATCATTACAAGTTAGTTTATAGTACAATCTATGGAAAGTTGACTGATATGGGGTTACTCTGCAGTTAGCGATACCGCTTCAATCGACGCTAATGCAGATAGATCTGGACCAACCATACGAGAAATTATACAACAAAACGGATGCGAATGCAAACGATCTGCTATTGTTCCAGATGTAGGGGAAACAATAAAAGAGACAGTCGAGTCCTGGTGTGCTGAGCAATCGGTTGACTGGATCATCACCACTGGTGGGACCGGATTCGGGGTGCGGGACAGGACTCCTGAAGTACTTCATTAGCCCCGCATTATCCAAAGGAAATATTTGATGGACCTTCACATTTCTATTAGGCTATATCCCCGCTTATCGAAAGAGAAGCCCCTGGGCTAGTTCACCTATTACTGTCTACATCCCTCAAACATACGCCATTGGCTGCTCTTTCGAGGCCTGTCGCAGGAACGATCAAGAACACTCTCATCGTCACGTTACCAGGAAGCGTTAAAGCAGTGAAAGAAAACCTAGAAGCCCTCTTTACTAATGGGCTGATAGGACACGCCATAGATCTAGTTAAAGGAGGTAGTGGGAAGCAAGTACATGCCGCTATGGGCTCGAGTCACACTCATAGTCATCCCGACGGGGCTTCTCATGGCAAAGGGCATAGCGGTCACCACCATCACCGTCACCATCATCATCATCACGGACAAGACCACGGGCACTATATTCCACAACCCCGTACAACGCTGTCGCATGATCCCGCTCTGCCTGGTATGTGATGCTCATGTTTAACGTGCCACTGAAATATCGGCACTGACCCCGAAACATACAGCTTCAGCCCGCCACCGTGTGTCTCCCTATCCTTTGATCTCTCTGGAGAAAGCGCTGCAGATTATCCTGGTTGAAGTGGAGTCCCTAAAGACTGTCAGCCATCTCGTTAGTGCAAAATGCAGTGTGTTCAGGGGTCATCTACTGATGCGTCACTGTCAATCAGGTTAATCCAACGTTGAAAGGTCACGTTCTCGCCGAGGACGTGTACGCCCCTCAAAATGTTCCCTCTTCCCAGACTACAAGTGTAGATGGATATGCTCTTCGATGTTAGTATCACATCTTCATAATCATGATATTGGCTGAACTTGCCATACTTCCAGCCACCGATCCTCCGGGAGTGTACAAGGTTTTGACAGCGCAAAGCCACATACGCTCTGATGTTATACCTGAGGGTTCGATATATCGCATAAACACAGGAGGGCCTCTGCCGGCTGGTGCAGACACTGTCATTATGGTAGAGGATACCCAGCTCGTCTCCACTTTGAAAGATGCAAATGGGGAAGATCTAGAAGAAAAGGAGGTTCAAACTCTAGCTCAGATTCCTCCTGGGGAAAACTGTAGAGAACCAGGATCAGATGTGCAAAAGGGGGATCTTGTCTTACAAAAGGGTGACATGTTGACCAGCCTTGGAGGCGAGATTGGTACCTTGGTCTTTGTCGGTCGAAAGGAGGTAAATATAAGCGACTCAAAATGGTGCTTTCGCTGATTATCATTGTTAAGGTACAAGTCTTTCGAAAACCAATAATTGCCATCTTGAGTACTGGAAACGAAATCGTTGACTTACAATCTCCTCAGCCATACTCCGGGGATGACTGGGGCGGAATATGGGATACGAACAGACCTTCGTTACAAGCAGCGCTTGAGGGAATGGGTTACAGTGTTGTAGATCTGGGTGTTGTCCCCGACGAGTCAAGTGATTTCCTTTATTTCCCATGCTCCTTCCTAATCCTAGAATTTAGTATCGGAGAGCATGTAACAGCGATCAAGAAAGGCCTCGAGAGCGCAGATATTCTTCTTACAACAGGAGGCACATCTATGGGTGCTAGCGATCTCTTGAAGCCGGTAATAGAACGCCATTTCAATGGTACCATCCATTTTGGTCGCGTGACAATGAAGCCTGGAAAGCCTACTACATTCGCCAGTATACCTACGACAGACGCGGATCATGGTAAAAAGTTCATGTTTGCTTTACCCGGAAACCCTGCCTCGGCCCTAGTTACATTCCATGTCTTTGTTGTACCAGCTCTCCGAAAATTGGGTGGTTGGCCTAATGAACAGTGTCAACTGCCTCGCGTACGGGTCAAGGTGAGTGCATCCTTTTCTCTGATGTGTCCGCGTTTCATGCGAGGCCGACAGGTACAAAATTCAATGCGTCTCGACCCGCGGACAGAATTCCACCGCGTCATTGTATCGTCTGGAGTGAGTGGCCTACAAGCAACTAGTACCGGCGGGCAACGTTCGAGCAGGGTTGCTAGTCTGAGCGGCGCAAATGGGTTAGTCGTCCTTCCAATCTTGAAAGAAGGAGGACCAAACGTTCTAGAAGCTGGAGAATATGCAGATGCTGTCATTATAGGGGAGATACAAATGTAAAATAGAATATCGTACATATGGGGAACCTTTTGAAGATGTATTACGATCTCACAGAATTATAAAGTAGAAAGTTTCTTCTGTTCCTGTACAAATACATTGAGCGTTTTATATCTGTATTTGAATGTAGCATGTGAGCCTACCAAAAGTAATACTTCTGATTCCAGAGCTTTCACTTCATCTTCTAGTTTTCTACGCTGTTTAGTGAGCATCTGCAGCCGCCTTTCTTCACGTCTGTCCAGTGCAGTCGTGGCTGTTGTACCCCGGCTAGGTTTTGATTGTACGTGCGCGCTTTTTTCAACCTAAAACGCAAGTGAACCAGTAACCCGAATGATAAGCACTTTAACAAACCTCGGCTTGGATAAGCTCTTCCTTCCTATTCAAGGCCTCCAATCCTTTGTTAGCTCGATCAATGAGTTCATTGATTTGTGGTTCTATTTCGTCGGTGAGATCAGCTTTGTATTTTCGTATCGTACTCTCGTCAATGAGCAGAAAAACCTGAAAACAAGTCATTAGCTGGATGCTCTTATCAGTACGAAACTGAAACTGACCTACTTTTTGACTCTCCAAGACTCTCTTCATCCTAGGAAGGTCAAACGTCCCGTGTCTGAGAAACTGTTGAGCTTCATGCGCCTAGAATTGTCGCTAAGCATCGATGCTGAATGCAGATTTTTGCAGAACGTGTACCTCCTCACAACAGTCCTCCATTGCAAGCACACACTCGCGTAAGTTTGGGGGACAGACCGCATTGACATCGCCGCGGTATTGGTCGGGTCCACCCGCGAAAACTGATTCTCTTGGTTTCGTGAACGTCGACAGCCGCGACATTCCAACCCACGCGAATATCGTAGACGATGCTAGTGCGACGGGTTAGAAAGAACGATGTCACGGTGGACTCTTGACTTGAGGCGTGTCGCGTCTCGGCATGTGCTTCGGCATTGTTTCGGTCTTAAGATTTCAAAAGCCGATCGCACAGTATATAGGCCAAAATTTTCGAGTTTTTGGTTTTTCCCTCAGTGTCCATTCAACCGATTGAAGCGTTGGCCCCACGGCGCAGAGATTTACTTCCCTGTTGAACGTTGTGTATTTCAGGTTGATGGAGCGAGGTATCTTTCGGGATGCTCACCAGAACGAGCATCGTTTCTGGCTCGCCCTCGTATGTCTCCTGCACCTGAGTTCACTTAACTGTGTTGACTCGTTGTAGGAGACGAGGGCTCGAGTAGGATAATGTTGCGGCGTCATATTCCTGTATCTTCCGTACCCCCCACTCTTCGGAGAGGTTGCTACTATGTAGCGTTGACGGTTGGGTGAAACCATGACGCAGACACTCCCTCTTGTACCTAGATTACATTGTATGAATACAATTCAAAATTTGCTTTCTCATTATCACTGTATCTTATAAATCCAAAGCCTCGAAGGTTGTACTGTGCTAACTTTGTAAGAAGGCTTTTGGTCTCAGATTCAGAGGAGGGGCAGAAAGAAATAATGGTATATCATAGGATGCTATTGGAATCATTGTCTACGCTCATCCTCACTGCGAGAATCATCTTCATCATCCCCCACATCAAAAATTGGAGAGGAAGGTTCACTCTCGTCGGCCCTTTGTTTCCCCTTCCGCTTCCTTTGTGATTCTCGGTCTTCAAAGTCGTACGCCTCCGACGTGCTATTTAGAGGAATGTTTTCTTCCGCGTTCAGGTTTCTCTTCGGTAGTTGTATGTGTCGACGCCGCAAACGGCACCAGAGACACAATGCGACAGCACACGCGATGATGACCACAATGAGTGCTATGGAACCAGCATTGTAGTAGGCTAGAACAGATCCATGGATAAACATGTGTATGTGCGGAACAAAACACAAACATATACCTTCCCACATAGCCTGGTTTTGCTCAGGAGTCTTGCCAGTAGGTGTTGTCGGTACTGGCAGGTCAGCGTTGAAAACTGGCTTGACATCCTCACCCACTGTACTCGGAATATGCGCTGAACCGTCCACAATCGCTGAAAAGTTCATACCCATAAATCGAAGGATCATGTCGTGTGCTACATTGGGAACGTCGTACGGTGCCATGTGGGATGCATTGAAGATCTTAAATGATGTCATAACTAAACTTTCTCATTTAATGATGAACCACACTCACTTTGACATACGTCAGATTTCTCGATGATACCCAAGTTCCTGCAGGACTACCTTCAACTGACCATGACTGAGTTTTCACAACCTAAGCCAATGTCTGCGTTACGACGTGTACGGCGTTTAAGGTTGAGAAAACATACTCCCAAGCCAGTTTCGCCATTCCAGTTCATGGTTTTTATCATACTCTCGATACCCATATAGTTGCAAATGAAATCCTGGTCTCCTGCAAACAATAATACTGGGATCTTCTCAAGTACGTTGGGAAGGAGGGTGATCGCGGATGGAGACAACTGATCTCTTAGTTCTTGGGAAACTCGTCCGAAACATTCGACCCAGCTTGTAGATTTGGCGCTTGCATGTAAAGCATTGATAACATCTTTACGCTGATCCAAGGCTTCCTTATTATTATCTAAAAAGAGTGAAGAGATTGGGAGTGACTTACAGCAAGATAAGAGGTAACATTCTTGAGCTCGGGAGGCCAGTTCATACCACAAGCGGGGAAGGTATCTTGAAGCCGCACGTCATATACATTCGTACATGTGAGTTTTCCATCTACTCTAAACAAAAATAGCAATTTAGCAAATTTGCGACTCCAACTGACTAGGGGCCACAAGAGTTTGCTCACATTTTTTGGTTGTTCGAAGGTATCGACAGTGCGAGACCTTCACAGATTCCAACATGGATAGGCTCTGGTCCTGTAATACTGTTGAATTCGGCCATACATTCGTCTGTAGTCTGTTTTCCCTTTCTATATTGCTTTCAAATCCGCATATCAGGTTAAAACATCCCACAGAAGACAAACGTCATACCTCTGAATTGTCTTCAACAAGACCATGTTTAACCGCGTAATCCAAATAAGCGGGATACTGGCTGCGCGCATCGATCCATCCATTGCCTATGGCAATACCCCGTAATGGCACTTGTATACTGGAGGCCAGGATAGCATTTGCTAAAAGAAACGATAAGCTGCATGGAACAGGGCTCAGCTATGACATTGTTTACCGAAGTACGGTATATATTGCCCAGCGTAACTTTCGCCACCCAGATATGTCTAGAGGTTTGGTCAAAAAGGTGAGAACTCCATTACAAGATTCAAAATACGTACGTCTACGCTTTGATATTCGGGGAAGATTTTATAAAATGTCCTGAGAAATTCTAAGATATGCTCAGAAGCCTGATACTGATTAGTATATGTTTAATATTGAAGTTAAATTTCAAACGCACTTCTGAGAGGGTATGTATATAGTGATCTGTACTGGTATATGATAACCCTGTACCTGCGGGTTGATCGACTGCGAGGAAGCTGATAAGTACGGTTGACATTGTATGATAGCCAAACTCACTGTAAACCATAGTCGTGTATTCTTCCCAACCACCGTCTGCTGTGATTAGACCGCCCTCGCCGTCTACTTTCCAAGGTCCGACCTCCATCATTAGTCCGTCAAACGAAGAACATCCCGGGCCTCCCTATAGTTTCACTTTTCACATTCTATTATCGCGAGGATATATTGGGCTACTCACATTGAACCAGAACATTAATCTCTCCTTGTCAGACGCTCGTCTGGCTTTTACCATGACGAAGAAGAGATGTGCCAAAACATCCGTGTTTGCCGCCGCAGCTGCATTAGGGTCGGACAGGATGTGACCGGCGTAAACATGAAGTGGATGTTCGCTGTCCTGGTGCAAGCCTGGTAAGTTTGGGACATAAAACGAGGCTGCGGACGGCACTGTGCGACTTGGCTCAGCTATGGTCCACACGTGGAAATATAATAGAGCATCGTACCGTCTTGTGGAGCGGAAATAGTATAAGATATCGAAGAAAGAATAAACAGATACGACCATAGATGACAATGAGACCAAAACACCATTTTATACGTAGAACCGGAGAAAGCCTCGAGAGCGACACGTTTTGAATTCTCGTCGTGGGTCCAAAGACCTTCAGCGAGCCCCCTTGCAAAGAAAGTTGCAGAATAAGACAAGATAGATCTAAATTCCAGGGGACCACACTGGCAACAGTCACTGCGGGAACTTGTGTGAAACTTGAACGAATTGAGAGACGTGCTGGCCAGGCGAAATATGAGTCTGCGTACGTAAAGACTGCAAGTTACCAATCAAGCAATAGTACAATTGGACCAGGCCCTTGCATATTCCCGAGCCGGTTTTGAACCTTAGTACTACTACTTATCTTTTCTAACCACGCACACGACAATGAAGGCACTGGCATTGCTCTCAGCGTTTTTCATTACATCTGCTCACGCTCAGTATTTCTCTGCAGGATGGGCCCCTGGGCAACCAGTCAATTACAATGACGAGCAATCTGAGGTCTCAGATTCGGGTCCTCAGGCTACCTCCACTCTTAGTGCCGAAAAAGCTGCACCTACATCTATCAAGCAAGCTTTAATTGACAATGTTCTGGGATCTAGCACAATTTCTACGCTATCCAGTCTAGTTGGAGTGAACATAACGGAAAGATTCAACCCTAGTGTTCTCTGGGACGAGCGGATCCCACTTATCACAGACGAAAATTACGGGGATATCATTGTCAACGAAGAATTAACCGAAGAAGAAGAAGAAGACAGAGTTTGGTTCCTTATCATGTAAGCCGTATGTTTTATTCAAAGCCTTACCTACTGACAATGCCAAAGTACTGTGACAACTGGACAACCGGATGGCGTGTCCATGTTCGTAGATAAAGTATTCGATGCTACTTATAACTTAACCCAGGGGCTGGGAGATCTTCCCCATGTGCGTTTTGGGCGTATTGATTACCTGAATGTTACCAGTATTACCACGAAGTGGGCAGTTTGGTCGTACGTACTTCGAATCGTGACTTCTTCTGAGCGCACCTAAACTTGTCATCAGTGCCCCATTCCTAGTCGTCCTGAAAGATAGGGGCCAGACTCTGCGGTTCTATAAGGCCGGACAGATAAGGTTAACAGACGAGATACTACACGCATTCTTGAAGGAGGAGGGCTGGAAACAAAAAGATCCCTGGAAAAGTGCATACGGTCCTGGAGGGGAACGGTAAATATTTCATCAGAATTTTAAGTTGTAAAAACTGAACATATATCGCAGGGAATATATTTTGGACTACCTCGCTATCGTCTTCACCAAGGTATATAATGTGGTAGTTATCGTCCCAAAGTGGCTGCTCTACATCGTCACCGGTGGTCTTGCCTCGTTGATAGTCAACTGGCTCCATCGTGATCGTAAACCTGCCAATCCTTCTGCAAATGTACACCAGCCACGAACAGTGCCCACTAATCGTGCAGAGCCTGCCGCGGCGCCTGCGGCATCGAATCCTGCCAGTGGTGGTCAAAGATCTGGAGAAAGTGCTGCTAAGCGCAGAAAGGGGAAGAAGTAGAATCGATCTTTCAGTGTTGGCTTGGTTCAATGGAGTTGGGGCGATGTGTGTATGCACTGACTTAATACTAGACATATATGTATACCTTCGAGTGTTTTTATTAAGATTACTTTTTGAGGAACTGTGAAACGTTACTAATGAAAATGAAACTCTTTTGAGTCTCCTCGGATATCTCGTGAGCAAGCTATACATAAACAGCATAAACAGAGCATCCTTTACATGACTGAGAGTCTTGATTTTCGTCCTAAAAGGTTGAGAACGTTGAGACTTGCCTCGGTCAGACACTTACGTTATCTGACTCATCTGTAACTTGCCCACAATGGAGATCACGTGATGAGTCTATTCACCGCACCATTTTTGCTCTTAACCTCAGTGACCTTCGAGTTGTACGAGTAAAAGTTTACTATGTCTCAAACTGTGGGCAGTGTGAGTTGTTTCACGAAGTGGCCTGTGATATTTTTGCTGATAAAGTGAGCCCAGACTGTGCTTGCCTATGCTCGGGTTTGGCACCATGTTGACGCGTCAGATCGTGTTCTGGGGAAAATCGCTGAGCGGATAGCGCTCGTTCTAATGGGCAAGCACAAGCCCATTTATGACAAGAGTCGTATGTGTTATGATTCATTGGAGCTCTTTCTACGTCCTGACATTTGAAAATCAGTGGACTGTGGTGATTATGTCGTCGTCACCAATGCGAAGAATATCAAAGTTACCGGTCGAAAAGATGAACAGCTGGTTTATCGGAAACACACCATGTATCCCGGAGGTCTGAAAGAGACTGAATACAAGGACTTGATGGACTCGAAACCGTATGAGGTTTGTGTCTTGTTCTTGCTTATGTTCTGCGCCTTACTCATACTCGTAGATTATCCGCCATGCTGTGTCGGGCATGTTACCCAAGAATAAGCTTAGAGAACGGCGACTGTCAAGACTAAAAGTATTCGCTGGGTCAAACATGGGCATATATCGAGGGAACATCGTTAAGCGTTGGGAGGATGGAACATTGACGGACGCAGACATCCTAAAACTGGATCCAAAATATAGGGCACGACAGAGCTCGAAATCATGAGGCCACGACCGTGGTGTCTTTGACCACGATCATGAAAGTGATTGCGGTTTAGATTTAGGTTTATAGTATGGTATTAGAAGATAATAAAGCTGCTCTAACTAAAAGTCAATATCCTTTTTAATCCTCCGCCGACGCTTTTTGCGAGGGGGTTGTTCTAATTCGGGAGTAGTGGACGCTCCTTGTGGGGGTGTAGCAGGATTTGTGGTGACCAGTGTTCTGGCCACATATTCTTGCAATAGCATCCCTGAGCACTATTATCAGCTTGACACCCAGGAATCAGCCATTGAATTCGTCAAACCTATAGCTATGAGTGCAGATCCATCGAAAACCTTATACATATCTTTTTGACAGATTTTGGTTGAACGTGATTCACGTTCTTCATCTTCTTTCTTCTCAGAGTCCTTACCAGAAGTCGCTTCTTCATCGGTCGTACTGTGGTCATCATTCATTTCTGATTCTCTAGATTCTTCACGAAGTGATACATGTTTGAAGGGACTTTTCTCGGATAATCGCCTAAGTCGCCTTTCAGATTTCTCTTGCCTATACTCTTTGGACGCGTCAAACAATTGACCCCTGTCGCTATAAAAACGACTTGCAAAATGGTGCACGCATTTCAAAAGATCCTGAAAATGGTTTAAGTTGCTTTGATAAACGAAGCTTTTCAAAACTTACCGATGATGGTTCTAGCAGAGTCTCGGTGCTAAGTTGCGTAAGCGATTTTGGTGGGATATCCAGAGAAATGTGGCTTCCAGACGCTTGTTGGGTTTTTGACACAGATCGGGCAGTCAAATAGTCCATATCTTTGTTGAATATGCGTCGCTTTCTTGCCCTGTGGTCTCGCCAACTCATGGCCGTATCGTCTGCTTCTGCTTGATCTATTTCCCCGTCATTTGTCATCTTTTCTTTGCTGGTGCTGGTCTCGCTACCCTTCATTGGTCCTTCGATAACAATTTCCTCCTCATCATCTGCATTTTTTGATTCCTTCCTCTTCCTCTTCTTCACCTTTCCTAGACCACCAGCATCTCGCGCTATCCAGTTGCCTCTATTATCCTGCGTGGTATATTTCGCTGTGCGAATTCTCGTGTTACTCGACGACTGTTGAACTCGTGACCCATCAGGATGGAGGCGGAGGCTAGCAAGGTCGTGCACGGTGCTTTTGCGACGGACACTCATGCTTTTACTAAGGGGACATGCAAGCACTAAAACAAGACCTGCGTCGACCTGCCCTGAGCTCCCCGCTCACCCCACATAACCAAACAGTGGCAAATATTGCTTTCACGGTACGCGTCTCGCTAAACCACCACTGCAGCGTGTTCTCTAGTAGCAAGTATTCGTTTACAGACAGCGGGAACGCGACAACTATGTCTCGAAGAACACGGACAACAGCCAAGGAGCTAAGTTATCAGGAGAGAGGCTCTTCTCAGGTCAAAATAGAAAAAGTCAAGCAGGAAAAGATAAAGGAGGATAAACAAAACCGGAAAACAACGCGCAGTATCTCTGAGGAAGATGAAACTCAGGATAAGGACGAAGTACCAGGCCAAAATGAAGATATGGACGGCCTCCCATCGGATGTTGATCAAGGTGATGCTGAAGGAGGTTCGGAGCAAGAAGGCGACGGCGACGACGACGAAGGCTCTTCTAAGGCTCATAAACGCGTCCGTGTTAATGTTGAGGGCCAATCTCAGCCGTCGACGTCAGCCAATGAAAGTATTGGAATGCATAGGGCTCGCGTCCAAACCCTTCCGCGCGATGTGGACGGGTGAGCCACTGTCGTGCCCCCTTCAAGGATGGTGGACCCTGACAATTCTTTTCTCCAGCTTCATTCCTGGCTCAATTGTCCGCATTCAACTCAAAAACTTTGTCACTTATGACTGGGTTGAATTTCGCCCAGGTCCTTACCTCAATATGATACTTGGGCCCAACGGTACGGGTAAAAGCAGTATCGCATGCGCCATCTGTCTCGGGCTTAACTGGCCCCCTAGTGTGCGTATTGGCCCTTCTACAATATCTGATCATATCGACGAAACTATATAGGTTTTAGGCCGTGCATCTGAGCTGAATTCCTTCGTCAAATTAGGCAAAGATGCTGGCCACATTGAGATTGAGCTCAAAGGACCTAAGGGGAAACCTAATCTCATCATTTGTCGTCAGCTCAGTGCAAAATCCAGAGGCTCTTCATTCACCCTTAATGGTAAATCTGCTACGGGAAAAGAAATCACTAATCGGATGGCTGAGCTTAATGTACAAGTGGGCAATTTATGGTATGCCAACGGACGTTAAACTGGATCACAAACTTATTATTTTTTCCGGTCCCGTAGCTCTTTCCTCCCTCAGGATAAGGTCTCAGAATTTGCTCAGATGACGTCTCAACAGTTGCTTCGCGAGACTGAGCGTGCTGCTGGCGATCATAAGTTGACATCTTGGCACGATACTTTGATTAGCTCCGGAAAGGAATTAAAGCAACTGCAGCAGGTTCATAGTCGTATTGAATGCATTTACCCCTACTTATCATGTTCGTTACCCTCTAGATTATCAAAGACGAAAAAGAACGACTAGAGACAATGCAACAACGTAATTCTGACCTTGAACGTGAAGTTCGGATGTACCAGGAGCGTCGTGCCATTGAAAAGGAGGTACATCTCTCAAGTTTTCTTGTTTCAAGCCCAAACTCAAAGATTGATTAGATTGAAACACTGGAGGTATTGATACCTGTCAACGAGTATTACGAGGCGAAAGAAATCTACACAGAGAAGAAGAAGATTCAACGTGTATTGCACGACAAAGTTAGACGCCTCAAAGAGAAGAATGCTCCTGCCCATGCTCTCCTAGAGTGAGTTACATATGATCTAGTAATAACTGACTTTTCTTAATCTGTATTCCAGCCAATTTGGACACAAGTATAAGGACTACGAAAGGGAACGTGAGAATAAGAAGAAAGCTGCCCGACAGAAATTTTTACAGATGAAGTCCAAATGGACTGAGAGTGAAAAAATTGTGTGTAATTTTCTGATCTCCTATTGTTGACTGCGTCCTAGACAAGTAACTTTTTCATTAGGAGAGTCTTGTGGAGGAAGTGTCAGGTAAATTAGAGAGCGTAAAGAAGGGAGAAAAGGAGCGCATAAAGAAAATTAAAGATCTGGAAGCTCAGAATGCTAAGTGGCAGCGCGAGCTCGATAATCCACCTGAACTGGAGGACCTACAGACCATCAATGCTGAGATCGTAAGCACACTAATTCACAACATGATACCAGATCTAGCGGTAACCTTTAAATTCTCTAGAAAGCGTTGAATTCAAAGCATAGTAAAACGGGCGAGCGTCAGCTAGATTTACAAGATCGACAAAGGGCGAATGCTGATGCGTCCGGTGCACAGAAAGCCCAAATTGAGGCTGCTATGAGCGAGTGAGGGCCTTGTTATGCTCCACTTGGTATGTACTCACACTGGCGTCCTCAGGCTCAAGAAATTAGACGACGAAAAGCATCGCAAACTTCAAAATTTGTCTAAGTGGGATAAAGACTGTGCCGACGCAGTCGCGTGGCTCCGCAACAACCAGAATAAATTCAAGATGGAAGTGTTCGAGCCTCCAGTGATTTGTTTGACTGTACCCGATAAGAGGTACACAAACGCTGTCGAGGCGTGCTTCAACGCCAATCAGCTCAAGGTCCGCATTTCTGGCCATTCTACTAAATATGACCTGGATTCAAACATATATATTTGCAGACTCTTGTAGTTCAATGTCCTGAGGATTATGATACCCTCAATCACTACTTAAATGACACGGATAAAGCGGGGTTGAGGAAAGGTGCTCGTATCAACACATGGTTTCGACCTAAGCAGGAAAACATGCTCGTTGGGCCTCCAATGAGTCCCGATGAGGTGCGTCTATGTGTACCTGATGACCCGCTTGTCAATGTTATGTGCTCCACCTGTAGATGGCGAGCCTCGGTTTTGATGATTATGCGATCAATTATGTCGACTGTCCCGATGGACTGCTATGGTTCCTCAAGAAAGAACTCAACATGCATCGCACTGTACGTTAAGTCGGGTCTGGTACTTATTTGTAATACTCATCATTACTCTCAGGCGATTGGCCTAAATGGAAGCAAGGTCGATGTAGCCCGCTCCATGGATGCTGTGTCAAGATTTGGGCCTAAAGGCGAAGGCGGAGGGGCGACATTTATTGCAGGTAGTATCATGAATATTGTTCAGCGCTCTCGCTATGGGCAGCGGTTGCCCCAGAACATGACGAGAGACGTTCGTCTCGCTAGAAATCTGGTAAACAGTGCAAGTAAGCTCCTCTTGCTACATTTCAGACAGGTATATTGGCTGAGTTTGGTGCAGTTGACCCCGAAATTAAGAAAACGCTGGACAAGCGTATACAGGAAGCGAGGCATGCTCTCGAGCTCATTGAGGTGGAGGCTGTCGCTCTCGCTGGCGAAGAGACTAAAATCAACGCGGAAGAAAAAGAATATAAAAAGAACCATGTTGGTATAGTATTCTGAAGGAGAATCCCATTGTTAACGTTCCATTTCAGGGGGCTCTCAGTGTTCGAAGAAAATTTGTAATTGATGCAGACAATCGTCAAACCACACTCAAAGCCAAAATATGTCAGTTTTTTTCTCCTTCGCGTGTCTTTTAGCTCATCCCATCTAAATTAGCCACGAATGAGGGAGAAATTCAGAAACTCGAAAATGCTCCCTCTGTAGAGGATGAGAGAGCTCGATTAAAAAAGAAACTTCTGGAGCTGTCCAAGAAGCGAGTGAAAATCGCGAAGGAGTACACGGCAAGCTTTCATTCATTCTAAGCACTTTGGCGGAATCATAAAAATCCGCTTTTAGCAACTCATTCGTGCTTTAATCGTCAATCAAGTAGATGCAACTCGCAGTGGACTAGAGTTTTTGCAAGTTGGTGCCAACAAAAATGCACTAGAAGCTCTTTGCCAACAAAAGGACGAAGCATATCAAAAAGCTTTCGCTGAGTTCGAGGAGGGTACGCAAAACTACTGCTTTCCGTGCAAGTTCGTTCCGTCTCATTTTTGTCCGTAGCGGATAAAATCTATCAAACCGTCAAGGCCGACGCCAAGGAGAAATGTGCCATAAGCAAAGAGCTCGTCCAAAATATGGACCAAGAATTCAAAGATCGATTCCGCGAAATGGAGCTTGTCAGTGATGATGAAATTTTTTTAGAAATGTGCAAATGGTTGACATCCGGCACTACGCAGGACGGCTCTGTATACGCACGGAAATCAGATCAATTACGGGCGGAACTGGATACACAACGTACCAAATTAGAGATGAACACGCACACCAATGGCAGCGTTGTAGAGCAGTATGAAAAGAGACAAGCCGAGGTACATAATTCATATCCTTCTTATACAGAAGGAGCTCATTCATATGATCCATAGATCAGTACGCTTGATCAGACAGTCAAAACCAGGGAGAACAATGCACAGAAAATCGAGCGAGCGATAAAGAATGCCAGGGTATGTAGATGTGACAAATGCGAGGCCAGCGATATTAACATGCTACCTGCAGGATAACTGGCAACCTGCTTTGGAACGACTTGTCGCAAGCATTGGTAAGAAATTCTCGGCTGCGTTTGACCGTGAGTGAATCTCGCGCCACATCTCGTTCATGTACTGAAACATTTCGGTGTATAGGCATCGGTTGTGCTGGAGAAATTCGAATCAATCCGCATGAAGACTACGACAAATGGGCCATCGACATCCTCGTAAAGTTCCGCGATAGGGAAAAACTACAGCTTCTGACTGGACAGAGGCAGTCAGGCGGTGTGCGTTTCAAATCGATGATAATAGATAAACACCCTATTTATGATATATGCAGGAACGCTCACTCACGACCATCCTCTACTTGATGAGCTTGACTGAAGAGGCCCGTTCACCTTTTTCTCTCGTTGACGAGATCAACCAGGTAGTGTAAATCACATTTTGCATCTGATGGGATATTTATGGCCAACCATAACAGGGGATGGATATGCGTGCCGAACGTGCCGTGCACAATTCTATGGTAGAAGTCACTTGCAAGGCTGACAGTGCTCAGTACTTCCTCATCACTCCTAAACTGCTTCCGGACCTTGACTATCATGAGCGGATGAAAATTCTGTGTGTTAATAACGGAGAATGGTTGCCGGAGCAACAAGGTTTGGGAAACATGATGAACATGATTGAGACATTTGTGCAGCATCGTGGTCGATCAGCTGCAGCTGCATGATACAATTTCACCCTCCACCATCACTGTATACTCTATTCACCTGTACTGTAGAATGTTCTGCCGTAATCTACGATGTATTCTAACGTCTTTTGGCACCATTGGTGTTTTGTTATAGCCACGCATAGTATCAATGATGAACAGATTTCATGCATCGTGCTTAGAACATGTAATATGTAGCCGAGCGAAGCAGAAAATCCATCGATATGTACTGTAAAGATTACTACCAGATATCTAAGCAATCGGTCAATCGTACGCAGAACTGCACTGCTCTCCTAAATAATCACTATGCCCTTCAAAATTGCCAGTTCAGCATTAATGATGCTACTTGTTGCTGCGCCAATGGAGACGTTATTGGCAAGTACGACAAACTTGATGTCTAAGACTGGGCATTGTCTAACTCGTCCTACAGAAACACCTGCGCCGTTTTGGTAATATCGATCAAGCCGAGGCTGTGGCCTATCTGGCTCCTCGTGTACGAAGATTGCATGAACAGGAGCTGAGGGACACCCGAGCGTTTGAGCATCTGGGGTGTACGCCGCCAAGACCTCCCGTACTTGTTGCGGACTGGGTGGTGGTCTGCGGGCGAAGCGCACAGATACACACTCGGTGTGACCATCAATGACAGGGACACGATTGCACGATGCAGAGATACGCAGGGGCTGACGAGCGTGCATGTCAAACGTCCTGGACCCGTCATCGGCCCGAGTGATTCCGCCTAAGATCTTGAGCGTCTCCCACTCCATTTTTTCTTCTTCGCCGCTGATGTAGGGAACTACGTTATCCATGATGTCTAGACTGGGTACGCCCGGATAACCTCCGCCTGAAATGGCTTGCATAGTCGTGACCATGCACGACTCTATTGGCCCGAAGGCCTTTTCCATGGCTACCAGAGGAATGACATAGCCCGTGGTTGAACAGTTGGCGTTAGTGATGATAAAGCCTTTCTTCAGTGGTGGTCGATGTAACGATTGTTGCTGAGGAATCATCGACATGTGTGAAGCATTGACGAGAGGAACTATGAGTGGGACGAGTGGATCTCTTCGGAAGTTCTTCGCATTTGAGAATATGGCAAGATCAGCCGCTCTGAAAGCGGACTCTGCTCAACATGAGCATGCAATACTTTTTCAACGTTGCAGAAACATACCTATGTCACCCGCGGCGTCTGCATCTAAGCCAGAAAAGACCACTGCACATTCAGCGAAATGTTCAGGTTTGCACTCGTAGACCATCATCTCGCGAACGATCGAAGGTATGTGCGATGTTTGTTTCCAGCTAACCGCTTTAGAGTATGTTTTTCCCGCCGATCGTACTGATGCACCGAGAGCATGGATGATGAAGAACGGATGGTCCGCAAGAAGGGTGATAAAACGCTGGCCCACTGTCCCTGTTGCTCCCAACACTCCAACCTTCACTTCTTTCCCTTCGGGTACCGTGAACATGACAGTCTGGCCTCAGAGGTGCTGATAGGGCTGAAGATAAGCGTTCCAGCCGATAGTGGCCTTGGAGTTGTTGTGAAACACAACTTTTGAGTGTCGGTTGAGCGTTGACTCGATCCAGGTAAATCCACCTCTTTGGGTTGCTGATTATGGTCGTGGGAACTTGTTTCCTATTGCTGATAGCACCGCCGTTGTTCAGCTCAAGTTCTCCTTGTACCACCACTGCAATGTCGACAGCAGCAGATACCGCTGCCCAACTCATTTATGCCCCAAATGTCGTGCACAACCAGGTGTTAACTTCCGTAAAGTTCATCTCCTCTTGTTTTGCTGGTGCCGTAGCAGGGATACTTGGTCTTGAGAACTGGCTTGGTTTCGCGTTGTTCATCACGTCAACTCTCTTCACTTCATTTGTCATATATGCTGTAAATTGTAAAGGAAGACCCGCAAAGTACATTTCTGGTGGTATGGGGGAGCTCATTAATCCAGGCCAGGATAACGTATTCACTTTCATTCTCGTTTGGACACTGTTTTTTGGTGCGTGCGTTTCACCGGTATGACATGGTCCCAGATGAACTATTCTCACACCATCGCAAATTGCCAGGCATTGTACATGGTAGATATTTTGTCAATAGATTTATTCTCGATATAACCATGCCCCCTTTTAGTGTACGACTGAACTTCATCCTGGTCAGCAGACCTCAACGTGTACAACTGCGGTACGTTTCCCTATTTTTTATATATCATTCCCGATATGCCAATCTAAAATATCTATCGTAGAGTGGATCACGGCACAGTCAAGGCCATTTATTTTCTCCGTTTATGCCTTCTACTTCCCGGGTCATGTCGGTCGTCTATCTCTCACAGAGCACTGGTTCAACTAAAGCTTATTCACCCGCCCATCTACGTAGAGTTCTATATTTTTGATATAATTATATGTTTTCTGATTCAAGTAAATGCGTCAGGAATGAGATATCTTTTTGAATCCTTTATCCAGGCGCTATAAGACATAATACTGCATGTCAGTTCGGTTGGGGGCCCATCGACGACGGGAAAATGAGTAAAAAGCGTGTGCTTCCTGTTTTGGCTTATCGCGTGGCACGTGTATTCCCGGCTTCTTGAGGTTCTCGTGGTCGTGGAAACCACGTGGACTTAGTTGTGGCAGTGCTTGCTTCTCAGCTTCGAGTTTCCGAATACGGCCTGTCCTTGTTCATCCAAAAGGTAGCGCGTTTCAGTAAAATGTTGAACCCACTTCGTTACACCCGTCCCCCCTTGCCTTTCCCTCACCACCATGTCTGGTCCCTACGTTCTCCTTCAGTTTGGTGCAGACCCATTTAATCTCAAGTTTGAAGACTTGGAAGGCCGGCCTGCATTCACTGTGTGCGTGTCCTCGTGTCATTCTGACAGGCGATCAATGATGACTCATTTTCAACGGTGAAATATTTAGCAAGGAGGTAGAGACATCCATATATTTTATTCCAAGGGTCTCTACTAATGCCAGTACTGTCCGAAGGTTGAAGAAAACCCCAATCTTGTGGTGCAGATATCTCGGGAAGCCGACTGGAGGCAGCAACATCCGGACATCATGGGTCCCAATAACTCCTACCTGTACTTTGGCCCTTCGAAATCCCCAGGTTACCTTGTGTATGGTAATGGTCCTACACAATCCATGATGGGTACTATCAAACAGAAGAAAGAAGGTAGCACGTATGTTCTAGATGTTTCTATGAACGCTGTCCGAGACTTCTCATTGGCGCTATAGATCTCGCTACTTCCCAGCGCAAAATGGTAAAGAGTTTAAATGGAGAGTCATGCCGCAAAAGATGGAGGTGTGTTAATCCATTGTTATTGCCAGTGCATTCTCTGATAAATTCAAGTGCATGGAAGGGCGTAACATCATAGCTGTTTGGGAGCTCAGCCAACCGGAGGACATTTTCACTGCTCGACTGACTATCAGACACCCCGGACTTGCTACTGTTACCGAACTATTCACGGCTCTATCTCTCAATCGTATGGCACAAGCTTTGAACTGGAATCAATAATATTTTTGCCCCAACAATATCGTCACTGTCTGTTATCACTGCGCCGCATCATCTGTTTCAGCCCATTTGGTCACTGGCTCTTCTATTCATAAGCATCTCCTATTCATAATCACTATTTCATCCTTAAGCCATTCAGATTGCCATAAATACCGCAGATACTTTGTTATTACAGCACGTGTACACATACCATCTTCTCTATGACCTAAATTCCCACTATTATTGGAGGGTGACGCATTTTTTGATCGTGGTAGCGATACTCCGCGGCCCCCTATGATCTTGAATGACTTGTTAACGGTACTTATTCCTTAATCTTCGGTACGCAATTCGTTTTGCAGATCGGTCAAACGTGTCCAGTCTGGCTCATCTTCAAAGTCTTTCGTGCGCCCCATGAATGTTCGCACGATGCTACGCCCCTGCAACCGCCAATTGAACCGCCCAACACGCGGCCCAAAGTTTCTCAAAATGTCTACCATGTCTTCCACTTCACTTACGGCTTCGCGCCACTGCTCTGCATCTGTGGCACTCTTCTCAAAGGTTCCGGCCGTGCTGCACCGATAACCATCAAGATAGGCTCGCAGTGCATCTTCCCATCGAGATTGCCAAGTGAGGAGGCGGGCATAGGCGCGGAAGATACGAGTGGAAGATATCCGGGGAAGGACGGTCCGCTCCAAGAGGTCAAGGACTCTCTTGAGGAGCCCGTGACCTTCGTTGGGGTTTCTAAGAGCGTGACTTGCCTTCCCATCGCCCTCTACCGCCTCGTCTGGGTCAGCAGGTGCCCTCGTCACGGCATCCACTAAGCGCTCTAAGACTTCTTCGTCCACGCACTCCGCACCAACCTTTGCACTTCTTTCCTCGACTATACGTGCCTGGGCACGGCATGCCTCAGATAATTCGCCCACGTCCATAGCGACGATCATGTAATTGGACCACATGCGCCAATTTTCGTAGCTATACTTTAATCCCTGTTTCAGGGCGCGAAAAGCGAGAATCTTATTGGAAAATGAAATCGACTTCGGTCCTTCTTCAGGCTATTATGATCATGAGTAGTGGCTAAGAGAAGTTAAGAGACCTTCACGTACGTTCACATCACTATCATCCGTGGGCTTCTGTTCGCTGTTGTCCAGGCGGAGATACATGCTTGCCAAATTATTCCAGCTTTCTCCGTCCTCATCGTCAATGGAAACACATCTGCTAAATGCATCTCTAGCTCCTTCCCAATTTTTTTCTCGTATGTAGGCACAGCCAAGTATAAACCAGGAACGTGAAAGCAAGGGGTTGATTGCTACTGCGCGGTGGAGACATTGAATGGCCTCGGGAAAGTTCCCCCGCGCAAAATGGTATCCTCCTAGTGATCTCATAGCACGCCCCGACGTTTCCTTTGACAGTGCCCAAGCGTGCTTGTAATGCTCAGGGGCATTATCTGGCTCAAGATCTCCTAAGAGACACCATAGTTTAGCTTCCCTGGCACTATCAATGGCACCACGGCGGAGACTGGCTGCCGCTTTACTTCGTGATGTGACGAGCTCTGACTCCTCCTTCCGGCCTTCGAGCAAATCACGAACAATCTCGATTCCTTTATCCTGCCTTTCCATGGATTGCCAGCATTTCACTACTTCCTCCCACATCTCCAGCCGCTCAAAGATCTCTAGGGCCGACTTGACCACACCAAGGGACATAAACCGTGAGGCTAACTCACGCTCCATCTCCCACTTGCTTGGCAGTGGTATTGAATGGAAATAGAGTAACCTTTCCGATAAAGTGGAATCGGCGGTCGGCATTTGATCTACGAGCGCCTGCAGCTGAAGTGTGGACCTCTCAACTGTCCGTGTACGAGATGACTCAAGACGTGACCGGAGGAGTAAGGCCATGGTATGAACTGACCAGTTCTTAGGGTGTAAGATGACACGCGCAACGTAAGGTGACATTTGTTCGCTTGTTAGCCCGTGCGAGGGAGACGTGTTCCTTACGTTTAGACAAAGAGATAGGAGAATGCATTGGTCGATGAGGTGTAAAGCAGGCTGGGAAGAAGGGTCGATGTGACTGAGATGCGAGCTCGGTGCAGAAGGCGTGGAGGAAGTGAATTCAGTTTGTTCCAGTAAAGTATCGTCATTTAAAGCTAGCGTTGCTGGCACTTGTGGTGCGACAGCCTCTGATCCCGAAACCGCGTGCGATCCGTTAACTGTATCATTGCGTTCCTCTGCATCTCGTGCTCGGCTCTCAGCTAAAAGAACCAATTGACTAAGTTCCGTTTGTTGAAATTTTGTTCGTTTTCCGAGTGCTCCAGTTAACTCATACTGTAATCCCGTGGCTTTGGCAGCTTGTACGAATAGTTCTGCTGCCCTTTTGTCGTTACACAGTAAATGCTGTTGTAAACCTTCCTCTAGTAGCAGCCGACCGGCGAGATCGCGATCAGAAGCAAGAAAGGGTTCGAGAGAGGATAGGTCAATGGCGGGTAGGGGCACTGCTTCGTCCAGGAGCTGCTCATGCGTAATCGACAATCGCAATCGCCACCAGGGTCCAGATTTACAGCAACTGAAAGGAAGATCGAGAAGCAATTGGGCAACTCGGAGGAAAGTCGCGTAACGCGCAAGGTGGTAGACAGGCTCACCACCATAAGCGAGTTCTGAAATGGCTTTCATGTTCAGTGTTTCCTCACTTAATGTTTCTGTGGAATCTGTGGAGGGAACGATGACTTCTGAGAGTTTCAAGTTGATGTCGGGGCCGGTCCAGTTGACCTGGATGAACGCATGTAGGCAGCCTACCGCCAGGATCAGTCGCATTAACTCCTTCTCGTGATCCTCATTCACGATTTTTGAAGACCAGTCGAAGAGAGAGTCAAATGACTGGCCTGATGCGTCTGCAGATTGCATTTGAAGAAGTTCCTTTGCATAAGACGAGGTCAAGGGACCACGAAAAGCTCCTTCTACCACATCCTTCGCAAATTTTGCTATCGGGAACGTTTCAAGTAACCCGTCAAGTTTAGGACTCCATTGTCCAGTTAATAAGGACTTTTCGATTTCCTCGACATCCAAATACATCGCTGTCGAATTGATGGAACGATACTGAGTTTTGCCGGTAAAGGTTCAATGGATGTAGGGGACATGATAAGATAATCGCTTGAAAAGGTCCCAGACCTGAAAATCCAGGGATCGGATATATCCGGAGTGGGGTTGCTCCGAGTCTTCATTCAAGTACACGCAATGACAAAAATTGTGCAGAAGGTATTATTCTACTCGAAAGTGCGGTGTATAGCTTGTACATGAACACCTACTATAGAAGCCACATCGTTGGGGATATATTGCATAGACTCAGAGTCCATATACCACATAGATTCCAGTTTGCGTGTCCTGCATAGCACGCGACTTGTTTATATAAAGTCCATCCAGTACCCTCTGTTAAAATGCTAACCAAATACACATTTGATCACAGCTTTGCTGACGCTTGCATTTTCACTTGTGTAGCAGTAGCAATCAGCCGACGGTGTGTCATGTCCCAGATCTAGTGTATGAGGATGTTTAATACAGTATGAAACGCACCCATGGCCAGTTGCTCTCGCTTACCTCAGTACTGGCAGTAGCAGTCCGTCCACCAATGGTTATACTGGTATTTATTAGTTTTATTCTATCCCCTCTTTCAGGCAATAAGAGTTAGATGAATAATCCACGAGCGACTAGCCCAGAATATACTTACAAGCTCGCTGGCGCATGGTAAGTAGTATTGATAGTTTGAGAAACCCCTGGATTGCCGGTTCCTCCGGCAGCAAATGACATAGCGCTCGCGGCCAGCGTCGAACATCTACGATTGTCATACTAATGAGTGAAACAAACAACAAAACACAGATAGGGGCACAAACATATCCACTAAATAAATGATACATCCCCCATGTATTTGCCCTCGAACGTTGAGCATATCTAGGATATGCCCGGAGTTGGTGAGATGGCCATAGTAAGAGTCCAAAGCAAGCATACCTTCGCTCACAGTCATCTCGCACACGACCCTTCCTTCCTTCCTCGAAGGCTCTTCTGCCTTTTCCCGGATACTCACTTCAGTAAGCTCGAGAAGCTTACCAACTCGGTGAGCAAAGCCGCATTGTTGACCGGCAAAAACATGAAGCCATTTTGCAACAAGTTCTGTGAGGAGCACGAAGTTTAGAAGCGTTTCTAAACGGATGATTGTGGTATCGCACCTTTGGTCTCTGGGGTAGCGTTGCCAGGTACTTCCCGTGGGTCTAAACCGAATGCTGTGAGATGAGCCTCTGACATTCCTTCTGGCACACCGATAGAACCTGCTGTCGACATGGAAATATATTGTAACAGCAAAAGAAGAGCGAAACGAAGATTAAAGAATGTGAGGGTAAATGAACAACTGAAACTATGAAATTCAGGAATAGCGCGACCAATCCGGCATTATGATTCCCGGTCGACCTGACGTGTGTGACAGAGTGACACCGAGATTGTCACAGTGAGCCTTCGCCACGGCCTTGCTCACGTTGCGTGGTACTTTGTACCATAAAATTATCATACTCTGTTTTCACAGCGTCAACTTGGAAGTTTACAGTAAAGACAGGCCGCTATCGGTAATCTATAGAGGGTGGCAAGATCAAATATATTTTAAGAACTACAACATAAAACATACCATAAGTACTTCAGTGCCTAAAATCGAGAAAATGTTAGTCTTGCTCTACTTTATCAGATAAGTAAAAGCCAGCCCCACCGTGACTCCAGAATTCGAACCCACCAGGGACAACGCGGATATACGATGACAAGCCGGTCAAACTCCTGTCAGTGGACTACACATGTTACGCTTATGCCAGTAGCCTCCCCAGCCTTTCTCGTATTTCCCACCAGTTTCGTTTGCTCAAAGACACTTGCACCACATGTCTTCTGACCCTCTAGCCTTTTTCCGCGCTCTGCCAGACTTGGAAGTGGACCATGTCAAAGGCAATATCTCTTTGGAAGACAAGAAACTCAATTGCAAAGTCATGAAGTATTTCGTGGGCACTGGAAATCATTTCGGTGTGGCAATTGGCAACAGACTAAGGGCGACAGATATCAATGTGTACAAAGGTGCTGGAGGCGCGCTTGAGGCACAGATGGTCCTGGAGATAGACGTAACCGAGGGTCAGTCGTCTCAGCTGCATGTTGTCCAGCAAGCCTTCATTTCGCGTACGTAGATATGTGCAACGTCTATGGAACTATGCATGGAGCCTGCGCTGCACTCCTCATTGATTTGTATGTACAATGGTCTCATGAATGCAGGATACTGGTCGTTGTGTATCTTTAACATCTGATTTAGGGGCGCATCAGGGCCACTTGTTGCGGTAGGAATTGCGACAGGAACCAATACTACTGGCATGTCACAAACGATGGATCTGATATTCCACAACGCCCCACGACTGTAAATTTAATCATGGATACAGTCTATCCTCTCTCTAATGACCAGATTTCACAGAGGGTCAAAACTGAGGATTGTGAACACATCAGTCACGGTGGGAGGGAGGTTAAAGACCGGGCGGTCGGAGGTAAGTAGCTTGAATTGTCATATTTCGAATACGACGCTCATCGATGATATAAGATTTGGGATAAGTCTGGTGAAAGACTATACGTCTCTGGGACTCACAGCAAGGTCAATATTCCACCTCAAGGGAAGTCAAAGAAACCTAGCAAATTATAACATGCACACACTATACTCTGTGTTATAGTTATGTTTCTCACGTTTGTCGCATTGCAATTGTATTTGGTGTATTTGATATTTGATATTTATCGTCTTTTTGCGAAGAAATTTAGATATACCTGGAGCTTGCGCAGACATTGGCACGAATTCCACCTCTGTCATTGATCTCGATGTCGCTACAGTATAGGCCTCAGGCTGTATCAGTGGTCGAAAGACGGAAGTAAATATTGATAGTTCATAAGACTGCAAAAGCGAACATACTACTTCATCAGCATATGTAAATAATGTTCTGATTCCATTCTGATCAGGGGACCACGTTAATCAGGCGTGGAAAGAGATCAAAGCCGTCCATCAAGGAATTCATAAGTCATGTCAGACTATCGAAATTAACTTCGAGTTGAATGCACCCCCCTATCTCTGCCGGTCAAATCTTGCGCGATCATTGCTTCTGTGACATTGTTTTAGTACAGGTAATTTCTCCCAAGGACAATATCGAGCTGTTTCCAAAAATCAAGCCCATATATGCACCAGTATAGTGCTGGCTGACTGTACACCAAATCAAAGAGATTCCAGATAGTTTCTAAGCTTATCTAGTGCGCGATAACGATGTGAAATGAAGTTCTTTTCCTCGTTCGTCATCTCCGCGTACCTGTTGCGTGATTTGACCCATTACGTTAAAGTAACGCCCAAAGGCAGAAGTTAGACAGACTCACGTTTTCCCCGTGTCTTCAGCCTGGAAGACTGGATCCCAGCCGAATGTAGCAGGACCGCGAGCGGGAACGATCATCCCCTCTGTACGCCCTTCAAAAAGTATAGGCTCAGCATCAGGGCCGGAACTGTAGGCGAACGTGCAAAGAGCCCAGGCTTCTTTGGTAGGAAAACCATCGAGCATGCTGTTTAGGCCTGTGGACATCAAGCGAATCAATAACGGGTGATATGTGTAAGACTTTCTTGTACACACCATCGTGGCCAATACTTTTCATGAAATATTTAATATATGGTCCTGGGAGCCCGTTGAGGGCTTTGAAACAAAGAGCAGTATCTTCAGTGATGCATGGGCCTCCCAACTTAAAGGCAAGTAGATAAGTGTCTGTAGGATCCATAATCAATTTGAACACTACTGACTAATTCAGCGGCTCTTTGACATTTGGCTCTTGCGACCTCCTGAGTGGTGCCTTGTATTTCAGGAACTAAGTATACGATGTTAGGGGTTGATACCGTCTACAATGAAATATGAAAGCCAACTTGCTATCGAGGTCATGAGAATCGATTTGAATAGGCCGCTGTCCTTGCGATAGAATATACTGCACTTCCCTCAATTTGTTGGCATTTCCGGTTACAAATACTAGGTTTATGGATAGATGCTTGTTTTGTTTTTGTACCTTCATTTTATTATATTTGAGACTCACCAAGATGTTTCGATGCCATCGATGTCAAACGATTTTGGAGGTATATGTGACTCGAAGTCCATCTCTTGAATCAAAACTCCGAGCCGAGACGGAGTCATGCGAGATAAATGCCGCGGCCTTGTCGGACCATAAATTAAAAGACATTTTGGAGGTTTCTATGCCTGGACAGCTGTTGATAACGGTGCATGAGTTGAAAATGGCCTTCCACAGCCTTAAAAAACAAGAGTGACTGACCTACGCTTTTTTGGGAGCAGGAATAGATACATATCAAATGATCTGTCAAACAATAAGGTCAGCGATACTTATTTTTTGAGCCTGTGGCAGCCAACAGATTTAGAATGCAGGTTGAAGAGACATAAGAGACGTCTGTTTGATGATATATTGCTTACGTTCTTTTAGATGTTGGTTTAGTTTTTCTTTATTTAGTCTAATTTCTTCTGTTGAACGAACGAGACGTCGAACTGACTCCATTTCAATTGATTTCGCGCTATCATATGTATTACACATAATCCAGTCTGATGGGCATTTCTAGATATAACAATGATATATCTCATTCTACGTAGATTGAATCTGGAAAATAGTCCCAGTCTCCTTTGTGTTTTCCTGAGGATATCTGTTGCCATCGAGCTAATCAGCTTTGACTTGACAAATGTCTCCAGACATTTGGCAAGTGCAATGCAGCGCGGCTTAAGCTTGTTCCGCGCCCAAAATATCTGGCTCGACATATATGAGGAGCTTTGAACCGAGGAGTTCATAGAGCTCGAAGCTTCCCAAAAGCAAAGTCAGTGATTCGACAGCTTCAGATATGGAGATATAGAACAAGCCAAGTATAAATCTCATACCAGGTTAGGGAGAATACAAATCAACGACAAAAGTAGAGGGAGGGAGGTAAACATGGGCCCAAGAAATCTTCAGTGTCTGGTAAGTAAATGTGATGAATAGATCAATCGAAAGAAATAATATATGATCTAGAAGATCAGGAAGAAAAAATATGGATAGATTTTTGGATATACATTATTGTTTGATGCATTGTAATTCCAAAATCACGCTTGTAGAAAGGAAGCAGAAGGCAGTAGCCCTATCAAAGCAGCAACTTGGTAGAGTTGCCTTCATCGTCGTCTTCGTCGGTAATATTATTTACCTCGTCCTCCAACAGTCGGCGCCTTTCTCTCCGCTCGTCAGGCGTTACCCGAGATGGCGATAAACTCAACTGTAGGGTACTAGTACAGAGAGTGGGCCGACGTGGAGTTTGTTTAGACCCCAGCTCCCGTGCTCTTGTTACGGATTTCTTCGACGTAGCAGAAGAAACCATCACGTTCATACTATCAAGCTCCTTCTTCTTAGCCTCCGGGGTAAGTAGTGCAATCTTCATCAGATCGTGCGAAGTTGGAGCGGTGCTCCCCTTCTTCGTCCTCTTTCTAGGAGCAACATTCTCTTTGTATTCTTCTCTGTCGATCTTCATCTCCTCCGTACAACGGCCCACTTCAAAAGCGTCAGAGGCCGTCAAATTTGTTTGTAGTGGCACGTATTGAATATGATCATCTTGGAATGTGTCGAAGCCAGGATAGTGGATAGACTGGCGATCAGGTGGGGATGGCATATCGCGGGGCATTGAAATGGGAGCTACACTATGAGGGGAGCCTCGTAACCGCGACGAGCGACGAGGGACAGTAGTGGTGGATGACGGAACGTCACTGTCTAGGGTGATATATGATGTCGAGGGCTGGTGAATGGCATTTGGCTGTACCGAAATATCAGACGAAGATGCTATACTGCCCGATGGAGAACGACTGCGTGGTTCCGCAGTGCAACTTGGGATAGACGGGACAAGCTGCTGATGACCTTTCGGAGGCCCAAAGTCTAACTTCTTCGCTGGGGTGTCTCCAAGGAAATCGGAGGAGGATGCTGCAAGTCTGGTTCGAGAAGACGGAATACTTCTAAGCGTCTTCCCGGGGAAGGTGATGCCTTCTTCATTGAGGATACGACGCTTAGCCGGACTGAAAAGGATCGGCGCAGCAGGTGAATGCGGGCGCTTGTTTGGTCTCGGACAATTAAATGGTTTTAGGTTGTCAGGGACATTGGAGTTTGGATGCAGAAAAGGCTCCAAAGGCAGGTCTTTCAAAGGCCCAGGGCGTCGCATTTTGTGTAAAGGGAGTAGATGGCAAGGAATCAATAGTAATGTGCGAGTGCTTCAGAAACGCGTACGCGAGGTGAGGGTAATAAAAAAGGCCTGCTCTCCTGTGCACACGCCCGGTCCACGCATCACAATAGAACTTGCCACAATATGTACAAATAGCGCGTTATGTCACGCGTTAGTGAGTCACGTTTCACGCGCTAAAGATACACAATCAAGCAGCGACAACGGAAAAACATGAAAGCAATGCGATTCTATCCAAAACACACATATACGACGAAAGAGTAATATATTGTACTTTTTACTAGCCACATAATTGAATGAGCTAGGCACCCACAGGCATGACTACGTCAAAGACACCCGTGCCCGTCTGATTAGGCCGTCCAATTACTATGTTTCCAGATGGTGTCGTCAGATCGTCAAAGTCACCATAGAGAGTTGCATCCGACAAGAAGGCTGCAGTCGTTTCGTAGGAGGCTTTCAAAAGAGGAGATGGATTTGTTGACAGGCCTTTGCGATTAAATGGCTTGTAACCACCGTCGAAGGTCTGTGATCAAGGAAATGAAAATGAGAGCTGTATTTATTATTTATACATGAGAGTTTGACACTGCATACCATGTAGTCAGCAATAAGTTCCAAATGTCGGAAGTCAACATCTATCTTGTATGCATCGAAGACTCCACCCATCTCGCGCAAAATTGCTGCACGAGCCATTTCAACTCCGTAAGTCTTCAGAATGGCATAAATGTCGTTTGAGTAAATATTGTTATCCTCGATGATGCTTTCGTCCGCGCCACTTGCAAAAAGCCAGATACCGCGGAAATTAGATCCGTTAGTAGTGAGCTGCATAAATAGTTCAGTACAACGAAAGAGGGTATAACAAATTGCATCCGCACTCTTATCTTCTCCATACCGTGGTCCTTGACTACAGAGCTGAAACACTCTGTTATGCCGGGAATCTCGCGAATGATAGTTTTGCGGCACGTTCTTTCTATGATACCCACCAGTAGTAGTTTAGGAAAATCTGCACCAAACTATAGGCCACGCATAGCATGAGCAGATGTTACACGAGACAAGAGTTTTACTCGCCTCTAGTTGGATGGAACAGCCACTTTCTGTGAATTTGAAAGAAGTAGCACTATGGAAATTACGCTTGAAAAGGTCGGTGACTATGTCCACTTGATCACGCAGAGTCGTCGGGCGGCCTATTTTCTTTGTACCATTGTCCCCATGCTCGACATCATCCTCGCCTTGGGATGCGTAGGCTGCTTCGATAGCGGCATCATCTAGTTCTCCAGATTCACTGTCTTCATCTGACTCGTAAGAAGTTTGTTCTTTCCTCTGCCTTGCTCGTTTAGCATCCTCCGCGTCGCCGTCACCCTGTTCACTTCGTTCTTCATCTTCCTTATCTCTACTTGGAGCTTCCCCGCCATCGCCGTCTGCTTCGTTTTCCACGGCCACTCCTTCCTTAGCGGCCTTCCCCTTCCCCAGCTCTGCTATCTGGTTTTTTAAGTCTGCATCCAGCTTCTTCATTTCGTTCTGTATCTCCTTTTTGAGAATTAGGGGGAATTTAGTTGCGAAGGAAGCAAGAATTTCAGCTGGTTCTACATCATATTCTTCCCGATATTCTTCTTTCGGAAAGAAGGCAATGTCGATTACAAATTCCGTGCGCCTGGCTTCGCCTTTCACAGTCAAGCGTTCCTTGACAGTTACATCGTCGACAACCTGAGATAGGGCCAATCGGCTTGCCTTCTTGCAGAAAGTATCGATGTCTATCTGTGGAATCCCTGATCGAACCTCCATAGTCATGGAGGGTGTCTTGGGTTTTTGTGATGCAGTCATCACAATTTCTCGCAGTCGAGGGATACCGAGTGTGACATTTGCGGCACCGTGACCTGTAGAAATAGTATACGATGAGAGTTGTTTTATGAAGGGTGAAAATTCATACCAGCAAAATGGAATGTGTTCAAAGTCATTTGAGTTGATGGTTCTCCGACTCTGTATACGACTGATTATTAAATTGAACTGAAGATACATTGGTTGATATCATACCCTTGTGATGCAAGTAAGCCCACGGCCTCTCCAGGTTCCACGAGACTTCGCATGTACTTGACGTTCATTAGAAGACGGAAACGCTTTGTAGGAATGAATTGGCGCCTTCTCTTTATAGGAAGCTCGGCGTCCACATCCTTTGGTTTGAAAAGCTTATCTGGATTGGCCTTCACGTATTTATCGATTGCTCCAGCGAAATTTTCTGATGTACTTCCCAAATATCGACTTGGACTATATAAGTCCAGAGTCGGGGTAAATGCATCTCGGCTGGCTGATTTTTTCTTGAGTACCTTCTTCATATACTCGACGGCGTCGCTGTCGTTCACCAATCCCGCGATATCCTTGGGCCTGTATAGGTTGAGGAAGGTCAAGTCGTTACGTGCAACAAATTCGAATTGGCGCAAATGCTTCTGTTTCGTTACATCCAGGGCGTCTCCTCCATATTGGAATTGGTAAATCGAGGAGTCACTACCACGAACGGTATGGTCATAATGGACACGAATTCCTTCTAGATGCTTGATCAAACAACGTTGTAAATAGCCAGAGCGTGATGTTTTCACGGCGGTATCGATAAGACCTTCGCGACCAGCCATGCAATGGAAATAGAACTCTTGCGGCTTCACGCCAGTCAAAAACCGACTAGCGACATATCCACCAGCTATAGCTTTCGTCTCGAATGTCTTAAAGGATGGCAAAGTCTTGCCGCTAACCATTACTGGTACACGACGGCCTTCCAGCTCTTGCTGACCTAAAGCACAAGATATTTGCTGGGCATTGACAGCACTACCTTTAGCACCGGAAAGTGTCATAGTCTGCATGTGATTATGGGGAAATTTACGAAGAAGACCGTGGGGCATGCAAGCATCGGCTATCGACTTTGTGAGCGTCGAAAGCTTGGTCTTCACCGTTACATCAAGGCCAGCCATCTTGTTATCGTCACGCAGGACATCTTCCAACAATGCTGAAAGGGCTGCTGGAATATCCGCCTTCGCAGTTTTGCTTAGCGAGGGGAAGTTTTCGATAGCACCCTCCGTACCAAGATTGCTACCGCGGCGTAACAAGTCCATTCTACGTGCATCACCAGCAGGTGTCAGTGCCAAATCGTCCATCCGGCAAGTGAACGCCCGATGTTGTAAGAACTTCGTGAACAAGCGACTGAGTATCCCAAGTAGATTGCCGGCTATATCAGCGCCATATAGCTCGTATATTGAGTGAACTAGACCGAAGTCGGTTGCACCGAACGCCGACTTGTCCAGGACACCACAAAGGAGTTCTCCGTCCATGAAAATGACCTTGTCTTCACTCGAGTCCTTGCCCCAAAGGTGACCCGGCACTTTCGCTTTGGAGTCCAAGTTAAGGCCGCCCGCATTGCTTGGGGTTATATTCTTCAGTACTGTTGAAATCTTCAGGGCGATCAGACACGAAGTGATATCACGGTCAGATATTAGCTTACGATTTGCTTGCCAGTCCACAGAGGTTTAGGTTTCCAGATGGTTGGTGGCATAGTCACCAAACGACCTGTATTATGTGAATCATCTTCCGGCCTAAGAGCACCGTAGAGAAGCTGGAAATATTCTTCCCGAGAGAAAAATGCATCTTGGCAGGTCATCCAAACACCTGCTACGACATGATCTTGAATTAGTCCTCGAAGAGGCTTACCGGATGTAGGAACAAGGTATTGGTTGTCGGTATTCGCAATGAACATCGCTTCTGCACGTGCAACCTGATTTTCTACACAACATCATAAGCATATGAATAAGAGGAAGGGAAATTAGTTCTTACGAGGAAAGTGAATGTTCATTTCTTATGGAACTATCAGTAATAAAGTTCTCCAACGAATGGAGTCCCACATACCGTCACCATCAAAGTCAGCTAAAAAGTTGAAGATAAGTGAAAGGTGCGTCTCTTATACAGTATCACGTTACCGTTGTATGAGTTACTGGAATATTAAGGTACAATTAGATCAATGCGATGAGCCGGGAGACGAGGCTACCCTTACCAATTTGCGTAGTGCATTCGTATGGTCTTCTCGCCTTGTAAAATACGAGCCTTGTGACACATCATGCTTGGCTTATGCAAAGTTGGTTGTCTGTTCAAAATGAGGATGTCACCATCTTGCAAATGTCGGTATACTTTCTTGTTGATTGATGTTGTACGAGTTGAGAGGCCACTGCGCCCAGAGCCGTTGTTGTTACTACCTTGCGGCGTCAGCAGCTGGTTTGCAATGGCCGTTCGCTGCTCAACACTCAGTTTCTCCTAAACATGAACAAATGTGCTAAGCTGGTATAATAAGGTGGAACTGGAAAACTATGTACCAGAGACTGTTGATGCCCATCCTCGAATTCAACTATCGTTGCTCCAGGATAACCCTTTGGTCCAGTGATCACTCTCTGACGTAGCTCGTGGAAATTCGCAGGAGTTACAGGTTCAGGGAAAGTCAATTTCCTAGCAAAAACAGGGGGGATTCCAATCTCGTTAGGTTCAATATTGACGTCGGGTGAGATAACGGAGCGAGCGGCATAATTGACACGTTTTCCCTGTAGGACATGTTTTTCAAATGAATTTAATCTCGTATACACAAACAATCGAAGGGCATCACCATCATGTGTTTCCGGAACAGTCCCTCTTTCTTCTCCAAACTTTGTTTCACCCCAGCTGGAGGAAGCTTGCCTTGGCGCATAGGTGCAGGGTTTTTACTGCTGTCCATGAAACTGTTAACATCGGCTTGCAATTGAATGAGGGTCTCGAGAAGTGTTCCAAGAAGTTTCCTCCGTGATGATTCATCGGCCTCCGAAGATTTGGAAGTTGCAGCTCGGAGGTCAGCATTCAAATCTCGTAATCGGTAGGATGTATGCAAAACTTTTGATAAAAGTTCATTTTGGGGATGTTCAAAGAGCGTTTCACCCATTTTTGCAGGTGGTCGGAATCGGGTAGGCGAGACAGGTACCACTTCCATAAAGAACATATCTGCGGAGGCGAAAGACAGACCTTCCCTTGATATGGGGGCAAAGGGGCCATGCCTTCCAAAGAGAAGGGAACATATGATAGCTTCCTTCTGGAAAAGCCGTCTCAAGTGAGCACGACATTCCTCCGGTGCCATGACCCTTTCATTTCGTCCACGACTGGTTTTTACCTTCCCATTTGCCGCTCTGGGACGCATATCCTTGCGGGTTATCGAAGGTTGATCACGTTCCCCTTCCTCATCTTCGTCTGAAAAAGTTGCCTCCCCTTCTGCTTCAGGGTCTGACATCTCCGTATCCGAGTCTGAAGCATCGCTAGGGCTTTGATGTGTAGAATTGGTTTTAGGAGCATCATGCTGGAACAGAAGTACGTCGGGACGCTTGACGCCGACGGCACTATGCTGAATCTTTTGCTTCGTGGAAAGGTCATATTCAATGATTTTGGTGTGTGCCTCCTTACGGAATGTGTAGGCATGACTGTAAAAGCTGTTTTGAGTGGCAGATATGACGTGTTCAGGAGGGCACTCACGCTCCACAACCCTCGTTCTGGCATTTTTTCAAGATGGTGTTCTTCATGAACTCGTTTATGAGATCCTTCCGTGCTTGATAAACGAGGCTATCCTTGTAATGGTCTCGCTTGCTGCCTGAAGCCCGATGGATGTGAACTGCGACATATAAATTGACGCGCTTTTCAAACTCCTCCATAGTTTCGTCAGGAGCATCATCCTCTTCGTCATCCCCTTGAGTCTTCTTTGTTTGCAAGCGCAGTTCATCCACGCCTTGCGCAGCTCCCAAAAGACCACGTTCCAACAAACGAAACTTAGCGATGTACTTGCATATCTGTAGATACACTGGTAAGTCCTCGAGACCGCTGTAAATAAAGTGCTATACATACCACTGAACGACTGATTTTGAATTTATGACAAAATAAACATGTTCCCCGGAGTATATTGTACAAATTCGCCATGAACAGAGGGTGATACAAAGGAGCAGGTAGCTCGATGTGTCCAAAATGGCCAGGGCAGGTGAAGTATGTGAGGCGACATGTTGCGCAACTAAAAGAACCTTGATAAAATTAAAACAAAACTTGGAAAAGGATGTGCGTACATGTCCTGACGATCACTTGGACCTAGTGCAGGGTCGTATAATCCCCCAATATTGGGCCGGTTTAAATCGTCTAATAACACTGGATTCAAAATCTGTTTGACAGAAATCCGGCGTATATCCTCTGTTGTAAGAAACGAAAAAGATATGCTGGAGACCGTGGACGGTATGGAGCATGCGATGTTCATGATAGGTAGACAACCGAGTGTTTTGTTTTTAGGTGAATATCATAGAGGACCACGGTGACGCAAATTTTGAGACAACCTAGACTTGCCGAGCTTGATACTGTCCTCGGACGTTGACACACTCAAGTTCCTTCAGCCCGAACTTTTTTCTCAATCCTCCAGTCGTCACGTGATCCACACATAGTTGCATTTCAATTTGACAACTTGTTTACAAAGCATATACTTCGTGCTATAGGCCGCCTCTAAAGATGCTAAAGATGATGATATTACTAGTAGGAGCACAACTTTGTAAAGGTAGCGTATTAGAGATAGACCTTGCATTTAACGCCCATGAAAGTACCAATAATAATAACGTTTTTCATGGACGCTTCCACTGGCATACAACTTGAACACCCCCCTTTACCTCTCTGCAATGATGGACGGCGCCTAAATGCGAATAAACATAATCCTCGAGACATCATGATCCAGCCATGACACTACGTCTCGACGACGTCCGTCCCTTTCCAGATTTGGGCTTCTGGGCTTCGCTAACCAACTCTGCTATGAGTTTGTTGTACGTTTCTGAGTCTTGCTGTAGAGCATCGCGCGTTTGCAAGAGATGCGTCAGCAACGTTGATGTATTTGTTGTTTCTGCTCGCAGGTCGGCCAAGAAGCGCTCAAGTTTGGCAAGAGGTAGAAGAGGTAGCTGATCTGAATGTTAAAGACCGCGTTGCGGTAGTTAAATTAAGTTATTGCATATATGAAATAGCGACATTACTTGGATCAAGATTGAGTAGATCATTCACTTTCTTCTCGTCGAGCACGGGTTTAGGACCTAGCCCTAGTTGCGACACGGATGTCGGTCCCGAACGAGCTGAGGGTTGAGGAGTCCCTGTACGTGGGCTGTTTGCTCGTGAGTTACTTCTAGAAGGTGGGGTGCTGCGCAAAGGACCATTGCGTGGACCTGGTGGTGCAGACATCGGTCGCGTGGATATTTGCAGAGGAGGTAAAGGCTTCCCATTAGCATGGGGAAACACCTCATCAAGGTTCACTGGTAGGCCTAATGAAATGAGGTGTTGCTGGCGGATCCGCGACCTGGTCCAATTTATGGGCTCGAACGAGGGTGGGGAGTTCAGCAACGTGTTATAGAGGTCGCGGCTTTGAAGAGGTTGATACTCGTCAGTAAAAAACATATAACGCGCATACATTTGATAGTACCTTTGAGACGTAACCAGCATCTGGCTAATACCATCTACTTGTCTCAGGTCTTGATCCATCGTGAGACCCGATACATCTTGCGTCCATACTGACTCCAACAAGTTGCTAATTTGTCTACCCAGTTCCTCGTTAGAAGGTACAGGATTCATCACCAAAGGCTCCCATTCCAACTGAGATGGTCCTGCGATTGGTATTTCTTCTTCAAATCTGGTGTCCTGCTCAAAGTCATTGGCATTTGCCAACTCCTCAGCCTCTCCAAAGTCCCCAAAGTCTCCAAAATCATCGTCTTGGGCCACCGATGAAGCTGCCTGGTCAGTCTGCGGAGGAGTGTGAAAATCATCGAAGTCGTCGAATAAATCTTGGGATGTACTGGGAGAGGAGAACGTTGGTAGATCCGTTGTCAAATTTGAAAGACGTGTGGGATCACTGGGGATGCCCCACACCGAAGCACCAAACGTAAGGTCGTCGTCCATGGCTTAGGTTAGTATTTTTCCTGTGCGAGATATCACACTCGAGAGGTAAAGCAAAGACTGATTATGGTGGGATGGTGGGATATGACTTACAAGTGGAAGATTTCTCGGTCTCAGTGCCACGGTGCGACAACTTCGAGTTGAACCACTGTGGCTTGGCAACGCTATAGAAATCCTTGTTCACTACCAGTCATGTAAATGTAGACCTCTCATGACTCTTGACCATCAGCTCTTTCTCTTTACTTCATTGGGCGATAAAAAGCCTTCCACAACCCGTAAAGTTCACATACGACGTCTCTACGATATATTGCAGCTCAGCCTCCAACGTAAAGACCTTCCCAGGGCAAAACGGGCTTGGGCCATATTATCCAGGTGCAAAGAGGTCGAATGGAAATCTATGTGGTCGACAAGTTTATATTTGCTCAGTGATCATGTCGACAAGATAGAGAGCAGTCCACCCAAAATTGATTTCTTGCGAACTATGATGCTCCAATATCCAGACGAGGTGAGTTGTACATGATTATACCGAGAAACATTTGCAGGGGACTGATGAACATTGAATAGCGTGAATCTATATTGAAAGAACTGGTCCTGCACCTAATACTATCGAACAGGTATAGAGAGGCTTTGGATGAGCTTGAACTGTATGTTTTACAGGTACTAATAAACGTCATGATCTTAACTGACCTCCTTCAATAGGTACCTTCCGTCATTCCCTTATCATGATAACCCCGTTCTGCACGTATATGCAGGACTGCTCTCTCTTCAACTTGCTCAGTCGTCAGGAGAAGGTCTCCACTTCATATTATAATATCTGCGATATCTTACTCATAGCCTCCCCAATTCAGCCCAGGCCGATGATAGTCACGCGTTGTACTCTGGCACCCTGGACCATGCCCAAACCTATCTTGAACGCGCAAGGTTACTAGACCCGAATAATGTCGTTGCGAATGCTTTCCTAGAGAAGGCAAGAGTCGCTCACTTAACTGTCGACGTTTGGTGAAATAACATTTGCTCGTTAGATACGGCTAATTTCACAGTCATCCCACCAACATTCGAATGGAGATCATGGCTCAGACGAGGAAAGCATGGGTATGGATGGGAGCCCGCGGCAGAAACGTGCTCGGAAATATATTTCTGCCTCATAGTTGAGATAACCAGGCTCGCTGGGTGAATAATCATTGAATCCTGATTACTACTCGTGATCGCAGCGGTATATCTCCTTTACATACTATCCATCCGAGTCGGAATCCATATTGATTGCAGGCATATCCTCGTCATCTTCTTCTTCATCCACAGCCATCAAAGATGTACTTGGGACAAAGGTGGAAGCTGATGCGTCAGGGCGGTTAGAGATCTGGATCTCGACTGACAATGGGAGTGTATCGGGTTCCCGGGGTAGCGTGGAAGCTGATACAGAAGTGGGTGATTTATTTGAAAGGATTACATTTGTCAAGTTGTCCGGATGAGTACTGGGCGTTTTTGGAATAGATAGGGATGTGGTCGCACTTAGTTCTTGTGGTGTATCCACAGTTTGAGCTGCCTTTCCCATAGGCTTTCCTTGTAAGGACACTGAACTTGACTCAATCTTTTCACCTGAAGTAGGCTCTTCGGTGGTTTGATGATTGTTTTCTACGATGCCCAGAGATTTGCGAGCTGCAATTTCTTCGTTACCCTCCTCCGCGCGAAAAAGCGACAAGGTTTCGACGTGGGGAAGGGAACGAACTAATGGTGGTCCTCGAGGATGCAGAAGAAGGTTTACATCGTGCTGGAGATTTACACTTGTTGACAGTAGCTAATACGATATCCACAATCGTCAGCGTGTTTCGGATATGAGTGTTGAAGAGGTCTCACATGCTCATTCCCATCGTTCACAATGCTGTTGAGGACAAGACCAAGACTCTTGCTCATGGTACTAGTTGTCCCGTGCGCGACTTCAGTACAGAGCTGGCGTACCTTCCCAAGAAGTTCGCCATGGAAGCCTACATCTGGAGATAACGCGGACGGCAGCATCATAGGTAACGATAGTGACATGGACAAGAGTACACGAGACCCCAAAGAGTGTATAGCAGAAGCGGTACTTTGATTTTGCATGGCTAGTTGAAGTACTGTGTTTTGGAAATTAGCGTCGTATAGAGTAGATCAAAGCAAACTAACCATTTAGTGCGGCAAGGATCACTTGTCCATCCTCGACATTGGGGCAAAGGACGTTTCTGGATATCTTGAATACTTCATCACCTTCATATTCACGCCTTCGCTTTTTGCTTTTTTTGCTGAGACTAGAATCGGCCATGTTCTCGGACAATGTTTCTGACTTGGTAGCGAGAACGGTAATCAAGGAAGGCAGTATGGCTTTCACGAGCCGGTTTGAAGGTAGTTCGGAGTGAAGAGGATGACAGCTTCTCAGCACAACACAAGAAGCTTGCAGAAACGGTAAACGCTGATCCCTAAGAAATTTACAAGTTGGGGGTAGTCTACAAAGAGTCGGCCAGGTGCACTTACGATGAGAGTTTCTGCTCGAGGTGATAAGTGAGCATGGCGGTTAACCGTGATAAACAGGGTGTCAGGTGGAACCGCAAACTGGTGTACCGGATGGATGTGAATATTAACGAAGGATATCGATTGTTCGACTTACGCTTTGGCTAGACTGGTGATCAGATCACAGGACAGCTTCCAAATTTGTGGTACGACTGCTACCTCCATAGCTCTTACAACGGGATCAATATGGCCATCTACCTGAAAAGGTCGATCATCGGCCCATATTTCGTTGTACATAAGGACCTACCTGATCACCAGGCGTGCAGCTAAGAAGTCCCGTGCAAAAAGCGACCAAAGGTCCTATAGGTACTTGTACTGGACGCTGAGTTGTGGACCTGTAGGTGTGTAGGATTTGGAGAAGTGATAATCAATTAAGAATGCCAACATACCGTAGTAAATCACGTAAAACAGAAACACCACATCGTAATCTGTCTAAATTCAATGGTATTGAACCTAAAGGATCTATGGGAGCGCCATGTTGAGATACGGGAAAATTTTGCCCTGTGCAGATAGATGTCAGAATTGGCGGAACCACGTTGTAAAGAGACCTCACCTGGAAATGTTGTCCTGAGGACTGCTAGAGCATTCCAAGAGAATGTTAGAGTTTCATCGATGGACTTTCTCCACACGTTGGCAGCACCGACTTTACCACCCGTAAGGTGTAAAACAGCGTACAGATTAGAAGCCGCATCAAGTAACATCCGGTCCGTAGGTTGAGGTGCAGAACCGTTCAAGAGCCGCAAGCACATTGCGTTCAAAGCAGAAGTTACTCCTCGGTGCGAAGTAGGATGTAAAGGGACCAGACTTGCTATGGTATCGAGAACTAATGTCTGCGCCACGGACAAAGGTTAAGGCTGCGTTATGCGCGAGAAGGAGGTGAGTTTGAGAATACCTTGAGTTCTAGATCATGTTGCTTTTCAGCGAGACTGATGAGGGCAAGACTGAATTTTGGTATATTTGGCGTGACTACTTGTCGCTGAAACTCTGGTACATCGGTTGTAGCACTAAAAACGTGATGTAGAAATCGAATGGATGCTTTCAGGATAGGCAATGGTTCATTTTTCTTTTTGATCAAAGATGAGAACACCTCAGGGTAAAATAAAAGGGAAGACCGACCGAAAGCAAAGGTAGTGCAACACCTAACCAAGTTTGGGAGCACTCTACCATCGTAAATTTCGACAACAGGGAGGTTTTATGTGCGAGGCATAGGGCGGCCCATCGAGCTCCAGGATCTTTTGAATGGAGCATAGATGTAATGCGTGTGGTCCATTTCTGCAGATGAGGTGAGGGTATAAAATATTCCTGGGTCAAATGGGTTAAGACATAGGAGATATTCAACACAGTGGACGGGTCAGAAACTAGTTGCAGCTGTAATAATGATTTTAGGGGATGAGGGGGGTCCATCACAGTACAAGCCTGAAAGCACAAGAAAAAACTGAGACGTCCGAGTCGAGAACCGCGGACTCGGATGGCATGGTTCCTTGCAAAGGCTTTAGATTTCAACAAAGGCAAACAAACGCACTACGCTCATCCCGAGTCCGAAACCGCGACCCATTCACCATTCACATTCGTTAATATGCAACAGTCTGACCCATCCTTTGAACTGGATCCCTCGGTAGAAGAACACTTGAAGCTAGATACATTTGAGGTTCCACCACTTCATCCTTGTGGGTTAGCAAGACTAAACAACTACGTTGCTATAGGGAAAATTCGATGTTAAGGACTTCGTTGGATCTGTATCAGAAAGGCTCATCACTCAATCAAAGACAAACTCCGGTCGTAAGCATGCTTAATGATACTAAATGTCAGCGCTACAATTCCTGTTACATAGCCTTTGACCCCAAACCTTTCATACGGACGTTTGAGGCGGCTGTAGACAGACTGATCGCGGTTAGAAAGGACGTTCAAGCAAAAACAGAACAGATGGAAAAGAGTGTACGTGTTGCAGAAAGAGAGTATTCCAAGAAGATGGTTGAACTGAACCGAGGCTTCGAGGTACGTGCTCAATTGCTGTTTCGCTTCCAGAGTACTGCATGTTCTCTGACAAGGCTGTCGGTTCGTCATTTTCTACCATGGAGAGCAAAATGAGTGAGGTAGGACGAACATCAATTAGGATTGGTGAGTCTGGCTGACACAGTATATCATTATGTTGTTGGCCTTATTGTCATCTAGGTGAACAGCTAGAGTCTGTGCATATAGAACGCCAGAGAGCACAAGCCGCTTATGATCTGATCGACTATTACAACCAGTTCTCTCGAGGAGATACTTCCCATTTAGATACTTTGAAGAAAGAAGGGCGAGAGGGTCGGCGTCAAGTAGCTGTTATATTGAGGCGCTTGACAACCGTGGCAAGAGAGGTTGACCTCCCGACTGCTGAAAAGGTATGTTGCTATGTTCGAGCATCTTATGTCCGCCGTTAACAGTACTCGTAGACCAGAGAAAGCATAGATAAATATTGCGAGAAGTTTGAGAAGGACATGCTCTATCTCTTTGATAGATGTTATCGCAAAGGCGATCCAAAGATGATGCATGTTGGTCGTTCATCAGTTCATGCTATCTACTGCGTTAATGGCCTTATTTCTCTAGCATTGTGCACAAACGTTGCTCGATTTCAATGGAGGCGCGTCATGCGTGCAGGTTTACGTTAACCAGCATGACTTCTTCATAAACAAGATCCGCGAAAACCCTGATTATAGCGATGCTGCTCTGTGAGTTTTACTGATACGCCTTTTGTGTTTAAGACTGACATGAAACTTCGTTAAGCTGGGACACTATCATAAATCCTGACGCCAGTCCGCCCAAGACGGAATCAGGTTTGGTGGAATTATTTGCGGAGATTCGCGGCACCGTAGGCCAGGAAGCGCAAATAGTACAAGCTGTCTTCCCTAATCCACCTTTGGTGATGCAAGTATTTTTGCAAAGAGTTTTTGCGCAGTCTGTAAGCTTCAGTGCATAGCATGTATGAATTTTGCCATCCACCTCACAATTTCATAGATTCAACAATACATGGAACAACTATTGAATAAAGGTTCCTCCTTGTCCGACTTGGCATATCTGCGCGTATTGCAGCTTGTGCATATTCAAACGTCTGCTTTGGTGGAAGACCTTAAAGCACACGAGCTTCCTTCTATCACTCCCATCCGATCTTCGCTTGATGTGACCGACTTCCGGCGAACACTAGCAGGCGCGCCCTCTACTTCTGCCCCGCCAACGTCGACAACGATTGGAGCTATGCTAGAAACTGCCATGGAGGAGTTGTTTGTGTCATTTATCGAGGGTAACAAATATCTAGAAAGAGAAAGCAAAAGCTTAAGTGAACTCTATGCTGGCCTGCTCACTACTTTTACACGGTTCCATGTATGTTTTGCTTTTCTTTCATCAGACTTGGGCTGACATCTTGGATCAAGGGGAGGATCCAAAAAACAAAATCATCCATGTTCGATCGTATGGTTAATCAACTCAGTGCAGCTGCTGCCAACACTTCGACGACTGGTGCATCAAGTACTTCTGCGCAAGCTGCAGCTGCCCTAATGAGGTTTGGTGGTATAAGTGCTGATCGGCTGCAAGATAAATCATCGGAGGAACCTTTACGAGAGGAAGATGGGCAGTTGAGTGTCCTTGTCGCGGAGAAAATGTTGAAGTGGCATGCAGAGGCCGTTGGAAGGTGTATTGAGCTTAGCCCTCAAAGTGACGCGTAAGTGTCAACATTACGGGCTGACATTCAAACTGATAGCTCACTTTTTGCACCAGTGCAAAGAATACTTTTGCCTTACTCCGAGTTTTGGCTGAAGCCATTGGCAATGCTTATGTCGAGACGGCCATTGAAAGGTATATATGGAATCCGGCTATGTGCCATGAAGTGTATTCACTCTGACCTTGTATTCTAGTGCTCACGCCCGGGTGGAAGCCGCAGATCCAAAAGCAGAGCCTAATCTTCAGGCTTTTGCAGTCTTAAATACGGCAGATCTGATATGTCATCTTTGGCAACAGTATGTGAACATAGCGCTTTTTCCTCTAGCCAGCTCTTCTGTTACTATCCGACGAGAGATGACTGTCTTCAACAATCAAACTGTCAGCCGATTAGAGGGAGGAGCTAACAGTCTATTACAGCGTGTAATTGACGGTGCCTTGGACTTTGTTTTCTCATTCGAGGTCGTTTGTTAACTTTGGCTTGTCCTCTAGCTATTGTATCATGGCTCTCTTCTCTACTCGTAAAACAAAAGAAGAACGATTTCAAGCCACGTAACGATGATCTATCATTCGCCCGAGTGAATACGGAACCATGTGTCGCGTGCTGCGAAACCCTAGAAAGAGTCCGTGATGCTGCAATGCAAAAGCTGAGCGGTAAGAACTTGGAGGTCTTCCTCACAGAAGTTGGCGTCGCCTTCCACAGGTCAGAAAATTTATAATGGTCATGTATTCACGCGCCTTAAATGCCTAACCTACTGCCACAGTTTATTACTTGACCATTTGCGAAAGTTCCCAGTGAGTGCTACAGGAGGGCTGATGCTAGCGAAGTGAGTGATGAACGTTGCATGTATTCATCAATCACCTAACCTTAGTATCGTGTAGAGACCTCAAGTCATATCAAGATACAATTGCATCGTTCAAAATCCCATCACTACTGGAGCGCTTTGAGTTCATCCGTCAACTCGGAAACGTCTTCCTCGTCCGACCTGAGATTCTTCGATCATACATTACCGAGAACTACCTGGGAAGGATCGATTCAAGTCTGCTTAAACCATACCTTGCTCAACGTAGTGATTGGGGTCAGTTCGAAAAAGGGTTCAACGATAGTGCAGACATCGAGGATACGAGTCCTGAAGTGTCAACCAAGGGACTCAAAGATCGCTTTAAGATGGCTCGCGTCAGTATGATGATGAAAGAGCTCGAGGGGCTCAAACTTGGGGAAGGGATGTCCATGAACATTCCCACAAGCTTCGCTGGTAGCTTCTCTATCTCTGCACGAGGACTCGGTGGTAACAATAACAACAACACTAGCTCAACGTTGTAATGATCTTTGCTATCTTACCCTGTACACGATTTTTCGCTATCAGTATATATATATATATATAATCGTACACTTGCTCTTGTAAAGACGTCCATGTTTATTCTCCTTTGAAAACAGGTGGTCTCTTCTCCTTGAATGCTTCCAGGGCTTCAAGACGATCTTTCGTACTCAGCAGTACCTCGTACGACGCACGTTCAAAGTCGAGACCTGATCGTGTATCATGAATCAAGACTCAGCATATAGTAACACATAACTTGCCTGATTCCAGAGATAGGTCTGACGCGCGAGAGATAGCCTGCTTGGCTGCACGTAGGGCCAGCGGAGCTAGGAGACAATGTGTACCATGGCGTAGGGTAACTTGAAAGCAATAACACGTACCACTCTTCGCAATATCTTTGGCAAGGATCACGGCACGGTCAAACGCAGATGATCCTTCTGACGATACATAGTCAACGACGCCTATGAGAGAATTGTCAATCTCAGTAGTGGCCTTATATCGATGGTCATACCCCACTTCAAAGCCTCTGAAGCAGTCAACAGGCGTGCAGTAAATATGAGATCCTTCGCTTTGGACAAACCCAATAAGCGTACTGCACGCTGCGTGCCACCTGCACCAGGAATGATTCCTAGACGCGTCTCTGGCAAACCGATTTTCGTAACACTATGCCCTATGGACCACTTATGTCAGAACATAAAGGAGCAACATCTGGCGTCTGAAATTCAAATAGGCTGTACCTGCCACGCGTAAATCACAGGCAAAGCTAAGCTCAAGACCTCCACCCAAGGCGGGTCCATCTATTGCGGCTATGGTGGGCATAGGGAGCGACTCGAGCTGTCCGAGCGCTGAACGCAAATCAGCAAGAAACTTGGCAATCTGAACTTGGGTCATAGTGCGACGTTCTGCCAAGTCAGCACCTGCACAGAAAGAACCGACGGTCGTCGAGCGAACTATGAGTGCGCGGACGCTACAGTCATATATTCACGATGTCAGTAAATGTGCCACAGATGTACATCGACGGCCTGCCCAATCGACTCACCGCTTGTCGTATTTTACCATTTCCAAACAATCCTGGAACTCCTGCCTAAGGAAGAGAAATGAGTTGTCAAGATTCTGTTTGGAATGAAGATGCTTTACTCGCAAAAGTCTCAACGAGATGGCATTCTTGGCTTGTGGTCTGTTGAGGGAAAGGCAAGCGATGGCTGGGTCCGAAACGAAGGGTTCCAGGAAAGCCTCTTTAGACGTGACCGTGGATATAAATCTGCATCTGGCACGAGCTGTTCTCTGCAACGAAATCGACAGCCTGAACATGGTTATTGTCCAAGTAGAGACCGGAGCCGCTTCCAATCCCAAAGCGATCGCGTGGAGAGCACGTGCAGAGCTTGTATCCAGGAGTTGGTCCAAAATCCATTGAACAGTTTCTAACCATCATCCTAGCTCAGCACTCATCATGGGCACACGTGGATTTCGAACCTACCGCTACAAGAAATGGTATTTCTCGTGTTATAATCATTCTGATTCGTACCCAGAAGGACTTGGCTTGGAGATGCTTGCAGAAGCCCAGCCTCAGAATCATCCACGGTTGCGAGAAAAGCTTGACGCTATGTTAAAGAAATGCGAAAAGGAGGGATGTTTTCCGGATGACCTCGACTTAACCGTCGCTCCCGTTCAACGGCACAACGACTTTATGATCCAATGGATCTATGTCATTGACCTCGACAGAAACACGTTTCACATCAATGGTCAGCCATTCTTCCGCCTCGACAACCTCCCTGACCCAGAAACATTCGAGGATGTAATTAGTGAGGATAGCTACAACGTTAAAGCTTGTAGCGTTGAATGCCCCGCTGAATTTCGGTATAACTGGAAGGTCCCACCTCCTGCGGTTGACGAGAGCGTTCTCGCACGTTATCACGATCTCTCCAGTGGTGATACAGCTGTATCGATCGGCACCATGTTATCCCTCCACGACCATCTCACAGACAAAGAATCAGTTCGTGTTGGGCTGATCGAAGTGCTGATCGGTCAATGCATAACTACTCAGCCATTATCCATCGCCTTCAAAGAATTTGAGAGTTTTACGGACCACAGAGAGATCGAGCCATACTACTGGTCAATTGCATGCTCGGTGGCCAATCTCCCATTTAACATTTACGCCCTTCGTAACGAGCCCGATCCCTCCGACCGTCTCTCCCAAACAGAGCTCGTATGGGTTCGTCGAGACACATGCGTTCATATCACAACACATCTCGACGACGAGAAGAATTTGCAGGGATCTGTTGTGCGATTGGTCGATGAAGTGATGAAATGCCCGAACAAAGACGCTGTCGTTTTCGGTGTCGCTTTTTCCATCTACCATTGCGTTATCGTGCGCATCGATAGACTTACAGGAGGGTCTTTCACCCACACGCCTGCCCTGCAGTTCTTGCCATCATTCTTTGCGACATCACCTTCAACAGAGGGCATCACAGCTCTTACCCGACTCGCTCATCGGCCTGATCCTGACATCATGCAAAGATACCTCAAAGCCTGCCCATTTCTTAACTTCGATGAGACATTCCCTCAGGATATACGGAAGGATGGTAGAAGCTCCCCTGAATCGCTATCGTCACACAATGATTGTGTCAATACCACTCAAGTCGGCTATCTTCCTACAGAGATCTGGCAAAATATTGCTCTCCTCATGGATGTGGATGATCTGGTCAGCCTTGGGCATGTGTCGCGATCATGTCGCGGTGCATCACTCACTGTTATGCATCTCCCTCATATCAGCCAGTGTCGTCTGGAGAAGGTCATTGTACAAAATGTGTATTCTGCATTATTTGCAGCTAAAAAGGGAGACATCGACGTCCATATACGCGTCGGTGAAGCTGATTTTAGATGGTGGCCCAAGTTCATTGGCCCAGAAGTGCCTGGTAAACAGGCACTTTATCTTCCCGTGGAAGTGCCAACTGATCCCGCGATTGAAGAAGTGTTCTGTACTATGACAAATGTGTAATATGCTATCTGTCTACCGTGCCCCTCCCCCCCTTGGACTTACCTAGCGGCCGGAGCCTCCATCTGCCCTGTCCTACTCCTACCTCACAAAAAAAACACGATTCAGGCAATACTAGTTAAGGCCTTACAAGTACGTGGTGAAGCGCTGAGATTTTGTGTGTATGGTAAAAGATACTATAGTTTGAATGTCACATTCTTATGCATGAAATAGCTACCGCACGATACAAGAATCAACGATCTGCAGGTCTGGTCGATCTATCCGCTGACCCACTCTGAGGGTTCTGTTTTGCACTAGCAGCTGCTATCGACAGCGAAAAAAAAAGGAGAGAGATTGTCAGTACGTACATCACGCGCCAATATCACGACCGAGCAAAAGATGCCGCTACTCACATCCACTGATTTTTTCGCCTGCAATCTGTGCCGTGCCTATCACGAGTCACATGGCGAAGAAGGAAAGGTGAGCTTGAATTGCTACTCATTAAACGTATGCCACAAACCTCCCATTAATCCATCCGTCGTGAACTCTACAATCGAGTCATCCAGTACCAGAAAGGGGAAGGCAAGGTCAAGATCCCAAGCTGCTTGCAGAATTGGACAACGCACGTTTTCCAATCAGTCCGTCCTTATCAAACGGCCCTCCCACCTTCTGTGCAGTCCCTCCCACAGCTCCATCCGTACCAAACACAGACCCGATTTTTCCGTCCTAAGAACGTCGCAAGGTGGGATTAGGACGAGCGCCCTCAAATCACACTGCAAAAACCACAGCCGCTACTCACCTCCCTGAAGGCAGCTCCAGCTTGCGACACTGCATCTTTAGCGCTTTCAGCCATATCTTCGAGTAGGGAAGTTAAATGGCTGGAGTCTCGTAAATCAAAGGGGGAGGAGATGGAAGTTTGGTTTGACCGGGTTTGATTGGAGTAAGTCGTCTCATGGCATCTCGTTCTTCATCATGATGTCACCCCAACTACCTCTACGTCATGACCCACTCACCATCCCTCCAGCAGGCTACGATCGCACGATTGCTAGATTGACCGATCATTTTCTGTTCTTTACTTTGAAGGGATGTACGACGCCTGATTTGGCAATAATGTTTCCAATGAATTGATCTGGAACTTCGGATTTTGAGGGATTCAACCGTCAACAGTTTGAGAAACAGCCCTCCAAGAGGGAAATTCATTCATTTTTATCTAATGTCAGTCTCACATTTGTTTTTCTCCTCAAACATCACCACTACTTCATCTTGCAATCATCGTCAGCAGTCCCCGTTAAGAAAAGAAGGAGCTTAATCCAAGAAACATAGCAATCCTGAACGCTGAACAAGCCTCCAGTGAATCATAGTACAGATTATCCCTCGACCGTCACTCGTACACATCGCTATACTGAACCTCATACAGTTACGACGTTATTACATCCTTCGGGTCAGGAAACTTTGAAAACTTTTCCAAAATCCACTCAGCTGAGACCTTGCTCGAATCTGCCAACGTTACCTGCAGTCAAAGTCATTGTAAGACAAATCGCAGCGACATAAGCATGTCGCTCACAGAGGTTTTGTCCTTGTCGTCGGCAACGTACCATACAAGCGGGACACTTGCATTTGGGTCCAAATAAACTGTGCTAAAAATGATGTTTTATCAGATAATGCGAACGGCGCCATAAACTACTACGAAATTGGAACTTGAAAAGTATCTCACTTGTAGTGTTTTTCAGTATTAGTCTCTTTAATAGTCCACTTGAAGGAGTCGGATCCCGCAAGTACCTTGTCACCTGCCTTAGCCGTCCCAGATGCAGGTGTGGCATACTTGCTGGTGGAGGCGCTTTGAATGGTAAACAAACCATCATTATCAGAGTCCTGTCTAAGATTCCACTGCCCAACACAAGCCAGTGAATATGATATGATGCGCTCGCGCAATGTCCCCCACTGGTACTTGACATACCATAGTATCATTACTGCTAGACTGAACGACAGTATCGTCGGAGGTGCTCTTATGGGAGGCATGTTTGCTTGTGTCTACAAATTTCATGCCATATTGGCCACCGCTGCCGGGGGGCATCGCGATGATTCTATCGATGCGTAGGCCGCGGCGGCCTATGAGCAGATCTTCTGTACGGGTAGTTGGCATTGGGAGAGTACTTGAGGATGTGAGTGTCACGAGGGTCCTTATATGCGTTCACGCCAGAGTATCCCAAAAACAATCCATGCCTCACGATGCACAAAAGGGGCAACACGTGCGCTTAGTACCCATGTTTTGAGTCGGAGAAACACCTGGCATGACTATCTGCCATCAACACACACCGATAACACCAATGCGGTACAAAGAACTTGAGATAAAGCTTGACCTTGAGTGAATGATTGCTCCGATAAGACCATCCATGGAATCTTCTCCTAGCTACTCAAAATAGCAACGCGTTCTGCCGTCGAGGATAAAGTGCGGCTACTCCAGAGATGACACAAGGGCCCAGCGTGCAGTGTAGATGTCATAAGTTAAACAGAAGTAGAACCCTCATAGTAAGCAGAACACTTTCCCGTCCAACAGAACGCACAAAACTACACCTTGATAGCGACTCAAAGCACGAGAAAAACACAACGGAGTATTGAGCACGTCGTTTACGATTTGACGATCGTCTCGTGCTGCTGCATTACGGTCCGTCAACGGTCCGCCCCGCCCTCCCACTGGCCTCCCAATTTTGGCTACGACATTCCCAAAAAGAGAAGACTGATTTGACACACTCTCACCCCGCCATGACCGAACAGCCTAAACACTGTCAAGACCAGATACCAACGACTAACTTTCCTGTCTTGTAGCGCGAGCAACACCACGCCCAGGCTGACGCAAATAATCGTCCAAGTCGATGATATTCCACATCCTCATGGAGAAGTGCTGTGTGTGTGAGCATGTTATGGCGATAGACTCGTCGTTGAGAGAAAGAGATAACACTACTTGACCATCCCTCGTTCTGCTGCCCATTCTTAGAAATGTTGAGTGCCGGAACAAGCTTCCAGTGAATAATAGCACAGAATGATGATCAAATAGCCCTCAATTGCCACTCGTACAGATCGCTATACTGAACCTCATACAGTTACGACGATTTTATATCATGCGCTTTGAGAAGCTTTGTTGGAATCTCTTCCAAAATCCATTCAGCTGAGACCTTGCTAGCATCTCCCAACGTGACCTGTCGTCGAGTCATCGTAAGACAAAATCGCAGCAACATAATCATGTGGCTCACGTTTGTTCCGTCCTTGTCGTCGGCAAGGTACCATACAAGGGGGACAGTTGCCTTTGGGTCCAAGTAAATTTTGCTAAAAAAAATTTAGTTTATCAGATAGTGTGAACAGCGCCACGAACTGTCACTAAGTTTGGAACTTGAAAAGGTTCTCACTAGTAGTGCTTGTCAGTATCAGTCTCTGTAACAGTCCACTTGAAGGAGTCGGATCCCGCGACTATCTTGTCACCTGCCTTCGTCTCAGGCCTGGCATACTTGCTACTGGCGGTGCTCTGAATGGTAAACAAGTCATCGCCACCGGAGACCTTTGTAAAATTCCACTGCCCAACGCCAGCCAGCAAGTTTGGTTCAGTTTGATTCATGCCCCCACTGGCACTACGCACACCTTAGTATTATCACTGCTAGACTGAACAACAGAATCGTTGGAGGCGCTCTTATGGGAGGCATGCTTGCTCGTCGTGACAAATTTCAGTCTGTATTTGCCGCCACTGCCGATGGACACGGATTGGGGTGTGCCACTGTCTGGGATGCTTTCCAAAATCCACTCGGCTGAGACCTTGCTCGAGTCTGCCAACATGACCTATGATCAATAAATTGGTAAGACAAGTTGCAGTGACAGAATTATGTGGCTCACAGATGCTCCGTCCTTGCCGTCGGCAATGTACCATACAAGAGGGACGGTTGCCTTTGAGTCCAAGTAAATTTTGCTAAACATGATGATTTATCAGATAACGTGAACGGCACCATGAATTGGCACAAAATTGCAGCTTGAAAAATATCTCACTGGTAGTGATTTTCGGTATCAGTCTCTTTAATAGTCCACTTGAAGGAGTGGGATCCCGCAAGTACCTTGTCACCTGCCTTATTCGTCCCAGCTTCAGGTTTGGTATAGTCCTTGCTGATGGGGCCACTCTGAATGGTATACAAATCACCGGTTCCGTCCTTTTCAAATTTCCACTGCCCGATGCCAGCCAGTAAATACGACTCAATTCGATTGGATGTCCCCACTAGCACTTGACATACCGTCGTAAGATATCTGTTAGACTGAACGACAACATTGTCGGGCGTGCTCTGATGGGTGGCATGCTTGCTCGTCGTGACAAATTTCATGCCGTAATTGCCGCCGCTGCCAGGTGCCATCTTGTAGATGCCAAAGGGCTGTTCGCCTAATGAGCTGCTAGCCTTGGACATGTCGAGTGTCTGGATTGCGAAGATGTAAGACTATATGGTATATGAGGGTCCTTATATGCGTCCAAGCCAGAGCGCCCCAGAAAGTCCAGGCCCCACGATGAGCATGCCACAAGAGGCAGCACACGTGCCTCGCATCCCATGTTTGTATTGGAACGAACCCATCAGAAAGTCACATCATACAGTTGACATGACTATCCGCCTTCAAGGCGCGCTGATAAGCCAAAGAAGTAGACTGGGAGCTTCAGCCTGAGTGAATGATTGACCCGATAAGAAAAACATAGAGCTTTTCCAGGGCGCCAAAGCAGCGAAGTTATTCCGTTGGATCAAGCACGCGGTATTTTGGAGCTTTTGAGTGGATCTAGGAAAGGTGTAGAGCCGTCCAAATGAGCAATGAAGCCACTCCAGATCACTGGAAAGGACACGGGGATCTTTCGGGCAGTGTAGATATCAGATAACACTAGCGCTGTTAATATAGTCATTAGATATGGCCTTCTATGAAAGCGCCAGAGACCTGTGTGACAAAAGTAGACGCTCATTGACAAGAAAGTTTCCGCACAGTAATCACGAAACCGCACGTAACAGTAAGAACATAGACTCGGAACCCAATCAATGGACAAAGGTGATAGACACAATTCAAGAAATGCGGTCCTCGACGGAAAAAGCCGATTCTTGTGGTTTGAAGCCAGGAAGTAATGATTGATTCCTTACAAACTTGAGATAGAATGCAATGTGCCATCGGCGCTTCGAGTTCATCTAAGATAAAGGATAAAGGGTGGAGTGTCCGTGAAAGGAGAAAATGAGGCCACGACGCAAGAATTCTTCGGGCACTGTAGATGAGAGACTAGCGCCCTCCATATAGTCATGGGATATGTCAGATATGACTCGGGCTTCCACGAAAAGCGCCAAACGTGCTGACATCTTGCAAAGTAGACGCTCATGAGCAAAACAGTTTCGAAGTAGAAAGCACGAAGCATGCCAACCCGCACCTGATAAAAAAGCTGAAGCGATGTGTGGAACCCCGATCAACTTGACAGATGATATGATCATGATAGTGTTCAACAAATGAGGTCCTTGACGGAAAGACTTGGAGCTGTTATGATCATGATAGTGTTCAACAAATGAGGTCCTTGACGGAAAGACTTGGAGCTGTTTCTCGCAGTTGGAAGCCAGAAACGAAACAACTGGGGTACAACGCCATTGGGCCAGTTTTGGGTGCCACTGCGTTACGGCCCGCCTTCGGTCCGCCCCGCCTCTCTACTGACCCTCCCAAATTTGGCAACCACATTCCCAAAAGAAAAAGAGGGGGACTATCCTCATCGCCGTTCCCGTCCCCAAGGTTTGATCGTCTTCTCTTCTCTCCTTTCAACGACCCCGCAAACCTTGGGGACGGACAAAATAGCAGCAGTCTGATTACATTCCTCGTTTTGTTGTCACCACCAAAAAGCCATCAGATAGAAAGATGAGAGGAGGATCCAGTGTAGTTTTCGAGGTTTGTAGGAGTGTAAAGTCCAGAGTAGTCGTTACATATTTGTGTCCTCGACGATCGAATCGATGAGCCTAAATGAACCGACAAAATGAAAAAGCCCCTCCCTCCGATCGAGTCCACGTCGCACACAGAAATCATAAATAAAACCAACAAAATATAAAATATTGGACCACAATCCATCCAAACAAGAAGAAGTTCAAGAGGGGAGGAGGTGACGAATAGAATAAAAGAATAAAATAACAGAAATAAAGAAGAAAAGAAAAAAAGGCATGAAACGATCGTCACCTCCTAAAACTGATTCACCATTCCACCAATCCGCCCATTCATAACAAAATCACCCTCCCTTCCTCCCCTTTTTCCCTTCCTCCCTTTTTCCCCCTCCTTCCTTCACCCCTCAACGCACCCCTCAGCCCTCAACAACACCCCCATAAAACGAATCAAAGGACAAATGCCCTTTCGCATCCCCAGCTCCATTCGTACTAATAGGCGACAAGGACGAAGACGGTGAAGTCAGACTCTGCCCCCCACTCCCTGCACCAACCGAAAGTGCAGGCTTGACAGACGGCCTCAGCGCAGCCGGCACACTCGACGCCTCCTTCTCAGGTTCCGGTTCGACGACAAAAGGCTGCCCCGTCTCGCGCTGGGGCGCAAAGTACCCATCGTTGCCACCATGCAGGTCCGCGTCTGTGTAAGCCATACCGGGGGGATACTCGATGCCGTGGTCATGGGGCGAGTACACGGCTTGTTGTCCCGCGTATGCCTGCTGAGGATACACCTGTTGTCCCGCATAGGCCTGTTGCCCTTGATACGCCTGCTGTCCCGCGTATGCCTGCTGAGAGTACCCCTGTTGGCTCGGGTACGCCTGTTGTCCTGCATATCTCTGCTGGGGGTAGGCCTGCTGCTGAGACGCATACGCTTGCTGCATCTGCATCTGCTGTTGTTGCTGCTGCTGATAGTAGGCAGGCTGAGGAGGCTGAGCGGATGCTACTGCGCTAAAGTTGCGTCTGAGATGGGCGTCGGGGGGGAAGCGAGGATCGTCCTGAACGACATACTCTGCGCCCTCCCCATCGTCCTCATCCTCATACACTTCCCATTCTCCTCCTTCCTCATGCTCATTCCCCCCACTCTCACGCCCATGCCCAAAATCCCCTGCACCGCCCAACCCAGGCTCCCTGTTCTTCTCCAAATACTCCATATCGTCATAAACATCGGAAGCAGTGTTATGGGAGTGACGACGATGGACAATGAACATGGCGAGTGCGATGAGGGCTGCCACGCCTATGATGCCCACGACGGAGAAGACACCGGCGACTGCACCTTTGTTGGAGAAGAAGCTGTGGGGTGTTAGTTAGTGGCGCAGCCCACAAGTAGGAGAAGGGACGGACCTGGTAGAGGAGGGAGTGGCGGTTGAGGAGGGCTGCTGGACGAGGGAGCCAGTGGGGATGGACTGACCAGCGGGGAGAGTGGTGGCGGGGGAGGGAGGGGTGGGAGAGGTGATGGGGATTGAAGGAGGTGATGTGGAGGGCGAAGACGAGGGTTGGGAGAAGACTGATTGGACGAGGGTTATTTTGCTGTAAAAAGATGAATCAGTATCAATATCAATATGAGTGAGACAAGGCAGTGCAAGATAGAACTGACAGGACGGATGAGGAAGAGGTGGCAGTGGTGGAAGAGACGGGTTTTGAGGTGGAGGTGGAGGAAGGGGTGGTCAAGAATATGGGAGAGACTACGGGGGATGTGGAGGATGAAGTGGGGGAAGGGGAATGAGTAGAGGAGGGAGTGGTTAGCTGTTGGGAAGAGGTGGGAGAGGGAGAGGAAGTGAGGAGGGAGTGGGGATGGGCG